CCTTGACGACATTCTTGATGAACTCAACCTTGCGCCGAAAGTCGTTGGCGGCGGGAATGCCTTGGACCTCGGGATCAATCTCGGGTCGTTTGCGCGTGCTGGCTGAGCGGGTAGACGACTTGCTTTGGAAGTTGAGCAGGGTCTGCAGAGGGTATGAGAGCGTTGCGCGATCATCTAGAGCCGCTGCACCGATTGTGCCCGTCGACGCTAACCTTTCAGCGGCGTCTTGTGGGAGATGCCAGAAGTGGCACCAGGTTCCGGTAGCATCAAGCACGATCTTGGTGTGGTCGGGGAAATTGAATTGAAGATGTCCGTCACAGAACACCCAACAACCAACGTCTCCAAACCTCTGGTAAAATGTTACCAGTTCTGCCATTGTGCCCTTTGCCCCTGGTGACATGACCCCTTGCCCCTCGCTTTCTTCAACGGGAAGGTTTTCATCTCTGCCATAGGCAATCATGTAGTTGGCAAACTTCTTCCAGAGAATAATTCTCTCGCGCTTGCGGTGCTGATAAATATCTTTGCCGGGGTTCATCTTGCCAGCTGTGCCGTCCTCGCTGATAGCCACCCTGAACTGCTCGGGTGAAACATTCACTTCTGACAGGCCGCCTTCGCCATTGTTCTCAAAGAACTTGATTGCTTCGGTCATGGGGACTGGTTGGTTTCTGTCGAAGTATGATGTGTCTTCGCGACGGAGAATGTGCTTCTCTGCGCCTCGGATGAAGATACCGGCAGGAGGCAGCATGGCCGTCTTGCTGCCCTCGGTTGTGGGTATATCCCTTAGTACACATCCAACACTACCATCGTTCAAAATATAGCCAAGACCAAATTTGTTGGTGTAGTCAACCCATTTGACAACCACATGAGGGTGGGGAGGTGTGACAGATTTGGAAGAAATGATTGCCATGGTACGGGAATTCAATGACCGCTCTAATTCCGTTTGCAGCCTCTTCAATCGTTCGAGAATAATGTCAGGCCGTGAGCCTGCGATAGTCTCAGGTTTCTCGGATGGGGCAAAAAGGGTGGTCGCTCGAATGGATTGTGAATTTGATCTTTTCAGTGGTTGCACAGGCGCAGATGTCATCGTGGCCGCTCGCTCAGCTACTTGAAGGTTTGGGGCTGACCGCGCCGATGGCAAAGCTGTCCGGGCAGAGCTTCGCATGTTCTTAAGGGTGCCCTCTGAGGACACCTTTGAGGCCGTTTCCCGAATAACTTCCCGCCGTGATGCTCCTCGTACACTTTGGCTTGCCGTCAGGGCAGGATCTACAGGAGGGTTCGATTTGGTTGTTGAAGAGGTTGCCGCAGGCCTGTTTTGAGCACGCTGCTGAGCAGCAAAGCTCTGGGGAGGCTGCCTTAGCAACCCTAGAGGAGCCTTTTGTGCAGCGGTGGGAGGCTCTTCGGAAATAGTCACTGGTTGTGCGGTGTGAGGCCCAACGGAATGTGAAAGTTTGCTCCTCTGAGGCATGTGCTCTCTGAGCCAGTCGTCAAATGGTCGGTAAACCACGTTTTCGGCGAGAGGAATGGTAGGCGTCAGGCCAACCTTTTCCTCTTGAGCCATTTCCTTCCAAACTTGCGAGTGGATGACTTTTGCATCGGACCAAGGGCCAATTCCACTCTCGAGGCACATTTCTTTTAGATTTCGATACGAAGTAGTTTGCAAGGCGCTGCTCATTCGGGAGACATAAAACTCGTCTCGCTCAGGCGGCAGCTCTCGGAGTCGATAGCTCATGTCAATGTCGGTGGGCATGTAGCCTGAGGTGAAGAAGGGGTGTAGGATAATGTCATCTGGCTCGGGGCGGCGGTCTGCGTCCTCCAACATGGTGGCAACCAGATCCTTGGCCTCTTGGCTAATGAACCTTTGAGTCGAATCGCCGGTGGGCCACTCGTAATCTCTTTCTCTGGCTCGGCGATAAATCTCATCTGTAGTTGATGATTGGAAAGGAGGTTTTGATGTGAGCATGGCGAACCTGGATCAAGTTAGTAAAGTGGACTACGAACAAGGGGAATCCCGTCGAGCAAGAATCGTACATGATGATTCCCAAGCTCCAGATATCGACCATGTGATCATGCCCCTTCTTGCCCTTTTCCAAAATTTCAGGGGCAATGTAGTTGGGGGTTCCGCAAAGTGTGGTTCGGCGAATGGTCTGCATGTCCCTACCAGTAACCACCAAGGCAGCTAAGCCAAAGTCACCAATCTTGGCATTCATGTGAGAGTCGAGAAAGATGTTGCCCATCTTCAAGTCGCGGTGAATAATGCCCTTGGCATGCATGTACTTGATTGCGCCGGTAATCTGAACCGAGTAGAAACGGACCTCGGGTTCGGTGAGTCCTTTCCGGCGTTTGACCATGTCCATGAGCGAGCCATTGTTGCATTGCTCCAGGACGAGATATGTGCAGTTGTTGAAGGAAAAAGCTCGGAAGAATTGCACAATGTTCTTGTGCTTCATTTTGGAGTGTATTTGAAGCTCGGTTTGGAACTGAAGACGGAGGCTGTTAGGCCAGCTATTCCCAGCAAAGTCTGACATGTGGGATCAAATGACTACTTGCCTTTTGCTCCATCTTGGGAGGCATTTTGCTCTTGACAATCTTCAAGGCGTATTTTTGCCTGGTTGCTACGTGCAGGCCGCTGTAGGCCAGGGCGAAACCCCCCTTTCCCAGTAATTTGCCAACTTGGTATGTAGCCCCCTCCGGGCGGTCGGAACTACATGGCTCGAAGACTTCGGGAGGCGGAGGCGGAGGATGCTCCTTGTCCTTGGCGGCCCGAAGCTGTGCGGCAGTCTTGACTTTGTTTTCCGTGGTTTTGGGCAATCGCTGGGCATTGGCATCTCTAGGAGACAAAGCCTCGAGGTCGACACCGCCTTTGGCCGCAGCCAACCTATGGGCCATGGCTGCTAAGTAGAGAGTCGATTGTTGTGTGATGAATCAAACTATCGCTGCGTGGTGGATGGCGTATTAAAGGGATGGTGCGGTCGTTAAGGCTGGCGGTAGCAGTGGAGGAATCGCCAACGGGAGCCTGGATTCAAATCGAAGAGTGAGAAATACTGTTATTCATGATTCAATAACCTTGAATGAGGAACAGGTCATCTTTGATCCAGCTTTCTGGCAGAGCAGCGGATGCACACGTGGAGCAAGATGTCAAAGAAAGGGATCAATCTCGTGCTCACATTCAGTTCAAGCACATGTAGCATTCGCGGTGAAGCAAAGCTGCAGCGAGCCGACGATGAGATATTGGCGAGGGCTCCTCGAGATGCCAAAAGACAGTTAGCAATGCTAGATTGTCGATGCGGGTGCAAGGAGAAGCGACAATTGAGTGCTGGTTGTGTGGCTAAGCGGACAATAAGACTGGGACATGGCAACCGGACGACTACGACGAGTCTCTTTCCTATTGCTGGGGGCGGGTTTGTGTACTTTGACCGTGTCTGGTGGTTGCCGGGGAACCAAAGTCACTCCAGTTCATCTATACTCTGGCCAATTACAGAGCCGTAACCGGCGACCTTGAACCGCTTCTAGTGGCTGTCAACAACCACACCAGTCCCAATCTGGCGGTGAGTGGCCCCACAGCCCGGACCAGTTGAGCTTCAATGTTCTGTGAAATTCTTCATACCGCTGATGAAAAGATGCTCCTGATATTTGTATGTTATCCCCAGCGCCATATTAAGTGCGTCTTTGTATTATTAGTAAAATTGGCGGGGGACTTGTTATTATGCCGAAATCTGAGATGGTCAAGGCACGGTAAACATGAGTGGTACGTTGTCGATATAGTGTACTAGGTGCCGGCAAGGCGTTAACACACTTACAAGACGGTTACAGAGAGGCATAACCGCTACGGTAGTCACGACCAATTGACCAAGGTGCTCCAGATGTCGTCATTGACCATTATATGGAAGGTGCTGGCTTGAATTTCCCGGCACTCTTGGCGCCTTTTGGCACGTGAATTGGTGAATTGCGGCGCGCTATTTGAGTAGAGAGCTGCTCAGAATTTAACTGGATTGACATCTCTCGCTGCACGTTACATATGTACGGTCTTGTTGCCTGGTGCGGCTCAATCACGGTGTTACTAGTGGTCTTGCATGGCCATCTAGGCCTCTCTTTTTTCAGTAACTTAATAACTTGACATCTCTACGTGCATAGCAACGAGGCATATTTCCAACTTCATATCTCTACATGCATCAACAAGGCATACTCCCAGAAAAGAATATAACCGCGAGAACCCAGCCCTCTATACTCAAGCTTCATGCCCGTGTCTCCAAATACACCTGACACTTCATATGGCGCTGGAGATAATATGACATTAGGAGCATCTTTTTAGAAGCGGTATAAAGAATTTCAGCGAGATCAAACGCCGTATAGAGCGGGTGGCTTCTGGTGGCTCCAGATGTTAAAGAAACCCAACTGGTCCGGACTGTAGTGTGTAGACGAATTATAAGCTTATATACTTGACAAGTATATTAGTAGATATTAGTAGATATATTACAAAGGAGTCTAGTTTAAATATAATAAATGGTAAAGGGTTAAGCGCACTTGGCACAAAGAGTAAGCCCGCTGAGCAATTCACTTGCCAACTGCACTACCAAAAGCGGAGAACTCGTGTAGCAAGATGTGAGCGGATAAAGGTGGGCTGAACCGCGCCCCGACCAATTCACACCCATGGAAGCCCTGAGAGGTTTAGTCAGGTGCCTGGATGTCCCGGATTAGGGGACCGTGGTCCCTGAATGATGGACGCGGATAGTGACGACGCCTGGCGCCTACCACGGAAGCCTCCGGAACCTGGCATCGCGGCTCAGTCATCAAGGCTTCATGTCTAGGGACAACTCTATTTCTCGACGTCGCCCATTCCCGCAGCCGAGCACAGCCAGAACATTCCCTCGCGCTATTCAACAACGATCGCCCGCTCCCCGATCTCTTTGTTCCCAGCATTACGCACCTCAAGTGATTCCGAGGTATTTTCTCGCGCTCCCAGGCGCCAACCTCGACGTCGACGGGACGCAAGTACGACAACCATGGTGCCTCTACCTCTATTCAAGCTCGCATCGCTCTTCGTGCGGCACATTTCCAAATATGGCGCGGTAAGCCGGCAATCCTCTCCGCGAATGCGCCATGATATCGCGAACTGATCCCCGCCCCCCAGAACCAAATCAAAGCACAAGCCCACGACCATCCACGATTTCGCGCATTCGCCGCCAAGTACGGCCAGCACATGCACCAGCTAAACATGCGCATGTCCGTCGCCCTCCTCCGCGACCCCGAGGCAGAGCGCCGCGCCAAGGAACGAGCCGAAGCCCCCACGGTCAAAACCGAGGAGCAACACAAGCGCGACGAGGCGGCCAAGTCGAAATCCAGCCCCGGCGCCTCCTCCTCCTCCTCATCATCATCCTCCTCATCACAGTCGGCAAAGTACCCCCGATTCACGTTGCAAAACGTGTGGAAGAGGAAATTCCGGCCTCTGCCCGAGGGCAAAGCGGTCGACCTATTCGCAGACGCTATTGGCGATGCGTTCATTCTCGGTGTGGCAGGCGGCCTGATCATATACGAGTCGTGGAAGGCGTTGCAAAAACCAGACGTGAACAAACAGCGAATCGACGATTTAAGCGAGAGGGTGGAGGCTCTGAGGAGGAGAGAGGAGGAGCTGGCAGATGCGGAGGAGAAGCAGAGACAGAGGTTTGAATCCTTGGAGGAGGCGTTGAGGGCTCTCAAGAACCCCAAGACGAAGGAGCCTTTGCTACCGACATTACAGCCTTGAAATGATGCTCGGTTTCGACGTTGAAAGAGCGACGAGCGCATTCTTCATTTGTCTACGAAGCTTGGCGAGCTGGCACACATGGGTGGAGTTTTGAGCGGCTGATCCCATTGTACATATTGGCATGTGGGACTTTGATTTTGGACTTTTGTACTACCACCAGGCATCTTCTCAATCAGTGTATATCATAGACCACATAGAAATCAGCGGATGTCACTTCTGCTCTCACAGGGCAGAGGGGGATGAGGGGCCAAGGCAGCGGGCTGGACAGGCGAGGGAAGGCAAGAAGCAGAGAGCTCTTTCCATCCCGAAAATAAATCTCCAAAGTCTCTTCTCCAAGAATCGAAAACCGCCGCCCTCGTCTGGGATACAAATGCGTTGATTAGCATTGACAAATCTGACTACTGCGCAGTACGTGCTTGGGGCATAGTCGTGAAGAAACTTCCTGGTCATGTTCAGTTCATCACTTCGTCAACGATCTGAGTGGTCTCCGGCGCTCGCCCTTTTCGCTCAATCTCCCTCAAGATGGAGAGGTAATATATTTCCAACCAGCCGAGTCTAGTACACTGACAAAATCCTCTAGAAACAAACCTCCTCGGGCATGACCTCGAATTCACAGTTCAATACTCGGCCAGCTCCTCGCTAACCTATCGGATGGTGCTCATCTCGGCAAAACAGGTTGGTACTGACGACGCAACGCGCAGGATCAAGCAGCTTCCCAAACACGGAACCGATAAGAAAGCTGTCGTGCTTCTGATGCAAGGACATGATGCCATGTCTTCGTTTATGAGACTGCAAATACAGTACGTGTCTGCCATTGGGCTGATTGCAGTAGTCATTCTAACAGCGCAGAATGCTTGAGCATGAAAGAATCTCTACTATACCCGTATCCAGCGCTGGCCAGTTTATTGACCATCTCGATGCATTGAGAAGGCCCAGCACGATTGGCATGAACGGACTCGCCCAAATTGACCGTCATGCGGTCCAGAAGGATCTTTTGCGTCACTGTGTTTCAGGGACGCCTCTATCAGTGCAACAGGTAGATGTACTGTTAGGTTCAGTCAGACATCTGAGGGAGTTGGCCAACATGGTGCAGACCCGGGAAGGACAAGAGACCATCTGCAGGCTCTTGGGCGACGCCGATGGTCGCAGCTTGATTGAGCACTTTACCAACGGCCCGAAGTTCACGTAGGGAGAGGCCTCATAAAAGACACGTCGATTATGCCTTGTGCCCCCGTTGGCCAAATAAAAGGCCTACAAGGCTGAGGTAGACATCAGATAGGCTAGGGTCATCGAATCAATATGCCTTCAGGAGCCATTTCTACGGCACTTAGCCGCGCAGCCTCGAATATGAAACCAACACAGCCAACAACGCAGTGTTGGTCGTAGCTTAGTCGGCAGCCGCGCGCCTCATGGCGCAAATGGGCTGGTTTCACAAGAAATCCATCAAAGCCTAGTAAAAGTCATTTATAGACAGAGTTGACCAACAACGACATAAAAAGTCTGAGACATCCAGGAAGCGCTCATCTTCAGCTTCAACGCTCTGTTTGCATAGTGTCATGTGCTTCACCTCCTCTTGCTGCTCGATCCACTGGCCATCAATGATGGCCCAAGCGAGCGCTGATCAGGCCAAGCGACACACAGTGACGTACATATTTTCAGAACCAGTTGGCCGAGGGTTTTTTTCGTTGACCTTGCTGAGCTCGCGCCAAGCACTCAGTCATGAGACGATTCTGCCATAATCCGTCGTTGGGGTAATTATCTTTTCCCCATCCATCGTATTTGCCCGGTGGCTACTCCGCACGACCAATGGAATTTTTTGCGGCTTCCAACAATAGAAACAAACTATTTATGCATGCCGGACAAGCCATCCCTGGCGACGCAAGGTCAGGTGTTACCCCATCTCAACCTAAGGGAAGCGGAACAGGGAGTAATCACGCACGATCAAAGAAAGTCGGCATCCGCAGCTGTAAATCGTCAAGGGCCGATATATTGTAGGAGAGAAGCATTGGTGTGAGCATAAGAAGCACAATGCCAGTTGGTTTGAAGCCCAAATTCGACCAACAATTGGAGCTTCAGCACGCTTTCAAGTCTCGTCTCTTGCGAGAACGCGCTGAACGATTAGGTAGCCAAAGGAGACGGCTGGTCTTGAGTGGCGGCCAGATCAAAGTGCGAGTTGTGAACAAATCCGCATAATGGCCCCCTCCTCGATGAGCAACCATCGTCTAAGTCGGTCGAGTCTAGATGCAACTGCGCCTGTCCAGGCAGAGTGATGCTGGATGTGATTGGCTGTATTTTAGCTCATGAGCGCCACAATGACGACCCGTCTCCAATCAACGATGCCTCAGAGCCGCCGGAGCGTGATCAGGGCGCACAATACATAGATCCGCATGGACTTGGCTAGGGTACCGGGGTTCATTGGTTCGGGTCGCTGTTGTGTGCGGAGGCAAGGACATTGTAGTTATGTTGTAAAACAAAAAAAGCTTGTTGAAGGCAGAATATTAAGTCGTCCAGGCGATGGACGTGCCATCCAAGTCAGTCTCGCTAGAAAAGAAGGGTTGCATTCTGCGATGCTTGGCTCCAGGGATTGCGAGATAGCTTCAATGGCCTTGTCCCGCGAGTGAAGACGGCATGTCACCACCCGTGTCCTTCTTGCCTTGATTGACTATTGCTGGGCAAATGCACGGAAGGATAAACCATGTACTATATAGTCTCTTCCCAGTTGAAAGCCGCCTTTTAAAGCGGACGTCTATACTCTGAAGGGTTAGGCAGCGACACGTGCAGCCGTCGCTTTGCATTTCCCGGATATTTGCCATTCACTCCACTGTCACCCGATGCACCTCCTGGAAAAGGAATCAACGTTGGGTGAGAAAGGAGACGTTGCGGAGAAGATACAGAGAAAATAAGACCGGCGCATCGTAGTTCATTTCACTCTTCGCGGCAGTCTTAGATGAGTCGAAACAACAAATGGAGCTTCCTTGGTAACACGTTGGTGTCATCAGAACGGGAACTGCACGTGACGGAGCAATAGGGAACCAGCGGTGGGAGTCAATCCAATAAAACCTACTCCGTAGAGGATTACTCCGTAGATGAGATCCCAGTCCAGCGGGTGGTGTGCGGTTCACCGTATTGTCGGGACTTGATTGATATGAGGATTTTCGCAGACCTATGACGGTCACATGGCGTGAGCGGTGACAAGGGCCCAGCTATCGGGTTGGCTAAGCGTGGTAGTGCCTAAAAGTGCTTCATGTATAATACCTCGTGGTTTGTTGACGATTGAACTGTATTATGGAGTTGACGGTGGGGCACATCGTGATGGATGTGTTCGTGGAGTCGATCTGTCGTGGGTTGACGAGGCGCCTCAGACACCATGTGCTTCACCATGGAGCCCAGACGTCGCACAAGTCATACGAGACCCGCCACCGTCGCGCCTGTGTAAGGGGAATTGATAAGTATAAGTCACAGACGAGACTTTGAGAAAACAGTCGACATATAGGTGAGTCTTACCAGAGGGTCAATTTATCTCCGCCATCACAGTGGTGATGTGTGATGATCCCAATGGCTCGTATGTACTCCGTATAGCACCCAGAATGTGTCTCGCAAAGCAGGGACAAGCAGCCACACATGCACCGTCGGCAGCCGACGCACGCACCCACGATAGGTTGCTTGTTGAAGTAGTACAGATCGGGTCGTTTGCCCATTGCAGTATTTTTGTGGCTGGTTAAAGCGAAGCAAACTCTCGGCTGAGCAGATTGAGGAGCCAAGAAAATAGAGACGAGCGGCCGCTGCACGCGATGCCAAATGATGCAAGAAGCCAGCAGAAGCCGTCCTATCGCGAAGCAGAAACCAGCTAGTGGAGGGTTGCAAGGCCATAGTTGCGGTACAGGGGGTTGATGGTGAGCACTACGTCCAAGAGGTGAATTTGAAGGCTGAGGGTAAAAAGTGGTGGTCGGTTGGCATCAGTCTGGAAGACGTCGAACATGCGAAAGAGACGGTGGCTGGCACAAAAGGTACCTCGGCTGCCAGCCTGGGGTTGCGGGCGACCCAGGTATCCCCTGGGGCTGGCCGTGTCTGGCAGGGAAGGTGCAGCCGGGTGCTCTTCTGTAGCAGCAAATGCGGCACCGTCCCCATGCGACCCAGAAACGGGAGGGGCGACCCAGTCGTCCCGGAACGGCAAGGGTGCTGATTGGCTCTCGGCCAACGTGTAACCGCCCGAGTTTCTCCAATCACCTCGAGCCACACCACCGATTCACCTCTTTGTCTCTCCCCATCGCCAGCCCAGGACACGGCCGTCATGTCTCTTCAACATGCCACCCAGCCAAGTTCGACTCTGTGCCGCTTCCAAGTCTCGCTGTTGCTAGCCGTTCCTAAATAGTACCCCGGCCAGAGGTGGGCTGGCCGCTCCAATGGGCCAACAGTCTTGTCGCAGGCCTGCTTCTTGGCCGAATTCCCGGTACCTTAGTTTCGCCCTCACTCCCACCGCACCCATGCCGTCCAACGATGTGCCGTTGCCTTCAACTTGGCTGTTAGCGGCTTTCCAGGTTCTCCTCACGCCTATCTTCATGTATTCACGCCATTTGTGCTTGGCCATGTATGCGCACAGTACTAGTCCATCGGCGCCAACCCCGGCGGTTGCACGAATAGACTCTGCAAGGGTCGTGGCCATGCGAAACTGCAGATGTCATGCCGGACCATGCTGTACTATCCATCGTTTAAATCTAGCTTCCCATCTGCTACCGCCCCAGCGTCAACCTCCTTGATCTTCCTCCCCTCCAACTACTCTCCTTGATTCACGTCTCCGACATCGTCTCGTCTGATAATCCGTCTCAAACGCCTCCTCGTTCATGCGAACAAGAACCAGGTCTAACCCTTCAACCACCTCGACTACGGACGAAACCGCCTTGTACTTTTCCCGGCCCAGGATAGAGTCAACAGTTACTTCTGCTACACGCGAAGCCGTCACCAACACTGCAGATCAAGCAGCGCCATTCTCAATCCACCCTCGAATCATCACCGACTCAGAATATCCGGCTCCTGCTCAACCTCAACATCTTCCCACGGCTCTATCGCAACTTACACATGTCCCTTGTTGTGCACCCTGGCCTGGTCGCAAGAGGTTAGTGCCGCACGGATGCCTGCTGTCAAGAAACAACGGACTCAGTCACATACTCGCAATTCACCATCAAGTCGGCCTCATCCGGTATTGTGTCTGTCTCGCCAGCCATCAGTATCTGATACACGGGCTTGGGCTAGCCTCGCCCTTCTCGGCATCGGCTACGGCCCTCCGGCGCCCTGCTAACCCTGCTGCCGACTGGGTTGTCAAACTTATTAGATCCTTACATTTCCTCCCCCTCCAGGAAACGTTTGGGTCTGTTCTTCCATCTCTTGCGATTTCATCCGTTGTCTTTCATTCTTATCTCCGGTTTCCTCGACCAGTCTGGGCCTGTCGAGAACCACCTAATATCGAGTCTTTCTTTTCAAACTACAACCATTCATTCGTCTCAAAGCTGTGTCGGTCTGGTTACCAGCACTTCCTCTGCGTCCTCTGGCTTCCTCTCAACCGGCTCGCGCCAATCTGTACCATTGACCCGCAAGAGAAAAGTTGGGGCCCCGACGGCAAATTCAGTGCATATCACCCAGACGTGTTATCATATAGACCATCGACAACAAGCGATTCAAGACCATCCCGCAACTTTGGGAGGACGTATTTCAGGATACAAAACAGAAAGAGACAGGAAAAGAAGAGAATATCTGGACTAGGTTAATTATTCGACACCATGGGCAGACTTATCAAGAACCACTTGGGCCGCCTCATTATCCTGACCGCCGCAGCTTGTATGTTCTGACAGCCAGTCCTCGACGGAGAGCAATAATCACTGACATTTGTGCAGATCAAGTTGGCGCTGCCATTTCAGGGTTCATTTGGCCCAAGATATTTTGGGACTTCCTCACCAAGAACCTGGACCCAGCTGTCAAACCCATCCCGATTCTGCAAACAATCAACCTCATCTTTGGACTGGGAATGCTTGCCCTGGAGTGGCCATTGAGCTTTGTCGCCGGTTCAAGCCTTCACCGATCACTGGAGTTTCGACTTGCAGTCCTCCCCCTGACGGCACTCACGTCCATCTTGATGTATCAGTCTACCAACCCGGCAATCTACTACGTGATTGGAATGGTTGTATATTTTGTGGCATACAGCGAGGGCGAGGTATGCTTAGCCCTTGAGACTTTGCCCAGGCAAATCAGCATGCTAACATGGAACGAACAGATGATTTGCGCCAAGCCTTGGACTCTACCACAAAGAGGCATGGCTGGACTAGGATTGCGCGCGTAATCGACAAGGCCGGAGCAGAGTCTTATCGCAAGACGGCTTAATTTCGAATGAATTAATTATTTTTCATCAAATCTTATTTTGCATTTTAGCGCCGGCGTTTTCGATGTCATTATTATATTACAACTCGGACCTTGACGGAGCATTTTCAGCATGTCCGGTGGGGTGGTGGACTGCAGCATTTTTTTTTTCCTTTTGATTCCCCGATGGATTCTTGGGAGCGAAAAATGGAGGGCCAGTGGGTGGTGTTGGCGGATGCGGGTAGCCAGGAGAATTCATGCCTCTGGTCACTCTTATTTGGGAGAATGTTTCTACCATGTAACATATGTACTTGCGTAGACTACTCCGCACAGTTGCATTGGGTACCTTATGGTGGTGGACGGGCGAAAGCAGCTGAAAGGGGGCATGGGGTAGAGTAGCACTTGAGGGCAAACTATTTCGACCAACGCTTGAATGGATCGAAGACGAACAAAGAAAATAGAAGCGTCGCACGGAATTTCGGAACAGTGTCCCGCACAAGTCGTGTACCGGCCTTGCAACAAGCCTCACGACTCAAGATGCCAAGTGTGAAGCGCCTCTGTAACATCTCCAGACCCATATACACCTGAATCAGGTAACTACATAAACAACGCAGCTCAAACCCGTCAAGGCTCTGCCCAAACCCTGTGCCCGTCGCATCCCGAGGAAGTGTCCGCCGTGGCGCCAAAAATCATCATTCTCGGTCCATGTCCAAACACAGCGAAGCTTCAGAAGTTCAAATTCGGGATTTCCGAGGGAGACGGTACAAAACCGAGGGCAATATATCCAAGACAGGCGTTTGAAGGAGCGCCTTGCAAGTCATGCCTACGAATTGCGCAAAATTTGTCCCCGGCACCACAACGGACCAAAAAGGGTCACGACAAGCTGATTCTAAACATACGAGTTTGAACACCTCGAGGCATCTCCCACTTGAAGACGGAAAAGAAATTAGGGCTTAGCCAAGCAGACTGGCATTTGAGAGAGAACCCAACTCATTGATGTAGTGCCAGATAAGAATATGCCTCTAGAATCATGAAGCGATCCTTTTCTAATCCCCGGAGAGACTTTGCTTCATTTTTCTCGTTTTGCAATGATACCTAGTGTCTGGATTTACGCATAGAATTTCCAGAGTGCTTGATGAAGCTCTTTGAGTCAGTTTGAACGGTTAGGCTACAAGGCGGTTTGATGTAGGGTAGGCCAGCTGACGTTCCTTGCAAGGAGAGGGAGGATGCTGTGCAAATGGGAAGCAATGCTGCCAAGGTACTGGATTGGAACTAAAGTGGCCAAGTCTATGTAAACTCGATACGGGCTTATGAGAGCTTCGATGGTGAGCGCAGTACGAGAATGAATGTACCGTGTGGCTTCGTTGATGCTCCGCCCTCTAGGCGATGGTGATTTTCGGAACATGAAAGGTGAAGACGACACCTAAGCCAGCACTCTTCTCACAACCACATTCATGTAATCATAGGCTGAGATGAAGTGTTCTGTCATTCGCCATGCGAACTGGTTTCCTCTCCCTCAGCTTCACCGATGGAGGCGGTACTACAGTCTCTGACATAATGTATTTGCTCAAGAAGTATACACTAATATGCTGCAGTGAATTATAGTACAGGGCACGATAGCTAGGCACCGTATCTGGTGAAATACTTTTCACCTCTTACTGCATGATAGCCGCGTCTCAACTTGACAGAAATGACCCTTCCATAAAGGTCTTGGTATGGCTACCTACCCCGACCGCCGTGCAATACCACATGCCCAAAAAAATCATAAGGAGCGAAGCACGCACCATCTACACACTACAAATACGTGAAAAGCCGCTTCGCCCAGTGATATTCACACCACCACACGACAAACTCCCAAAAAGACAACCACCCAAACCGCCCCACTTCACACCTCCTCCATCGCGCTCACTCAACGCGCCTCGCCTCACCCACGCAAAACCCATCCTCACACTCACCAGCCAGCAAACCATGGCCTCACCCGACAACAACGACCGCGAGGTACGCACCCCCCACCCCGCACCCGGCACCCCAACAAGCTAACAATCCCCAGCGCCTCAAATCCGCCCTCTGGTTCGCAGTCGGCCAAATCGTCGACGAGGAGTGCCTCCGGCGAAACCGCAACGCAACGCCCCAATTCATCGGCGCCCTAACAGAAATGGTCTGGACGCAAATCGGTAAAAAAAAACAACCCACCTCCACACTCACCTCAAGCAGAACACCTGACGCGGCCAGCAGAAAACGTAGCCATAGACCTGGAGAGCTTCGCCAACCACGCCTCCCGGCCCAACGTCACGACCGAAGACGTGCTCCTCCTGGCGCGCAAGAACCCCGACCTGCAGCAAATCATGGGCGAGTTCGTCGACGAGAGGAAGGGAATCAAGGAGGCTAAGATGGCTAGGAGCAAGGCCGGGGGCCGTCGTCGATGAGGGCCAACCAAGGGCCAACTACACCCTCTGTGCACCCACTACCTCTGCCACGGGCACTATACTACGGGCATTGTACTACGGGCGATTGAAGACGCATGGACAGAGCAACTTGAGCAGCAGAGCGCGGCACCTGGCGCCAGGATCTTGTCGGTATCGATCAGCGCGGCTGGGCCCTTGAAAGTTGACGCCTTGAGACGGATTGATGCCGGAATCCACCGTGGGGCGAGCATCCGGACCGCGTCGGCGCAGCGGGGCCCCTCGTTTGAGCTGGTATTTCAGTCTACACACATGTAATGTTTGCCGCCCGCCGCGGGAGGCATACTCGCGGAAACATACGTCACGCGCCAGAGCCACGAGTCTTGTCGTGGGCGGTGGGCTAAGTCGCCGATGCCGGATATGTGGTGCATTGTGGGTATGAGATTCCCCGTGGGGTGAGGCATCTACTACTGTCTTCGGGGTCGAGTGCTCCCAGTTAAACATGTCTATTTCTATGCTGTCAGACGCCTTGATGTCTATATTCGTGCCGTATAGTAGTCCGTTCCTGTCATGGCTGCCAAATATGGCACCTGTTGGTATATCATGCCGTCGTTCACGTCCCAGTTTGCCAATCCAAATAGTCAAAACGCCCGTGATGCTACCTTTGTCCCCAAGGCAAAAAAAAAAAAAAAAACACAAGCATTCGTGTGTATCAATATCAAGTGTCATCGCTGCAAGATCAAATTTGTATTCAACCCTTGTAAGACACACCATGTATTATATCCCGTTTCGTTCCGTGCTCTCCCGAACGTGCAGTCCCCGTCCCGAGCTCTCTGCAACCTCCTCGTACTTTTACCATTTCAGCGGCCAAAGTCCAGCTTGAAGCCGCTGTTTTCCGTCTGAAGCGAGGTGCATGACACCATCACTGCACTTTTGCCATGATATGTGAGCGATGTTTTCCATGGTCCGAAAGATTGTCGCCAACTTGTCGCATGGCCGGGGGATGGGATGTCTGTCCGTTATCGCCTGGCACGTGGGGAGAGCCTTGATGTCGCCTCGGCAGCTGTCTGTGTAAAGTCTCCAGGGTACACATCCGAGGGTTTCAATCGCCTCGTGAAATTCTTTCTCATTAAGCTCTTTATCAATAGGTAACTGATACCCGTCTCCCATGTCAAAAATAACCAAACGCTTGCGTATCTAGAACAAAAGAAACAAATAACGCCATTTTCATTCACCTAGACCTTGATGGTGGTCTTGTTTCCGTACTCTTGTACGTACTGGTCGAGAATGCCCAATGTGACGCCGGAGCCGCCGCACACGATGATGACAATGTTCTTCTGAGCCCATTCAGCATCAGTAAGACCACGTCCTAGGGTCTCCCGCAGATCTCCCTTGTATACGGTGGCGAGCGCAGCTCCACAAGATACTTCAACAAGGTGACGGGCGTCGTCGGCAAACCGGACGCAGCTGATGGCAGCGTCCGCGTCTGAGACGACCAGACTGTGAATGTTGGGATATTGACACCATTTCCACGTCTCAGCAGAGATACGTGAGCAGCCCAGCGACGTGGCAATGGATGTAATCTCTGGGAGAGTGATGTGGGCATTGGCCTTGATCGAGGCATTCATACTGTCGGCACCGAGAGTTTCAACACCGACAACTTCGGGCTTGGATCCGCACCAGGGGAAACTCTCGATGCCTTGCATGAGACCGTTGAACAAACCGCCACCACCCACACTGCAGACAATAGCATCAATGGGCTCGTCCATTTCCTCTCGTAGTTCGGGAATGATGGTCGAGGCGCCATCCCACACATGCGGATGGTCAAAAGGTGGGACGTAGACACCGTTGGGGTCCTTGGCGAGGAGTTCCGTCCGGAGGTACTCATCGGCGGCAGCCAAATTCTTGCCAGTTTGGTGGACTTCAACACCAAGGTCGAGAAGCTTATTCTTCATCATCTTCGACGTTGTCAATGGGATGACAATGGTGGCAGGCCGTTGCAGAGCAACGGCCGAGGTAGCACAGGCAAGACCAGCGTTGCCACCAGAGGAGCAGTAGAAGTGAACATCGCCGGCACTGTTGGCAACAGCACGGGTCATGAGGTTACCGATTCCGCGAGACTTGAAGGAGCCGCTGGGCTGAAGGTTGTCCAGCTTGAGGTAAATGTTGCTAGAGTTGCTAGTGTTAGCGAGGCCTCTCATGCTACTTTGGTCCCAAAGAGACTTATCATCGTCGTAGACCTACCATCCCGCAACACGACTAAGCTGAGGGCTCAAGACACAAGGCGTCTTGTTCCAAGGGAGTTTTGGCTCAGAACCGAGAGAACCCATGTTGTAGGATGAGACTCGGTGAGTGCTAGGAAGGATACTCTGTGTAAAACGGACGGGCCAGTTGATAGGATCCCGAAATGTTGAAGACAAGCCAAAGCTGGAATGACAACTACAAACCCAGAGGAAGCAACTTTCGTATCAGGCTCATAGAAACAAACGAGTCGTGGGAGACGGACTTGATATATGTTTTGACGGGGGGCGGGCTACCGCCCGTATACTTGCAAGCAGGTATCCGCCGGAAGCCGACTAGGGAGTGTGTCTGTGGTGTCCTCAAAGGTACACGGTGCCATGGTGGAGAAGATATGGATCATGGGAGGCAACGCCATTGTTGGACTAATCTATACACCTCTCAGCATGCCTTGTACGGAGTACTCTCGGGGTGTATGATTAAGATGAAATACCCGTTGACAGACACCCTGTACACGAGTGCGTTGTGTTCTTGTTCGTTTAATTTATCGCTTTGAACTGAAGCCGTACGTAACGAAGACAAGCATGGTTGTCCGTTATACGTGAGCGTGGCTAGCCAGGTGATGTTTAGTCGTGGCGACACAGGGGAAGAATTTTCCTTCTAGTCGCCCCTTCTCCCGGATTGGCGGTAGCACCGTCCTGTCTGTCTCGCGCAAGATTAGTACACAGCCTTGTTGGCCAGGTGCTCGCCGTTTTAGCCCTTGGTTTCTGGACCGTTACCAGGAAGAAAGGCCATTCTGCTTGCCCAAGCGTTTTCTTTCGTCGCACGCCCCGGCGTGATGGGGACCTCTAAACTCCGTTGGGAAAGTATGATGGCAGACCTTCGCCCCCATCTAACACACTGTGGACATTGGCGTGGGACGATCTCTAATGCTGAAAGAGTAGTTTCAACTGGTAGCCAAGAGATAAAATCCGGGTTGACGATAATGCTTGCTCCGGCGCATTTCGAGAAGTTGGTGAATTGGTTCGTGTCTGGGGACGAGGCGGGGGAGGCGCACGCCGTGGTGTGTGTCTCGCCGTTATCAGAGACACGGCCAGGATGTACATGCTATCTCGGGATGTGTACGGAGTAGAGCACGGAGTACAATGGAACTACCAAGGTAGTGGTGGGAGGACCTGCGACAGCAGTGTCTGGTTGCGATAAGAAGTCTGGTGGCTGTGACGATAAAATCACGGACAGTGGGTTTACGAGGTCCATGAAATGGGAGAGAAGAGAGCAAAACATGTGAGAGAAAGTCTCTCAAAAAAAAACAAAAGCACGCGCAGCACGAGTATGACATTAGCGACGAAACAGGCAAGAGCGGGGAGATGGACTTGCTGACCAAAACTGACGAGAACGGGCAGGAGCGTCTTGGCCGGGTCAGATGAGCAAGATTGCGAGATTCTCGCGACAGATTGGGCACCTTGATCTCGCATCTCTCATCTCATCGGCACCACGCACCCAACACCAAGCCTGGTACACGATGGATTAAGGGGCGAAGGAGCCGCATGACAGGGCGGGACAGCATCAATTGATCTCAGTGCTGTCTTGACGGTTCCTCGTACCTCGCGAGCTAGGGCGCACCGCGCTATCGTGGTCACCACCAAGACTGGACCCAGAGCCACGGAAGAGCGAATCCAAGGGCGTCACAGCACCGCGCGGTCCCAGCCGGACAATCGGAATGAAGCGCTTCGCAGCTACGGTTGCCGTCCACCAGGCTATCAGCAACGTGCCTGAGGGTGGGCGGCGCATCTGCATGCCCTGCCTGCACACCCCTGACATCTGGGCCCTCGTCATGGCCCCGTTTGGAAGCTTGTTGTGGCAGATTACGTTGTTATAGGGTAAAAAATAGATTCTATGGGGTAATCAAACCCAAGTTATAGGGTAAAAAGATCCCGATCTAAACACCAACGACCCACCGGTATCCGGGGACCGCAGGGGCATCGTGGAGCCCAGGGAAAGTATTTTTTTTTGTCGTTGCTCCCTGTTTGCTAATGCGACGTCAGATAAATATCTACCTACCAAGGACAGACAGTTTACAGAATGTTGAGGGCTTTTGGATTAATTTACGTGGCTTTCCATCAGATCGTCATACAGATTTAGCCGCTTGTCATCCCCGTGGACGGAGGAGAAAACATACGCCGCCACTCTCTCATGGACGGAGATGGTTCGGTGTTTGGCGGTACTATTGATTCCACGCTCCAACCACCCCCCTCCGGTTTGAGTCAGAACAGCCAAATCCCCAAGCTGCCACATGCAAACTACAACAACACGGCGCTTGCATATGCAATCTTTGCTCTTGCTTCCCAGTGAAACAAGCTTGCTGCTCGCGGCATATTGACACAACTTCTTACTCTTAATAGTCGTGAGAAGCATCGGATATGAATCATTCCAAAGCTTAAGTCTTATCAGATATCCACAGGAAACCTGGGCAATGGAGAGATAACAAGTCCTCACCGAGCTGACCGCAAGATAAGCTGGTCTTACCGTCCATTCCACTGCCACTATTGGACGCACCTGTAACGACCGTGCCGGATGCAACAAAGTCAGGTCTATTGACGAAACAGTCATTTCCAATATGCGATGCTTGTAATGCGGTCCGAGTATCGGATATGAATTGTGACAACATTGAATACAGTACCAGACTTGATGCCAGACTGCCCGTCGCAGCCCGTCGACCCCCCGCAGTAGTGCGTTCCCCGGATTGCAGTTCTCCAAATTGACATCGGCCTAGGTGGCGCGGCATCTGATTTCAGCAACCTTAACCCAATGTCAGATGTATGAAATGCCGAAGAAGTCCGTGGCACACTGCCAAAGCACGAGGTCCGTAGAATTGCGATTTTATTCCGAATCTATGTATATCTGAAGCCACATTGCCACGGTCTGAGCGTCTTGGTGTCTTCACACAGTGCGGTCATGTGGACAGTGCAAAGAAACAACGTATCAGCTTGGCTTTGCTTAATTAAATTGGCATGCGAGGATTTGGCCTGCAAGCCCCTTGTCACCGACTTTTAATATGATGAGCTGGTGAGGCGCGTCCATGACGGGCGTTTGGCAGTAGGTGTTGAGCCTTGACAGGGTGTGCCAACACCAAGGCAAGCGGGCCTTGCACAGGCTTCCACTACCAACCACGCGCGATCTCCAAGGCGCGACATCGATGGTACCATATTTCGTCGAATAGTAAGCATATAAATTATTTCTAGCCAGAAGGTGCAGAATCAGTGACGAGTTAAGGATTGAACCTCGCAGTAGTAACTTGCTGGTGCTCACTCTTCGGCATACAATCCAACCCCTGTACGTTTAGCGAGCAGTGACTTCAAATGACAGAGCTGACAGGGGATACAGGTCCAGCAAGGCAAGGAAATAAATTGATAGTATATAAAGTGGAGTAAAAGGTATTAAAAACCATGTATTTTTTATAAAAGTAATAATACTTTTTACTAGGGTTAACATCTCTCATATTCTTGTATCGCTTCAACAGGATTAAGGTTCAAATGTTATGGGGTGCAAGACCCTGATGCCAACGAGTTGTCCCAGGGGTAGGCAAAGCGTCGACGGTCGAGTACGTCTGGATGACCACCGAGGTAGACCACCAGTCGACCGGACCTTTAGATTACACCCTCCGGTGGCCGCCTGCGGTGAGCTCTGGCCGGCTTTAACAATTGATCATTTACGAGGTCCAGCACTGAGTCGTGATACTGCACACACGACGTTTGCGATGCTGTGTACATGAGATTCGCGATGCTGCACAGGTGAGTGGCGTAAGCCATATTTTCCCAGCCATTAACCAGTTGCCAAATATACTGTATAGGAGAGGCCTATATCATATTAAAGATGCAAAGCAGGAAGTTGCACACGTGAATTGTTCGGCGGGCTTACCGACTCTTTTTGCTAGGTGCGCACACATCCCACCTAGTATCCGGTTATTAGGTATTAGTATATTATAATATATTATAATATATTAGTTTATATTAGTTTATATTATAAGGGGAGTTTACGTACTAGTCAGTAATAGGGCGATACGCGCATCTAGCAAAAGGAGTAAGCTTGCCGAGCATTTCGCCTGCACACAGCTCATTGCTTGCCAATGCCGTTTCACTGTACGCGGCCACTGATTTTCACAAGGCTCTTTTTTTTCTCTAATATTGATTCATTAAAAGAAATACACGGGGCACCTTGACAGCTGTTAGCGTATAACCACACAGCTGGCACTATATAGCTGGCATTACACAGCTGGCACCATGCAGCTGGCACCATGCAGCTGGTCCCACACGCTGATGTCATAAATACTCAGACCCTGAATTGAACTCTTCCTCTTCCTTTCTCCCTTCCCACACTCTCTTTCAAGCTGCCCTGCATCTAACCACACCTACTAGTCACGATGGCTTCAATAGCCCTTCAACCTAACCCTTGCGAGGCAACCCTCGAAGCAAGGCTCATACAGCACCTGTCATTAGAGCAGCCCGCGACCATGTCAACACCGAACGATACCATCAGACCCTGCGACACATCGGCAAACATGGAAAAAGACACGCAAAGACGCCGATCAAGACGCAAAGGAAAAAAGAAGGCAAAACGTACTAGAACTGCTGAGCCAGGCGATCCTGGTAAAGGCAAACCTATAAATTGGGAGCACCTGTTGCGAAAGCATGCGCGAGATGACATTTAGAAAATGTCGCCTCGTCGGCGACTGAAGCAACCCACAGGCAGAGCCCCCAGTCCTAAGATTCCGGACCCTTTAGACGACGGCGCCTGCTTCCACGAAGAGATGAGCACTGGTTCTGAGCACGAAGTCGACGAGCCCATGAGCACGGAGTCTGTCCACGAGGAGACGGGAGCTGGAAATCCCGGAGCACTAGACACCGAATCTAATTTGCAGCATCCGCGACGCAGGGAAAAACCGTGTCTATCGAATATGCCTCTCGAAATCAGGCTTGCGATATATAAATACATTCTCGTGACGAACTGCCCTATTCGAGTTCATTCGGGCTGGAGATTTGTTTTTAAAAGACAGTCTCTGGGAATCCCGACAGGGATCTTGCGCACATGTTCGCAAATATATAAGGAAGCGATCGGCGTGTTGTACGGCGGCAACAAGTTTCTGTACGTGCTGCGAGATCACGTCGCAAGGGTCACCGACGTTGACCGACTGGCGCAAATCGACGACCCCGACGCACCGTTCCCAATCAACGGGGACATAGATGAGGACTACGACGTAGAAGATGAAAACGATCCCGACTGGCGGGAGGAGACCAGTGGCCAAAATGGACTGCCGAGACGAAGTTCGAGGCGTCGAGGCGCCAGAACAGTACAGAGAGACATCAATATTGATAAGTATTCCTGCCTCTTTCAGAATATAATTGTTGAAGCGGAACAAAACCGCTCCTTCGAAAGGTCCAAGAAGCTCATGGCGAATGCACTGAACCTCTTCAAATACGACGACCGAGCCAACCGCCACCGCGTTTTTAACATACATACTTTGACAGTTAGGGTGACGCCAAAGTGGGAGCCTCCAAAGGAAGACAACGGCAGCGGACACTACACCTTTGTAGACTTTTTCAACAGAGGGTCGCCCGTTATGGAGGCAGTTTGGCGCATTCATTGCCAGTTTCTACTTGTGGACGTTATGGGTTGCAGCGGAGACGGGGGTATTTATCTCGGACGCCAGTTCAAAATAGACATGAGGCATTTGCGACTAGATAATGAGGCGAAGCGCACGAATATAGATGCATGGAGGAACGACAAGGTAATTCAGAGACAACGGATGGCATTTGCGCGCAGGACGTTCAAGGCATTGGCCACACTGGACAGGCACGTTGCTGCGACTTGTGAAGAGCATCTGGAGCAAACCTTGCCTGGGGATGACTGGGATGAATGGGCTGGTGTGGTATGAGTCGATGAGTGAGGCGATTAAGGGGCTGGACCCGGGAGTGGACGAAAATATGGCATTGCTACTAGCACGATCAATAGCTAACCAGAAACGGCGGCGAGCGTGATGGAGGGCGATGCGCTTCAGTAATTAGCACGTACATCGGAACAAATGTTAGCTCATGGCTCATTATGCATTTTTTTACACCTTCTTTCTTTCCATACATGGTAGAAACTGTGAAGATGTTTCATCGCCTGGGTATTTCATGCCGCTTTTGCAGTGTATCCCTCATGAAGTAGACCTTTGTTTCTCAAAACTGACCAACGAGACTTCTAGCGTTTCCATATCAACTAGTACCAGCTCCTTTGTTTCCGCAAATGAAGGGACAGTAATCAGCCTCACTGACTGACCATGCGGGCCGCTAATGGTTCTTGTTGAAAACTCAGGCTGACAGCCTACAAAGTACAAGTGCGGACACGTCTTCATGACAAACGGGTCATCTTCTTGGAACGGATAGCTCCCTATCTCTCGTCAGTTTGACAGTTCACCTTTTGCACGCGAGAAAAGAGGCTACTTACACAATGTATCGGGCGCGGTGGGCGCGCAACACCGCCACCTGCACATGGCTTCCATCATGCCCAGTCTGTCGTCGCTGTCGACGTACTTGAACACGTCGTCCACATTCTGGCCGCCGGTGCCTAGGACCCTCCATCCTTCGAGCTCGCCTTCCCAGGGGTTTGTGACGGCGTCAAACCACCCCGGTTCTTTGGGCTTTGTTGGCTCAGGCCCGTATGCTCTCGCACGGGGAAACATGGCCATGTGGATGGGTTGCTGGGGGTAGCTTGCGTTGGCGGGATCCTGAGCTCCGGGGAGGAGGGTGATTGGTATCGAGGGCAGCAATGCATCGGCGAATTCGTCAAAGAGCTGTGCTGGGAGGGCGTTGTAGGAACTCGCGTCGTATCCGTACTTTTTGTGTCCCTTCTTGAGGGTCTCTTCCTCCTTGCGCTCGGCGGTAGTGGAGATGGAGTTTCCGGCGATGATGAGCCGGCTTATGCTCGCGACTTCTTCTTGGTCAGACGATGTGAGTGCTAGGCCGAGGAGGTATTCTTGCAGGAGGTTGAGTTCAACAGCGTGAGAGGCGTCGGTGCTGGAGAATGAGAGGCCGGACACGATGGCGATCTTTTTGCTGGGCGTTGACTGTGAGGCGTCTGTCATTTCAACGTCTTCGTCTTCCTCCTTGATGATTTGTCTTCTTTTCCCGTGGCCGTTGGTCGAAGAGGATGGTTTGGAGAGAGCCCATCGCTCGGGCTGGTCGGGGAGGTCGGGGAATTTGGTATCAATGACTTCGAATTCGCCGCTGCTGTTTTCGGTGCCCATAACGGCGATGATGCAGCCTGTCACGAGGGGGACAGATTGTAGGAGATCGCCCACGAGGCGGATGCGGCCGGAGTCGTCTTCGAGCATGATTTGGTCGGAGCCATCGGGGGAGAAGTAGGTTTGCTGGGTGGGTATGGGGGCGGAAATCCATCGCTGAGATTGTCAGTCAACTATATAACGTGAAGATGCGGTGTCGTTTGTAGGCATTGCGGTGGTTTCGGAGCATGGGACACATTGAGCTTACGTCTTTGGATACATCCTCTAAGATATTGGGCTTAAGCGACATTTCCATGTACACTGTTCCCGCTACCCAGCACAATTCTCCCTGGCGAACATCGAGCACCCGTTCTACTCTTTTCACCTCTTCGCCACCAATCATGGTGCCCTCCCATGCGGCCGATGCCACCTCCTCCACGGCAGGCTTGATCTTGGTAAGACGCAAAAAGTACATGTCGCCATATTGCTGTTTGTACGAGCGTTGCTTGTCGAGGTCAAATGCATGCAAGGGATTGTACGAGTCGGCCACCCGGCTGGGCGTGGGGGTTGCGGCGTCCCTGGGAGGCAAGTTAGCATGCAGGTTGACAATTGCATCAGAAATGGAACTTACGACGTCGTTTTGGGGATGAGGTGCGATACTTCCTCGAGTGTGACCATGCTGGGCTGGTGCTGGGCTGCGGTGATGCAGCTATGGCAATGGACCGAGAGCTTTTTGGGTGAGACGCGTCGACAGTTGTGCCAATTGACAGAGGCGCGTTTCTAATCTGCGGGCACTTAAAGTGGTGGGGCGGCTCCAGATGTGCATTCAGTTATGAATCTTTGCACAAATTTATGCCGTCTAGAGTCGGCGGGCGCCGTGCCTCGGCCTCAATTCCTTCATGGACGAATTCAGTCCAGGCCAGTCTCGCGCTCAATTTAATCTAATCGTCGGAATTGCTGCATTTAACGCAAAATACTGGCACCTGATCCTGCAGAAGAAAAATTGAGCATGATGACAGTATGCTATCTGGGGACTCCAAACAGGGCGGAACAACGAGAGATTAACCACAATCGTTCGAGAACGCGGCAACAACGATATACAAACTGGCATATTCCGGTCCTCTGATCATATGGCGAGCATTCTCCGGCACTTGGATCCGGCCCAGAACCAATACTCTCGACTCTAGGAACACGGGGTATGACTCATCTGTCCTTGCTCAATCACGATGGCACCCGGGAGGCAGTCAACACAATCCCGGTCTTTCAACACACTAAAATCCCCGAATTCTCGATCGCCTCCGTATCCGTTGTATGTATTCTTCTTACTGATGGTTTTGGGCATTGAGGGTCGATAGGAAAAGTCCATTCTTCATCTGGCTTCCCGACATGCTCAATCCCCAGAGTACCACAATGACCGTCACGCCATCACCATGGACATCGCCGTCCCCAAACGCTGTCGGGCGCATATTAATACAGCTTGCTCTCCCGATCCTGGACGCTCTCGGCAACAGTGATCTTCAAACAGCCCGCCGCCTGTCAAACTTGCCACTCACGCCCTACATCGCCACCGAATGCGCAAGAGTATGGAAAATGCGCGCCGTTCAAATTCGTGGAGACCCCGAAGACGCAGCTTGGGTCACACGTCTGCTCATAACCTCTGATGGAACTGTCGTCGGCCGTGCCGGGTTTCATGGCAGACCAGATGCCACTGGCATGGTAGAAGTAGGATACTCGATCGACCCACAGCATCGAAGGCAAGGGCACGCTCGTGCTGCGCTTGCCATCATGATTGAGATGGCTAGAAATGACCCCAGTGTGAGAACTCTAAGGGCGACGGTGGCACCGGACAACGTGGCGAGCAGAACGTTGATTGAGAGCTTTGGGCTTAAAGAGGTTGGAGAACAGTGGGATGAGGAGGATGGGCTGGAGATCATTTTTGAGGTTGGCTGTGACGTGGCTCCTGAGGAGGGCAGGCTAATATGAGGCGACTTTTTCTCTGCCCAAGGGGAGAGTGGCGAGTGGCCTGAACATCATCATCAAGACGAACCTCGTCCTGGTTGCACAGGGTCCTGAATATGGCACCGCGACGCCAGAGGTCAAGTGCGATACCAGACTCTGAAACAGGCCCTGCGTCAATGACGAAGATTGCATTGCAGCCAATCATGGCATGGTGTACAGTATGTGGAATGTAGATGACAGTCTAGTCGTGGAAAATTATCGCCATAGTGCGCTGTATCGTTTCCATACCCATGGATCAAGTGGCCTCGTCACGGAATTTGAGCGGACTGCGGGAAGGCTCCTCAGAACTCCAACTGATGGAAGCGAATTCATAACTAATTGAGTGGACTGGAAAGCGCACCACCCACGGAAGACGTTACGACTATTTGAACATGTTTCATGGGGGATGGATGAAAGGGAGACTAGCCGCAAAACATTCATACAGATATGGCCGAACAACCTGCTTTTCTGTGTGGAAGAAAGACGATTCAATTCACCAGGTGAGAGCGAATATCACAAAGACGATGTGTATAGGTGCATAGGGTTGTATTCGTACGTAGTTGCAGAGTTGTAACTATCGTTGCTGTTCTTGTCGAGCCACAGTCAACGATTGGCAGCGACTAACTGAATGCCTCTTGTCCCCGTTGCTTCCACTTGGCAGATCACTTCTTGGTGCCCGAACTTGCACCCGAACCCGAGTTGTTTCCTCCATGACCAGAATTGTTCGCCTGATTCGCGTGCTGATCACCAGCGGACTGGGCTCTGGCGGCAAAGCCAGAAGAGGACATGTCGCCGCCACTTTTGGCCTGCGTATGGCTTTGTTAGAGAACACTTTGCAATGATATGTATAAAGGGCATATACCTGGGAGGATTGAATCCTCGAGGAGTCGGATTTAGTCATTGGATTAGGCATTTTTAGTAGTGAAGTTTTTGATCGTTTGTTGAGAAAAGTAGTTGTTGATTTGCTTGTGCAGACGGTGATGCTGTTGAGTGATGCTAACTTGTGTTGTCCAATCAAGAAAGCTGGTCAATGTGTGGAATTATATAGAAAATCTTGATCCCTGAAGAGTCAACTGGCTTTGCAGAGTCATTGCTTTTGATGTGGTATTGAGGCAAACAATGCCTCAGTGTTGCGTGACGTCGGCGAAGGCTGGTTGCCGGTGGCGGAGACAACCTGTAGCCAGCCGCGAATCTCTTGACGCCCTTAGCCGATGTTGTGCAACGGATGCCCTCCTATTCTCCGAAAACGCCATTGTCTGAGTACTAGCGCGGAATAAATCCCCGAAAGTTGGACAGGAACTCGTTTGTGGCCACTGTTTTATGGAGTCTTTGCGTTTGACTCAAACGGTCACGCGAAACGACTTCATCCAGAAGATCATCTCGGTTTGAGAATGACTTGTGGCACCGTTTTCACTGCACTTGGCCGTCTTGTTTCATAACCAGGACGTGGCTGTCCAAATATAGGTTGATTGCCGCCCCGAACTTCATCGGACGCATGTCAGTTTGGCAGTTGTTTGCCGATGCAAGATGCGATGTTCGTTTTCTTTTCAGGTAGCATCAGCTTCGTTGCAACATAAACTTGGTGAGTCACGACGGGACTGCCCGTGCTTGCGTGTTTGACATGCATCACCAGGGTCGGGTATGTGCGTGGATTGTGACAGTCTGAAATAGAACACTAACCACGACGGACCTAGAGTCCTTTTTTGAAAGTAGTCTTGCCTTGTCCTTAATACCGCCCTATTGTAGCCAAGTCCTAGCTGTCAAAATGACTGCCTCAAAGAATGTTGACTACGAAGTCGATCTTTGACGAATTCCAGGACCATCGGTGGCATCGAAGAACGTTTTGACGTTGAGCATGACAACTCGCCCGTGCCAGATGCCTGTGCCAATCGATGTTACCAATGTTGATGATCCGTCTATGCCTGTCCACATGCTAAGCATTGTCGTTATTATTGGGGACACCGGTGACCGGAATCAACCGGTTCTTTCCCATGAGACATTTCAGCGCGACTGTCTCGTTTCTCGTGGCACAACTTGCTACTTTTCCCGTATGATGTACTGTCGTGCATATGCTTTTCATCATGAGGTTCCGGGTCTTTGGAAGAGAGATCACCTTGAATACAAATATCAAGGAACATCTTGATTGACTCAAATAGTCGTCTTGGTCACCACCAGGACTTGACCACCCGAGTAACAAGCCGCAGACCTTGGAAATTTGTCCTGAAATCAGCCTAGAGGACGTGGAATCAATGCAAGTAGTCGAAAAATAAAAGCTGGTACGTATCACAATGTTTATTAAGCGTTGCAAGAGCCGCGCGACCGCCTTCCGTTAGCTAGAGCCTCGGACCGGCAGAAGGTGCTTCCGAAGACCTGCTCACAAAGGCTCGAACTGAGCAACCCCCAAAACGCTCAGATCTACTCCGTAGCATTTCTTCAACAGGCTCGAATTTATCGGCGGCAGCGGCTTGAGATGCCTAAATCCAAAAGGCTCGAATCCAATAACTTCAACGCGGCTGAATTCATCGGCAGCGGTAGCAGCTTGAAGGGCTCGAATCAACAGTCTCAACAGGCTCGAATTCAGCAGCTTTGGTTGCGCCCATGGCAAATGATCATATGGTCATCGGTCCTACATATCCAGTAGGAAGTGGGAAGTTAAATTTTGAGCCAACCCACAAGCGAGTTGTCTCGGCTGAATGGGTTTCCGAGTCTCGAACTTCATCGCGAAATGCGGGTGAGCTGAGGTGTGGTGGCACCGAACAGCTCGAATATCAATCGCCTGCCGCCTTGACCGAAAATACCAGACAGTTTCATTGGCACGCAAAAGTTCCTAAGCTACAGCCTCATTACTCTCAAGTTGGGCACACTTCTTCAATAACTGTACGACGTTGGGCATATTGCGACGTGCCAACTCTCGTAGACTCCCACATGGTGGCTTGGTCTTTGTCGAATAGGGTCAGAGATTATCATCGCCGATGACAGCGACAATATTGATCAGCAATTTAATGGGTAGCACGGCGCGGTCGGATATGAGCTGAGAGCTCGGATATGAGCTGGCTAGGTTGTTCTCCTGGCAGGGCATGGCACCAGACACTTTTCGCGCCATACTCTTACTGACCTCAGTAGCTGCTCTGACAAGTTTGTCTCCAGCCACTTTCTTGAGTTCACTGCGATAGAAACCGTATCCAACATCCTGTAAGCTTGAAACCAAGACACTTGAGTTCGTATGCCATCTTTCGCTGCGGCTTGACCCGATTTGAGCAATATTTCTTTCTTCAAACAGGATGCCGGCCGCCTGGAAGCTTGCCCTAGCAGTTGTAATAACGCTTGCAGCGACAAGCGCTGCTGATTCTGGGGATGACTTCTCTAATAATTTGTTTTCCGACCTAGCGCCGTACGTATCAGTCTGCTTTATCTTATTTTGCTAACGATATGCTAACAATTTATTACGCTCAGACTGCTAGCTCTTTTCGGAGAACGGGTCACTATGCAATTCATGAGCCAGTCGACTGGTTGGGCTGATAGTATTATTTTGGCAATGGCTCCGTTAGGGATCATTACTATTATTGCTAGTGCCATTAGAGTCGGTGGTCCTTCATGGCTCAAAGCTATTATTGGAAGAGCGAGGGAGAACCTTGCGGTTGCTGAAGCGGAATTAATGTCATCTACTTCTCATGAGGTCTGTGAGCTGTGGAATGGCCGAGAGGTGGTGAGATGCATGGGATCACCGTCGACGGCCGAATTCATATGCCTAAGACCTGCGAACATGAAGTGCACTGAAAATGGTGCTAATCAGGTTCCGGATATACTCGAACTGAAGGAGGCACTCGATAAACAGTATCTGAAGGAGCTACGTGAGTGAAATTTCTCGCCCAGAATGCACCCTGACTTACCTTTCTTCTAGCATCGAATGACGGGGCCAGTTTCTGGGAGACTATATTGGATAGTATCGGTCGCAACCGCGAGTCGGCCAGCGCGAAGGTAGAGAGAGGGGCAAATTCACAGACATCCGTTACCATACCGGTTCCTAAGCTTACCATTGTTCGGAATCAAGTTATTGATGCGCCAAATATCTCTCTTAATTCCCATGGCTACCTTAGCCGTAGAGAATTACGCGCCGTGGCCGTCTTTGGAACGATCCTTCAGCTAGGTGTCCTGACCTATTTTGGGTTTGCCACCTACCATCCGGCGCTAAAGTTTACCAAGGGCGACGATGCAGTTGCAAATTATGCGTTTCCTTGCACTGCTACTGGCACGATTACATTGGTAGCTGGCCTACTACTGTGTGCACATGTTGTGGAGAGCAGCACCGAAGAGAAAAGATATCAGCCGTCCAAAGAGACAAAAGCTCGGTTGGTATGGCTACAACAGGCCCAAACTGTTGGCGACCAGTCTTTCCAGTCTTTTGCATTATCGGCTGGGGACAATCAGACTATCATTACAACGTCCTGCCGGGTGAACAAAAAAAGCCAAGGTATTCATTTGGAGCTGAAAACTATTATTGGCACCGCGGTCAGCCTCTGCGGGTTTGTGGTGCAATTTATCGGCTTGCGTGGAATGCATTGGTCCGCCTCAGTTGCTCAACTCGGAGCAGTCATCGCGATGGCTGCTCTTAGGGCGTGGGTTCGTCGTGGACTCGCACAGCCTCTTCAACGGGTCCGTCTGACCCCAGAACACGAGCTTGAATGGTTCGCGATGGCATTAGGAGATTTTGATGGAATACCCTGGCAACCTGATAGAAGTCCTAAGGAATACAGAGAACAAGGACAGACGGCCCGAGCAGGTGTCAACACGATGAAGAATAGCGGAGGCAACCCAACAACGCATAATATGATGGTAACGCGGAGAACACTTTGTGAGCTCGCTGGCTGGCAGGGGCCAGCATCCGCAGAGGCCTTGACCCTTGCAAGGGCGATCAAGATCACAATGGATGCTCTATCTAGTTATCTTCATCCTGAAAGTGACTTCACCTGGTCCCTTGGAGCCCTTTCAGCAGGGCACGAGGACAAGCCACCCAAGTTTTGTTGGACGCGAGACGTAACCGTAGACACAATTCGGAAGGACATCGAAGCAGTGCTATCTTTACGGTTATATTACGTCTACTCGCAAAAGCGACAATATGAAGATCAGCCAAAATCTGCCCAAACACAGCGTCGCAAGTATAATGCCCGGTTGCACGTTACAGAGATGCCTGCAGAGCGAGGTTTGCGCCTTCTAGGTCCAGGGACGCGGGCCCTTCGGCGGGATCTCGCATGGTGGATGCCTCCTGATACAGCAAGAATCTTGGAAATTAAAGAAGATGAGAACGGTACGATGAAGGTTGAAAACCATAGAATTGTTGGCTATGGTGGGCAGCAGAGTATTCGTGTAGCTCGGTACGATGGCACGGAAGCCAGCCTTAGCCCGGACGATACATATCATTGCGAAATTGAAGAGAGCACGCTCTTGGCGTCGGAGTCGTATGACTCCTTAGAGCTACTCTACGCGCAAGACATGTTCACGAAATTCATGCAATCTGTGGCAGAGAAAATGGCGCGCGCCATCGAGGGCGGTTCTAACGTGCGACCTAAAGACTCTAGCAACATGGTTGCCTGGAAATGCTTCACACTTCATCACGATCGGCTGTCAAAAATGGCTCAGGACATCCATAATTGTGGACTTGGCAATATTCATCAGACCTATCTAAGCATTATTCAACCCCTAAGCACCGAACAGAAGCTTCCCGAACCCGATAACGTTATTGCACTGGCGCGGAAACATGCCAAGCCACACGAACGACTCCAGGATTTTGCAGAGGCTAGCAACATATATTTGTGGCTCTTTAGAACGGCAAATACATTTCCAAGGAAGAGTAGCATCTTTGTAAAAGCTACAGCCATATTAATGGAGAATGTAAGGATGGTCACCCTCACTTCTAAATTAAGGGAGGCCCAATGTTACCCGGAAACGAAAATCTGGCAGATTAGAGCGGCTAAGTCGAACATGGAAAATGAGTTGAAAAGAGTTGATCGGACAATACTATCAGGCCTCATGAGCTTGTACAAAAAACAGAGTCGCCAATGGGAATGCGATATTTTACAGGATGCTGAGCCTACGATAGAGGGACACACCAGTCACCCAGGAACGTTCAATTGCACGCCGTTACATCAAATATGTCAGGAGGATAGAGATCATTTTTTAAGTCGGGAGTTGGCAGTTCGATACCTAGATCGAAAAGACATTCACGGGTGTACGCCCCTCCATTACGCTGCAGTCAAAGGTTCTTTGGATGATACCACCTTTTTGTTGGATTTTTATCCGGATGTTGATGCGCGAGATCTCCTCGACTGGACCCCATTACACTACGCCTGTAATGCTTGTAGTCATTCCGGAGTTGTGCAGTATCTCCTTGACAAGGGGCGACCACAAGTGAACGCCCAAGGCATAGATGGAGTAGCTCCGCTGCATTTGGCCGCTATGAATGGAAATATTGAAACGGTGCAAATACTAATTCGGGCCGGAGCAGCTCTTGATATCCAGGACGCCTCAGGAGCTACGGCGCTACACTGGGCCGCATTCAAGGGCCACGAAGCCATGGTCGAATATCTGTACGAAGACTCGAATAAAAAGCTGCGAGATAAAAACAGCCGGACTGCCTTGCACCTGGCAGCAATAGCGGGAAAGGAGAATGTAGTACGCTTGCTGGTTCCATGTTCCGACAAGCAGACCAATGCCGACATGGACACCTTTGACAGCGGTGGATATAAGCCGCTACACTACGCCGCCATGCGTGGGCACGAGGCCATCATGCGCTATCTCGTAAATGTGGCGCCTTTTAATAGGGAGCAGGCCACGAACTACCATGGCGAAACGCCGCTACATTTAGCCGCTCGCCGAGGGCACGAGGCCATCGTGCGCTATCTTGTTGGCGAGACGGGCGCTAATAAGGAGGCCAAAAATAAGCAAGGCTTTACGCCGCTACATGCAGCCGCTGCATATGGCAATGAGGCCGTCGTGCGCTATCTCGTTGGCGAGACGGGCGCTAATAAGGAGGCCAGAAATAAGCAAGACTCCACGCCGCTGCATATAGCCGCTGCATATGGCAATGAGGCCGTCGTGCGCTATCTTGTTAGCGAGACGGGCGCTAATAAGGAGGCCAGAAATAAGCAAGACTCCACGCCGCTGCATATAGCCGCTGTATATGGCAATGAGGCCGTCGTGCGCTATCTTGTTAGCGAGACGGGCGCTAATAAGGAGGCTAAAAATAACATCTTTAATCGTACGCCGCTACATCTAGCTGCTGCATATGGCAATGAGGCCGTCGTGCGCTATCTCGTTGGTGAGGCAGGCGCTAATAAGGAGGCTAGAGATGGTAGTAATAGTACGCCGCTACATAACGCCATTTTTGAAGAGAACGAAGCCCCCTCGATGTATTTGGCTGGTGAGGCGGGTGTTGATATAGAGGCTAAAGACCATAAACAACAAACCCCGCTATTCTGGGCCGCTCTTGAAGACAATGAAGCCATCGTGCGCTATCCCGTCCATGAGGCGGGTGCTGATCTAGAGGCTAAGGACTTTAAACAACGACCGCCGCTACGCAGGGCCGCTAAATGGAGCAATGAGGCCATCGTGCGGTATTTTATCGAGGCGGGTGCTGATCTAGAGGCTAAGGACTTTAAACAACGAACGCCGCTACATAAAGCCGCTTATCAAGGGCTTCAAGCCTGTGTGCGGTATCTTGTTGGCGAGGCAGGCGCTAATAAGGAGGCTAGGGACCGTTTTAACAGAACACCAGCACAGGTTGCCGCTGCCTGCGGCTTTAAGTCTGTTGTGAGAATACTCGAACAAGATGAAAAAGCAATAAGAGGAGCAAATTGAAGTCATGGACGCAACTACAGAAATTGATTCTTGCTGAGATGGACAAGTACCCCAGCCACTTGGAAGCAAAAAGTGTCTTGTCGACTTCGAGATTTGTCCTGGTGAGGGGCAGTTTCTTGCTATTCTAAGACGACCTCACTCGGCGCACCTTGTTGGATAATGTGGACATGACCACGGTTGACCAGGAAGGTTTCTGCGTTGGGGAGGAGGCAGAGGTGGGCATAAAAACGCATTTGTGCTGTTCACTGGGATCAAGAGCTTGCGTGGATGGAACAGATTGTTCTTGAGATGGTTGAATGGTGTGGTACAAAGTTGCCTAGAGTATGATGACTGAGTCTTTATTCAAGGGCTAATGTTATGTATACGACTTGATGTATGGCTAAGGTGTGAAGTATTCACGATTTCAGGCAAGACCATGTCGCATACTCAACGACAAAACCCGGCCACCTACAGAACATCAGCGAGCCAGTCTTTCAATCGCCGACCCTGCTCCGTCTCCTTCCTATCCCCGACAAAGATATTATAAACAGGAGCCACGTGGGCTTCCCGCCTACCAATAAACAACTCAATAGCAGGAAAAGTCGGCTAAACCATTAGTCACGACACGTTCAAACTCGCAACACAAGACACGACCGACTCACCTTGACCTTTTCCACAAAAGCCTCTATAATCGGCCTCAGCACCTCGTTCCCGCCCCCCAGGACCAGAATCTTCTTCACAGGCAGCGACTCGAACCAGCTCGGCGGCGCATCATACGGGTCCGTGTAGTAATCCCGCTTCGCACCACCAAGATACAAGTGCAGCCACCGAATCGCCACGTCCGGCACCAAAACGTCGCCGCCGCAGTACACGTCCCGCCCCTCGGCGACCTTCTCATCCATCGACGCAGGCGGCGCCATGAGGACCGTCCCGGCCAGCGGCTCGCGTAGCTTCAACTCCTGAATCGCCGGGTGCGGGTGCGCCAGGTGCGAAAGCACGCCCATCCCCAGACTGGCGCCGGCCGAATCCCCCCCGAGCAGAATAGACCCGGGCCGGCGCCCCTGGGACACAATGTACCGCAGCGCCTCGACAGCCTGGGTCAGCTGCGTCGGGTACCTCGCGTGCGGCGAGAGCGTGTACGACAGCGCAAAGACGGCCAGGTCCTTGTCCCTGGTGCGCGCGGACACGACTAGCTTCTCCCAGAACTCGAAAAAGGCCGTGTTGGCGGGCATGCCGAACCCGCCCCCTGGTGTACATGTGTGCATTAGACAACAGAAGGCTTCACTGACAAGCTTGCAACGTACCGTGGTACCAAATCAGCACGTTTTTGGCATGTTTATCCCCCACCCAGTGTCCCTTTGCGCCGTGGCCCAAAGACACCGTCTGGGGCTTGAATCCCGCAGCCCGCGCGTACTGTTCGTATACTTGCTCGGTGGACGGGAGTGCCCACTGCAGCTGAGCCAGGGAGTATCGCTCTGCGCTTTTGCGAAGGATCGCATACGCCACGTGGAGGCGGTACGTGGGCGCGTCTCTTTGCGTTCGCCAGAGACCCGTGATGGCGGCTACGAGGCCGGCTGCGAGGAGGGAGAGCACGCCGGGGATGAGGTCTAGCTTGCCGGCGAGGGAGAGTGGTTCTAGTGCTGTCGGCGACATGTTGATTTGCCCTTGCTTCTGGATGTTGCCGAGCCCGAAATGACGATGGCTCCGAAGGGGCGGAGGAGCAGATGCTGCTGTTTTTATATCATTTTGAAGTTAATGAGATTGGATGGCTTGTTCGGTGGTCGTTTACTCCCGAGCGGCGGCTAGTATAGATTCTGGCCGTCGGACACGGAGGTACGAAGCGGATGGGTTAGGGTATTATTCCCCAGATTTGTCGCCGGTTAGAGCAGCCGCGTGCCACCGACATGAATTACTCGGCGGGCTTACTCTTTTTGCTAGGTGCGCTTATCCACTACCAGGTACTTAAACATTAGGTTATATTTTATTATAAATAAATATATTTTATTATAAATACTTACCTACTAAGAGAGGTAAGCACACCTAGCGAAAAGAGTAAGCCCGCCGAGAAATTCACCCACCGACGGCCGGTAGTCGAGAAACGGAGCCGGGGGAATAACGCGACCGGGCCGGAGCCGAGGCATCGACTCTAGGTGGTTGACGGTTAGTCCAGGACTCCAGTATTGGTGAGGGGAGATTTGCCAGAAATAAGACGGCGACTCAAAAGAGTTAGGCGGCCTCTGCCTGTAATAGTACGCTAATATGTTTTATTTATTTCAACAGGAAACTATCTGCGCTTGTTTATCGATTTCTAATTCTGCAATGAGGCACGACTGCCTAGTCTACTCTATAATACACAGCACTACCACATCAAGTGTCTCTTCTTGCCCACAACAGTCCCGTTATTCGAATTGGTATAGAATGTCACCGCATCAGTCGAATTCTTATACGTGTTGCCACAAACAGCAGAGTAATTCCGAAACGTGTCTGCGCGCTGCTGCAGAAACGCCGGCAGCACCTTGGCCGAGCAGCTCTGCCCCGGTCCGTCGAAGCAGCCCGGCAGCACCTGGGGGCTCCGGTTGAGCAGGACGCGGTAGTATGTCGTCGCAGAGGGAGACGAGCTCATGTTCCTGCCCTGGGCGGCGGCGACGGCATGGTTCGCGCTGCAGTTCATGCGCTCAATGGCAATGTTCGTCAGGAACGGGAGGATGCGGCTCGAGACCCAGGCGCGATTGTAGTTGATCTGGTCCAGGGGCATGGTGGCGTTGACGTCGTTGCCGCCAGAGAAGAGGCTGTTGTTGAACAGGCCCATGGCGACGAGGGCCGCGGGCGGAAGCTCGCGGTGCGTGAAGGACACGTACATGTCTTGGGCCGAAGTATCGGCCGCCAGGAGGTTCATCGTCGCGTTGACCCACGGGAAGCCGATGGCGCCGGCGTAGGGGCTGCCGTAGCCGGTGTTGTAGTGGTACTGGATGTCCTGGCCGTACTCGAACTGCAGCCACTCGTCGGGGGAGAAGAGGTCCGTCGAGCAGAAGGGCGAGGACCCGCGGATGACGGTGTCATAGCCGCACATGGCCTGCATGGCTGTGACGTCGTCGGACGTGAAGTTGAAGCCTGGGGCCAGGCTCTTCAGCCGTGCGATGATGGGCGCCGTGTACAAATCGACGTATTTGCGCTGTTGCTCTGCTCCTGCGGCGGCGGTGTAGCCTTTGCAGCTCTTGTACGGGGTCAGGCTGTCCGCTCCGTCCTCCTTGCCCTCTGGGATCTCAACCAGGTTGATGGTGTTGTCGTCCATCTCCAGGCCTCGGACGAAGCCCCTGGCGCTCTGTACCGTGCGTTCTGCGGTCGAAGTCCATACCCTCTGAGGCAACTTGAGCTTCGGATACCGGTATGAGATGGAGAGCCCGAGTTGGCCGGCCTCAACCTTGCCGGTCCTGGTCAACAGCTCCTGCTCGCTAAAGGACGGAGGCTCCCAGACGGCCAAGAAAGAGAGCTGGGGTATTTTGGCCCAGTCGACTGTCGCGTTGCCTAGCTTGTAGAGAAAGGGCTGCAGGTACTGCTCGTAGTCGAAATCGTTTGCATTGATGGCTGCGTGCCGTACAAGGTAGGCCGCTCGAGTTACCGTGCAGCCTTGAGGAGGGTTTGGGTCTCGCGGAGGATCTGCCGGTTCATAATAGGGAGCAATTCCTGCGAGATGCTGGAGGGGGTTGAAAGAATATGACGAGTAGAGGGGAGTCTGAAGCTGCATGGCCCCGACGCCAAGCGCAACGGAAGTCAGGGAGTGAAACGTGGTCGCCTTCATTGTGACGGCCGCGAAACGGAATTGTATCTGATGCCTGGTGTTTCTTTTCGGCGTATAATGTTGCTTCTGTAAGCGACAGGCTGTAGATGTGTGAGAAGAGGCCAGCCAAGGTGCTCAGGCAGATTCCAAGCAGACAACAAGTTGAAGCTGAGGGAGACAAAATGGTTGGCCTCGTGTTTTTTTAAACAGATTGTCTTGTATCAAGGACGGAGCCGCAGCATGGCCCATGACGGTCAAGGACTCGAGAACAAAAGCATGGCAGAGTATGCCATTGTTGCGCATACGTCACACACGAGCTGTTTCGGGCTCCATGTTGCAAGAAAGCGGCCATGATTGTTCTTCAGCGCGTGAACGCTCCAAGCGGTCCACGGACCATCGGATCTTGGTTGTGGCAGATACGTCATTGATGTGCAAGATCTCGATTCCAAGACCTGGTTTGTCCAGGCTAATTAAATTAGTCGGCCCCCCACTTGACCCCCACTCTTGGAGTTGTAGATTTCGAGGTCGCATGTGATTGCGCTGTTTCTAGTATTCTACCCTCGCCCAGACATCGCCGATGAAGCCAGCAACTTCCGACGCCCTCTTCCTCACCACGGCGCGCCCAATACCCAGAACAACAGCACTACTCGCAACGCCAGCTGTTCAAGCTGCTCCCTGGTGCACACACCATCCAGCCCGCCCAAGACCACAAGCGAGGGCCCTGCCGCCAGAGAGCCGCCAAACGAGACGCCCACGAGATGAGCTGACGGCCACTGCAAATGACCCAGGGGAGAGCTAATCAGTTGTCTGCAAATAGTGGTCGAGACATTCAGGGAGAACTTGACTTCCCCATCAGATTTGATTGACATGCATGAACGTGTCCCACTCATCTGGCACCTCCCTCACCGGTCCATACCTCACCATGTGCTCCAAAACCTCCTCTCTCAGGTATTTCATCCTGACATCCGTCGTTTCCTCATCATCAGACTCCTCACCACAGCCAAGGCAGAAGTATCCCCAATCGGCCTGCCGACCAGAATCGAACAAGTACGGTGCGGTAATGATGGCCATGAACCGCAGAGGTTCCCTGTCAAATTTGTCGTCATTTGGAAGACCAGAACCCTCCAGGTCCTGAATCAATGCTCGCCGGTCAAAAAGTTGAAGCCGATTCCGCGCCAATTTGCCCTCGTCACCGTTCCAGGGGGCACAGTACCACCCAGGTAAACTCAGAATACTAGGGGGGTTTGCCTCACGCAGTAACTGGCGACGAGTGACGCGCGGCCGTGTCGGGTCGGGGGTGAGCAAGCGTGATGCGCGGCCGATTGTGAGAGGAAAGTATTCTAGCCGCTCGGTGAAGCAGAAGTAGCAGACTCGGCGGCAGTCAACAAGGTAGAGGAAGTCGCCAAAATGCGAACACGTGGAGCATCGGCTTGTGCTCAGGGTTCTGTATAGTACACGGCAGTCAAATGCATCTGCCTCGACGGCGAGTATGGCGCGGATGATGTCGGGGCAATGCTTGATGATGGCGGCGTACTCGGGTACCGAGTCGACCAGCTCCATGGCGCGGCGGTTGACACGGCGGAAAGCTGTTAGCGACGGGATGTCGGTACATAGCAGAACCTGGATGAGCAGCTCTGCTGGAAGCTGGTCGAGATGGCCGACGGAATGCCTCGCGGGGATGGACGCGTCGGTGTGTCGGCCATTGTCAAGCGGACAACGTGTCGTCAACTGCGCATTATCCAACGTATTATCACGGAAGGGGAGCCTTTGCGTCGTATAACTCATGGGATCGAGCGGATCAGGGTGTGTTTCATCCATGACGGCGCGCTGCAAGACCAAGCTTCTAGACGACTGCAGTGCAGAGAGAGAGCAAAGATTCAAGGTCGAAAAGTGGCAAATTTGTGTCGATGGTAAGAAAAAAACGCAGGGGTAGGGAACGACTACTCGTATTTATAGAGCTCTTTGGAACTACATGTAGGTTTGAGTTTGCTTCCACGCAGTCCGTGGCTGAGGCCATCGCGAGATTAAGCGCCGCCACGAATCACCAACTTTACTAGTGTCTGACGCATTACGATGCGTGGACTTGTAGTTATTACGTCAAGTGGTCTTTACGTCTGGTGCGACGGAAGGCTTACAAGCAGCCCGACTTGCCGCGTTTACAGTCTAATTCCTACCATGAAGCTTGTCGAGCGCCGCTCCCCGACGGGATTTGCATTGGCCGGAGCATTGCTGTACGCCACCAAGAACGTGGCTTGCTGGACGACTGGCCATCCTGAGCACCGCGCAAGAAATGGATCAATTCATCCATACCATCAGTACGTTTGGTGCGGCACCGGGCCGCGTCGGCTCGTCCGCTCATGCAGCAGTCATCCCACAGTTCCTATGTCGAGCTGTCCCGGCCCCTGGCCCGTCAACGCCACGTTCCGCGAAAAGTCCGGTGGTATGAATGCGGCCGTGGCTTAGCTACATGTGTTGATGACATGTGCATCGTGAATCTGACTGCTCGCATCACTGACGATCTTTGTTGCCGAACCATCTTTCATGCGACAAGGATGCCATGTGATTTTGTCCCGCGCCTAGACATGCCACCATGTTGGTGGCTTGCGACGTTCTTTGTCTTGTATATGTAAAAGCTGATGTCATTGAGAGACTTGTATGATGACAAGTACTGCATATAGGCATGATCCGGACATGAACAGAATAGATACTTGTGTAGGGAGCTCATGCCCACAGCACCTAATCGATGGAATCCAGGTTTCATGGACCTATGTACTGCGACACGACACTTTTCGCAAATTCCATCATCCATCCCGTATACTTGCGCGAAAGAAACAATTCGCCAATACGGCTTTTCTCACTACATCACACAGCCAGCCTTCACGAATGACATTTGACTTTCGGCCGCGGCTGTGACTAGGGGATCTGTTTGGTCACACTCCTGGCAACAAGTCAAGTCAAGTCTGGTTGCCACTTGCTCGCGCGCCTAAAGTCGGCGTTTTCTTACTAAGCCTTCCAACTTCCACCTCTCGGTACATATGTAATTCTACCAAAACTTATTCGACCTGGTCATCTTACGCAACATGGCCGGAGCAGAGGAGCAGTCGATTACAGTGCCAATATCACTTTATACCCAACCTGTCCGGTTCAAGAGCAGACGACCCGGTGCGAGAAGCAGTGTCAGAACGACTACGAAAGAATCGACGATTCCACGTCCGATAGTGCAGCCAGCACATCCATCAAGCGAAGAAGGAAAGATGTCGCTGTACCCGCTTCATCAAAGGACGACAGGATAGCGGACCAGGATCTCTTCATCACAACGTCTTCAGCAGTGCGGCCTGAAAAGGGGTCCAGTGAGAGATCTAATCTGATTCCAAAAAGCCCTCCACATCAGCCAAAGGCAGACGTTGCCTCTCAAAGAATTGGCCCGGTCCAAAGGGGCGCTTCTACTATCCGGTCTACCATTATACAGGACTACGACCCAAATGTGTGCAAAGATTGGAAAAGGTACGGAAGCTGCGGCTTTGGTGGTGAGTCTTGTCTACTAGTTGCTTGTTTGTGTCCAGACTCTCCATGTGTGCTAACGTTATTTCTAGATAGCTGCAAATTCCTGCATGCCCGGGGAGATTACAAGTAGGGCTGGCAATTGGATACCGAGTGGGATACACTCACAAAAGGAAACAATAATATCGGTGGGAGAATTATTACTAGCGCAGATCGAAAGATGGCCAAGGATCAGGATAGTGGTCATGACGGAAAAGCGGAGGACTTCCCGTCTATATGCAGTCTTCGCAGTAAGACTTTCAAGAAGCCCATTATCGCGAGATGCGGCCACTACTTCGATGAGCCGCGTGCACTTGGGCGCTACAAGACTGATCCTGGCTATGCGGTATGCGGAGCAGCTACGAACGTATTTTCAATTCTGCTAAAATGTCATCTAGGAGTCGCTAGTTGGGAAAAATCTCCCCTCAAATTGGCTGGTGCAAGTCTCTCTTTCAGTCGGCTGGCATTCAGCAACTTGATTTGGATCAGACCCTTGCCTGATTGATCAACCATATTAATCCCGTCTCTTTCTTGAAGGACTTGACTGGAGAACGGTTTAAATACGCACTTGGAGCTGCCACAAACTCCTGATCATGAAGAAGAGAGCAGCAAGAGCTAGCACTGACTGGTTGCTTCGAGAAATTTCTTTTCGAGGGCTCGGTTACGGGACTTGGAGCAACGTGGACTTTCAGCCATAACTCGTTTGGTGTCAAGGGTCCTTGGTTTTCCTCAAGGCCCTCGGGGCAGATGAACTTGATTTGTACAAAGCAGCGGTGAGACTACGAGCCTGAAAGCCCAAGTCCTCAACTAGGTCTCGAGCCTTTGTCACCTATCGTCAGGATCGAGGGTCGGTCCGTGCTGCAATGCTTCGTGACCTCATGGTAGTACAAAGCACCTACGTGGGCAAAATTCGACAAATTGGCCCAAGGATCTGCACAGACAACATGTGCCTCTTACTAAGCAGAATTGCCTCTGTTCTTCTCGCAATGTGTGGCAGAAGTAAAGTCAATCCCCATCACGCATCAGCGAATACTTCGGCCTTGGACCCCAGTCACGGCTCGATACTCCTCATAAATAAAAATGGCCACCATATTGACCAAGAATGCCACTGACAAGCCCAAGGTTCTCGTTGGAACAGAGGGAAATACTTGGATTTAGACTCCTGATGGCTGGGACCTGACGCACCCAGCAGACCCAACATCCAACTTGGCAGACAACGGCGTCGACCTTGATTGTGAACTTGCCAACATTAAAATCGACCCAATCAAGACGGCGTTGGTCATCATCGATATGCAGAACAGGGGCCTTACATAAAGCACTCGATCCGCCGTCCGCCCCCCCCATGTATGAAGCCCAGGACGCGATCCTCCACTACGCCATACCGGCTGCGCGCAAGCTTGGTCTCCAGATTATCTGGCTTAATTGGGGCCTGACTGAAGATGATCTCGCCACCATGCCACCGGCCGAAGTTCGCGTGTTTGCCTTTGATGTCAACACGGAAAAGGTCGACTACGGCCTTGGAGACCGACATGGCGACCCTAACGATCCCGCAAACTTTCTCAAGTGCGGCGAACGGCCGAATCTCACCAAATTGCCAGGCACGGACCTAGGAGAAATTGTACTCGAGGATGGCAGCCGGGTCAATGCCGGCCGGGTCATGATGAGGGGAACATGGAACACGGCGCTGCATGGACCCTTGGCTGGCGCGTATGAGGAGGGCAAGAAAGCGGCCCGTCCAGACGTCTGGATTCACAAGAATCGCAACTCTGGTCTCTGGAACGACAAGTCTGCCTTGGGCGAGTATCTGAGGGAGAAAGGCATCCGTACCCTCCTATTTTCGGGTGTCAACACGGATCAGTGCGTCGGCTCTACTCTACAAGACGCCCATGCTCAAGGCTTCGACACCATCATGTTGAAGGACGGTTGTGGAACAGATAGCCTGCTGTATGCAAAGGCAACGTACGAGCTCAACTGTGCCCGATGCTGGGGTTTCTTAACTAGCTGCAAGGCCCTTGCGAAGGCAGCCAAGCTGGACTATTAGTACGGAAGAAAAGAGAACAGCCCTTGGTGTCATAATGGTACTTATTCAATCCATCTATCAGCAACACGTGTCTTCACCATTATTCAGCAACCCCCTTCCAGAAAGACGATTGTGGCGGAGTGGTCGTTTGCGTGGGAAGGGGCAGCAGCAAACACTCCAGCCGCGAATGTATGTCCCTCCTCGCCATCCGATGACTGCTATCTCGGGATATGCCTCAAAAGTACTCCAAGAATCGAAGCCGTCTCTGCTCATCGGTCATTTTCTTAAAAACCTCCACCTCTTTCTCCTTGACGGAGATGTACCACTCCAGCAAGTCCTTTGCAATCCAAGCATTTACAACAGCATCCTCCTTTAAACAATCCAGCGCCTCTTTAAACGTGACTGGCATGCTGTTATTGATTCCATATTCAACCCGCATTTCCTCGTTCATCAAATGTGGGAAGAGCTTGCAATCCTTCCAAACTAACTCCGTCTTCTTTGCAAGCCCATCCAAAGCAGCAAGCAAAACAGCCGCGGCGAATAGATAGGGATTTGCAGTGCCGTTCATCATGCTGAACTCCCAATGCCAGTCGCAAATCTTGCGAACCGGCAAGTCACGGTTATCGGTGCCAAATCCAACCCATGCGCCCGCAGCATCGCCAATGGAACGGGCGCAGCCATCGTAATTTGCCATTCCAAAAGCACACAGCGAGCCCACGTGGTCAAGGACGCCGGCGATAAAATGATCTGCCGACACGCGTTCCACGTCGATGTCGACGAGGGAGAGATGGAGATGTAGGCTGTTTGATGGTCCAGGCAGTGTTGGTTTCGGGGTCATGGTCGCCTTGAGATTCCGACGTACGCATATCGCCCGAATAGTTTCCTGTGCTAAAACAAGGGAATCAACGGCTTGTAACGCGGGTTCAGGGGTAAGGGCAATCTCTAGCTGATCCTGGACTTCTGCATGGAAGTGGTGAATGCTAATGGAAGACTGCTCGAGAGCGTCGATAATCTCTTCCACTAGAGCCAACGATTCGGCGCGCAATCCAGCTGTTCTAGAGTATCCATTCAGCCGATCTAGGGGCTTAATAACGTCATTTGAGCCATTTCCATCTAAGAGCACAAACTCAATCTCAAAGCCTACTAGCACCTTGACACCCCGTTCCTTGTCAAGCCGTTCAAGAGCCTGGACAAGCAGCATGCGTGGACACTTGTCGAGCCTGGTCTCGGCATCCTTTTGGTCGACGAAGCTCATGGCGGCCGCGTGGCCGGTCTGAAAGCCACAAACACGTAGGGAGGACCAATCGGGGCGCAAGAGCCAAGTTTCGTGGTAGTCGCTGAGGGAGAAGATTCTGGGGGCGGTGGAGATGGGTATGATGATGCTGTTCTGGGCGAGACGGATGGTTTCGCTGCCGTTGGCGATTCGCAGGCAGCGAGCGATGGGGACGAAGCGTGCGCGCAGCACGCCAGAGTAGTCTATCCATTGGATGCGGATGTATTTGATGGACTTGTTGACTCGGAGGAACTCCTTGAGCTTGTCCATATCCGATGGCATGGCAAGAGACGAGATGGTTTAATGTTGGTGTTGGGCAAGCTGGGAGCGATGGATGGATTGATGCCAGTCTGTGCTGGCTCACGCCTGCGGCACGGGCCATATGCCAGCAGAAACTTGACAGCATCTCCCAGCCACGCCGCCCTGTCAACCAGCAATTGATCCTAAAGAACCAGACTGTCATTCAAACAAGTCACCTCCTACAGGCGACGTGGTTGTCTCTCTGTTCACTCCATCGCGCCATGTCAGAGCACATCATCCGCCCCCGTCAATCCCAACCGCTACCTTTATCAGATGCCAAAGAAACCGCGCTACAAGCAGTTGTACGGGACGGTATGAACAAGGTATTATGGGATGAGTGCCAGCTTATCTGGGATTCTCGTTCCTTGATAGACGATACTGCGACTTGTGAAGATTGAGTAAGGAAAGCTTTCAGCCTCGCAGGCGTCTTGTCTTGGCGAAACATGTAAGCCAGCGGCTAATATTAAATGGCAGATATTTATATATATATATAAATATTTCTGCTACTTATTAGAATACATTACTACTAAACTTAAAATATTAGCTATATATAGCCCTACTAAAACGGCCTTTATAGCAAAACAGTTCGGCTTATACAGTGATTACCTACTTTTAATTGGATTTATTTGCCTTGTACCTGCTAAGATAACAAGTTATAAGAAGACGCAAGTTTCTTTTATATTAATTTTTGTGGATTTACGCGTGGATTTAGTAGAGTATTTATAACCCTAAATATTATACAGCCAGATTTATTTTACTTTTTTAAAGGATATAATATTATTTATATAATATTATTCTGAGTTAAAAAATATATACCCTAATACGAAAATAAAACCTTTGCATTTGCATAATAGCACAGGGAAAACCCCTAATAAAAGGGGAGAAAAACCTGTACTAAGGCCTTCTAGAAGATCCACCACTTACTACTTGTAAATCGCAAGGTTTTTTGACTACTCCCTTCGGTTCCGGCCAGAATCGCACCTTATATTAAGATGTATTACTCTTCTTGGCCTTTCTAGGAGCATATTATAGAGTGGGCTTGCTTCGGTATAGCTGAACAGTCGGTTTCGGTCATGTCGCCTATCTTCGTCTTACATAGTTCATCACTAGGCGGTATTAATAATATCACTACCAAGCGTGAGGCAAAGGACCTACCTATATAGCACGCAATACCCTCCCTCAGGAATCTGAATTCCATTATATATGCTGAATTTACCTTTATTAGTAAAATAAAATAAAAAGGGTTAATTACTTTACAAGGGTTTCTGTTAGCTTACCGGCTAATAAGCTTCTTATCTGAATTTAGCGAGCGACAAGTTGTCTGGATAACGATACCTGCTTCCGGCTTATGACAACCATGATCGAGATAGATATAAGCCTGCGTTATGTGAGACCAACGCTATCCTTTAAAAGGGTAAGATAGCCTACTGTTGGATCATCAATATATTGAGCGGTGTTGTATTGAATTCCGTTATATCGAGCGTCGCTGTATTGAACGACGGCGCCTAGAGCGGCAGTTGCAAGAATAAGCAAGTTTGTGATCATTTTTTTGACTAGATAGATCAAGATTTGTAAGGTAGCGCAAAAAATATAAAATTATATAATAAATTAGAATTAATAGTACTAGTTATATAAGATCTTTAGAGAATAATATTTATAATTCTAGGAGATAAAGCAAATATTTATACTTTTCTAGTTTCTTACTTATAAGTGCTTAATAATTTAGTATGAAGGTATTATATAAAAGAAAATATATTAGTAGATACTACGTAATATCTTGTTATAATTGGAATGAACTAAAGCTTATATTATAAGTTAAATATATTAGAATTTAAAATAAACCAAAAAGGTACTATAAAGTATAAAAGTAAGTTAATAAATAGGGTTTTAGTTTCTAGTAGTAACTTAAAATTAACTTATTGTAAGTGTAAGCAAAGCGGTGAGCCGGGCGGGTCAAATTTGACATAGGCTTTTGGGGCTGCTGGATTCGAGGCTTTGAGGCTTTCGAGGCTGCTATTAAATTTGGGCTCGTTGAAGCTGCTATCGAATTCGAGGCTTTTAAGGCTTTCGAGGCTTTTAAAGCTTTCGGGGCCTTTAAAGCTTTCGGGGCTTTTGAAACTTTGGAGGCTTTTGAAGCTTTGGAGGCTTTTGAAGCTTTGGAGGCTTTTGAAGCTTTGGGGGCTTTTGAAGCTTTTGAGGCTTTTGAAGCTTTCGAGGCTTTCGAAGCTGCTATCGAATTTGCAGCATAGACTTGCCCCAATTCTGGCCGTCTAGTACTATGCAAGATTAACCTAAAAGGCCTGCAGACGACACATCACATGTCTCCGCAAAGCAGGCTGGGGTAAATCAAGAGCTGCATTTGCAACACTCAAGTTCGCGTTCAGCACAAGCACAAATGACGAGTATCAAGACTATTTCCGGCTCGATAATTGTGCAGATACACATGTCTGTAACGAGGTGTCTCGCTTCACTGAATATAAGCCTCTCTATGACGGGACCATACAGTTTGGCAACTCAGGCACGTACATAACAGGCACGGGCGGCGTAAGCGTACATGTCCTCACTCCATCAGGCCCGAGTCTAATTCAACCCGAGAACGTCGCTCACGTTCCTGCATTCCACTGGACACCGTCATGATTTCGACAAGCAGGAACTTGAAGTGGTTCCGCGCGAGTTGCCTCAAGGCGGGAATGCCAACGATGTCGTCAACGAGGCTGTTGGATCTCTAACAGCCAAGGTGGGCTCCGTCGGACCTCAGGCTGTGATTAGGTCTTTCCTCACGCCTAGAAATGGCGCGGATCGAGACGAGACGCAAAAAACGGAATGCATCATTAGTGACCGATCGTACCTGAACCGAAATACGTCTTTTGCCATCTTTTGTGACAAGGTATGATTCACTACTCTTCTCGAAGACCCACTGCTTCATACAATGTGCCATCCACGCCTTGCGAACTGGCTCTTGAACGGCCAGTGTTGACGACACCTTGACAGTCTTATCTGTAGCCAACGCTGTTTCGTCAAGCCCATCATGAAGCCAAGTAATTTGATTGCCGGATTCCTGGCCACATCGCTTGTATGACCCTTGCTCTCTGCAACGTCGAAGCATTCCACGTTTTGTGATGGCAGGTCGACCAAGTACTCTGATATTTACTTGACAACTCATTCAGCACATGCCATTTAATCTTGTGTTCTCCGTAATAACCATATGTTACATGTTGTAATGTTGGATTTAACTGATTTGTTATTGAGCATCCTTGTACAGTGGACTGGGAAGTCGTCCATGTGCAAAGAACTGGAGGTGATGGCATACTTTTGCCACTAAAGAAAAATCACCTGGCAAGGTCAATAACCGCCTCTTTGGAATCGAAACAGAGTTGATGTGCATCATTCTCAGGCGGATCATTTCTGTTACACGGAGGTACAGACCCACGGAAAGTAACAATCACTTGCATTTGAAAAGCCGATAGCGTTGAAGAAGATGCTGGATTGTCAGGTCCAACTTGGAAGATGCGGATAACGAGATGGAGCTGCATGACAAAAAGATGAGGGGCACAAAATTAATGGCACATACAACACTAGGTATTCGCTGGTCGTCACCGACCCAACTACTAATCCAGCGCTCGCCAGGTTATCGTACGAGATCAGACGGGATCGTGAGTTCTACTGGCGGCTGTGGTCGTATGTGTCAGGCATCGCTTTATTTTACTTTATAGCATTTAAAGACAAGAAGCGCAAAAGAATACAACACACGTGTTGACTAGTCGTCACCGACCCAACTATCAACCTAGCGCTCGAGATGGTACTGAAACCACAGACAAGTAACGTTGAACGCTACATAATCCGTTGGCATCACTTTTACTCTGACGAGGAACAGAACAAAACAATTCCCCCAGTCTCAGGCATTTGTCTCAATGCCCCCATACGCCTTTGACTTGGGCAGCTTGGCCCACGGCGCAAACACGTTTTCGCTCTGATCCAGGACCGGGCCCAGCTCCGGACAGTGTCTCCGCAAAATATCCTTCATGGTGGTATGCTGCACCCAATGCAGCCCTTCCTCGGTGTACGTCTGCGCGTTCCACGAGCCGGCGAAGAAGCGATCGCTCTTGAGGCGATTGCTTGCCATTAGGATGAAAACGCGAAAGGCCGTCTCGCTAAAGCCGAAGCCCTTGATGAGCGGCTCACTGTGCGACCCGACGAGGGCATCCACGAGCTCAATGTCGCCGTAGACGTCGCGCAGTTCTTGCGCCAACTCGTTATTACCGCCCGTCAGTTGTTCAAACGTCTCGGGGGCCGACATGCCCAGCAGTCTGCGGAACTGGTTGTACCGCGGGACGCCGCGCTCGCGGTCCCGGAGGATGTCGACGGTCCCCAGGTCGCGGACCTGTCCGTCGGGCGTGTGCAGGCTGCGCAGGAAATCGGGGTAGTTGTTGTTCGTGATGGCGCCGGCATAATTGATGCCAAACGAGTAAAAGGCATCGGATAAGTCGAGGCCCGTCTTGAAGGGCGCCGGCGCCTGGTGGAAGATGAGGTCGTTGATGGGCACAGTCGAATGGTGCGCGCCCGTGGCGCCGTTGAAAAAGGCAATGCTGTCTATTCGGGCCCGTGGCATTAGACACGTATCCTCTTGTTATATGCCGAAAGGATCGACTTGCCTGGAATCAAGGGGTGCATCCTGTACACGGACACAAACTCCTCGGTGAGGGAGTAGGGAACGCCAAAGAGCTCGGTTGGAGACCCCGGGATGCCGCTGATTATCTCGCTCGTCTTGGAGAGCCGGCCGACGAACTTTGTGAGGGTTTCGCCGGCGAGCCCCCACCAATTCGCATTCATGCCAATCTGCAGAGCCGGGTGGCCGAGAACCGCCGGCGTCCATTCGACCGTATGGATCTTGGCCATGAGTGCGCAGTTGACGAGCCGGGCAGTATCGAAGATCTTGGTGCTGCATCAAGCAGACGGTTAATAAATCCTGCCGAGCAAAAGACGGGAAAATGGCCCACGTACCCGTTCCAATCTGGATACGCCCGACGGAGCCTGTCGCAGATGGCGTTGTGCTCGAGGACAAAGAGCGAGTGAAGAATGTGTAGGCCAAACCACCAGTTGTCGACGAAACCAGTCAGAGGGACGCCGGCCGCGTCGTAGGAAATCTGCCTCAACTTGCCGTCCTCGTGCGCGGTGCGTAGCCTCTCCGTTTCGACCTCGCTCGAGCCGTAAATCTGGGACCCATCCCACCAGGCCGTATTCACGTTCTTGTATCCCGGCGTTTCGATATCCGAGGCGTCAAGGATCTCGTCGGGCTGCGTCTTGAGCAGTTCCATCCGACCACCTGGCCAGCCGTCTCCTTCTGGAAGAGGAATATTATACGAGTCGTGAGCCTGGGCCCCAAGTTTGTTAGCCTATGTCGCACATTTTCCCCAACCAACTGGCCACGACGGACCTTTTCATGAGCCATCCAATCGTGCGTTTGAAACTGAATCCAGGCGGCGGCGAGGAGGTTGAGCGTCGTGGCAGGGATGAAACCACCCTCCCGGCGCTTCATGAACCTTTCACTAATGACGCGGGGATTCGGATTCCAGAGCTCTTCTTCTGTTGGCTTGCGGCAGTATTCACGAGGAAACTGGCGTCCGAACCTCATGCCCGCACAACCCATGCGTGGCATCGTAAGCGAGTTGTATTTTCCGTCCGAGTTTCGCGCGTGGAGGAAGCGCTCATCCATGGGCTCTGGCTCGGCCATGCTGACCACAGCGTGTCCGGGTGGGTAGCCGTCGTGGAGGTTGTTGCGGCGCAAAGTCGTCCTGATTGCCTCGAGGTTGATGGCCCCGATGATGCCCGGGAACTTGTACCACGGCACAATCTTGTTAATCATGCCAAAGGCCTTGGTTAGAACGCGGTCGAACAGGCTGGGCCTGTAGGGGGGAAGTTGTCCAGGCATTTTGACCTCTTGGCTGGACATTGGGCTACGAAAGAAGACTTCCGATGTTCAGTGCCCGTGGGGTATCTGCTTGAGGACATGAAACTGCTCGAGCTTGGAGAGGCAACGAGGCTACCGCCAACTATCCGTCTATATATACATGTGTCACTTTGCGTGTTTCTCGCGGGCTTCAGACTCTGTATTGGTCATGGCAGGCGGCCGCTATCTTGGTACGTCTGATGCCGATAAAAGCCGGATGCATGGATACGCGCTTGCCGCGGCGTACAAGACGCAAGAAGATCGGCGAAAGGCTGACAGATATCAGACATGTAGCTCGTCTGACAGCTCGTGCCTCGCGGGACGGCTGGTCGTGCAAACCGCGACTTGACTCTTCACAGACAGAACTTATTAAACACTTGTCCCGACCAGGCAACGATCGCCGTCTCTGCATCTGCTGAGCCAAGACATCGCCAGCAGATGAGGCCCAGCTGAGGAACTGTCAATGGATCTGGTGTCACTTATTATTGTGCTCGCTGCATGTCTGTGACCCGGGTCGGCCCCTGCTCCATGTATGTACTAAGGGCCCCAATTACCAATCCCTGACACATCTTTTGTTTGCCAGAGCCAGCGGTCCCCGGAAGGTGTAAGATCTGGTTGGTCCATGTAGTCATCTCATGGGAGGATCCTTTTTGGTTTGCTTTTTCCTCTTCTGCGCACGTAGTAGCCTCAGTATGTTCCATCAGAAGAAGGACTACGAAATAGATCTTACGGTAATTCTGCCTGCTGTCGCCTAGGCGCTGGCCTGGGCTTTTCGTTTGCCACCACTGTCTCTGGTGTTGTTTTTATCAGAGTTCCTGTCTAGCATTTCAGCGGCGGCAGTTGCGCTTTTTCCGGCACGTTCGACAACAGACACATCGATGGCGGCAATTCAACGACCAATCTGTCGCAAGGATCAGTGCTGAGTCTGGTGACGGTGCGAAGGGTCAATATATAACCTACAGCACGAGCCAGAGCCCGTCTGATCTCGTACGATAACCTAGCGAGCACCGGATTAGTAGTTGGGTCGGTAATGACCAACGAATACCCGGCGTTATATGTGTTTTTTTTAGACTCCAGTCTCTCTGACAGGAACCTATTAAGAAACAAGGTTGATAGCGGTCTTTTTTGTTTCAAATATTGTCAGAATATAGCTATTGCATAAACCAGCAACGTCATCTCAACACGTCGCCTTAATTTGGCGTCTATACCCTTTATAATATCCTTGATACGAACTCTGCCGGCACATCGTGAAGCCGTAGCAGTTACGCTCGACAGCGTACAGGAGCCTTGAGGTCAAGTGGAAGGGTTCCCTTCCAGCCCACAGGCGCGCCAACCTTGTCCATAAACTCAATGGCATGCTGCTTCAATGTCTTGTTCTCCTTTGCGAATTCGCTTGCAAGTGGCCCTAGTCGTCTCTCCGGCGCGCCAGCAAGTTGAGGCTGTCCTTGACTAGCGCGATATTGGTCGTATACTGAGTTGTAGTCTGGGTTGTTGACCCATTTCAAGTCGGGGAACTCCTTTTCAAAACCCTCAGCCGTCCTCCACCTCTGTTTCTCTTCTCGCCCGATGCCGCCGTCGGCGCTCTTGTTGGTCGACACATTCTTGGGAACCTCGAGCCAGGCCTCAACCTGGTCCCAGCGTATTCCCCCCGTGGCAGCAAACTCGCGCTCTAGATATGAGGGCGTGAAATCAGAGTGGTCCAAGTCAATCATATTTGGCGTGGCGTGGATTCGATATATCCATCCTGCTTCGTTTGGATTGTCCTTGATGGCAAAAGCAACAGCGACTGAAAATATCGTCGAGGTTGCCGCGTAAGCCGATTGGAAATCCCTGCCGGGGCTTAAATCGGTACCTTTATTGTGCGACCACAAACTGTATGAGCTGTCTGTCATGTTCCCCGTGAACTCGGGCGGGATTCCGCCGTCTTTTTTATACTGTTCTGGAGGAATCAGGTCGCCACGGTAGACGACGCTGGGAAGATTTTCTGATGTTGGCGTAAATGATGGGAGGCGAGCAGCACCCAGCGGGATGGCCAGGGCAGACGCCAGAATCAGGGCAGCAAAGTGCTTCATGGTGATAGATGGGCTGTTAATGTTGTAGAGATGAATTGCGAGTAGTCAAGATATTGGTTGCTATTTTGCGAGGTAAAGGGCATCTTTTATATTTTTTTTTATTCTTAATACATTTTTACGAGTAATAGATTAATAGCGTGATATAATGCACCTTTAGGTGGGGCGTGGCACGAGTAGTAGTTCTGTAAAGCTCAAAGTAAAATAAGGCAGTTTTTATTTTAAGGCATATACTTACGCATAAATTTATAAGCGTTCAGCTGTCTTGTGGTGCTAAATCCGCGCATGGTAACCCTTATAGCACAGCTGCTATAAAGATAAGCAGATAGTATGCAAGCGTATCCTAATATAAGTAGCAAAGCTAGCATAGCTTTAGTTATAATATAAACTAGTATTATAACTTGTTAACAGAAAACGCTGCGCATTAGCATTGATTACATGCGTGTATTAAAGTCAATGCAAGTTGTATTAGCATAATAGTCGGTTTCTGTTAAATAGGTATTAAGTAATATAAGTAAAACTAAAAGCATAAAAGTAATATAATAGCAGGATAAAGTACTAAAAATATAACTTTTATGCAAGTAATATGTTACTTTTCTTGACACGTTAATATTATGCTATAACTAAAAAACAAGGGAACAGCCCCACTTTAAGACCCAGATAGCGAGTCAGCTTTTTTCGGCTTTTCTGCCAGACTAAATAACCGCTTTATCCGAGTTACGCGCAATTATTCTTATACACTTGTATCGTCACGTATTATTCGCCAATACTTATCTTTGATAAAAAGCAAGTGCTATTGGCCGACTAAACAAGCCTTTAACCTTGTAGGTAGAGTGCTCTGAGGTGTGGCTGTAACCAGCAGTTGGGCTGTGCTCCGCCGGTCACGGCACCATCCGTTTTGCAACCAGACGTTTTGACGTAAAGTACGGCGGCAAACGGTAATCCTCCCACACCAACTCTCGGTTCTCTGTCCTTTAAAACGGACACTGTATCCTTTCTGTCATGTGTTCAATCTATGTAAACTCCATGTCCTTTGTCGGTGAGGCTCCTTTGTTCGGTTTTATTGTTATTGGGCCAAAACCGTGTAACAGCTGTGGTTGTACGTGACAGAGACCTTTCTTGGTCTAGCTTAATATTTATGTGTATTCAAGAGACGAGAAGGGCAAAAAGACATACAACACCGGGTATTCGCTGGTCGTCACCGACCCAACTACTAATCCGGCGCTCGTTAGCTTGTCGTGGGTGATCGGACGGGAACCTGAACTTTGCTAACGGCTATGGTCGTATGTGAAGGCAAGGTCATCTATTGAGAATTATAGTTTGAGCTTCCAAGAACCCAGGAACAGTGTAAGAAACGATGTGCATTTCAAATATTATTAGTTGTTACCAACACACTTTCAACTCTAGCGCTTCTTGCCTTCTTTTGACATCTAATAGGATCTCTTCGCCAAAACGCTGCATCCTGCGGACGTTGTGCCCTCCAGATCACTATGTGCATCCAAGGCTGTCTTCACGTCAGCTGGGTGACCCGGGTACCCTTATTTGCCCGTCGCCTAGTAGATGCGGCTCTTTCTTGGATGTTTCAAAGCTAGCTTAGGGAGACTTGGCCTGTTACTCGCGATCGATTGCGGTTGGAACTGCGTATTATCGTGGTATTGCCGATGACTGTGACAAGGGCCGGATCCAGGGCTTGAAGCAAATTGCTAGATTAAATAATAATATCGTAGGGTGTCAAAGGAGTTTTCCAGCAGGATCAAGGGGATTAATAACCACCATATTTGCATCAAATGAACACTCGTGCCTGGGGCTCTCACCCGGGCACGTGTTCCAGCTATGTAACCAACAAGTCCTTGATCGGTGTGCCCCTTTATTGGGCTCGCGATCTTGTTGAGCCTTCTCCTGTAACAATGACAGTTTATTTCTTACTCTCTACGCGACCAAGAAACATGGGTTGCAGCGAGCTCTGGCTTCACTCGGAAAGGACTTGTTGATTACGCAAATTAAACACGTACCCAGCTAAGACCCCTAGGTATAGCCGTTCCCTTTATGTATATATAATAGTTATGGTCCCCTTCCTTCTTCTTGAAAAGCCAGGGACCTTAGACACCCTACTCTATTATTGTTGAATTGAATCGTTTCTAAGCCCTTGTCATATACGAAAAGGCGGCCGGCGCTATTCCCCCCTGCCTTGCGCATCTCCAAGGGAATTTGAATATCACGATTTACATCTTCACAGAGTTCCGCTATACGGCCTTTGAAGGGCTCTTCAGAAGTTGCCCCCATCAATCATACTTTGCTTTGGACTCCGCCATCATTTACACCAGAACTCAGCCACCAGACACATGCGCAGCTTGCAGTGCGACAGCTCATGGGGTTGCACGGCAGCATGAATCTTCTGTAGACCTTGTACACCCTCAGCCATAAGCTTTGCCATGCTTAGCTGTTCTCCTGTCCAGCGCACAATTACCATCCTCATCTCTTCCAACGCTGGCTCGAAATGTTAACAAAATGTGGCGTTATTGGTACATGGCTATACTTGTTACAAACTATACTGCCGCATAGCAATATCTCTTTTCAATGGAACACGCAAACTTGACATAATTGCTAGCTGTCGTGTCTACTTATTGGAAATCCGGATAGCCGAAAGAGCGATTATACAGCTCGAACGAGAAGAAGATTTGGCATTTAAAAAGGGCTGCAGGAAATGGAAATGATCTAAAGCAACATGACCGAATAACTTGGCCATGACGGAACTTGATCTCATCGAGACACAATATGAACTTCATTACAGAGGCTGTCTGCTATAATCCTGGCGCGGTAACCTCCTTATAGTCTATGCTTGGCCCAAGAGCTGCTAAATCGACAGTAAGCTGACTCTCATGCTGTTTCCGTTTCGGTTACATGTGTGGTTACCTTGAACGATGCCCTACCTCCTTGCAATACTGTCAACTGCCATCCCAAGTCAGATCTCCTTCATGACCTCGTACGAAAGTAATTCGGGTCCAAGGCACATGCATATCTTGTCTCGATGCCACCGCGTCTCCTTGAGGCGAACAGTAACGCTGACGATTGACTCATTCGGATACATTAGACGGGAGGTGTGTAGAATCTGGAGGCGCGGCCGAGTCAATGTGAGGCAGCTCTCTGATACCATCATCTGGGTCGTCAGAGGTGAATTCAGAGGTGTGAGTGAGGCCCGGTCTGTCTCCTTTGTCATCTTCATTCCCGGCGCACGAACAGGCTTTGCTACGACACAATCCCTCTGTTCAGAAGTTCGACGTGGCGGCGTTGATTTTGCCAAGGATCGTAAACGTATGCCCTCTTTAGCTTCACACAGTTATTGCAGCACCGTCGCTGTTCGTCAAATTTCACCTCTCCGGGGCACAAGCCAAGCAACCACTTCGAACTCGACCTCTGTAGCCAGGCTGTTGTGCACAGGGCACACCTTGTCGTACTGACGTCATTCTCCTGCATCCTAGGCAATTAGTAGATAAGGACTGATGCATTGGTGTTAACGCAGAGAACAACATGGCACCATCTGGCACTGTCTTGCTTGAAAGCCATGCACAAACAAGAGCCGCTAGATGATAAGCCTAAACCAGATCCCAAAGCTGGAAGTTCCAGAGAGGATTGCTAAAGTCGACTTCATCAAAGGTACCCTCTGTCCCAAATTCCACATCCGCGGCATTCGGACCAAGAATGGCACTCAAGTCGTGATCCACTAGACATATCAAGGCCATCAGAATCTGTTTAGACACGAGAGGGTTCGGAAACGGACCACGACAGGACGTAGCGTACCTCCACTCTGGCGCCTCTTCTCCTTATTCACCGTTTCCAGGAATCTCCCCAGTTGGCCCCTGGCCCTGGGCGCCCCTTCTATCTGCCACCGATGCTCGTCCAGCACCTGGAAGGCATTCGCCACGGCCTGCCCATGAGGCCCGGCACCATCCTCCAGACCGACCCCCAGCTCTGGCACCAGCGTGGAAGCGATAATCACCGTTGCCGCAGACAGCGTCACGTATACCGCGGTCGAGCTGAAAATGCGGCAGCACGACTGCAGATTCTCATGAAGCAAGTCGATCGCCGACAGCGCCGCCTGGACGCAAATGGTGGACACCTCAATCCCCAAGGTGGCTTCTGCACGCGACGGAGGCGCATCGAACGCCGGCGCGAGGATTGTTCGCCGAGCCGTGGCCAGCATATTGGGCCGGAGGAGCACGAGGCGCGTGTGCAGGATTCTGTGCGCGTGTCAGATGCTGACTTCGCCACGGGGCCAGAGTTGGTGTCTACCTGATTTTGACCGCGACTGCCTGCAGGCTTAGTGCCCGGCCACGCCGTGTGCTTGGCTTCTCGTGGTTGTCGGATCGCAGGTGAGCTGGCAGGTTGGCGTCGATTCGGTCCAGCTCCTGGTTCAGCTGCAAGACTTGGGCAAGTTCGGGTAAACAGAGCGCACGGGCAAAATAGCCGTCATTGATGTCTGGAGCACGGTGAAATACGTCGAATATCTTGATCGTTGCGATGAAGGAGTCGAGAAGCGAAGGTCTCGCCGGGGGCTGGACGCCGTCTCCGTCTTCTAAGAGATACTCATCATCAATGGCACTGGGAAGAGGGACTTTGCCGTGGAGTTGAGTTAGGGCCCTCCATCCAAACAGACTTGACAGTAACCTATGTTTGTTTAGTACGGCGGTTTTGGACGGTATTGGTTACAAAGGCCGCGTCAATGGCGGAATAGTTACAAACCTTTCCATGGTAATGCAGAGATGCCATACCCGCCTACTCATCTCTCGCCGCAGTTGACTCTTGGACGAGGATTCCTTATCAACATGCAGACCCAGAGTTTGGGAAACCCGGATCGCCACTGCCAGTGTATTGCCGCATCGATGTGAATACTTGGTGAAGCTCAGGTAGTGTGTGGTGAGAAGAAGGTATTGCACTACTTCCAAGCTTGGGCTGTCGAGGGCGTCGAGAGGCAGCAGAGTTCGAGCTCGGCGGTAGAAGCTTTCAGCAGTCCGCAATTTCAGATGCGGCTCGACGTTGGAGTTGTTGATGCAACCCAAAGCAAAGACGATATTGAGCGTCGCATAAAAGGTCGCTTCCATGGCCAAAGTCTCCCACGGGCCCGGCCTCTCTGGTTCCCAAAGGCACATGTAGCTTGCTCTAAAACTCGGCAAATGTAGAATAGGGAAAAGGGGGTATACAAATCGCTCATAACAGTCAATCAGTTCGTCTGCGGTAGCTCTTCTCGGGACCACCATGGACGATGTGTCCGTCTCGACAAGCCAGGCGCCGCTCCTGCGCCGGATTGACGCATGATCCAAAGATGCGGAGGATTGGAGGCTGGCAACTTGCGTCATGTCGGAAAGAAACTGTGTCGTTGGATTGTCTGCAAATGTCGAGTCATTGTCTCGGCCTTGGTCTTCTGCCGCGTTGCGTGGACTTTGCCAGGGGGCTGTAGATTGACGCTCTAGATGTTGCAAGCGGGCCTCGATATCCGCCAATGTGTTGGAAGACGCGGGGACGGTCATGTCGTCGTATTCACACGCAGCACCCTTTGCCACGCACGGGGAACAGACCGGACGCTGGCCATCGCACCGCGTCTTCTTGGCTCGGCATATCTTGCATGATTCGCGAACCTTGCGGCGCTTGGACGGCTGGTGGCCATGCTCATTGTCCGGCGCCATCCCGCAGACTGCGAGGAAAGTAAAGAGCTCCCATCGATGCCCTGGCATACACCTGCGACTCGGAAAATTACGCGGCGTCGCTGCTTGTATCTGGAGCGCTTCCGTTGTGGCCGGGACGTTTCGCGGCGGCTTGTCTGTCAGTGACGTCACGGATGGACCCCGGCGAGTCCGGCAGTTGATTGGTTCAATGGGAGATCGGAACGTTCCCCGAAACATCCCAAGTCCCAACTGCCGATCGGGCTGTTCCCCGTTTGTTCAAGTGCTGGTGAAGTGAGACGACGCCTCGGCCGGAACTGCAAACCGCAAGGTCAACCAGCGCATCTACCATGTATATAAACCGCCTTCCCAGCATGTCATTGTCAAGGACTTCTCCCACAAAAGCCCAGAGCCAGATCAATCAATTGACCGAGTCTCTAGCGACCCAAACACGTCCAACCTCACCGTTTCTACTTCAACATGTCTGCCATCCCCAAAGTCAATGTCCACCACCACATTATGCCTCCTCAGCTTCGCGGTTCGTTCTCTGCTGGCACCCGCATATCAAACGACTTGGCTAATATTTGTATCTATAGGCGTGGATGAAGGGCTGAAGGGCATGAAAGTCCCCGACTGGAGCGTTTCCAGCGACGAGGCCTTCAACAAGTCCGTGAATGTGCATTCGGCAATCTTCTCCGTCAGCACGCCAGGTGTCACCTTCATCTCCGACCCAGAGGAGAGCGCCAAAGTCGCGCGGGCCATGAACGAGTACAGCGCCTCGCTTCGTGACCAAAACCCTTCCAATGGATTCTTTGCGACGCTCCCCTCTCTCGAGCATACTGATCTTGTGCTGCGCGAGATTCGCTATGCTTTCGACACCCTACACGCAGACGGTGTCACCTTGTTTACCAGTTATGCCACCCCGGGCGGATACTTGGGCCACCCAGAGTATGTCCCCGTATGGGAGGAACTCAATCGCCGCAACGCAGTCGTCTTCGTCCACCCCATCAACCACAAGGACTCGGTGTACTGGGACGAGAGACTGCCGATGCCTGCCTTTGATTGGCCCCACGAGACGGGACGCACAGCCATGGACCTGATCCTCAAACGACGCCCGCAGCAGTTTCCCAATGTCAAGATCATACTGTCTCATGGCGGTGGTACCCTGGCGGCGTTGGTCACGCGGGCTTGCATGATAGAGCTCCCCGAATTCGGTGGCGTGATGAGCGCCGAGGACATTGTTAGCCAGGCAAAAAGCTTCTACTCTGACCTTGCACTCTCGGGAAGCAATGAAATGCTCCCCCTGATTCTGGGATTCGCCAAGAAAAGCCATCTTCTCTTTGGCAGTGATTTTCCACATGCCACGGCCCCATTTAGTCAGAAGTTCACCAAGTTTATTGACGAATTCCCCATGGACGATGATGCGAGGAAAGAGATATATCACGGGGCTGCGGAGAAGTTGTTTCCAAGACTGAAAGGAAAGTTTGCGGCGTAAAACATGGACCGCGCCGGTGGAGGCTGTGCGTCCTTTTAGACATTGGTGTTGTGGCTCGGTATACCAGGCAGTGAAATACAGACAAGATCCAGGAAGCGCGATGCTCACCTTTAATCGGGCGGGAAATGTCGCTGCTTTTGGCGCTTTGTGTAGTAAGGAATGAATAGACTGCTCAAGTATAAGTGTGTATTAGCTACGAACGAGAATAGTACTGCAGGTTCACTTACTGGTCTTGGTAGCTTTATAATAGGCATATGACGGGTTTAAGCTCGCTTGGCAGTTGGTTTAATTCTAGTTCTCCAATCTAGCTTATGTGAGTTTATTTTCTACCACCGACGTTGTCATTACCGGACCTGGGTCAGTAGATCGACAGTAGCCACGTTACCAAAGGCACATTAAGCAGAAAAAGAGACAGATTATTCATTAATCAATTAACAAACCCATATTTGTGCCATTTGTATTTTACTTGTTATCTTGCTTCTTACGCGTTTCAACACTCGGCCGAGTCCGACAACTTGTCCATCGAATCCACTTGTTCACAAGTCAATTCCAGCCCATGGCATTTATTCTCTAGTACGAGACATTGCTTAGCAAAAATACCAGCCTGTGTATGAATAATGTCAAGAAGAAGAACGCGCTCTCTTACTGAGCAATTATACCCCCTCATATTCCGTGAACAATAAAAGGTCAACTGTCAACCCGTCTCATGAGTCGTTTAAGACTCCATGTCGGCCAATCAGAAAAGATTCGGTCCGCTTAAACAGGCAGCGGCTCCGGTGGGAGCCTGGATGTGTGGACTCTGTGGAGCTAGTCGCCCCCTTAAAAGGCCACTCAATCCTCTCTCTTTTGTCGCTTGATCGAGCACCGCTGTCATCAGTCTCAATTATATCTCTGGCCATCTAGCCAAGGTGCCTGCTATCGTGTGACGGCCGCTCTGTCCGCCTCTGGCCTGAACAACTGTTCCTCGAGTCCATTTGTTTTCTCGAGCAACGTTGCCCAACTTGGCGGGATATGACTACTGCCATGTCTGACCGAATTTCTTCGGTCCTGGAATTGGAAGACGCCAACCGTCGGACGCCGCTTTCATACGCAGCCGAACGCGGTGAAATCGATGCCGTCTCGGGGCTTTTGAATAAGGCTGCAAGCTATCAGGCTGTCGATGCCTTGGGGAGGACCCCTATTTTCTGGGCTGCCATCCAAGGCCACGACAGTGTGATCAAGGAGCTTATAGCGTATGGAGCAGAGTGGAAGATTGAGGATGCTTCTGGTCGAACTCCTCTATCCTACGCCGCTGAGAAGGGACACATTGATGCAGCTTGCGAGTTGGTGACGGCCGAGGCCCCTGAGGAGTCGTCAGAAGGGGAAGACGAGGAGCAGCAGGAGGAGGGTTCAGATGAAGGAGACAGTGAAAATGGTCCCGACAACGACTCTGATGATTGCTCCATGGCTTCTACCGCTTCCATCGTCTTGCCATTGAACCACGCGGTCCGCCGGGGGGATGAGGCCGCCGTCAAGACCCTAGTGCAGCATGGCATGGACATGTTCTATGAATCAGCATGGGAAGACGACCCACAACCAGTTCTGCTCGCGGCCAAGAGTGGTAACGGTGAAATCTTGGATATGCTTCTGCAAGCCGGCTTTACCGCAGACTTGGCCGAGGACATGTATGGGCGAACGGCGTTGATGTTTGCCGCTGCAAAAGGCTACGAATCCATAGTCCGAATCTTGCTGGCGAGGCAGGATCATCATCTGGAAAGTGAGGATGATACAGGAAAGAATGCACTCGCATATGCGATCAAGGGAGGACATGAAACCATTGCCGAGATGCTACGGCAGGCAGGTTTGAGCGAAGAACGAGATGAAGCGCAGTCCGAGACATCTTCCGCCCCCGCTGGTGACGATGACGCGGATATGGATACGCAAACGCCTGCTGATTCTTGCAATGCGCTGGTAAAATCAAGCATGACGCAGGGGACAAAGAACGAGGAGGCAGTTCGCCAGCATGATGAGCCCGTCCCGAGAGCCATTGACAGTGGTAAACAAGACGCGCTCTTATCAGCTATACAGAGTAAAGATGTTCATACCGCACATACATTGGCAAGACAGAGTGGGATAGATGGTACTGCCCTGGATATCATGGGCATGTCCCCTTTACTGTGGTCGGTCAAGTCCAATATGCCATCAGTGACACGAACGCTCATGGCCACAACACACGCGCTACACGTGGACAGGCAGGGTCGGAATCTCATCCACCACGCAGCCATGGCGGATAACGGTGAAATTTTCCCACTTCTCGTGAAAATGGGGGTTCCCGTTGACGAGCCAGACAAATCCGGCCGAACACCGCTCTCGTACGCTGCGGAGCTGGACCGGGTCGCCATTGTCAAGTTGCTTCTGCAGAACACTGCCGTGGACGTCAACCGTGCCGACGAATTTGGGCGCACGCCACTTTCATATGCCGCAGGCGGCGGCTCGGACCAGACAATACAACTACTACTGGAGAGACCCGGGATCAAAGTGACTTTGGCCGCTGACAATGGACGGACACCGTTGTCATACGCCTGCATTCATTCGACCTCGTCGGCACCGACGTTTGAGCTGTTGAGCGCCGCCGACGCTTCTGTTGCCGACGTTGTGGACAAGAATGGCCGGACTCCCATCTCGTGGGCTGCAGGTTCGGGTTCCGCCGCTGTATGCTCTCGGCTCATTGCCCTAGGAGTCGACGTCGAACACATGGATAAAAATAAAAGAACCCCTCTATCTCTTGCAGCTGAACGGGCCTACGACGATGTCGTGCGTGTGCTCCTCGAAACACGGCGGGTTGACAAGATGTCCAAATGTGCAGCTGGACGGACACCGCTGGACTGGGCAGTACGCGAGTTCTCCGAGCTGGATGGGCCCTGCTTCGACTGGCACAGGCGCGAGGAACGGAAATGGGCCATTGCCTATATGCTCATCACAGGGGACTTGGATCAAGTCCCAACCGTCACGTCAATCGAAAGGCTTCTCAAAGAGGCTGTTGAGCTTGACAAGCCGCAGGTCATCTCGCAGCTCATTCCCACTCACTTGGCAAAGGACATATACTCTCCCTTGGAGTTGGTTGAGCATGCCATGGAGCACGGGTCCGATGAGACGGTGAGAGCCGTCATCACGGCTTTGGCAAAAACCGAGATTGAAGTGCCTCATGCGTCTATTCTGTCTAGTGCAGCTTCCGCTGGGAGGACTGTACTGGTTGAAGAGCTCCTCAGCAAGAAGAAGGCGTCGGAGACTGGTGATCAGAGTCTCATCTCTCAAGCCGCTGCCAATGGGCACATAGAGACGATACAAATGCTTCTTGAAAAGGGTACAGATGTCAACCAAGCGGATGGAGAAGGGAAGACACCCCTTATGTTGGCGGGCATGCATGACCAAGAAGAAACTATAAATATGCTTCTTGAATCCCCGGGGATTAATGTCAATGCTGTGGACAACGATGGACGGACAGCTGTGTCTCATGCGGCCGGTGCTTGGTACCCTGGATGTTTGAAGTTACTCCTGGCAGATCCGAGGGTGGATGCGAAGCGGCAAGATTCCCAAGGCCGATCGCCACTGTGGTATGCTGTCGCTGCGTGGCGTCGCAAGGCCATCTGCGCCCTGTTAGAGGCTGCATAATGTTTTGGGTTTGAAGAGGAATAATCGACTTCACGCGCAAAGAAAGAAACAGCCTGGCCGTCTGCATCAAGATTAGCTGCGGTGACTGGAATTGGGCCAAAGCCTACCAGCATATTAGTGTACGCCAGGAGCTTCTGAAGTGACAAGGGCCATGGAAATGAATAAATAAGTCATTGTGAACCAAAAATAGCACGAGTAACCTTTCCATTCAAGGCCCTCGACGACATGACTTTGCTCCTCGTCTTTTGGGCCTGCAAGTAAGCTGCTGTATTCACTCTGGATATAACAGCCCAAAAACGGCGAGGGGGCCGTAAAATTCCCTGTTTCTTCTATGGAGTAGTGTGAGGCTCGACAAGAAGTATTTCCAGCGTCTTCTTGGCTCCGACGTACCGTGGGATAGGAGAATGGCGGTGCGGGTGCCTTCAATATTGTCCGATCGGGAACGCTGCCGGATGTGCTTATCCGTAGTAACAGAGATACTTGCAGCCTTAAATCACAAGATTATAATGCCAACGAACGAGTTTTCCTAGGGGTAGGCAAAGCGGGCGAGGATAACTCGATTCAATGTTCACCTTGCACCCTCCAGGGGCCGCCTGCCGCGAGTTCTGGCCGGCTTTGACATCAATTACAAGGTCGCGATGCTGCACACACGAGGTCGCGGTGGGTATGAGTCCAGCTGCATCATTTTTTGATGTATAATATTGGTAAAGTACAGAGCCCAGTCCATGAGTTGCTGCCGCACGCAATATAATCCGGCAACTAGATATGCCACGCCAAGATAACGTACCAATAGCGCCGTTCGGGATCGAACCTAGCCTTCTTATAAATCCCACGGATAAGCCCTCTCCACAGTTATACTTTGAAATCATCTACGGGGAAAATGATTGTATCCGGAGTAATGGGAATAACTTTTTTGCCGTTGCTGCCGGGAATGACTCCATCAGGCCCGTTTGTGGGAGGAGTTCTGTTATTGCGGTCATTACCAGGAACTCCGGTACTCCGCTGAAAGTTGGTTACTATTAGTAATTTTTCAGTTACATGTATGTAAAATAAAAACTTACAATCGGGGCAGCCAGAACAAAGCCGCTAAGCGACATGGTAAGAAGTGCAGAGAGAAGCTGCATATTGAACTCGATGATAATATGGAGAGTTCAAAAAAAGTTGTGTTTGAATTTTCTGATAAAAAAAAAATCTCAAGGGTATTTGATTCTTATATAGTTTTTTTAGGAACTTATACTTGCTCTCTAAGAAAGTGCGAATTACTCGTATTATAATATACATTACTTATATATTTAGTATAACTAGTATTATATTTAAATATAAACTTCATATGTAACTTGTTATGACCTAGGCTGTTACAGGGCACCCGGCCAACGCCGATGCCATAACGCCACCAAATAAAAGCCTCACAATCGGCCCCTGAGCGTGGCATAAACTATGTAAACGGGTAACCGACTCCTTGATAACTTGTGGCTCTTCTTTCCCGTAACGCAATTAATATACTGGTACGAAACACGCCTCTGACTGCATAAGCCCCGTGCCCCTTATATTAATATGACTCGCATTGTTTCGTACATGAGTCGGAGCACCCGTCAAGGGTAACACGTCTGGTTGATTTTCCAAGCCGTATTAGGCATTATTGCTGGGTTCTCTGTCACGGACCTGTTATACCTGAAGCGCACACGTGTAGCATCTTTTCCCATTCGTCACATACATGTCCAGAGGCTAAGCCTTTCGGAGCGCATCCCTACCTAACTGTTATGCCATGAAAAGGACACAGCAGCATAATGTACTCTTGCATTAGTATGTCGTGTGACAAGACACAGCCCATGACGTGACTTGAGGACAGGTAAGTTTCAGTGCCATGCTCGTCTCACAGTCTTGTCTCGGATGACGCTCTCCTCCGTAAATCGACACGTTGCTATTATCGAGGCATGATGGGACGATAGCAAGCACCGCACGAAATTTCTAATAGAATCTCTCAGAGGACATCATTTCGGTATAAGCGGCGGACAGAAACATGGATTCTATTAGCGTTCTCAACGCTTGGTCAAACAGGTTCCATTAAGGATATAAACAACGCTCTCACAATCTCCTTTGAGCCGAACTGCATCTACTCCCAGAGTAACAAACGACAGTTTTAAAGAGAAACTCGGATAAAGCTGCTTATTTTCTTGACCCCTTTATCGTGTTGCGCGGGTGTTCCTGACTTTGCCGACGTCAATAGTTCAAGGGCGTGAGTTGCCGGAACAAGGACGAGGTGCGTTAAGCCTCTTTAACTGTGGCTGTTATGTGACGAATTCTTATTCCCCTACCGAGAGGCAGAGTATTTTAGCTGATTCACATGGCATTTACTTCTCCATCCTCGCTTACCCGACAACTTGGCAACCTTGACCTCAGCTTCATGTAACCGTGTGACATGGGACTATGTGCCAGGGCAGGACGGCATCGAAGCACAACTTCAATACGAAAACTCGCATGGTGAGAATGTTTTGCACCCGAAATGTAAAATATTCAACCTATAGCTATTCCGTCCGTCTTGTAATTGCTTCTTGTAAAGAAGGCTTGCACCAGACTGATAATAAAAGAAACACACCTTAGTCCGCGTTATTCATTATACTGCAGCCTCACATAACTAGTTCGGGTCGACAAGGATGCTTTGGTTGAGGCAAGGTAGTGCTAGCCAAAGCAGCTATTCCCAAGAAAATTTAAAATGTTTTACTGTCACGATTACACTAGGGATACGATGACGGGACCTAGGACAGATGACCATTATCGACTACTTGTATAAATAGACTTTTTCAGTTGAGTAGTTCTTAGGGAAAACCAAGGACCCTTATTTCTAAAGACTGCAATTGCATGAATTAAGTCATGTTACTCCAAGCTGTTAGCCCTTATCACATTTACCAAGGACCACCTTCATGGACATAGCGCGAGTAGTTTAACACTGGAGGGCTGAAGAGTAACACAAGCAGCAGAGAGGCAGAGTTTTTCGGGCTTTGTACTAAACTTGCAGAGAGTATAATAAGGTGTGATTATTACTTTACAAAAAAATGCTGGATCCTGAACCGGTGCTCCTAGATCTCGTGTAGCCGAATACGATGCCGACTGGAGCAAACGTCCTATCTAGCTCGAATCCAATCCATACTATTCCCTAAGGCCCGATAACGACAGAAACCCGCTTATGGCCGGCCGAGCTTAAACTCCCTAGGAGAACTCCATACAACGGCCACAGCTTACATAGTAATACACTATATAGAGCATGGGGAAGTATGGAGTTACTAGAAGCGCAACGCAGGTTAGTATACTACTAGCTATTGGTAAGCTAGCAAGATTGGGAAAATACTTACGAACTAGAGTAGTAGTTTATTAATATAGTAATTAATATTAATATACTTATAATATAAAGGTATACTTACGAAGCACTAATATTATTAGACATATTAGTATAATACTTAATTATGATATTAAAGGTAAAAATAATACTTACTCCCTATTATTAATACTACTATTAGTATAATAGTAATTATTTTACGTTTTTTATAAAAGTAAAAGCTTACCAATACAGTCTTATATAATAAAATATTAGTAACAGATAAAATATAAAAGAAAGGTTATATATAAAAATATACTTACAATCTGGTAATATCATGTTTTAGCGTATAATTACAAGTATTATATACTAGATATTTTAAGAGAGATACTTACAGGCTAGTAATATTAAATATTAGCGTATAGCTACTAGTATTATATACTTAGTATTATAAAAGAAATACTTACAGACTAGTAATATTAAATATTAGCGTATAGCTTCTAGTATTATATACTAGATAATTTAAGAGAAATACTTACAGCCTAGTATTACCATATATATTAGTATATTATTATAACTTATAATATAATAACAAGTAAAATACTTACACACTATAATTTTATATTAGTATATATCTTATAATATGATAATAATAGTATAGTACTTAGTACTTACACCCTAAAATTACCATGTACTTAGTATACTACTAGTACTTATTCTAGGTAATTAAAAGAATACTTACGAACTAAATTATACTATATATGAGTATATATCCGGTTAGAAATATAGCTAGGAATACTTACCAACTATATAATATATATTAGTATATATCTAGTTACTTATATAATATAATATACTTACAGCCTAGAGTAATATATATATTAGTATATATATAGTTACTTGTACAGTATAATATACTTACAGCCTAGAATAATATACATATTAGTAAAATATTCAGTTATTTATATAGCGTAAAATACTTACAAGCTAAAGCAAAATATATATTAGTATGTATTTAGTTATTTATATAATATAAAATACTTACTTGCTAAGGTATAATATATATTAGTATATATCTAGTTACTTATATAATATAATATACTTACAGCCTAGAGTAATATATATATTAGTATATATATAGTTACTTGTACAGTATAATATACTTACAGGCTAGAATAATATACATATTAGTATATATTTAGTTATTTATATAATATAAAATACTTACAGTCTAAAGAAGAATATATATTAGTATATATCTAGTAATTAATATAATATTAAATACTTACAGGCTAAAATATAATTCTTATTAGTATATATTAGCTTATTTATATTATATAATAATACTTACAGGCTAGAGTTATTGTATTTATTAGTAGAGTAATAATTATGAATAATATATATTCTTTATATTATAAATAAACGTACAACCTATAATTATAATCTATTAGTATTATATTACTATAATTATAAACGCTAATAGGGGTTAATACTTACACTCTAGAATTTCCATTTCTATTAGTATAGTATTATTTTTAGTGTATAATCTCTAGTAATAAAAATACTTACAATCTAGAGTTTTTATATTAGTATATTACTATTTTTAGTATTTAATGTATAAGAATAAAAGTACTTACAGTCTATAATTTCCATTTATCTTAGTAGAGTACTATTTTAGTATAAGTCTCTAGTAATAAAAATACTTACAATCTAGAGTTTCCATTTATATTAGTATATTACTATTTGTAGTATTTAATATCTAGTAATAAAAAGACTTACACTCTAGAGTTTCCATTTATATTAGTAAAATACTATATTTAGTATATAATATATAATAGGAAAAATACGTACCGTCTAGTATTATTATATATTAGTATATTACAAGTTATAAACAATATATTATATTTGTAATAGAATTAAGACTTACACACTATAATTATAATATATATTAGAGGTTTTTCTATTAGTAGGCTCTTTATTCTTTTAAAGCACTTACACCCTAAAAGTATTACAGGATATTAGTAAAATTGCTAGTAAATAATACGCAAGTTATATATAGTACTTACAGTCTATAATATAATTCATATTAGTATAAGTATAAGTAACTTATATAATCTTCATATTAATAAATTACATACAGCCTATATTAATAATATATATTAGTATATATTATATTGTGATATTTATGGAAGTATTAGAGGTACTTACAATCTAAAATATCGTAATATATTAGTAAAATCACTAGTAAATTATATATAAGCTGTATTATATTAAGTACTTACGCCCTGTAATATATTAGCTATTAGTATAACTAACTTGTATAGCCTTTATATAAAGTAAAATACATACTTGCTATAATAATAATTTATTTTAGTATATATTCAGTTATTAAATTAATAAACTCAGAAAAGCTACTTACAAGCTAGGTATAGAACAATATATTAGTATGTAATAAATACTAATATTATAAATATTATTCTTAAAAGAAAACATACACACTAAAGTTATTAAATATTAGTAAATATAAGATATTAATATAAGAAGTATATTAAAGATAATACCTACAGCCTAGAATTATAATATATATTAGTATTACTTATTAATATAACAAATATACTAAGGTAATACTAACAAGCTGGAGTATTTAAGTTAGTTATAATATAACTAGTTAGTAAATTTGTAAATTTACTTACAACCTGTAATTAGGATATATATTAGTATATTTCTCGGTACTATTATTTAACTCGAAATGGAGAAGAAATTATACCTGTGAAGGAGTCTTTAACTATATATATATTAGCATATAGAACTTATTCCATCAGAAGATAAGTATTACGACGCTGAATTTATACGTACTCGTTTTTCAAGGTTTGTATTCTCTTCTGTTGGGGCTGCAAGTGCGAGACCCGCGAGAGGAACTAGGAGCATGGTAGGCTTCATCGTGGCGGTTTCGTAGTGGTTGACGGTTAGAATAATAAGTCAAGTATTGAGTGATATGGACCCGAAATGGTAGAGTTAGTATTGTGCAGGACGTTTGAAGAAAACGGTTCAAATGTTGCCGCGGGACATGTTTGTGCAGCGGCACTATTTAATATTTCATGACCAGGATCGATGATTGCGGTGGCGGCATCAAAAATCTGCAACTGCGACCCGTCTCTAGTCTAGTGGCTCTTCCTTCAAGGAAGGCACTTGACTTTATCGACGACGGCCCTGTGGATGTGGCGGCGGCGCCCCCAATGCCACATCGAGCTCCTGCAGAGCTCTCTTTAGTCCCATGGCGTTCATCAAGATGTCGAGACCAAATACTTAAGCGCCATTCATCCACGTACTCGCTCGAGATGAATATGTACATGTCAACTCGCGACCAACTAGGCCAACCTTGTATGTATTGACGGAGCACAAGCTGGTACCACGTCCCGCTTTGGAATTTGCTCCTGCCAGCTGAGTTTTCACCATGGCTGGGCTTTCCTTCAGGCTAGTAGCAATACATGACGCAGAGCAAATCAGTTGACTTTTGTTGTTGATGGTGCTGAAATAGAGCTGTACTCGGTTAGATTTGGAATTACCTTGATAGGCAAGAACTAGCGATGTGCGCATTCCATGCCCAAGGCTCGGCATGTAACGTCAACATCAACGTCGGCCACTCGGAACCCGGCTCGCTTGACTTGAAGTCGACGGGTCATAGCTGAGCACTTGGCCAAAGTTCAAAGCCCCTGGCGTCAGACTCGGGGCTTACCAAGGCGGCCGACTGCCATCAGACCACGGCAGCACTTGATCCGCCCAGATGAACCAGTCGGTCAAAGGAACTGACATCAGCTGAAGGGCTGGAATCCGGGGCAAAGTCGCTCCGATGTTTGCTGCGTGAGCCGACCCAAGCCTTGGCGCCACCAGAGTCAGCCGCAACGTTCAAGTCAAGAGGTCTACGGCTCTGGCGGGACTTGTTTGTGGGCAAATCTACCCAAAGTGGATGCCTCACAAAATTGCGAGGTGTAATTTGGTAGATTTTCTGTTTTTCCTTTCAACAGGAATACACAGTCAACCCAAGGCTCAAGATGGCATGTTGGCAAAGCTCGAAACTATCCCATTGCTAGACGGAGCAGGTACGCTATTCTCGACCCTGGAGAGAAGGAAAAGGAAAGCAATCTTCTTCTTCTTCTTCTTCCTTTTCTGTTTCTTCAAACGCATGTGAAGCAAAAGCAAAGGGAGATCGAGATGACGAGCGCGGGTCCGGTTCCCCAGACGGGATCTGGACCCTGAGCGCATTCTGGCGGTCTGGTGGTGTGCAGGCGCCAGCTGAACCGAAAAGGGTCAATTCCATCGATGGGGCGCGGCGCAAGAAGAGACATGTCGACTGGTGTTAATAACCGGACTGGCCAACGAAACGTGGCCTGATGAGCGACAAGGTTTCATGGCAAGTGCCACGCTGAGCATTACTCGTGCGACGCCGACCGACCATGTTGAAAGTGGTCTGGTCGAGCCTGCATACCCCCAAATAAGGTTTGAGAGCATGTTGAGACCAAATAATATGTGGTGATTTGGCGCTTTTGCCATCTGCAATTCGGACTAAAATATTGGCCATGGACTAAATTCAACGTGAATGGTGGCGGGTTGTCTGTTGCCGGAACAAGGACGAGGTGCGTCGAGTCCCTTCCACCGCGGCCGTTGTGTGACTTGAACTGTTTACTGCCGCAATTCGGCTCGGACGCAGCCTGGTTCATGGTGCGAATATGGAATATTGTCACAATAGGAACATGCTCCGAATGAGCAGCAACGATACCCTCATATATTCCGTGGACGGAGATTAAGGCTCTCAATAAATGAGCCAGCAACGCCCAGAAGCGAAACCCCTCTGTGACACGTTGCAGCCACCGGCTTCTCTCCGCCGACGACTGCAAATTCTCCATTGTCTGGACTCGCAGTTTGCACACATACATCACACACCCGCCGTTCAAGGTTAGCACTAGTGCACAAGCCAGAACTTACAAACTGATTGACAGTTTCAAGCGGCCCGTATCCTCCATCTTAAACCGTCAATATCCATCCATCTATGTCCGTTCCATCACTTACCATGTTTTTATATCGTATAATAGAGTCCGATTTCTGGGAGCGATTCCATTCATCATAATTGCCCACTTATCCGAATATACCCCATGCATAAAATTAGCTCCGACAAGGTGTCTGAATTCGTGGTCCCTAGCCATGTCTTTTACTTGTCGCCTTGCTCTGTACTTGTTCGACTCCATCAGGTGCGTAAACGTGGGCTTCATTTCCCGCCCACGCATTTCATGTGCCGCTGCAGAGAACAAGGAAGGACAGTCGGGGAAGATGGTTCTCAGGGATAATCACTTGCTGAGGTTGAAGCTCCGAGACAATGGCACGGTGCTTGTAGTCCTAAATTTTGGGTACTGGAATATTTCGTTTGCGAAATATATGAGCAGATGGCGACATGATAAAAAAAACGCATGAGCAATGCGCTCAAACAGTCGCAGGCAGCATTATCACAATATGTTGGCCGTGTCAGTTGCCTCTCGCCATAAGTGACTGGCTGCCGCTTGCATTATGACCGTGGATGCATGACAAAAGTCCCCACGTAGGAATTGCGATGGAAAATGCCATGATTGCGGTGTTAATGCAGGAGGAAAAGCGCTCTCTTTATGGCAAAACCGAGCCGACCACAGAACCTACCAACGATGAAAAAAGAGGGAAAAAGCCAATGTACATATTACTCAGCAGGTCTTGCGATCACGGTAAGACGGGGCGTTTTCTTAGGCAAACCCCCATAGCCAGGCGTGCGTTCATATCAAAGGGCTACTATTATCATATGGCATGAGAATGAAGCGTTATAACCATGGTCGAGCATATATTGAACATGCAAGCCTGGCGGATAATGCGTTCATGCATGTAAGACACGAATCAAGACGAAACGACCCTCCTTGCTTGCGACTGACGTGATGGCATGCCATGGAGTCGGTCATTCGGTCATAGCTCCGGCCCGCCGGGATTCCCATCGGAACCCCATTCGGGCCACATCGGATCCACTTCGGGTGCGCTTAGTGGGCGGTAATAAGAGTCAATTCGTAAGACGGAAAGGAGGAGTACCTTGACGTGACATATTTCCGTCTCTCTTGGCTCCTCAAGTCGGCTGTCTTTTCGAGAAACACCTGCGCGTAGTAGTACACGCAGTCTAACCCTTAAATAGTTCTATAGGGGGGTTACTAACTGATTAAAAAAAAGCTTAATATAAAACCGTTGACCTCTCCTAACGCCTGATTTCTTAAAATATATAAGCTATAGTTAGTGCACTGCCCCCTGCTACCAGCTGCCCTGTCAGGTCACGCATGAAGAATACATAAATTCAGGGGGTGGACTGTAGGGCTTGTCTATCGCATTTGATAAGGTTTCTTGGCATATTCCATTAATGGCATAAGGACCAGATACTTTTGAATTCAGGGCTGCGACTTCATGCGACATCGAGGGATTACTCATCGACGATCCTAATAGACATTCGGCTTTAGGCTCCAGGTGTCCCACTCGGCCTACAAGGCCACACTGGCAAGCAGAAAGGTCCGGATTAATCCCCATGGGTAAACACACTGCTTCTTTGAGAGTGAATATATAGTATGGCTACGGTCTGCCCGTACTCGCGAGGTTTTCATCCACCAATCGCCAATATATTCAGAATATCGCCAGTTCTTTGCCCATCATGCACCGTGCCGCTGTCCTGCCCCTGTTGGCATCCCTAGGAACCATCGCCGCCGCTGCGCCGGCGGTTACTGATGCCGATATTATCGTGAATTCTTTCCAGCTGTATCCCGAAAATGCCGACTACGATTTCAAGCGCAAACTGCTACATTTTGGGTACGGCTCCCGTCTTACTCGTCATGTCTGGTGCAATAAAACTGACCCCTACAGTGCACTGTACAATTCGTCCATTGCCGCGTATAGCCCGTCGAAAAACACCATTGAAAAAATTACCGAATTTCCACCACTTACCAATGATACCTCTTATCACGCAAGCGGTGTCAAAGTTGACCCCTTCAACGATCGGCTGTCCGTCATCGTCAACCCCGGCGCCGCATGGACAACGGCGGGAGAGAACATAACAGGAGACACGTGGCTCATCAAGCTCGACCTGAAAACGGGCGACGAGCTCTGGCGGAGTAATCTTACGACGGCACTGGATGGAAAGTACGGAGGGTACCAGGACGTGGCGCATGATGCCGCCGGCAACTCCTACGTCATCGGCACGTTTCCAGGCTCCATTCTCAAGGTCGACCCCATCGGAAAGAAAATAACTCCATGGTATGTAAGCGAAGAGACCAACACGACGGTAACTGGATTCACTGGTATTGTCTATCTGGGCACGAAGTTTCTCACGACGTATGGGCAAAATGGCCAGCTGCAACGCTGGGACAGTTGCCAGGGACAGGGTAAGCCTACTCCCGTTCCTATTGGAACAACCGGTACACCGCCGACAACGGACGCGGTTCTCCAGAACATTGAAGCCATTACTCTGCCTAAAAAGTACGAGGGCAAGGTTCTCCTAGTGGCTTCCAACTCCAAAGGAGTCTATGTACTGCGATCCAAGGACGGTAGCTGGGATTCGGCTGAGAACCTGGGAGCAATTCCCAACAATTACGAGAGCGATGGAGTTGTTGTAACAACCGTGCAGGTGGAGGACCGTCTTTATGCTGTTCTTGAGTACTTTGACGATATTAAAAACCCCGTGCCCGAGACCGTTGCTGGCAACCGAACCGAGTTTCCCCTCCAGGATATTACCTCAGCTGTGGAGGAGTATCTGCAGAAGTAGTGGCATTGGACTTTTAGCATCCAGCGGGGTTATAGAAGTATATAGCTGTTCAATGTTACTTGAAGTTTGGGCTCTATAGCTAGTTGTACGACGGGCCAAGCGGGCAATGCGCCCCTGCCTGCTGCCAGCTGATGGGTTCCCTCATTTTGCGTGTCAGATGTTGAATGGAACATGTCCAATCTATAGCGTGACCAGCGCCGGCCACGATGATACTGGAAGGCTGGGATGAACTACTTCAACGACATGAGCACCACTGCATCAATTCAAGTGGCTCTTTTATTTCCTCAAAAATCTCAGGAGCGATGGAATTAGCCGGCACACCATGCTAGATTGTCCAGTCATTCATACCGCAGCCGCAGCACGAACATGTCGCGTCTCCAACGTAGACAAAACTACAATGTTGGACCGCCGTCCAGTTTACGCCGTTTTTGAACCGGCCGCCGTCGCAGGACATTCAATGCCCAGCCCGAATCAAGCATGGCTATTTTTTATTCGCTATGCAGCCTGGGACTGGTCGGAAGCAGCTTCAACTGTCCAGCCGCGCTCGTGTCATTGAAATCCTGTCCCCTGGTTCAATCGGAAGAAAATGCAACAAGTACATCCACACAATGGCTTGCGGCGTTGCGACGTGGCGGGCTCGCGCTCCCGGAGCCGATGTACTCGCTAAACTGAGTGTCGTAAACCAGGGTTCGTAGCCAAAACGTCCTGTCGAATTGATTGGAGATGTCCAGTAGGTTCTTTTTGTAATCGCGTAGCCCCAAGAGATGGCATACGGTCAATCACGCAGCCCTTTCCGGGAGGAGGCATCGCAGCCGACTGCCGCGCGTAAGGCTGTAAGCCACCCGTCCATCAAGTCGAGAGTTGTCGGTTCCTCCACACCACACATGCTGAATCATGGAATGACAGTATATGCAAATTGAGTAAAAAGAATGAACAAAAATGAAAGATGTTGGGTGCATTTTGGCAAAATATAGGTGCAAAATTCATCGCTTTGGGCCAGGAAGCGGCCATCAAAAAGAGCAAAACTACCAAGACTGGGGTTCGAACCCAGGAATCTCTCGATAGTGGAAATTACGCCAAAAATGGCTTAAGTCCACCGCCTTAACCCCTCGGCCATCTTGGTATTGTCAACGTTTGACCCTGACCATGCCTTATAAAGGGTTGTGGGTTTACACCCAGTGCAGCGCATCCACCGGGACAGGACAGGGGTGAGGGATAGGGCTGCTTTTCCAGGTTTTTTTCATCAGATTTATCAAGCAAGTCGATTTCTCTTGGATGAAAAGCGATTACTTTCTCAAGCGCTGTATGTGATGGGAAGTGTGGTTGACGCGTGCATCGCGACCTTGATATGTCAATCTGATGTTACCAGGCCAGGCTGTGGTTAGCGCCCGCTCTAGGCTTGCATGTGCCCACTGGACCACCTACCTAAGTAGGTACACATGCATGTACCCAGGTAGTGGCACTGGGACCACAGCCGCTGGACCAGAAGCGCCCCGTCCGGACTCGGAGGCCGCGTCGTTCGCACGGGCTTTCTGGAGGAATACGTATCAACATTGAACATTAAAGTGCAAGTACTATGTAACCCTAACATATCAGTTTCGCCATGTAAGATGAACTGCTTCCCGTCTTTCATCATGGAATATTTATAGATCTTCATAGATAGATGCTTGATCGCATCATGTGGAAAGTTGTCGTGGCCTGCACAGCGCAGCCTTGGCCTTCCATGTTGCAGTGCTGTCTTTCTGTTCTTGAGGCGAGCGCCTTTCTGCAGGCTCCAAGAGCAAGTTTCCATGTGAAGGGATACAGTGACAGGTATCTCATTCTGGGCTGTCCATAGTGTACTTGACTCGACACATCCCTTGTATTAACGGGAAAATACAGGACATCTACAGTCAAGAGGTATATAAGGATACTTATGACAGGTACTTGTGGAATTCCCTTTGGCTTGGTGTCTTTAAACCGTGATACCTTTTCTGTGCGCGGATTAGTGATGGCAATTCAATCATCAACTTGTCTGGTATATTAGAATATCCTAAACGACGTCGCTATATCTTCAAAAGTTACATGCGACATGGGTCCAATGAGTGGCCGAGCCCTTCCATGACATATAAAATGCCCTCAAATTCTATCCACAGTTGAGTGGATTGAACACTACATGTAAGAAGAAGCCCGCTCTTCAATACAACGTCCCCTTTGCACCCAAACGACCTTGGCTTTCTCGCTATCTGGCGGCTTCCAAGTGGACCGTCTTACCATTAAAGTCAAGGTTAGAGACGTGGCTTGAATGGTGTTCAATCAAGTAGAGAATTTGGCCGATCACTGGTCTCATTGTTTGTTGGGCTTTCTAGGCTTATCAATCCTGAATTGTATGAAAGTGCATGTAAATATACTCTGTCTTTAGTAGAATTTTGACCATATACATGGCTTTGCCGGCTGTAAACAAGGTTAATATATCTTGCCGCTATATTTACCCCTATATTTCACAATTTTTGATAAAGTACCTGGGGGTCACCCGCTCTCCTGGGTTGGCATATACTCTGACAGGTGATGACTTCTTGGAACCGCTTCCTCTACTCTTTCCACTTGACGACCACTCCACATGCAGATCTCGCAAATTTTCGCTTGAAGAAGTTGAATGTAGGTCCCTTTCCAAAACTTTCCTGCAGTTTGTGTAAAAACTATCCACCTTTATATGTTGCAGTTTTACAAGCCTAGACAAGACTTTCATGGCAGAGGGCACATCGGTAGGAATTACACATCATTTCTTGTTAAAACGGTGAACCGTACACCCATTACTGCCCACCGTACTCTCAACTAGCAACGAACGAAGCTTGCAATCGCAGGTCTTGGTGTGCCCAATAGAGCTCTTTGAGTATGTCGGTTTCAGGCTTCACAAAGCTAACACACTACCCCTTGTCAAGGTATACCTGAACTGATTCAAGTGGAAGTCGTTGAGCGCTCCCAGAAGGAGCAACATCTTTAGTGTATATAAATATCACACTCTGGCCTAAACGTTATGCAAAATTTGGTGGGGGGCAAGAATAGTATGTCATAGTAGCAAATAGAGCAAGTTTGTAGATACGATACAAAAGAACCGCCTTTGGAGCGACAAAATAGGACCACGGCAGCGAAAATCGTCTAGGAGAGCGGCATGGTGCCATATACCTCCGTCAGCTGTTCCCAAGTGACGCTCTTCCCGTAAATGAGCTTTGCAACTGCCTTGCCACCGAAAAGGCTTTTCCTTGAAGAAGCCATGTAATGACGATGAGTGATTTCTGCGCTCTTAGAAGCCATGTAAGTGGAAAGGCGTGTCATATTCGCTTTCAGCACCATGTTTGCTCCTGGATTATCCATGGGTGGCCTCCATTCTTGATTGCTCTCCATTTTCATTATAGATTCTACAACAAGCTTCTTCAGGTCGACAATGGGTTGATTCTCCTCTGCTGATAATCCAGGAAAGGTGACAAATTCCGGGCAGACCGACAACTGCTCGAGGGGGGCAGCCTGGGCACTGCTCCAATCAATGATTCCCGTAAGATTGTAGTCGTTATCAAAAAGCATATTACCGAAATGCAGGTCGAGGTGACAGAGGGGAAAGGGGCCGCGGACTCTGTCCTCAATAATCATGTGGGTTAGCGCTGTTTTCAGCACCCAACAAGCAGTCCGCCAGTTTGGGTCATCCGGATGCATGGAAATGGCTTCCCTGTTTTCATCCTGTTTTTGATTGTAGAAGTATTCCAGCGAGGTTTCCAACGGGCCAGGCGTCGCGTGCCAGGCCATGGGTATGATCTTGACGGGCTGATCAGCATTTTCGCCACACCAGAGACGCCCGATGCGGCTGAAGGTAAGATTTTGGAGTTGTGCAAAAACATTTGCAAGCTGCCTGGCTACTTTATTATGGTGCTGGGAAGGTATAGCTCTCGCCAGCCCATTTGGAAGGGTACGGCCGCCCAAGTACTCCATGAAAACATATGGATAGCCAAAGGGCTGGTCCGCGGACGTTTGAAAGTCGAAAACCTGGGGGATCGGGACAGTTGTGTGTTCTTGAATCATCTTCATTGTGGCAATCTCGCTTGCTAATGAGGTCTTATCACTCTCGGTCTGGCACTGGTGCGGGATCCGGGCTATCCAGTACACATTGTCTGAGAATGCAAGTTCGAAGACGACATTATTGAAACCAGATGTGAAATGTGTCAGATTGACGCTGCATTTGACATCGGAGGGTAAGCCCGGTTGATGCTTCTTGCGGGACTCTATTCCGCGCGCCTTGAGATATTCGAAGTTTGCCGAGGAGAGGAGCTGGATTCGCTTATATCTGTCTGAACCTGGAGCCAGACTAGCAAAGCCCTGCCAGTGGTCGCTTGGTTTTTCCATCTTCTTATGTTCGTTCGGGCCTTGGATAAGAGCAAAAGTTGAGGAAGTTTGTCGAAAAATTGTCAACTTGAGGGAAAGTTAAGGAGAATGGAAGGTGTGATGATGAACGATTATGGGCTACGTTTCATGGTGTTTTGACAACGTATGGATGGGACAAAAGCACGTGACTGCGGAGAAAATTCCCTATCCAGCCTGCCAACAGCACGAAGACCATGCAATACATTGAAGGAAAAGGGGCAAGGAAGAATCGATGTGTTGCCAGGCCAAAGTGACTCTGTATCAGATTATCTGGTGATTTGCCATGCTTGGACGGTACGATACTTTGTTTCCTGGAGGGAGTGCTGGCTTGATCTACTTGTGGAAGCGTTGATACTGGTACTTTTCCAATTTGGCTTACGGTATGGTACGAGGCGAATAGGTAGAGCAAGAATTAGACTAGAACTCCTCATAGAAATTTGATAAGATGTTGAAATGGTAGTACTGTAAGCTCCTCCCGGTTATTTGTACAATAACTCACGGCTAAATCTCTAACTATGAGCCAATATTAAAAGACTGAAATTGGGTTATCATATTATTAAAGAACCTTGACGTGTTCCTTATATATAACTATCCTAAGCTGCAATCTAGGAGTAAAATAATATAATAAACTATTAAGCCTGGATTTAGTAAAAGAACTTAGACAAAGAACGTATATATAAGCCACATGTAATAATTCCCTCTCATCCCTTCCAAAAATCTGTAACCTGCTTAAGGTGTTCCACGCACTAGGTGCCTACAGCAATTTCCGTACCAGACTATACAAAGTACCAGGGCATTTCTGTCTTGGGCGATTACTGGAAGCAAGAAAGAAGCGCAGCCAATCGTGTGGCTCCACTTAGCGCCCAGAGGGCAGCCATGTGGAGGCTTGCTGTGGAAAACGGCCAATAAAACTAGGGGAGCCCCGCTATGCAGTGTGGACGATAAAAGGATATCTGCGTCGAGTTGACAAATCTCGCACCACCTTCTTCAGATAGATTCAATGTGCATATCGTTAATTCTCGAAACATATTGTATATCCCTTTTACAGCGAATCCTTAAAACTCGCCCTAGTCGACGACTATAATGTCACTTTACAAATTGCCTCCCGAGACTCTAACACAGATCTTTGATCAAGTCGGGTCATCTTTTTTCCACGAAGATTTGGGTCGCCTTACGGTCTGCAAACAATGGTTCGAATATGCCCTTCCTGTATTTTTCAAGTGCATCAAACTTTACCAAAAGACCCTGCGTAGCCTAGTAAGTTCCCGGGTCATGAAAAGTCCATCTCTACTTCAGGGCCGCCTGGAAATCCTGGAGCTTGATCTCAGCGGATATCATGCCCCTTTCTCCACGTTATATCCTGAAAACCCTGCTTCGGAATTGGATCTATTAAAGGACAGTGGCCCGAATGAGGCTCCCAGAGAACATACGACTGAGACATGGATAAAGGACCTTGGAAATGACCTCGCCCAACTCACCATTATGGCCCAAAAATCTCACAGGTTGCGTACCTTGCGCATAAGAGCCCGGGGCTATCTCTCCCCTCAGCCGCTGGATAGCTCTGACGATTATCTGCCGCTAGCAGCGATGCAAGCCTTGCTTTCGATGGAGAACCTCTGCATGCTAGTGCTGGATTCATCTGTCAGCATTCTAGCCCCATCGGGAGAGCAAGGGGGTAGCCATCATATTTGTCCAGCCATCGGCACCCTTCTGCGCACGCTTCGAACCCTTCATGTACGCATGCGCAGCATCTGCCCTGACGTTTTGAAGCCCCAGGACCCAAACGAAAGTCTGCACTTGAGCGAAGTGGTCGTCAACTTGAGCCTGACTACCAACCTACCAGGGATAACCTCGGCGGCTCACTCTAAACGATGTGGTTTCCAGGAAGGAGGATTGCTTCAACTGAAAGCGGACATACAAGAGAAGGCAGAGGCTCTCGCAACCAAAATGACGTCACCCAAAGTTGTGAGGATTCTGACTCATACACTACCTCAGTTTGAAACGCAGTCACTCGACGTCTTGACTGGCAGGACTATGATTCTGGGCGATGACATGGCGTGGGGTGAAGATGGCAAGACTGTGGAAGAGGAGTCTGGATCAGAGTCCGAGCTGCTAGATGAGGAATTTGAAACATTTTTGGATGACTGAAATATTATGCTTATAGCGAGCTCTATTTATAGCGTCTAGTACCCGCAGCGTAGCGGCAGCTTGGCCTAGAGAAGTTAAAGGTTGGCTTGAGGCATAATAGAATTGAATAACCTTGAGTTTCGCAAGCAACCTAGTATAATATAGTTTAAAGCTTATAAAGGTGGAATTTTTATTATCACGTTTATATAAGAGACCTTATAAGTTTTATTTATATTAATTATAAGATAACTTAAGCCTGTATTAGATATTAAGTTATATAAAAATGCGGGCAAGATAGTTATAAATTTAGCGGCTAGAAATACTATATGACTTTATATTTTAGGGTACTATTACAATAGGGACTAGGCAATATCCCTGGGTCAAATTACTAAGTCCAGACCTGATGTTATTCCTACAGCTAGAATTACAAGGCCAGGGGCAGTAATAATTTCCGTGACGCGTGGACAGTCGACCAACAACGTTCTTCTTCTTAGCAAGGCCCTGTGTAAGTGACAGCTTACGTAAGTCGCCATCCCCTTCCACGTTGGCCAACGGCCTCATCTTTGCCAACATCCCTTCAATCCCTGACAGAATCACGCATTGTTACACGGATGACACGTTGCCATGAAGGCACGGGCCGAGCCTTGATCCCGACGATAGTTGCACGAGGGCTCTGATCACGAGACCTAGGGCAAAGTCCCTCACCGACTTCTTGTATTTAAAGACCCCTTTGGTCAACAAGGCCTTGAGGAAAACCAAGGACCTTTGATACTAAAGACTGTTATTAGATGAATTGAGTCATTGCTCCAAGCCTAGCCCTTGTCACACCCATGTGCATAATCAAGACTTACTGCAACTCCAGTCCTATCTCAACGGTGATGAGAAGGCCATCTTTGGCTCTGCTAAGCTGTCAAGGTTTTCTTTCTCCTCCATTTCCCCTACTAGCAGCTCCAGCTGGCGGCTTCCGCTGTCCTTTATTTCGACTCTATCCTGCACATTGGGCCTCGTCACGTTTCGTCATGAGCAAACCAGCAACACAGACCCCAGATGGGAGCCGCACGTCTGAATCGGACTCTGGGGTCCGCTTCCATGCTATTGACGACGCGGAGCCTTTTTACAGATATGGCCCTGGTGGCTACCATCCAGTGGCCATCGACGATCGACTTGGCGGTCATTACAATGTACTGCAAAAGCTCGGCCACGGCAGCTATTCCACGGTCTGGCTCGCGCGAGACGAGGTGCTCCAGCGACTCGTTGCGGTCAAAGTCTGCACGGCGGATGCGAGCCCGCGTGAGTCTGAGATTCTGTCCCTCCTAAGGCATCCGTCTCAGGTGGACGGCGATGGGAACGACGACGCCCTGGGCCGGGGCATGATGCCCATACTTCTCAACACATTTCACATCAATGGTCCCCACGGCACCCATACGTGCCTGGTCACCGATGTTGCACGGTGCAGCGTGGACGAGGGAAAACGCAGAGGATTCTACGCACCTCTAATGCTGCCCGTTGCACGTGCTATCGCAGCTCAATTAATTCTTGCGGTTGCCTACCTGCATGCTAAGGGGTTTGTCCACGGAGGTGAGTGCTAGTACCTGTTCGCTGTCCCGACACCCACTGACTTGACCGACACCAGACCTTCATCTCGGCAACGTCCTACTCAGACTTCCGCAGAAATTTCATCTCTGGTCTGAAGAGGAGCTGTTGGAGCACTGCGGAGAGCCAGAACAAGAGCCAGTTCAGACGTTTGGTGACAAGCCGATTCCATCGGGCGTCCCACCCGTTGCCACTCTGCCCGTCTGGTTCCCCATGGAGCGTATCGACAAGCTTCCCCTGTCCGAGGCCGACATCGTCCTCGCTGACTTTGGCGAGTCATACCGCCCTTCGCAGGAGTCGAAATTCGAATGTTGCACGCCGGTGCATTTTCGCCCACCAGAGTCTAGGTTTGAGCCAACGAAGCCGAAGTCGTTCTCCAGCGACATCTGGACCCTCGCATGTACTGTCTGGGCCACCCTCGCCCAGCGATCCTTGTTCGAGGTGTTTTGGGGTACCGAGGACGACGTGACAGGGATGCAGGTCGAGACTCTCGGGAAACTGCCTGATGAATGGTGGGAGAAATGGGATGCGCACTCAGAGGGCTTTACGGAGGACGGCCAGCTTATCCGAGTCGAAGACGGTCCTATGTGTACCTTTGACCACCAGTTTGAGGATACTATCCAAAGCGGGCGCAGAAAATTAAACATGGAGACGATGGATTCGGCCGAGAAGGAGGCTCTGCTTGCCATGTTGCGGCCGATGCTGGCGTACAGACCGGAGCAACGTTGCAGCGTCAACGAGGTTATTGGCTCGGAGTGGATGACTAGGTACGCGATGCCGGACTACGAGAGGATGCTGAGAACTCAATCGGTGGATGGAGAACCCAGGAAATGACTTGACGCCGACAGCATGCTGACATGTGTGCCAAATTCCTATATTTGAGTCAAGCCCTAAACACCCCTCACCCATATTAGAGAGCATACGTCATATAAAGCCGAGCTGAAACGGTTGAATATCATTCTCGTGCCAACGAAGCCTATCCGAGAAGCTTTTATTGTAGTTCCTGTACTTCTTAAAACAAGCCACTTTTGCATCCACGCTCGCTGTTTTGGGGTCCTGCCACAATGATTAGCCATATACTGCTTACTATTCTATCAATGTTTATGAAGGACTGTTTGGCATGCTACTTTCCTTTCAGCCTGCCAAGCAACCCCACTCTTGGATAAACCTGGATTTTTATGCTTGACAGATTCCTGTTGGGAAAGCGTTGTTTTCGCAGGCTTGCGTGACTGAGAATAATGTGTCCCGCGGACTCTGCCCCATGCCGTCACGGCATACACCTTCAGTATTGTAAAAAAATGATGTCTGACTAGGGAACCACATGGATGTTGCTCTTTTCAAGGGCAACAATGGCGTGTTCTAGTGCCGCTTTGGACATGTAACCCACGACCATGGCCAACCAGCCGGGTTTCACATCAGCTGCCGGCTGTCTTTGTAAATGTTGTGAGCGACCTAAATGCCGAGTGTAAGGAATGGCTCATGAGAGTGGAAATATTCCGTCCTTGGATGTAGAGGTGTTGATGCCTTCAACAACAGCAGTTCTCTCCCCGCATCATCTGACCAACATTTGGTTACATTGCCCAGGAAATGCGGCGGGGTAGAAAAGTCTAGTAAGGCATGCTTAATTTTGACTTTGGAATAAGGCATTTCCTTGTCGGGCTAGCCCACCGTTTAGTCAAGGGTCATATGCATGCTACGCTGACACTGGTTCTGACCCCAAGGGTTCGGTCAACTACTTTCTGGCAATGGCAATTTTTAGAGAACTTCCGGCTTTCGTCTGACAGAACCCCGAAGATGGATTCATGAAAATTAGCACGTGGTTGGTGAGAATTCCCTTTCCAAGAAGGACATAACATCGGACCAAAGTGAGGTTCATTTGGCTTTGCACTTCGTCCCAGGATCTCGACAAGGTTCAAGCTCACATGTTCAATGAAGATTCATTATCGGGCTCTAGGATTTGAAATAGACCGCCTCCCCCGGCAGGTACGCATAACGTGAGTAATACCATTCCGGCTTATAGTAGTGCTTTTCGATCCTAATTTTCAAATGGATAGACGATAATTGTTTGCAAACGTGGTTTCACTTGTCAACCAGGTGTCTGAAATAAGAACCTGCTCATAAATTTCCCTGCCCTGGCAGCAAAACCGCATGTACCGACTCTTGAAGACAAACCCACGTAGGTCAGGTCCAACAAGACACTTTCGCCTTCACCCAACAGCACAGAAATACTTGTATCCATCCGACCCTCAATTTCATCAGTCCAGGCATTCCTCACCTGCCAGCACCCACTGATGCCAAGGTCGGTCCAAGACACAGTCACTTGCTGTGGTCCCCTTAGGGAAGTGTTGAAGCCGCCCTGGCCCTGGTCAGGACCATAATTTGCAATCACTACAACTGCGCGACTGTCTTCTGATGGCCCTGCAATCCACGCTTGCAGCTGCTTTGCGTCCTGTCCTCCTGTCCCTGGATTCCTTGGTTGCATGGGGTATCGAGCAGTAAAGTCGGCCAACTGCAAAACTGAGGCATTCAACAATAGAGACTGGCTCAGCCTACCATCCAGCTGCGTCAAGTCCGAGTCCAGGATCAAATTGGATCCGGAAGCAATCCCATGGGTCATTATTGTCTGTTGTTGGGTGGCGTTGACACCAGCAAGTGTTTCATTGTTGCCGACGGCAAGACTGGATAAATCCGCATATATGTCGAGTGCGAAGGGCAAGTCAAGCGCAGCAATTGTCCAGTTGCGATAATTATCAATCGCTCGCTGAATGGCCTTCCAGCTCGTCAACGAGCTGCCTTGATAATTGATAATATCTGAATCGACTCGCATCGAATCAGCATTTTGGTTCCATATGGCAAAGGACGGCTCTGACAAGTCTAGCTGCCAGGAAATATCTAGCCGCATTTGCCGGCCACTGTTCTCAATTGCCTTATGATACGCAATCACGGCCTCGCTCTGGTTTGCCGGAAGCTTGGACTGTTTTCCCGGCGGAGGCGGAGAGCCGGGGGTCACATAATCGAGCTTGATGAGGTCTACGCCCCTGAGAACAGCGAGTAAGCATGTATAAATATGGGAGTCGCCACAAATTTTGAGAACATACCACGATGCGAACTGTGCTACAACAGAGTTGTGCCATTGCTGGACTTCGGGGCGGCTGTAGTTGAAAACGCACCTCGCCAACCCTTCTGTGCCGGAGCATACTTGACCAATCGTGACGTCTGTTCCGTATATAGTCTTCTTGGCATCTGATTTGAGTGCACCAGGTACGACGTATACACCCAGGAACAAACCTATGCTGTGGAGATGATTGGCAAGATCTGGGAGGTTGAGTGTCTTGTTGTACATGATGCGCCCGAAGTTGTCTGTGGGGCCGGTCCAGCCTGCGTCCAAGTTACAATAAGGATAGTTATTGCCGAGCGTGCTACTCAGAACATCGCACTGTTGGATGATGGAGGATTCGTTCATTTCAAACGTTGGCGAGTGGACCGACATGCCGAAAGAAGACCAACCGTACGCTGGGCCATTGAATCCATTTGGGGTTTTACCAACCTGGAGGACTTTGAGCTGTTGCAATGCAGTGGTCATCGCCAGAGACTGGGATAACAGGAAAAGATTGGCGAGAATCATTTGTATCTACTATTGGCCCTACACTGACCATGGGGCAAACTTGATTTGGCCTCGAGGACACCGGAAATTCGCAGGAGTATATATACAAAAGGGCTCACAGCAGAGATCCAGGCATTCTCTAAACGATCTTGGCCGGATCCATGGAATGCAAAGGCTAAACACCAGGGCCACTCAAGTTGAGAGCGCCACATCGCCAACAGTTATTGGCCAATGGTTTCAAGTGGCGGCTGTCTTGCTGCAGTAGTGTATCCATCGACCAGAGCCATGTCTTAATTTATACTTTTACTACCGCCGCATGTGTCAGTGGCTGAAGGGCCTCGAGGTCAACAGCAGAAGCCACGGCAGAGGGGTGTTCGCGCATCACGGTGAGACAATCGTCAAACCAGCTTTCTGGCCAAGGACGTCCCGCACGTACAAGGTGAAATAAAAGCAACCATCGGTATCTTCTATCATGGCCATGACTTCCTTTTGTTCGGTGGTGATTAGTTCCGAATAGACCTACTCAAGACAACGAGCGCCACGGCGAGGCAGTCTGACATTGAACCATGGGCAAAAGGAGCCTCTGGTAATGCTTCTAAGACTACTACGTTCATTGATTGCTTTCGAGCACAGGGGGGGAAATTTTACGGTGAATAATTAAAGACAAAGACTGGCTTGGACCTTGTTGGCGGCGGGATGGTGGCAGGCGTTGTTATCTGCGACGCATTTGCAGTTCCCTGAGAATTGACCAGATTCAATTGCAAGCATATAAAATTGTCAAGAGCGAGTAATATTTTGAAGTCCAATACGTTTTCAAAAGGCTGTGTCTAAACGTAAGAAGCCGAAATGTGTTGTAGGTAGTTGCGCTATAAATGAGATTTCGTTTATTTGCAATTAAAGTATACGCCTCCAAAGGTATCAAGGCCACAGAAAGATACTCGAAAGAACAGGCTTATTGCTTGGATATCAGGGTTATTCGGCCAAGGGCGCTATTACTAGATGCGTTTCCTCCATGGCTCGTCGCTATTTATTAAACCACATGCACCAAACGTCCGTCCAATAAATCCCCGGGCCAGCAGTTGTTCTTATGAGCCTATATTACAGCGTAAAATTATATTCTAGAGGTGACACATCATCTCCTAATATTCAAGAAATTAATGAGCCCTTTTGTAACGCCGGCCTCTTCTCTCGTCCGAGTAATAGTACGTTGGCTGCCTTTGACTGCTGCCAGCTCTGCCAGTATCAGTTAAAATGACGGGTGCGGCCTTGACACTTCAGACGTGTAGGGGTAGCTTCGAGGGCGCGAATGATGTCGAGAATGATGCCGGTGTCGCGTCGGCTCGATATGGTGATACAATCTCTCTCTTTCCTTGGGCGGCGCTCCGAGGTTGAAGCACGAACGAATCACCCAAATAAGGAGTCTGGTAGGATACCAACAACAGAGTCAATAACTATGCCTGCAATTGCACCTCCAGTCAGCGTGCTTGTTCTGTCGTCGTCACTGCTGTCTGCGGTGACTGTAACTGTAGTAGTCGCTTGTCGAGCGAACAGGGACGCTCTGCTCGCGGCGAGGACAGCGGTAGGTATCGTATCAATCAGTTTATTGGAAGTGGTAAAAGGCCAGAACAGCCCATTTCGGGTGAGTAATGGAGCTATTGGGCGTCACGGGAATCCGAAAGGATGACTTGACAAAGGACAGCTGGAGAAGAACAAGGACGTAATGACCACAGGCCATCATATAGTCGAGGTTATACGCCGACAAGTATCAACTGGCTACGTACACAACATGCACCAAGACAGCAGTGGACGAGACGCAGTCGTCTGATAAAGAGTTCAGCATTTAGTCATTGCTTGCTTGTTCTTGAAGTGGTTCGAGGCTTCTCATAATAATCTTCTGCAAGTCACCCGACTGCCCAGCCACAACCCGGCGTATATATGATACTAAATGAGAGATGACCTCATCTTGCATACGTTGTGTCAAATATTAAGCGAAAATCCAATTCATCGTCTAAAACGCCATTTTACGCGACTATAGTTTAATTTTCCCTAGTACTATGTGTTCAAGCTTTCGAAAAGTTATTTGACTACCCGACAGCAACGGTACGGTTTAGGGTTAGGGTCGTAGCAACCACACCTGGAACAACTTGTAGCACCGAAGTGTGTTGCAAACATCAATTGATTGGTTTCCCCCCTTTGCAGCAATGTAATATCTCAGCATGAAGGCATTGATCACATCACGCCCTTGCCCAACTCCACTCGACTACTACCCATCTCTATTCCCCTGTATAAGCCTGGTGGAGAGTTGCGCGACAACCAATGTAACCGATGTCATTGATCGATTTGTATTCACTGTAATTTATATTTTATACAATACACCTAGATGTTGGAGTGGTTGCAGCCAACGAAAAGGGGCAGCGAACCGGCTTAGGTAAGCCGGCTCAACACCATAAAAGGGAGCCCACGATAGCAACAGCTAGCTTTCAATAGTACCTGGCTTTTACACCATTTGAAACCAATAGCCCGATCATTGACCTACACTATTACTTCTTCAATAGTTCCTTGGCCAGGAAGAAACTAATGCTAGAAGGGCAGCTGCTACATAAGTCGCTAGACATCAATTATCCTCCTTGACTTTATATGTCACTAGATATTTATATATGACGGATTAACGTATATCCCGGCTCCCAGGCAGGCCGCCAATGATGCCTCAAGCCAGTTCTCGACCAAGCCACCGACGGCCGGGACAGGGCGCCTCAGCCATGTACAACCTCAGGTGGCACATGTTGACCAAAATGAGAACCGACCAGCCAATGAACACAGGAAGCAAAATCCTAAGATTGATTCACTGCAATACTCCGTAGAGAGTTCAGAATTACCTGTGAACATGAAATAAACAGGCAAATCCGACTTTCTCTGGGAGTTCAGACCGCCCCGTTGGTCCATAAAGACCGACGTGGCATTCTGCTTTTTAACCGACACCTTCATCCTTACAACATCTCGTTAGACATTTCTTGTCATCAAGATACATTCTACCGCCAATAACCATCATCCCCCTGTCTGGAAACTGCATACCAATCAGATGGCCGCCAGTACGAGCGACTGGCGGGCTCGCCTTGCCGCTGTACCAGTACCCCGACCGAGTTTCTCGGCACAGTCTTTGAATTATTTCAATCCCAGTGCCACCGCTGGGATACCCATAACCGCCAATGACTGCGGGATCTTTGAACCACCTCGTTGCACAGAGCTGGTTCTCACCAAGGGGCTCTCGGCCCTTGTCTACTTAACCAACAACAAAGTCGTCGAAGTGATTGCCTTTTCAATCACCTTCAAAACTGTGCACTCCGTAGTAAACCACAGCCTTGCCAGCTTTCAACATCAGCTGGGCACGCTGGGACGAGAGCCCAGTCCCCTCCGCAGTCGACCGACGTCTCGCTCTCCACATAGCGATCGCTGCGTCACAGAACAACATGCTAAGACGGACCCCTGTTCGGCCCAGATTGGATTTGGAGACCACGTCCCACGATGGGCTCCTGGCAGCGTCCTGACTTATGTTATATGCACCGAGACATTTCCAAGCCCTGATGACGCCTCTTACGCTACCAACCAGCTGACCGAGGCCATACACATGTGGATGGGCGTTGGTGCCACCTTTAAGCAAGTGAGACGCGACCGCAAGGCCACATTCAGGGTGGTTTATAGGCCTAAGCATCGGCCTGACACTGAGGACGTACTAGCCAATGCCTTCCTCCCTAATGGGGGTCGTCGAAATCAACGCACCCTCCATATCTACGCCCTGGCCTTTTCAGATACCCACGTCGATTATCAGGCTAATATTCTCGCCCATGAGATCGGTCATATCCTCGGTCTCCGCCACGTATTCGCAAAGGAGAAGGAGTACAAGTGGTCCGCGAAGTGGGGGAACGGATGCCAGAACAGTGTGATGGACTATTACACTCACTCGAGCCTGTTGCGTGTCCAGCAACAAGATCTTGAAGAGTTGAAGGCATTCTACGATTCCCCTATGACCGAGTACGAAGGGAAACCGGTAATTAATTTCGTGCCACGGAGCTCCGTGTACCCGAATGTCAGACGCCATAGGAAGAGGAAAGCCAAAAGGCGTTCTTAAAACGGCCATCAATAAAAGAGCCTGGCGTATTAGCGGAATTTAGGCATCTTGGGCCATGGGGTGATGGAGCAATATTGTCAGACGACGATGATTTTCTTTCATGTGTATAGATTTTGTCCGATATATGCAGGTTCTTTCCCTGCCTCGGCGCGTAGGTTATTCACATCAGTTGTGTACTTGGACTACGCTTAAATTACTAGATAGCTGCATAGCTACACAGCGAGGCAATAATATAGCCATCACACGAATAATGTGCCAAGACGTAGCCTGGCTCCTGAACATGCTCTGGGACGTTTACTTCGCGGCCCATGGCTTCTTAACTTGAGGCCTAGAGTTCCGTGGAGGCACCGCAGTCTGCATTCGCGATCCATTCCGCCGACCGGTCTGTATTGTGCTCGTTCTGTCGTAGGCAAGAAGTTCCAACCTGCCTCGAGAGGCCGCGTACATCATGTTGTGTCCGGGGACGAGCGCGCGGGGAGAACTTGTCAAAGTGCCTCGGCACATGGTCCATACCGTCGGCAGAATCCTCACTTCTGTGAGACGGGCGGGACCTCACGACTTGATTCTCGTTCGAGGCATTTCGGACCAAGCTAACAGCGTCGAGAAGGTCGGTTTTTGCACGTCACCGTAGTTTGGTTTTATTTCAATTGTTTACCGCCTTTTAGAACGTCCCCGTAGTGCTTGGCTGCCGGGTGATTCGTCATCTCCTCTTCGGAGTCGAATATGAGCTCCTGCTCTTGGCACAAAGGACAGCACCGTTGAGATCTATGATCGGCTTTAAGATGGGCCTCCCGTTCCGTTCGGGTACTAAGAAGCGGGCGAGGCGACGGACACCCCTCAATAATACGAGTGTAAGGCGGCGAGTCATCGATACTATGTTTCCTGATAGTCTTTAGTACGCAAATGACATTAATGTGGTATGGAGCGGGATCCTCCGTGGGTTGGGATTCGTCGTCTCTTCGTCGTGAATCAACTGACGATAGCACGGATGTTTTCCAATGCGAACGCCCTGAGGGTTGTGGGATGGCCTTGGGAACTCGGTGTCGGCGGCGAGAGCTGTGATCTGCCTCCTCACAGCCCCAGGTGCATATCGCCGTCCTTCACAGCCCAGAGAGTTCCCTCGGCGGTTGAAGCTGCAGCCAGTCCCACAGTGGTTCCTGGCCTCTTCTCCTTTTGTATCGATCGATTCTGGTGCGCTGGTGGGAGATGGAAGATTCAACGGCCTACTTTGCCGTTGCCCTTGGGCGTCTTTGAGCGCTCTCGGGCGATGACGAGTCGATGGCGCCGAAAAAGACTGGCTTTGATCAATCTCTTCTGGGCTATGATCAAACTGAACGAGTCAGGCTGACTTAGTATGCCGGATTCGCTGGACCGAAGGAGAATGACGAACTCGAGATGCCGTCTTCGTTCCTCATATTCTGCTGGATCAAACAGCCTGTCTGCTCTCTGTCGTCGTTATGCCTCTCCAGTCCGTCGGGTTGCCACGCGAATTAAGGACGGATTCCCCATAGCCGAATCGACTGGTGGACGGCATCGTCAACCGGTTGGTTGAATTTCAATAGACTCGCCTAGCATGATCAGAAGGGTCTGCACCCACACGAGGTTGTTAGACCTGCGTCTGAAGCTCCAGTCAAGGGAGGCAGTTTCTTCAACAGCTGCCCCAACGCTGTCCGCCCGAGGAAATAAATCTGCCATCCTATTGTCCATGGCTGCGATGCCTCCTTGGTTATTTGGCGTTGAGCATGCCTCCAACTTGCAAACACAACCCTTTGTAATCTCTAGAACGGAAGCCAGGACTGGGTCAGGCTCGGGGGAGTTCGTTTGCATCGTGATATCTGATACTCGTCGCAACAGGAGGGTGATTTGTGCTGCCAGTGACTGTTTGATGGGTAGAATCATTAATATGGATAGGAGGGCAAAAGCGGCTGACATATGCCTGTCATACGCGATGATCCAGGGCACGCTTCTATTCGTCGTCGGCTACGCGTGGCCTGGCTACTCAAGATTACGAGCGGGGAAGGATGCTACTTCTGTCTCAGACTCCTCTCAAGTCTTCCAACTCTTCCGACCTAGAATCTATCATGTACGGAGTACCTGCTTCCGAAATGCCCCAAGATCATGCCCCCCACGAGTAAGTATCACGGGTAAAGCAGTTTACTGGCACCCTGGGTCAAATATGCCGCAACATTGGAGGGAGGCTGGAAGAACATGCTCCTTATGGCAGGTGAGATTGCTACGAGACTTCTGATTGTCTGCCCGGATATTCAGACCGTCCTCTTTACTGCATTGAAGACGATGTCGACCAAATCTTCCGTGATCAGCTGAAGTCGTTGACTTCCACCGAGATTGTCGAAGTTGGCACGAAAAGCTCGCCCCGACCTCTGCTGAGGACGCTGGTTGCCCCCAGACCGATCTACAGAACGTTGTTCAGTACGATCATTCCGAGCAAAACCAACGGCTCCTCGAGAATCCTCGGAAGCACTTTGAGTGTCTCTCGGATGTATACAAAATATTTGATGGCCACTTGGCCTGGCATCCAACTAGACTATGCTGGGAGGGGGATTTCACCGATGCCTCATTCGCTATTCTGGCATCATCCATGGACATGACTTGTTGGCGGGAACTCCGCTTAAGCAGGCAAGGCGGCGAGCAGTTTCAAGACGTTCAAAATCAAACTATCCGATATGGAAGATGACACAATGCACCAAACACTAATATTTCACCATTGCCGGAAGAAAACTGTCAACTGGTGCGTCAACCGGGGTCGTCGATAGCGACTGCGGTGGCTGTCGGCATAGCCGCCGTGACGCACCTCGTGGTCCACGGCGTAGAACGAGCGACATGTATACTTGGAGACCTGGCTGCTTCCCGAAGAAGAGGCCAAATCGATAACTTGGCAAAGATGCTTTCGCGTACGGGTCGGGCCGAGCCGGATCTCGCTTTCGGGGACGAAGTTGAAGTCTGGGGATAGCAACCAGCTATGTTTTGCCATTACGGACAACCTAGGCATTCCGTTGCAACAGATGGGAGCAAAATGAAGAAGGAACTGTCACGGCTTCAAGACCAAGTCGCAGTGGTGTAAGCAGATGTAACATTGTACCGGCACACGTCGACTGATTCCCATCCAAGGCAGCCATGAGGGGCTAACTAAATTCATCTACAAGAGCACGCTCGAGCTTGACGATATACCAAGGCCAGATGTTTGCACTGGAATGAAGAGAAACTTTAATAGGCTGGAAGCTTCTTGGACAAGGACTTCCGGCCGCCACAGACTTTTTCGAACAACAATTTCCGTATACCTCCCGCCTTTCTCTCCGCCATTCCCTCACGACTCACTCTTGCAAGTTTTCCCTTTCGTCAGCCATTTTCACCGAAGCCTCCGTGTCAAGCCTCCAGCATGGGGCGGAGAAAGACCGCTCTCGTTATGGTCAAGCACTCGCGGGAGCAATTTTACTTGTCTACACTGATACTTGCGGTGAGTGACTCAAACTTGTCCAAGCTAAATACCTCTTTTCTCCTGGCAAGTTTGACAGATGTCTTGAGTACTAGCACTAAACGTACTGGATGCTCGATCTGGTCTTGTAGTCGAGATTGACCAAGCTACCACTGTCTTCGGCAGACGGCAGTCAAAGATTCGGCCGATATTACTCTCACAGGCACCAACAGGGAGTGATCATATCCACTTTCGGACAAACCCACGAAATCTAGGCACCTGTTCCAGAGATTGGTGCCCGTCCTTCCAGTTGTTATATGCCTCGGCGATCCTCGCTGCCTTTTTTTTTTGGTCCTCGGGTTACAACCCTAACCCTAACCCCCTTTCTGTACGAAAACTATACGCATATGAATAGCTTCAGCTAGTTTCTGCTGTGGGTGTTTTTCGCCATTTTGGACCTGCTTAACTGACACGTGTCTGCCGTTTTCAGGCTCGGGTCGCCGCACCCGCCATGATGGGCAACATGAAAGCTGTCAAGATGTTCGGCTGAACCGATTCTCCTTGTAAATTTGCTGGGAAGCTCCTCAAGGGCGAGCTTAAGGTATCTCAGAGATTCCGAAAATTACTCATCTGGAAGATTCTTGTTGGTATTAAAGTCTCCTTACAAGGCTACGAAAAAACGTGTGCTTTACCCAACGCTGATATCAGAACGCGCCAGTGGTCCTGGGAGCTCTTGCTATATAACAACAGCCTAACCCTTTTCTTTGCACATGGAAGAAGCGCTATTAAGAACTTGTAGAATATGGCTACTCAACCCAAAAAATACATAACCCAGTAGTTTCTGGCACCTCAGCAGAGGTGACGATCAAGCTTAACCATACCGCGGAAGAAAAACCCGCCTTACTTCTTTCCATCTACACACGGAAGCTGAGGGCCACGGATCTTATATTAATTTCGCGGTTGCTGAGACATCCCCATCCACGAGACTGGAACCTCCCAATAGTCTAATTGTCATACAACACCAAGCACCGCACCTCGATGGACCGGCGCCTGGGAATCTTCTCAGGGGCATTATGGTCTTGAAAAGCACCGTGCGCCATTCCCACGACAGTGTCCTTGCCCTCATGCGCAGAATCAAAGTCCACAAAGAGAAGTGCTTCATCCGGAGCCAAGTTACTCACGTAGTAGAAGCTGAAATGGGATTGCGGCCGAAGAGCAGTAAAGTGCGTCTTGTAGTTGTTCAGTGTGTAGATGGGTTCCGTGTCACGGCCATATACTACGGTCCGCGAGTCGACGAGCGCAAGCGGCCACTGCCTCACGACGTCGCCAACAGGCCGCCACACATTGACGATTCCCCAGCGCTTGCCGAGCCAGCGGGCGGCCTCTTGCTCGCCCAGAACACGGCGCAGGTTCACCTTGGCGGTTTCCGCGTCGTTGTCCATGTGGAAGTTGGGAAGGGGCTTGCTCGAGAAGTTGTATGGGTCATGGAGGTTGGTGGTCTGCCTCTTGTGGTAAGAATCGTGAATCGAGCGACGAAAGGGAAAGGAGGTCTAGAATGGTGATGAAAAGCAAAAGAGGTAGAAGACTTACCAGTTCGATTCGGCGATGGCGGAAGTTGTACGCGACTGCCTTGGCTGCTCCGGCCGTCTCCTTTACCAGCTGGGCACACTCATCAAAGTAAGGCCCCCGAACAAAGGCCTCGACGTCGTTCTTATCTGGGGCGAGGAGTTTGTCTTCAGACAGTGTCGTCGGGGCGTGAACCCATTCGACGCCTTCCACACCAAGAGTAGTCCGTGGCTCAAAGTAGCGCAAATCTGTGATGTCAACCACCTTTTCGAGACTGGGTCCGAAATTGGTCTGATGTTCTTCGCCCTTTTTGAAGTTGAGAAAGGCAGGCTTGCCATCCTTGGTTGCGCCGAGGAAACGAATAGTTCCTTTCGTCCCGTTGGGCTTCTTCCATGGAACATGCTCAAAGGGCTGGTTCTTAATCCATCCCGGGGCTGTATTTTTCGCCGTAGCTTGAGGCTGCTCAGTTGCGAGGGTAGCCTGGCCTCGCCTTGTGATTGCGCCCGTAGAAACTAGACGACTCCTGATGGTTGAGGATAGGCGGGTAGTGACCGACAGCATTGTGGGCAACGAGGACGAGAACTATACTATAATTACGCAGCTAAAGGCCAATAAGAGATTTCTGATTGACCTCTTCGCGATGCAAGCTTGGTACATGGCTATCAAGAAGGACAATAGGCCGTGGTCCTCTCTAAATACTCGTCAAGTTGAGAGTAGAGGTGAGGTGGTCTAGGCAACTCTGCTCAGGCTCACTCAGATGGGAGCATCTGTTGACGACTAGCAAGTGAGATAATCAACAGAAAGACAAGAAGCCTTATCCCGCTGGGGCGTGTTACATTGAAGCGACTTGGCCAATGCTGCTTGATGCGAACGTGATTGATCGGCAACGTGTCGTGCGACGGCGCTCACTTGACCCGCGAGCCATCGCATACCGCGTCACAAACAGCAGCAAGCAGTCCACTTCCCCTCTATCTTCATGTGTTGTTCTTGGTATTATGGAGAGCATCAGCACAGCCAACTAATAAAATAGCAAGAAAAACACTTCGCGCTCTCCATGAAGGTAGATGCGAAGAGGCGAAACGGGGCGAAGTAGAAACAAATCTGCAGCTCCGGAACATCATGGACAACCTGCTGGTCATGCTTTACGAGCTACTGCACTCAAATCTGCTTCTGAGTCGCATCGGGATGTCGCTGCGTATGGCATAGGTACACTGAGTAGGCCATCCTCAGAAAGCAGCCGCCAACAGCAGTCAAGCTTCTGAGATGCGATGTCACTCTCTGACTATGCTTTCTGCTTACTCGACATGCAGGCATGCAGTGTAAGCAAGTCAGACGGGAATGCGAATCACTACCCAAAATGCTCGCATCGACAACATTATGGGGGTCTCGCAAAAACAACCTTTACACGGGCATACGAGTCCTAGCTCCGCCGAATTGGCGGCTGGAAACAGACATAGGCTGAGCTTAAATCGTCTATTATAACCACCCGCAGGGTCATGGAGATGTGACGCTGACCTGCGTACATGGCATCGCAATGACGTTACTGGCATCATCTTGTCGATGCCGCCTCATTGAGTGTGCGCAGGCACCATTTTGGTGACGAACGAGAAGGGTAAACAATTAACAATGGGAAATTGAAAGATATATAAGTCACTTACGGGTTAACAACTATATTACGAACTCCACATATATAAAGACGTACATTGAAACAAGGCGCACACGGTACTAAAAATGCATATGTACTTATTGAGTATCGCAAAAAGGTCCAGTGGAATAGATACATGGCAAGTACCCGCGCATATTCAAAGGATAAGCGAGAATACAAGTAGAGAGACTGGATGCGCCGGTTGCCCCATCGGAATTCAGCCAGGCTGTACACAGTCAGCAGCCATAAATATTCGACCCCCTCTTTATGCCGCGAAGCCGGCTAGCCTATTTGGGACACTGGGTTTAGTGCAACACAACGCCATAAAAGGGTTAGGGAAGAGTCTTTGAAGGGACTCGAATACTTTTGACCTCCCGCCGTACATATACGTTCTCCACGAGGTCGCAGCTTGGGTCAAAATTACTGGGGTGGCGCTTCCGATAAACGTCGCCGCCGCAGGACAAGGTCTCTCTTGATCCCCGTATTTTGAACGTCCACCCTAGAGAGGAATTTGCAACCTCACTACCTTGGGTATATTACCTGCCTGTATTCCCCTGGGTGTTGGGCAAACCACCAGCCAACAAATTCGTCCGAGACAATGTTGCCGTTGACCACCCGCACCAGTCATCGTTGTGGAGGCTGGAATCATGTCAGATCGGACCGTGCGTTTGACTGACTTGTGACACTGTACGCACCCACCATTGTTGATGACTGGCTGGGAAAAGGCAACATAACAAGAGGCTTTTGAGATGATAAGATTCCGCTCTCTTGAAGAAGAGGAGGGATAAAAAACCCCGTTTCACTTGAAGATGGAACCCCTTCTGTGATACAGTAGTGCCAGCCACCGTAATTCTCGCACTGTGCCGAGACATGGATGGTATCCTCGGCTTACCCCCGGAGTGGCGTCGCCAAGCGGCCACTCACCGGCTTTGGCGGGCCGTCCCGCCTCCGCCTTCATCAAATGTCAACTGGTCTGGTCCGGTTGCAGTAACTAATTGATGAGCGCCGAAAATCCCTCCGCGGTCGGGCGTCCTGTCATGCGGTCAACGTCGAACCTCCCATATGCTGTGAGCCCGTTGGCTGGTCCAAGTCCCGCGCAGTGGCCGGAAGTATGCAAGTACGTACGGACTCTGCCCGGATTGACAGGGATCAATGCGTCAGATTCGGTTGGGGCGGCCATCATATGTCCCCCTGTCTGCGCTGCTCATCTAGATTGCACCCTAGGGTTGCAGTGTATTATTAATGGAGCGTCAGCATCGTGTATAACGGGTGAGGGGGAAGAGCAACGGCATGAATCTAGCGCTTCGGCTACTTCCCTATCTTTTATCCCTGGTTCGGCGTTTGACACTTGGCACCTCAGGTATTGTGTGCCCAACCTGTGCGATTTGTTCCTAATTACGTAGTTTGGCCTGTTAGTCTGCATATTGTCCCAAACCGAGCGCCTTCGTCAGAATTGTCTGAAGCGACATAAGCGAATTGGTCCACTCCGTGTCACTCCGTGTTTGCATCACATGTCCCGTCCAAGGTCGGCATCCATCAGTCAAAGAAGCCGATGCTAGCAGAGCTGGAAACCATGTCCCTCGCCGGGGGGCAAGGATAAATATAGTCGTCTCTCCATTGCTGTGTTTTGTGGTCCTACTGTTGCTAGGGCTAGAGGATACGTCCTCGGGGTAGGTTTACTTTGTGCGCATCAATTCCAGTCACACAATGTCTATGGGCGCTCCCAAGGAGGAGATGGCGCCTCCGCCCGACAAGTGCGGCTCCTCTGACGATGGCGGCCCGGCCGAATCCCCCGCGGCAGATCTCGATGCTCTGTACTCGATATACACGCCGCGACAGAAGCACTTTATTGTCTTCATGTCCGGGCTGGGCGGCTTCTTCTCGCCCCTGTCAGCAAATACGTACCTCCCCAGCATCCCGAGTCTGGCCAGCTCGCTCGACGTGTCGCCGTCGTTGATGAACCTGACGGTGACTGCCTTTCTGATTTTCCAGGGCCTCGCGCCGTCCTTTTACGGCGACCTCGCCGACATTGCAGGCCGCCGGCCGGCGTATCTGATTTCCTTCATCATCTACATCGCGGCAAATATCGGCTTGGCCACCCAGTCCTCGTACCCGGCCTTGTTTATCCTGAGATGTCTCCAGGTGCGTCTGCGACCGCCCAATCGTTTGGTGGCCATGTACTGACACGATGACAGAGCTCGGGCTCCGGCGGCACATATGCGCTCAACAGCGGCGTCATCGCCGACATATCTACCACGGCCGAGCGCGGCAAGTACATGGGCGCTGCGCAAAGTGGAATCATGGTACGCACACACGGCCGCCTGCACCATGTATAGCTTCATCTGCTAACTACACACTTGGGTAGCTCGGACCAGCAGTCGGTAAAGGCTCCCCTACGTACCACACGAGTCCGTCGGTTTTGTATTGACGTCATTACTGCGCCAAAGGGCCCATTCTAGGAGGCGTGCTTGCTCAATATCTCGGCTGGAGATCAATATTTTGGTACTGTAGTTTTCGCCAATGGCAAAATTCCACAGCCACTGACCAGTGCGCAGGTTCCTTACCATCGTACGTTGACGATGGGCGTCCCGGCTTCCGATACTTCCACGACGCTAACAGTCACAGTGCGGCGGCGTGTATCTGGTCGTCTTTGCCGTTGCCGTTCCCGAAACCGCCAGAAAGGTAGTTGGCAACGGCTCCATCCCGCCGACCGCGTGGTGGAGTCGCTCGCTACTCAACGAGTTTGCTCGTCGAAGGGCAGCGCGGGCTACCGGCGGAGCGGCACCCTCGAAGCAGCAGCCAAGGCGTAGCTTCCGATTTCCAAATCCGCTCAAAGCGCTGCTGATTATTGGGGAGAAGGATTGCGCCGTCATTCTCCTCTACAACGCCATCATCTATGCGTCCTGGTACACAGTTACAGCCAACTTGTCCAACCTGTTGTCGGAGCTGTACCACATCAACACCCTGCAGATAGGACTGTGCTACATGTAGGGTTCCCTTTGCAAAGACGTGCCCCTGGATAAATCGCACGCGCTAATGTTCAAGTTGCAGCCCCTTTGGAGTCGGAGCGGCGCTCTCCATCGTTGCCAACGGACATATCCAGGACTGGAACTATGCGCGGGTCGCTCGCGCCAACGGGTTTCAGGTCGACAAGAAGCGTGGCGATGACTTGAGAAAGTTCCCCATCGAGAAGGCCCGGATCAACATTGTCTGGCCGCTCATCTACGTGGGCGCGGCAGCGACCATTGGCTTCGGCTGGGCCGCTGATAAGCAGGCGCACATGGCCGTTATGCTGGTCCTCACCTTTGTCATGGCCTTGTTCCTGACTGCCTGCTATAATAGCATGAACCTGCTCCTTGTTGACCTATACCCCAATTCGCCTTCGACGGCCTCGGCTGCCAACAACTTAACGAGATGTCTGATGGCGGCGGGGGGGTCCGCCGTGATAGAGCCCATGATCCGCGCCATGGGAACCGGATGGGCGTATACGCTTGTAGGACTAGTCATGATTGTGCTGAGCCCAATGCTTTTCGCCGTGACCAGATATGGACCGAAATGGAGGGAAGAGCGAAGAGTCCGCTTCGCAGAAAAGGAAGCAGGGCGAGTGTAGAGCTGACAAGACGTACACGTCCACAGGCATGACGGTAAAGACAAAGGCTGTACAATTGAAGAGAAATATGAGAGCAAGCCCCAGGGCGAGTCCCCATGCTATAGACGCCGAGACGGCGCGGTTAGACTAGATCTAGAGAAAATGGCGAGTGAGCTTCACCACGATTCAAGCAATGCGATGCAAAACTTGCTTGCCCTCGAGCCAGCGCTCGACGTTCTCGGCCGTTTCAGCATACCACGCATTCATCAGACCCTCGTCGGCATATCCCATGTGCGGCGTGATGACGAGCCGTGAACGCCCGCCCGCCCCCCAGTAGTTGGCTCTCCTCCACGGGCTGTCCAAGGGCAGCGGCTCAACATCGTACACATCCAACGCGGCGCCGCGCAGCCCCCCGCGCTCCAAGGTGTCAAGAAGCGCGGCCGAGTCAATCAGCGGACCGCGAGACGTATTGACCAGCATGGCAGAGCTCTTCATCTGCTCGAGCTCCTCGGCCCCGACAATGCCCCGTGAGCGGGCGCTCAGAACGTAGTGCAGGCTGACGACGTCTGCTCCACGAAACAGGTCCTCCTTGCTTACCGCGAGAAACGTCTTGCCGCCGTCGACCCCCCCGTCGGGCGAGAGGCCCATCTCGGTGGCCATGCGGTCGGCCTTTTCCTGCGTCAGGTTCTCGCTCCAGCACACCACGCGCATGCCCCAGGCGAGGTGTCCGATGCGCGCGACGGCAGCACCCAGTCGGCCGAGCCCGACGACACCCAGAGTGAGGCCGGTGAGGCCCATGGCCAGCCCGCTCTGCCACTGGTGGCCGGCCTTTAACGCACAGTCGTCGGCGGCCACATTGCGCGCGAGGGCCATGATGAGCGCCCAGGTGTGCTGCGTCGTCGGATGGGCGCGGCCCTTCTTGATGTTGTGGCCCGCGGCGACTTGGTCCGTCCGGCCACGGCCTGGCGCCGCAACGACGGCAATTCCCAGCTCCCGTGCCGCGGCGAGATCAAACTCTTCAAACTGCGTGCCGGTGGCCAGCAGGAGCTTCAGGTTGGGCAGGCGGCGCAGCAGAGCACCCGGGAACGCGGTGCGCTCGCGGACCGTGGAAATGAGCTCAAAGGGCTTCAGCCGATCCACCAGGCGGGCAGTTTCTGTCTCATTGGCGGGGAGGATGGTGTCGTTGAATGTCGTGACCTGGAGGCTAGAGGACGGAATATGTGCGAAATGCGGGCCGGATGTGTTGAGGTAGTCGTCGATGATGGCCAGCGACGGGCGTCTCGTGGCCGTCCTTTGTCTTGCGACAGACGACCACAGTGAGGGTGACGGCCGGAGGAGCATGTTTCCAGCTTGGGCTTTACCGTTGCATGCAGCGAAACGCAGTGAATGGGTCTGGTGTCAATACATTCAAAGTTGTTGTCGGCTCGTGTGTGTATGCAAGCACGGAGTGCATGTGGTTTGGAAATGGACTTGACGAGCGGCCATTTCATCTTACATATCTGGTATTCTTACCTCAGCAAGTAAATGTGCACGTTGCACAAGTCTCCCTAATTCCTTGAGAAGCAAAAGGTCACTGGTCGTCATATTCTGCCCCACACGTCCCAATCTCCATTCATCCGATGCGTTCTCTTCACAAACAAGCCAGCCGATTGATCCTAGTTTTGTCAGTAGTCGTCACAAAGATGGGGGCAAGACGCATGCTCCATTCAATTCCATTGTTGTCGTCGCGACCAACCCTTCATTTTTCAAATGCAATCTCGCGCTCAGTGTCAGCAGTCTCACGGCCATTCTCTAAATCCTCTGAGTCATCGCCGCCGCGCAAATTTCCGTCTACCGGATTCGAGTTGATCGATTCATCTGAAAAGGTTGAGGAGGAGCGGCTTCCTTTCTATAAGAGAGATGAATACTATCCCATGAAAATTGGCCATGTGGTCTATGGCCACTACCAGATAGTCGCGAAGTTGGGTTACGGCGCAACCTCGACCGTGTGGCTCTCGCGCGATTTGAGGTGACATCTGCCTGCTGGACCCCCTTTTTCCCTCTTTCTCTCTCTTCTTTCCCCCCTCATTTTCATCTGACGGCGAGCCCTGTTATCTGACTCGCTATTCTCTCCAAGCTAGAAACCAGAAATACTGGGTTCTGAAGGTTCATATCAATTCTTTAAAGTATAATCACGAATTGGCTGTCTATCGGCACTTGGCGCACCATGCCGAAGACCACCCCGGCCGGAACCATGTTCGCGAATTTCACGACTCATTCACGCTCAAGGGCCCGAATGGTAATCATGAAGTCTTTGTCATGGAACCTCTGGGTATGAGCCTGAGAAGTCTACAGGGGATCCAAAGAGATGGTGCCTTCCCCGAGCAGCTTGTCATTGGTGCTCTCGCGCAAGTCTTTCTTGCGCTGGACTTTCTCCACGAAGCGGGCATCATTCATACCGGTGCGTACAGCGAAGCATCTCCGAATCGCGTCAATCACTATTCCGTCATATTACCTGAAGGTGCGCAGCTAATTGGCCAACTATTAGATGTTCACTCTGACAATCTACTCATCGGTATTGTGAACAAGTCGATTTTTTCCACAGTGGAAGAAAACGAGATCCATAAACCATCACCCCGCAAGGTTATCGGCGATGCCGTCACTCAAGTCTCCCAATACATGTTGGGTGGCAAAGGCCCTCTCATTCTCTGTGATTTGGGACAAGCACGAATTGGCCGTGAGCATCGTGGTAACGCTATGCCTGTACCTTATCGGGCCCCCGAAGTGATTCTCAATATGCTATGGGGAAATAGCGTAGATGCCTGGAGCGCGGGTCTTCTGGTATGGCCCAAAATTCCTTCCGCTGCACGTACTCTATCTAATGGACTGCGTATCTCTTTACCAAGGCCTGGGATCTTCTCAGGGGAGAGAGCCTCTTCAATGTCTATGACCATGAATCTCGGGAGCTAAACGACGCTCATCATCTTGCAGCTATTACTGCACTCATTGGTCCACCACCCCCGGAATTACTACAAAGCAGCGAGGTATCACGTAAATACTGGCACCAAAACGGTAAGTGCCTGTCCATGATGGATTGCGCTAATATATCACTTTAGATATACCTGTTTCTATCAACGGTTACTAACAACGTCTCTCTTGTACCAGGTGAATGGAAGGGCCCTGTTCCTTTACCACCAAAGAAGGATTTTGAGTCTCTTATAGGTGACTTTATAGGAGTGGATAAGGAAAATTTCGTCAGCTTCATGGAGTGTTTTATTGCATGGCTTCCTAACGATCGACTTACATGCCTGCAAGGCCATTTTCACCCTTGGCTCAAAACCGAAAAGAACCCGGCTGCGACATGAACATTATAGCATGCCCCCTCTGACTCTTCCAAAGCACCTACCTGGATTTAAAAGAACTCCTCATGAGGCTATTGTGGATACACGGCGAATAATGGTAAAATCAGGACCCCCACAGAAGAAGATAAACGACGATTCGTCATCCAGCTCTATCTTACAAAATATGACAGTTTCAGACCAGTCTTAGCCCCTACGGGTGAGAGGCTTGGTATTGCTGTAGAGAGTTGCGATTATCTCCAAGCACGATTTTTTTTCAGCCCGCCTTTAACTTCGAGATCCCCGTCTAGAGCAGGTGAATCATCTTCATTTTCCATACAGCCTGACCTAATTAATCAGATTATATAAGACTTTAAGAAACATATATGACGAGGGTCTTTGGTAAGGTTGGCTAGCAGTAAGAAAGAGACCCGGGGTCTGTGGACTAAAGTTCTTCCGAGACGTCAACTCACAAATAGTCGCATCTGCGGCGGGCGCGTGACTACTTCAATAAATGTCATGCACCCTTGACCACATGTGCCAATTGGCATGCAGTGCGCATTTTTCCCCTGCTTGAAGCATGCACCACTTCAAGATCCGAGCCTAGGAGTAATATCCTAAAGGCGGATCGTAGACTAGATTCAGGGACTTGGCCCACCAACGACAGGGGTCAACTGTGTCTTTGAACATGGCACCTGGGCAGTACGTAGTCTGGTAGCACTAGCCTAGCTAGGGTCAACGGCTGGATCCCAACCCTGCACGGCGACTTCACAGCAAAATTATCCACCGTGTCTTCAACATCACGCGAAACCGTCCCTCATTCACCATTTGCGACCCGGCATTGGCGCCCGTCTCCGCCAACATGGCCTCATCGCCCAAGGACAACTCCGGCCATAATGCCAACGATGCCTCGTCGCCCGCCGTTTCTCAACCGACTAGACCATCCATGGTCAAAGGCGCATCCCTCCTCATCCTTTTGCAGCTGATATCTCGCCTCATCACCTTTGTTGCCAACCAGCTCCTGCTGCGCTTCCTGACGCCGCGGCTCGTGGGCCTGTCTAGCCAACTTGAGGTGTATTACCTGTCGGTTTTATTTTTTGCAAGAGAGAGCCTGCGTGTCGCAATCCAGCGCCAGGGCAGCACAACAGCGCCATCATCCAAGAGCGACAAGCAAGATGAGCAGCTGCTCGTGACACGTCGCGACAGTCAGGCGGTTGTCAACTTGGGCTATTTAGCCATTGTACTCGGACTCTTCGTCAGCACCGGACTCGGATGGATGTACCTCGCCTACGCCAACGAATCAATCCTGCAGACGCCATACCTCGTCCACTCGCTTTACCTGTATGATTTGGCCGCCATGGTAGAGCTGCTCTCCGAGCCATGCTTCGTCCTCATGCAGAGGCGCTTGCAGTTTGGCACCCGCGCCACAGCCGAGTCAGCTGCTACTTTCCTACGATGTCTGGCTGTGTTTGCATCTACAGTCTTGGCGTCAAGGAAGCGGCTGGATATTGGCGTCCTGCCCTTTGCACTTGGCCAACTCACCTACGGCGTGTCATTGTTGCTGGTTTACTTTGTCTCTGGCTACGGCCTCGCAACATCCATTGGCTTTTCGCTGCTACCAAAAGCTATGGCGGCCGACAGCATGGCCGGCGCAGACTACGTATGGTCCTATTTCTACCGACCAACCGTCACCCTTGCCAGTAGGATGATGATCCAAAGTGTCGTCAAGCATCTCCTCACACAGGGCGATACTTTTCTCATATCTATACTCTCCACGCCAGAAATGCAGGGTGTGTATGCCATGGCCAACAACTACGGCGGATTATTGGCCCGAATGCTCTTTCAGCCCGTAGAGGAAAGTAGTCGGAGCTATTTCTCGCAACTGCTGGCCGCCGCATCGACAACCGAGAAGGACGCCAAAGATGCTCAACCATCGGCAGCGGTGCAAGAAGCCAAGAAGAACCTGCAGACTCTTCTTAGGCTGTACACCATTTTATCGGCAATTGCGGTAGGTCTTGGTCCTTTTGCCGCCCCGCCGCTGCTGTCCATTGTCGCAGGGAAACGATGGACAGACGATGGCGCCGGGGATGTCTTGGGTGTCTACTGTTTCTACATTCCTTTTTTGGCTCTCAATGGCATCACCGAATCTTTTATTGCATCTGTTGCGTCTGAGACAGAGGTGCAGCGGCAATCGATGTGGATGGGAGTATTTTCCGTGGCCTTTGCCGCTTCCGCCTTCGTCTTCATGCGCGTTTTCCCCCTCGGTGCGCAGGGCCTTGTACTCGCCAACATCATCAACATGTTGTGTCGCGTCATTTGGAGCTCTGCCTTTATTAAAGCCTACTTTCGCCGCAATCGGTCAGATATATCCATTAGAAGCATAGTACCTGGCGGTATAGTTGCCGTGTCACTCTCAACGCTGGTTTTCATGCATTGGCTCCATTCGCCAGATGAGCCGAAAACGAATCCAGTCAAAATACTTGCAAAAGTGGCGGGTTCAGCCGTGCCATTTCTACTTACAATGTGTGTACACGCACTCACAATTAACCCTCCTCGCTGTAGTTTGCCAAATTCTGACAGATGTACAGAATACTTCTCGAACGACATTTTCTGTTGGAATGCTTTCACTCTATACGGGATCGGAAAGCCGCTAAATAGCAATAATGCCAGAGCAAGATACCTCACCAGGTTCGTGAGGCAAATACACATGATTCTCCTTGGTCTTCAATCAGCAACGCCAGAAGTAACCTACGTGACATTGCAGACGCACACCCACCCCAAGCATCCGCGAAAATGAATTTGCCAGAAATAGACACAACGCCGTCAATCTCTCAATAATAGGGACGATTGGCCTCTTCGACTACTTCTGCGCTTTGACAAGTCCATACTAGGTATTGTATGACTACCTAGGTAGTCAGCTGCACTGCGATTGTGGAGGAGCCTCCGTTAGCGCGGGTAGTAATTTTTCTTTATTACTCAGTGAATGGGCTCTCGATATTGGCCACATTTCCTTGAATGCCGTCATCTTAAGGCTCCTAGCGCAACTTTCGTGAATTTCTCACTGTCTCCGACGCCAAGCTTCTACCAGGTGGACATACTTGCCCGTTCGCCAAGGCACCTCGCTCTTCGACGTGTATACCACGTTGAGCTCTTCATCAATAAATAGCTGGTATTTTGAATTTCGTTGTTCCATATACCATGTCTAACATGTAGTCCCTTGATCCTAGAGCTTACACAGGTTTCTTGTGAAGCGGTCAATAGCAATAGATACCGGCGTTGTTGAGCTTCCTCGAGGCCGGCCAAGCTGTTTTTTTTTTTTTTTTTTTTTTGGAAGGGCCAATCAATTTTTTCTCACGGCTGAAGATAGTCATCGGCACATTCCCTATTCATCGACTCGCTCGTCACACCGGCATGCCAGGTAACAGAATGGTGAGTCACCGGCAAACGGTAACATTGGGTTGCGGGCCGTGCTGAGCATTCAGGCAGCAATTGCGCCCCAAATTCAGAATATGATTGACCCATCAATTTATCGGCCTTGAAACCGGTACATAAAGGCCATGGCTGAGCCACCCAGTTCTTGAGCCTACATGATGATTTCCCTCATTGAATCAGGAAATTTCTTAGTCAGTCACTCAGTCAGCCATGTCTACCTCAGCTGCCTCAACCGAAATCCTGTCCATCCTGAGACACGTTACAGCCAACAAACAGGACAAGGCTGCCGCACGACTGGCCACGATTGACCGCCATGTGCGCGATGCGGAGGCTGCTATCTCGCCACGGTCAGGCGTAGCCGACAGCAGCAGTCTGGAGGCTGATGTGCGCATGCTACTGACTACGGTACGCAAAGCGTTTGCCGGCTCCCTGAATGTACAAGTCAACGGCCGGGGAGCAGTTGGCGGCACGAGCACAACGACATACCGGGGAACAAGAAGCGGTTGGGAGGAAAGAACTATGAGGTTGGAAGATCGACTGGATGCCATTGAGCGCATGTTGTGGGAAGCCAAATATTCCTCAGGATTCTCCAACTCGGCAACGCTGGCGTGGCGCGACGAGTTGCTGAGCTATCTTTACCAAGGCCAGCGCCGCATGGTATACACAACGCTCTTCGGCCACTTGACCAACGAATGGGCCGAATTTCGGTTCGGCGAGCTGTCCAAGGCAAAGTTGACTCCGAATCAAAAAACCTTGAAAGCCTCTGAAGATGATAAGGCTTCTCCCGTCATCGTGGGTCGCAAGGAAATGCATGAGCAGCGCGAAACCTGGGAGCGCCATGTCACAAACGAGCGCCGTACAGACACGAATAGGATTGTTGAGTTTCTGGACCAACTGTTTCACTCTGGCCCGCAATATGAGGACCCCTCGGGTGAAGAGCCAACGGATTTGCGCGCAGTCCTCTTACGCAAGATACGCAGCAGCATCTCGACAGCCTGCAAACGGGAGATATTGGTGACAAAAGAGGTGGTTACCGACGCTATCCGCGGCGTCCTCAGCTCCGACCAGCTGACAAGCGAGAAGCGTCGTGCTCTGCTAGACATCAGCAACAAGGACAACGTCCTGTCTGAAATTGCCGATATCCTCAGCATTGATACACACCTGGACTCGATCCGCCGCTGGTCCTGGGGCGACAACCCCATCACGGTGCAGATGCGCAAGGCCATCAATGGCAAATATCGTGTATATCTAGATCTGGACCTTTTAGATGCTATCCTCATCCAATGCATCGGCCAATCCATCTCGGTAAATATCAGGGATGCCTTGGCCTCGGCGTGGTACCCTGATGTATGCCATGTGTGGCAGCAGGGTCCAGACGAAGCCCGAACGGCAGCGATGCAGGCGCAGATAAAAGACTTTACACTCCGAAAGACCAGAGATTCTGTCCACTACTTGCGCCGAAGCATATATCAACGCATATTCTACACTGTCGGGTTGCCAGCGCATTCGGGGGATGCAGATGACGCCTACGACGACTCTGGCTCCGCTGGCGATGGACCGAAACTTACCGACTTGGAGAACGGGTCCGCGAGCAAATTTTCGCTGAGGACGGACATTCTACGCATCTGCTCTGCCGAGATGGCCGTGCAAAAGCTCGTCCACGGCCAGTTTTGTATTCTACAAAGCGATTTCGAGTGGTTCGGCCCATCCTTGCCGCACTCGACGCTCATCGCCATCATGAAGTACTTCCGCTTCCCCAGTGAGCTGGTGCATCTTGTCGAACAGTTTCTACGCATGAGCATGAAATTTGAAGAGGACGGCAAGGATGGTCCTGTGCTGACGCGCAAAACTGGTATCCCGGTGTCGTTCCAGCTTACCGAAGGCATATCAGAGCTGCTACTATTTACGCTAGACTTTGCCGTCAATCAGCAGACTGGCGGCTCATATCTGTACCGCAACCACGACGACCTTTGGTTCTGGGGCCAGCCAGAAAAGTGTTCAGTCGCCTGGCAAACGATTCGTGACTTTACAGACGTCATGGGCCTGCAGCTCAACAAGGAGAAAACGGCCTCTGCACACTCCGTGGACGAGGCAAACCCCCGATACGCCCCCGTCGACCAGGCCATTCTCAATCGTCTTCCCGCGGGTAAACTAAAATGGGGATTCCTACTGTTTACCCCAGACGAGTGGAAATGGGTACCCAATATGCCCGCGATCAAAGAACACATGAATGAGCTACGGTTCCAGCTCAAGTCGCGCACTGCCGTCATGGCCCACGTACAGGCTTACAACGCGTACATCCAAAACTTCCTCCCCAGCAGCTTTGGCCAAGTCGTCACCGGGCTGGGCGATTCGCACGCCATCACGGTCCTCCAGGCGCTGCAATACGCGCAGCAGTGTCTCTACGGCGGCGGTGACGCCTCGAGCGTGGAAAACGCCGCAGAATCAGCAAACGTGGCTCAGCACGTGCGAAAAATGATTCAGGCACGATTCGGCTCGCTCCGCAAGTACGATGTGCCCGATTGCTTCCTGTACATGGACGTCGACAGCGGAGGCTTGGGCCTGGCGAACCCAGTGCCCGAATTTGCGCAGTTTGTCCACCTCGCCAAGGACAAGGAGTACGCAGACGACGGCGACATGGCGCCAATGGCAAAAGCAATGTACAATGTGAAGAAGGAGTTGTCGGATTCGTACCGCGCCGATGGCAAAGCGTTTGCGGAGAAAGTCCACGCCAAACGACAGAAGAATAGACTGGGTCAGCGCCGAAGAGCCGCCCACCTGTCCGCGTCTGAATCGAGCGTGGATACTGACGTGGCTGTGGACGAGGCTCAGACCGCTAAAAGCACGGAGACGGCGCAGTTTATGTCGTTTAGCGAGTATGTCGCGACTAGTGAGGAGCACAGCCGCGCGGTGCGCGACTTGTACACGACAATGTTTGACCCGCCTGCCTTGGAGGGAGATCGCGCGCGGGCTGATTCCGAGAGGTGGGCTTTGGCGGTTTTCCATACGGAGCTGGAGGAGCTTTTTGGGGGGGGCATTGCCGAGGACGAGTTCTTGTCGTTGGGGTTGTATCGCACGTTGGCGGAGGAGAAGGTGAGATGGGACACTGAGCAGCCGTCGCTTTGAGGCGTTGCTTCGTGTCATGTGGTGTGGTGAATGTACTTAAATAAAACTTGGTGCTTCGACTTCCCAGCTAATTGGTGACTGCTTTGCCGACTGCCGGTTGGTGTTTTTTTAGGGTTAATGTCGTGGGTGAATCTTTAGATTCGACAATAAGTATTTGGGCAGTTGGGGTTTCTTGGGGAATTTCATGAGAAAAGTACCACTTTATATATTATAAGGAATCAGCACAACAGGACGTTTCTTAGGCTATATTGTAACCATGTGCTCGTGTTTTCGTTACATATGAATCGCATTCTTCTTTTCTCGAACCCGACTGGGCATGACGGGACCTCCTGCGGTCGCCGCAAGTTAAGCAAGTACATATAATATCGACCCAGCGGTGGTGGTTCAGACGCCGTTGACCTGATCGCTGCGGCCAGGACACGTTTTGGGCAGCGTCCCACGGTTAAACGAGGGCAAAGATGGCGAGACCCAGGCCACGAGGCTCTTACCGACTTCGTTTATACGTAGAGTTCCTTTAGTCATCTAGGGCTTGAAAAAAACAAGGACCTTTTATACCAAAGACTGTTGCTAGATGGATGGATGATTGCTCCCCTCACAGAGTCCTCATCACACACTCGGCCGATCAACTGCCATGGACATGACAAACCAGGTTACGTAAGAAAAGGTCCGGTTGACGAAAGGTCTGGTCCAACTCGAAGTAATTTCTACGGTCACACCCGCCGTAAGTAATGGGGAAGTAGCCACCTCAAGCTGCAGTTCGGGACGGCTGGCGTAAATATATTTGGACTAATCCAGTGCCCGTTCCGCCAGACGTGAGCAAACAAGAACATGATTGAGTGTATCAAGCGCAAAACGTACCAATGTGACGGATGACATCGAAACGAGGACACGTCAAGCTTGCCTCATCCGGCACGGGCTTCCGTCAATCGAACTTGTTCAAAAAATAGAATGAGTGCCCGCGAGGCATGGAAGAACATGCCGGCTCATGAATCACTTTGAGGGTTCCTCCCCGAGCAACTGGGTGGTGGCGTTGTTGGGTTTTGCCCACCGGCCGTTGCCCACGGACGGCAGAACCCGTGCGGCGTAGTCTATTAAACAAGCCAAGCTGAAAGGAGCAGAATGATATCCATAAGGGTGGCAGAGCCGCATTCAATGTTCGTTTCAGAAACACCGGCAGGGGGCCCGCTGCTGGGTTTGCATGGTCGGCGCTCGGCACCTTGAGCCCGAGCAAGGCCACTGGACATCAGGGCCGGTCGGGTGGTGACACTTGGGTGTGAATATGGAATGAGGGTGGCCAGCTTTGACCATCCTTGTCCTCGCTGGGCGGAAACGGGAAACAAAGCAATAGTTCAAGCCGGCGGATCTGACGATTGACCACGACGACAGCATGGCGTTGGGTTGTAGCGTGTCGTATGATCCACGAGGCACTAGCGGAAAAGGCAGGTCTCTCAATGACGCGTCCAGGACTCCAGGCCAAATTTACACCCCATTCCATGTGGTACTATTATCGATACGAGTGCGACGCCGAGCATGCTCCATCAGACGAAGCAGCAAGCGCCGCCAGGCACCCGCGGTCGTATGTACGTTGCAAGGATCGGGCGATGAGGCAGCTTGTACTGTACATACGGACGGATGCAATGATCGCCGCCAAGGGCCCGGCATAATGGAACTGCCAATCATTCAATTACAGGAAAAGGTCTGGGGTATTCCTGGAGGGTGTCTGCTCAGCCCTAGTGTCAGCCGCCCTTGGACCCAGTAGTTGTCCGTGTCAGGGCGCGAGTAGTCTCAATAGTATTGGGTTTGTGCTGCGCTGAGGCTGAGGAACGACGGCATGAAGGGGAAATTTCCGCATTCCCTTGGCGAAGTTATTAATATACATGCATACTACCTTCCATGTTCGGCTGGCCATGATCGGCAAATGTGCGGAATAACGGCACTTTGTGGAGACGGCGCAACCCGGGAGCGGATGCAACGCTGCACGCGGATGATCTACCGGTAACGGCTTTCATGCCACTGCCGAGAATATTGAATATTAATAAGCGGTTCGTTGCCTCCCACTTCGGCGTCGAGTCTGGATGTCGGTTGTGGTGGATGGGTTGCCGTTCCAGCCGCACTCGAGTCAAATCACGAGATATTGTCGTCTCTGCTGAGATGCTCGACCAAACGCCGCTTACAAGGGCCCCTCGAGGAGCGCCAATATCAATGGTGTGGAATACAGTCCGGCCTTTTCTGGCAGCTCATTTATGGACAGACCTTGCCCGCTTTTAGGGCGGGAAATGCAAATATCCTACTCCCTTAACATCCCCTTGTGACTACGCGTGCCACAAGCATGGAAGAGACGAAAGTAGAATAAAGTCAATAATAGAATAGATCTAGGGTAAATACTATTACTAGCACCAGGACCTTCGTCTCTGACCCCCACGCCCGCCTACTCCTCGGGGCATCGTTCCCACCCCGAGGGCGAGGTTAAAGAGAATGTCAATCACCTTGATGTCACCTGGCCGTGACCAATGTCTTCAGGCTCAGCAACCCGTTGTGGAAGGTGGGATGGTCTTGGGGCTCCATCCTTTCTAACAATACCGCCTTCAAGGAGCGGTTGAGCTAGTAACTGATGGACGTGTTGGCTGTTGGTGGTGCGAGGACAACATTCCCGGCATGGAGGTCTAGAGGAACAGCACATGCAGTTACATGATGAGTTTGTAGTCAGTAAGTACTGAGGCGGCCCGCTTCGTGGCCACGGTGCGTTTCATAGGAGATGCTGCGGACTGCCATGTACAAGATACAAGGTCAAGACGGCGAGATAGAGGTGAGACGGGAGACAGGCCCAGATCTCATCCCGACCGGAATGAACACTGAAGCCACCGGCATTTCGCCGCCGGCACCCCATCCCGTGCCCCCAAAACATGATGCCACGATCAATGGCACGGCTGTCATTGCGGCGAATCCGGACTTTTGCTGGTACGGCTTATGTACTTCGTTGTTCTTCAAACCCTCGCCCTAGATATGCCAATACCAGAAGGTGCCGATCACACTAGAAATGGAATGATTTTGCCTTTCTTGTGTCCCTTGAAAGGCTGGTTTCTGTATTCAACTCATGTTGGGTAACTTGCTGCGGATGTGCTCCGACTGGGACAAGGCCACTAGTTGAGTACAATGATATGATGCATGTCCCAGTTAAATTTTGACTTACGAAACAAAATTCGAGGCCGACTAGGCAGTTTAGTGGCTATGCGTTCAAAGGACGTACCTTCAAGCAAACTTGGCATCCTCGGCGGTCATGAGACGGGATTTCAGCTTCGCACAGGCTGGTTATCCGGCTCCCGCGAAGGTGCTGTATCCTTACTGCTCCATTTTTGTGTGATTCTCACGGTTGCAACGGCATGATTCCAAGCATTCGTACCAACATCGCTCAAAATTAGGGAGCAAGCCAAGGAATATATGGATGCCGTCTCGATTTCCAACATGTTCATGACTTCTTTAAAAGGGGGCTCTCCAACGGCCATACTCTCCAGAAACCTTTTCATCACATCTCTCTACAGCACAACACAGTCCATCTACTACATCCCCCATTAACCAACCACGCTTGCCAACATGAAGCTTTCTACCATTCTTGCCGGCACATCCATCCCCCTGGCGCTCGCCAACGTCCGCGTCAAATGGAGCTTTCCCAGCGCTCCGGCCACCGGGCTCGAGGACATAACCTTCCCCATGAACATGGCCAACGCCAAGCACGAGAGAGGCTACTACTTTGCCCAGCAGTTCAACTTCGAGGGCATCAGCGCCGTGGGATACATCGGCTTCCAGCCCCGCCCCGACAGGAACGGCAAGCCCATCTTCCTCGCCGTCTTTTCCTCCTTCCAAAAGGGGGCCACGAGCACTCACGCCAAGTGCAAGTCTGGCGCGGACGGGGGAGCCGGCGTGAGCTGCGCCATCGAGGGCTCCGGAGACTACGCCGACACATACAACTTTAGCGTGGAGCATGTCAGCGACACGACCTGGCGCGGCGTCATGACCAACACCGTCACGGGGAAGAAGGACGAAATTGGTGTCATTAAGTTGCCTAGCCAGGCGAAGAATATTAAGCCTTCTCAGGTGGGCTTTGTTGAGTACTTCCCCTGGAATGCGAATGGCCCCGACTGTCCTAAGCAGCCCAAGACGGAAATCACCTTTTACGACCCTACGTCTAATACGGGCGGTGCTGGGTCTATTACGGCTATCGAGGACTATGGCGACTGTAGTGGAAAGGCTAATATCAAGTACACTAAGATTACTGGGGGATATACCGTCAACTACGGTAATGTGTAGGCTCCTAGGGTACTCAAACTATGTCCCGGCCGCATTGGTTTCTCTAAAGGCTGTAACGGAATTATTAGACATTGGAGGGAGCGGACTACGCTCTTTACGATCGGTACTGGTTGTTGTAGCTAGAGTAATAGGCTGGTATAAGTATGTTTAAGTTTACTGTGTATATGGCATGGGAGATGAAGAATATCACTCTTTGGTACCTTTTTCTTTTGCATGTTTCACGGACTTCCATTTGCATCTACTGTGTCAGTGTTTGTATCGTCAACCTTTGTATCCCGTGTTCTCAAAGCCCTTTTATAGTCAAGGCTGTCACAAGTAGCAACAGTTGTCGTACGGCTTGTCCGGCTTGCTAGGTGCACTAAAAAAAGTGGAGGAACGTCCGTTGGTGCATACTGCTATTTCACCAGTTGTCCCGATCACAATAGTTTCCGCCCGATTTGGCAAGGAGACCGGCACTTTCTGGATATTACCTGCAGTAAACCATCCCATCCCTAGTCACCAACCGCGGCAATAGACGTATTTATCATGATGGCATATATTCACCTGCCAACATGAGCTTTTGAAAGAAATCGGCTCACCGAGGTTCCCTCCTAAAACAGCGCGACCGCGGCCATGGCGCTGCAAAGTTTAAACGTCGATGACGTAGTTCTACCACTATGCGCATCATCAACGGCCAAGACCAACGTCATGATGATTTTGGACAGTAATCAGAAATTCCCAATACATTACCGTTGAAATAGTCTTTTATAACAAATGCCGCTCCCTCCTTAACGGCTGTACAACCATTCCACTTCACACCCATCTGTACCAAGTACTACCTACCATACTCCAGAATGGGCTACCCCGATACCTTCCAAGGCTTCTGCGTCGACGGGCCAACAACATGGAACACGTTCCATAAATCAGAACTCAAGCCAAAGCCATTCGGCGACCACGACGTCGACGTCGAAATCGCCGCCTGCAGCATCTGCAGCTCCGACCTTCACACCGTCACCGGCGGCTGGGGCGACTACAAAGGCCCCCTCTGCGTCGGCCACGAAGTCGTCGGCAAAGCCGTCCAGGTCGGCCAGCACGTCAAGCACCTCAAAGTCGGCGACCGCGTCGGCGTCGGCGCCCAAGTCTGGGCCTGCCTCGAGTGCCACCTCTGCAAGGACAAGAACGAGAACTACTGCCCCAAGCTCGTGGACACGTACAACGCCCAGTATCCCGACGGCAGCTGGGCGCACGGCGGGCTCGCCTCGCACATCCGGGCCCACGAGTACTTCACCTTCAAGATACCCGACGCGCTCGACACCAACGTCGCGGCGCCACTGCTCTGCGCCGGCATCACGACGTACTCGCCCATGGTGCGCGCCCACGTCGGCCCCGGCAAGCGCGTCGGCGTCGTGGGCATCGGCGGCCTGGGCCATCTCGCTGTGCAATGGGCCGCGGCTCTCGGCGCCGAGACGTACGCGCTCTCGCATTCTCCTGGCAAGAAGGACGACGGCAGGCAGCTCGGCGCCAAGGAGGTCATTCTCACGACGGAAAAGGGGTGGAATGAGCCGTGGAAGGCGACGTTTGACTTTGTCATGAATTGCGCCGATGCCACGGACAGGTTTGACATGGCGGCGTACTTGTCGATTCTTAAGCCCGGGGCCGACTTTCACATGGTTGGCCTTCCGGACAAGGCGCTCCCGGAGATGACGGCGGGTTTGTTTGCCGGCGGGGCGCCCAAGTTGACGGGGAGCCATCTTGGTAATCACCAGGAGATGGAGGCGCTTCTTGAACTTGCTGCTGAGAAGGGCGTCAAGCCTTGGGTCGAGCTGATGCCTATTTCGGAGAAGAATTGCGGAGAGGCGTTTCAGGGACAAAAGGATAACAAGTTTAGGTACCGATGCACTCTTACGGATTTTGACAAGGCGTTTCCAAAGGCATAAATGACTGACTGTGAGGGGATTTGGGCAACTGGGTCGTGATCGGCGTTGTGTAGAGTTCATGAGGGCAGGGGCCTTGGTTGTATGAGTAGTCTGGGTTTTAGGAATGGGCTCAAGTCTTGTTAGAATATGAATCACCTAAAAGGACGTCGAGTTTGGTTCGGACCTTGTCTACCAGTCGCCAATTGTAATCACACGAGAGGGGGGTATCGTGACCAACCCAGGCTGGTGTCGAGAAGTTACAAGAAATACGTCCTGTAATGAGACCAACTTGAGGAACAGTGAAGAACAACTGAACAGGCTTGAATAATTATAGGCCAATATTGGTGGCTGTGCGAGTATCATCAGGCAGCCAGCTAATCCGGACACGGGTCACAGTCTACGAGTTGAACCTTGGTTTGTGTCATGGTCTTTCAACTCGAAAATGTCTTATCCCCTGGCTCGATGCAAATAACAGGAGGAATAGCTAGCAATATCTGCTGCCGAGATGATTGTAGGCAATTAATGACAATCCTGAACATTGCTCTTCTCTTCTTGTATATACACGTTGTAGTCAGTGCATAGGCCTTTGCCTTGGCCAGAAATTATCTCGAATGCATCTCCATTCCATTCACCATCGGTCACAGCTCGTGTAGCCAGCTCGTGTAGCCCCAAGATAGTCAGACGTCACGGGAAGGGAACAATCCGTCCCAGAGAGAAACGGATTGGCAGCTGGAGTCAGAGTTGGAATACACGGCCCCTTAGCAAGGAGAAAAAATTGCGTTGGAGCGGGACAACAGGCCAGCCGGGCTGCCTGCACTCCTGGATGGTCTATAATTTTGCGCCCTTAATTTCTACTTAGACAAAACAGAGTGATAAGGTCTGAAACTCTCGTGGCATCTGGCTCCGGGCCAGGTTAAGTGGCTTAAGGTAGAAGACCGGACGACGCCAAAGGACGCCGAGGGACGCCACATGGCTAGAACACACTTTTCCCTTGCTCTCTTGGTAAAGCATAATACCATGGCGTATGCATAGCTTATACATAGAGTTTGAGTTTTTGACCTGTCTAAATAGTCGTGCAAGCACTACGTTGAGGGAGGCCCAGTAGCATAACACTATATGCCTGGCCGTACCCAAGCTAGGGAACCGTAACTTACTGTATCGTACACTATGGGCACTACCTATATATACTCCAAAAAGGTTCAGTTTCGTTCTCTCGTCTTCTTCGCTCCGATTCTGCCAACTCACTCACAACACCACCAATCCGAGCCCCCTCATCCGGTATCAACATGGCTGGATGGACGGGACTCCCCTACGATGTTCGTCTCATCATACTCAACATGGTTTTTGCTCGGCTTACAGCACCAGAAGAGAATCAAGCAGTTGGAAGGCCTCTAAAGAGAATGCACGGCCGCATGCCCTCGCACGGCCTAGTCTGCAGGGACTGGTTCGAGTTTTTCGAACAGGAGACGTATCGCGCCCTCTTCGTCACGCAAGATTCCCTGGACAGCATCAGCAGACTTACTCGACGTCAACAGCGGATGGTGCGCTACCTCTGGGTCAAGGTTGACCTGGCCACATACGCCTCCCCCAACGATACGGACTTCTACTGGGAGGTCTGTGACCTGCAATATGACGCCAATTCAACCTTGGTCAACGCCACCATCAGACAAACCTTTGAGCTTCTACGCTCCTGGGACACCGAGCAAGGCTCCGGGGCTCCAGGACTTACACTGGAGATCAGTGCGTGTTCGCCCAGTGACATGGAGTACACCTTTTACAACGACTTGCATTTCGACACCAGCCCCTTTGACGTCGATGGGCCTCTGGAGCGAAACCGGCCGAGCCACTCGTATCCGAGGAACGGCTGGTTCCAAGGAAAAAGAACGAGTCCTCCGAGCCTACGTTCCATCTTGGCGACATTGGGTTTCTCTTTCTGCCATCTAGATGGATTGCCCACGGCGCCAGCAGTCACAAGCTTCATCGTCCGCAGACAGACGCGCTGGCAATTCGGACCGCTGGCACTGGCAAACATCATCCGCAGGCTCCCCAGCTTGCGCCGCGTCCTCATCGAGTCATGGAGAGAATTCGATTGTTTTTCACCAGGGGGCTGGTATCCCCAGGACCGTAGTAGGTGTCCCCCCCCCCCAAAGTCCCTCCTTCCACGTTGTTACTTCTGTTGTCTTTGGGACCGCTAGTAACCGCCGGTTGTGGAAATAGATCTCGCCCTGATGCTTATTGGCACTCTGCCAGACACAGTCGAGAGCCTCACCATGTTTGAAGACTTCAACGAGGACTACAACGCCGTGGCTCGTGATTTGTACCCTTGGCTAGGCGAAACCCCTTTCGAGATCATCAGGACGCCGTCTGTATTTGTCGGCGAAGCCTTGGCGCAAAGCAGCCAACGGCTTTCCAGCCTCACCGCGTCATACATGGTGGACGCTCGCGACTTTTTCAGCGAGGCCGTCAAACCAGGATACTTCTGGGACCGCTTGACCGTGCTGTCTCTGACCTCGCGCCACTTGAACGGGTTGTCGGACGATGCGGTGATCAACGAGATAATAGAGAATGCTGGTAGGGGCGCGCTGAAGATGCCGGCGCTGACGCGGATGGACGTTTGGAACGGCACAAAAGGCAACGTGTGCGGGTTCCGGTACGAGGTGGCCGGGAGGGAGGCATCCGTCGAGTGGCACGGCAATCGACTTTTCTCGCTGAGCGCCGACGCGGTGAGGGCGTGGGAACGCGCTGCGGACTGGCATACCGGAGGGGGCGGGCTGATTGTGAAGGAGCCTCGAATCGTGCGGAACAAGTACATTGGGTCTCATGCAACGGCCATGGAGATTCTTGGGCTGCACAACCGTGTCCTTCATCCGGTGTCCTTTAGACAAATCACCTGCGAGACGTCACGATACTGCTTCAGGCAGTATTAGGCGAAATATGCGTGTGGGAATTATTGCCGAGGATTCTTGGAGCACCGCAGTGTTCGGATACCTTGTAAGCAGAGCTATCTTGTTCAAAGATGTCGGCTGCCTTGTTGGTTGAGTCATCCGTGTTTGAAAAATGTAAGCAGCTTTGCTCCTTTAGGGAAACTATGGCATTTGAATAGTACTTGTCAACGCCAAAGGCCCCCTTTCAATGGAAAAAGGAAGCTATTCAGCGGTATCGCCGAAAAGCCCCAAAAGCCTCAATATAATTATCAAAATAAAGCCTCTAAAAGCCTTTAAAAGGCTTACGCTACCACCCTATTAAAGCTAGACTTTTAATAGCTAGAAATCCCTTAATTACTAACTTCCTAGGTAACTAGCTAGATAATAGTTAATATCTATAAAAAGGGCCTGTTTTCCCTTCCTAGATAGCTTTAAATATAAGGATAATTCTATGCTTTAATCTAGTTTATAGCTATTAATTATAATAATTATAAGCCTAGGTTTACTACTAAATTTAGGATATTTTAATATTAAATTATAATATATCTAAGGTTTTTAATAAAAGACCTAAAATAACCTAGCTATAAATATTAAAGGTCCTTTATTAATAACCCTAATAGGTTTAAGTAGCTGGTTTTAGTAGATTTTTATTATTAGGAAGTATACTATAAATCAGGGTATTTAATATTTAATTAACCCTTAATAGCCTAATAAGGCAGCTATTATCCCTCTAAAAAAACCCTAACCTAATAATATTAATTTTAAGGCTATAATAATTATAAACCTTAATAAAGTTTAATTTAAGAGGCTTAAATCCCTTAAAAATAATTATTAAGTTAATATTTAAGCCTATTAAAAGTATTAAAAAGCCTTTTTAATTATTTAATAATTTATTATTAAGATTATTAGTAATTATTATAATATAATAGCTGTTAAAAATAATATTTTAAGATAACTAGAGCTATTATAAGCCTAATTATAACCTATATTTTAAGAGTTTAAAAAAAAGGTCTTAATAAGATATAAATCAATATTAAAGGGTATAAATTATATAAAAATTAAGGCTTAAATTATAAGCTAGCAAAAAGTACTAATAGAAGCTTATTAAATTAACCTACTTAATACTTAAAGGCTTTAATTAACCCTGGATTTTATAGCTATAATAGCTTTAATTAGCCCTATATTTTTAAACTATTAGAATAACTATATTTTAAATCTATTAAATCTTAATAAGAAAAGATAAAAGAATAAGGTTCTAGACAGCTTTTAAATTAATAATTTATTTAAATAATATTACTAGTATTAAAAAGCTACTAAAGGTAAAAGTGGTTTTTTATCCTTTACCTTCTAAGAAAGCCTATTATTAAGGACCCTAAATTTATTATAAGTACTTAATTAACCTAAAATCTATTAATAAAAAGGGTTAAAAAGGTTAAAAACAGCTTTAACTTACTTTTACGGTTAAAAATACTACTTTTATTATTATTTATACCTTAATAAGCCTTTTAGAAACCTAATATAGAAGCCTAATACTAAAATTAAAGCTTAAATTTAATAAAAGCTATTAGACTTATCTATTAAGGCTAAAGTTAATTAAGCTTATTAATAGGCTTTTAATTAAATTAATTAAAAGTAATAAGAAAACCTAGAAATAAAAGGTATTATATTTTTAAGCTAACTTTAATAATAATAATAAGGTGATTTTTAGATTAAAGGCCCTTAATAATAATAATAATAAGGTATTTTTTAAATTAAAGGCCCTTAAATATAAAGCTTATTATAAGATAAAAGCCTTTTAAAAGCGCTAAAATAGCCTAAACCTTAATAGTTTCTTAAAATAAAAAGTAGGGTTTAATAATATTAATAGCTTACCTTAAAGGTTATTAAACCTTAATAGCTTTTTAAAATAAAAAGTAAGTATTAAAAGACTGATTTTTAGCCTTTTTAATAAATAAAAGGTTAAAACTATCTTTAATAAGCTTTAAATACTTTTATATATATGTTAAAAATATTAAAAGCCTAAAAAATTAATAAATAATAAAGCCTATAAAAGCCTAGATATTAAAGAGCTTAAAAGGTTAAAAAATAAAGGTAGCCTAAAGGGCTTAAAAACGCTAAAAATACTAAAAACGCTTAAATTAATAAAAATAAAGGCTTTAACTAATAAAATCACAGGTTAAGTTATATAAAGCTAATAACCGCGTTATTTATCTAGTTAATTTATAAGGAAATCTACCTTTTAAGGGACTCTTTTATTCTTAATTCTAGGTTAAATATATATATTTATAATAACCTTAATTAATTTACTAATTATTAAGTCCTTTAATAGCCTAATAAGGCCTTTATAAGTAATATAAAGCTTTAAATTAAAGGCTATAAAAAGGTTACCTTATAAATATAAATAAGGCTTTTTTAGCTTAATTAAGTAGCTTTTATTTTAACCTTTTATATTAATATAGTATTATTAGACCGCTTTTTAAAAAAAGGCTATAATTAGAACCTAGTTATAAAGGCTATATTAAGGGATAATAAAGTTATTTTTTTTATAAAGTATTATTTTAAGTAGCTTATTATTAAATTTAATAAAATCTATTAAATTAAAAGCTTTTAATTTAATTTAATATAACCTTAATCTAAGAAAATAATCTTTACTAATCTTTGGTATTAGTAGCTAGGCTACTTAAATATAAATAACCTTAAATATCTGGTTTAATAGACTATTAGGTCTAAGATCTAAGGCCTTATATAAATTAATTATAAAGCTTGTTTTAAGGCTAAGGCTAAAAAGGTTATTTTTTATAAAAACCTATAAATAATAAGCCCTAGACCTTTTTAGAGGATTTATATTAATATCTTTTAATTTAAGCCTAGCTATAATAATAAGTTAATAGCCCTAATAGTTAAAGATAAATTTTTAGGCCTTTTAATAGTTTTTAAGCTTAAAAATACTACTTAAAACACCTTTTTATTAATTATTTAATTATTTAAAGCTTAAATTTAATAGTAATATTAACTAGGCGTTTATTAAATTTATTAGGATAATAATAAAAGCTTTTAGATAGCCTATAAAGCCTAGGTTACCTAAAAAGGTATTATTAATAAGCTTATATTACTATATATACTTATATAAAACAGCCCTACTAAAAGGTCCAGGGGTATTCTAGGGTTAAAAGCCTATATAATATAGCTAGTAGCTAACCTTCTAGCTAAATTATAGCCTAAAATCTAGAAAGTTACTACCTACCTTTATAATCTATTATTATAATAAGGCATAGACTAAAAGACGCCCTTTTAATAGCTTTAATAGTAGCTCTAATTAAATAATCATAATATAGGTTATCTAGATAAGCCTAATATCACATATTTAATTATGTACAGCTATAAGGCTTATTTAATAACCCAGGAAGCCCTTTAAGGTGCTTAAAAATAGTTTTTAAAGATAATAGCTTATATAAAAATTAGTTATCTTATTAGATATAATTTAACTAACGTTTTTTATGTATAAATTCTATTAAAATTAAAAGTTAAATAAGTTAAAAATATAACCTTTAATAAAAAAACCTTTTATTAAGGCTAAATCTATTAAATTTAACTAAAGAAGCTATAATAGCTTAAATTTTTAACTTATATTAAGTTTAATAATAATAATAATACTAATAAAGTATAGTTAATTATTAAAGTTAATACTTAAAGCCTTAAATAAGCTGGTTAAAATAAAAGCTAGTTATTAGGCTCTAATATTTTTAAAAACCTTAAATTAAATATAAGTAATTATTAACTAGACCTTTTAATACTAGCTTTATTAGAATTATTTAACTAAAGCAATTAATTTAAAGGCCTAAAATAATTATAATAAATTTTTAATAGGGCTCTTAGTAGCTTTTATAGTAGCTTTTTAATTAAATAGCTTAAAAAGCTATATAAAAGAAGCTTACCGCCTAAACCTTAATATTAAAAAGAGCTAAAAAAACACTTATATAAGCTTAAATTTAAGAAAGCTATAAAAGCTAAATATAATGCTTTTTATAGGTAAGGGACTTTTTAGCTTATTTAACCTAATTAAATTAAATAATATTAATACCTATTATTATTAACTTAGGTATTTAAGTATAAATATAATATATATAGATTTATTAATAAATTTAAGGCTTATTTATATATATAAAATAACCTTTAATTACTTAATAATAAAGAAACCTATACTATAACCTTAGCCAGAAGGTTATTTTAAACCCTAATAGCTATTATAGCTAAATTTAACCTAGAAGCTAGGTAGTTTAATACGATTAATACTTTTATAAATAGCCTGATTAATAAAGTAGTTTATATTAAATTTCCTGATAGCTTTAAAAGGCCTAATTAGATAATAAAGCTATTATAAGCCTTATATAGGCTATAAAGGTTACCCTTTTTATAGTAATAAACCCTTAATTAAACCTTTAAGTAGTTAGGCCTAAAGCCTTATTTAAAAGACTTTTATATTTTTAATAGCCTAATTTTAATAGTTTTTTTTTATATTAATAATATCATCTTTTTATATTATTAGATAGCTATAAAAGCAGCTAATTAATTAATTTAAAAGCTTAAATCCACTTATAATATAAAGAACCTTAGCTAGCTATATTAGTTCCTAGGTATCTAGGTCCTTTAAGACAGGCTTACTAGGAAGTTTTAGCTATATTAGGATTTATATATTAAAAAATTAGTTATAAAATTTAATATATTTAAGTAAAATAGCTTTAAAGGAAATCTAATACCTAGAAGTTAATTATAACCTAATCTAGGTATTATAACCACTAATTAAATTTATTAATATTAGTAAATTATTAGCTTTATTAACTATATTATAATTATTAAAAAACCAAATATAACTAAGATTATAGCTAAACTAGCTAAGTTCCTCTTTAATTTATTAGAAACCTACTAATAAGTTACTAATTAAGTGATTAAATATTTGTATTTAACGTGATACCTAGCAATAAAATTTAACAGCCTTAAAGGTTCTAATAACCTAGAGCTTTTAATAGCTTTAAATACTGCTTTTATTAATAATTAATAAACCTAAAAATTATTATAAAGCTTTATAATTTAACTTTTTAATAAACCTATTAGCTAGATTACTAGTAAGTAAAATATAGTTATAATATTATTAATAAAAGCTAAATTACTAGCTTTTATATATACTATAAAAGAGACTATCGCGATTTATAGGCTTTTTTAATAGCTAGGCCTTTAACTAAGTTAAGAAAAACCTATAATATAATATAATAATTTATAAATAATCCAGCTTATTAATAGTAATCTTTTAAGGCTTAAGACTACTTTTTATTATATTAATATTTATAATAACTAGATTTAATAAGCCTATTAATAAGGGACCTTTAATATAAAATTTATTTAAAGTAATAATAATCTAGTAAATAAATTAACTAAGGTCCTTATAAGCTAATAATTTAACTGCTTTATTAAGTAGTTAAAGCTAGTTAATATTATTAGTATTATTAAAAAAGGCTAAAATAACTAGAATCTAGCTTATTTTAGAAATTAAGGTTTAATAATTTTTAGCTTAACCTAAAAGTTATTAAACCTTAATAGTTTCTTAAAATAAGCTATAAGGGTATATTAATATAAAAGGCCCCCTTTTAATAAAAAAAGAAAGCTATTTAGTAGTATTATTAAAAAGCCCTAAAAGCTTTAATATAATTATTAAAATAAAGCCTTTAAAAGCCTCTAAAAGGCTTATGCTATTACCCTATTAAAGCTAGACCTTTAATAGCTAGAAATCCCTTAATTACTAACTTCCTAGGCAACTAGCTAGATGACGGTTAATATCTATAAAAAGGGCCTGTTTTTCCTTCCTAGATAGCTTTAAATACAAGGATAATTCCACGCTTTAATCCAGTCTATAGCTGTTAATCGCGATAGTACTGTAGAAGATTCTAGTTTACTACGAAATATATTGGTATACTTAAATATTCTAACAGTAAAAATATATTCTAGAATATATAAATTTATACCAGAATATAAAAGTATATATTAAAGTATAAAAGTATATACTAGAATATAAAAGTATATACTAGAATATAAAATATATATAATTACATATTAAAATATTTTAGAGTTCCTTATAACAATTATAAAGTGTTATATATTATTTAGCAACTACGTTATCAGGTAAGCTATTCAGAAAGTTCAAGACATATCATAAGATTAAGACTAAGCTACAAGGTTCAAATACATGTTTACTAGAGACCTAGCCACAGCCCTTCTTTTCATTTGCAATGTCCCCTATTGGATTTCAAGCTGTGAATGTAATGTCAGTTCCTTCCCTCAACCTTGGTCAAAGACCAAGTCTACATTTAATCCAATCACTAGCTTCCAATCGTGCCAAGAATCTTCTCTGGAGCTTGTTCATCACTAGGTTAAACTGTGAAGTGAGACTAGCTCTCTAATTCGTACCAGTACGCGTACCCATGATGCAAAACCGCCACAAGTCCCATCTTCTCCAACCAGCGGCATTATAGGCCTTGTGTGCCGGTAAAAGCTAGTTCTTGGCAGTGTGCCCTCGGAGTGCAATTTAGACTATCAACCAATATTTTTTGGCAGAGAGTGTTACTATCTTAGTCGACGCCGTTCCTGTATAACAGCTACAGTCTACCGCAGAGTGTACTCGACAAAGGAGCGGACCAAAGCTTCTGTTACCCGGAAAAGGCCTAACAGATCGTGAAGCCCAATAAAAGGGATTTACTAATAATAAACTTACTTATTATATCAGTAAACCACGTGTCTAGGTAAGGATTTTAAGAGCAGGTATTTTATATATATATATATATATATATATATAATAATTATTAATACTTTTTTATTAAAAGATTGAGGATTTGTAATACTTTTTAATATTATCTTTAAATTTTAAGCTTTACGTTCTGAGCCCAGTTAGTCCCTCGTCACGGCTTCGCGGTCTCTATTCCCACTATTAGTTCAAGAATCAACCAAGAATCTGGGGGGGTACGTACCGCGTGTATAGGAAGGGGATAAATGTTTTCCTATTCTTCTCCCTTGGTAAGGTACCTGGTCTCGTATCCTATACGCAGCCGACACATGACGCCGTTTGGTGCTTAAGACGGCTGCGGGATAGTCCGCCTATTGGGAGCTGTATACATGAGCGTTATATCATATATAACCTAACCTAAATAATGAAAGTATTTAATTTATAGCTCACTTAAACTTCCAGCTGTACCCCCCAACTTATCTCCCTAACTACCCTGTGTGCCGTAACGATGTATTCTTTGTGATGTTGTCCGCCGGATTAAGAAAGTCATGCCATTTATCCGTGTAGCATTATGCATAACCCACATAACGATACCCTTCATCAAGTCATGAAGAAACTTGAAAACCCCGGAAAAAGTACGTATATTTAAGCATCACTATATTACATACAAGGCGTGGCAGACTAAATGTCCGGTGTATTTATCATCGTGTGGAGCGATGTACGGACTCGGTTGGAGGAGGCATGGACCCTTCATTTTACTCTGTTTCATGCATCGTGGATTGCGTGCTCAACGCCCTGTTGTCGCCTATTCGGAATCGGAATTGTAGTTTCGGGAGCAAGGAAGACTAGACAGGAAAAATGATTTGCTTCTTTTCCAGAGAGCTGAACTCAACAGCCCATGATGAAGCCCTCCGAGGAGCGAAATTGTGCTAGATTTCCAAGTTGGTGCGTGTAGCAAAATTCTGAGGAGCTTGGCAGTATGATTTTACCCATATTTTCTTCCTGCCCGTCCTTTCGTTCTTTCTCGAATTTGACTTTGGGTAAATCACCCTTGTTTCCTGGTTTCGGAGCCGCGTAGGCGTGGGGGTCTCTTGTCCATCTTTTTTTATTCTGCCCACTGCGCGAGTAATGTTGCCAATGGGGTTGCTTCCTTGTTAACCCCGGCAATAGGTAGCCATTTAAATATAGTAGACCGCGATTCTAGGGTGGATCATGAATCAGGGGTTGCGCTGCATGATTCGCACATATAGACTGGTATCGTATGGTGTGCAGCGCTGGCCGAGTCAGCTCCCCCTCTGCTCGTTGTAAATAATAGTCGGCAAATACTTCATGGTTATAGCATTTACTATATTTACACTTGGGAAGAGCATACCATAGTTTCACCATTACCATAGTGGCCAGGCTTCCGTGGAGTGACGACAATATACAGCAGGGTCTGGTGGCAGGGAGTTGCCATTGATATGGGTCAAGGTGTCTGGTGAGTTGACATGTCAGTAGACTTTGGTGTAGCAGCCGACTGTAAACCCCGAATTCGCGTCAGAGTAACAAGAATCGTGCTTGGAAGAAACGTGATGCCGTTCGTCACGCGATTCAAGCCGTACTATTTGCGCGGCACTTGACCCGAGATCGTCGTATAGATTTAAATTAAACCCTAATTAATTTTATAATAAGCAGGAACGACTTATTAGATCCAACGTCGGGGCACCCTTGGTAAGACAAGTGTAGGGGTAAATATTCCCGGCCCCGCGGGTACCGATGGTATATAGCAGGAAATGAGGAAAGAGCATCTCCGGAGGTTCAACCCTTGTCATTATAGACGACGAGTCTCAAGGGTGATGCTCGCAGCGAATCTTTTGGCCCAACTTTGAGCTATATTGCACGAAGGCTACCACTATCCGGGTACGGTAGCACCTGATATTACGAGGAGGACAATGCATAATCCAACAGATTTTTACTTTGAGATACCCTTCCCGTTACTACTCTTTGTATGAGCTCATTGAGGCGGTGTCTTGCTGTGTATGACTCAACTCGCTCAGCTCATCTCCTGAGCTGTAGTAGGCGGCGAGATAAATACCGCCAGTTTCCTATCCAAATTATTGCCTTGCTCTTCACCAGAAACAAAAACTACTCTGTGCAATCTTCTACATTCATCTTTTACCCCATTAACAATCTCATCTTCCATCTTCAAAATGGCACGCAAATCAGCTATCATGCTGGCTGTCGCATGCTCTACACTTTTAACGACGGCGGCAAGTATTGATAAGAGACTTGCTGGGGGAGAAGCTGCCAAAATTAGTGAGATTCCAAGCATGGTTAGCATTCAAAATGAGAGAGGTCACCACGAATGTGGTGGTACTTTATTGGATAGCACCACTGTTCTCACTGCCGCTCATTGCCTTGGATCAAGCCACGCTGTCAGGGCAGGAACGCTGGTAAAGCATCTTCCCTTTTACTCTCCTCTCCCGGGAGTAAGCTGCCCTTTACGCAGCTAATAATTTTCCAGAATGCACACGAGGGCGGAGTCATTGCGAATATTTCATCTCGGAAGCCGCACCCCAACTACAAGAAACGGGCTAGTGTTTATGACACTCCCGAGAATGACATCGCCATCGTGAAATTGTTGACTCCAATTGAGACAAGCGCTGTCATCGAGTACGCAACACTACCGGAGGACGGCTCAAACCCTGTAGCCGACTCTGCCGCAATAGCCGCAGGCTGGTAAGTGCTATTGACCAGACTTGACTTGGCACTGTTGGAAAAGACGCTGACTAGTAGGCAAGGGGTTATAACTACGACACATCTCGGTATAGTTATCACCAACTTATCAAAGTTGAACTTCCTGTTCGCGGACGCGAGTTTTGTGAGAAGATAGCCCCAAACATCTTCCATGGCAAGGACACGTACCTATGTGTTGGGGGGGATGGCAAGGGTGCCTGCCATGAAGATAGCGGCAGTCCTCTTTTTGACAAGAAAACGAGACAATTCATTGGTGTGACATCATTCACCATGGGTAGCTTCCCATGTGGTCCTACGAATCCCTCAGTCTATACCAGGATCAGCGGCTACATCTCTTTTATTAAGGAAAACATGGGGGGTAGTAGTTCTGTGTAATTCTCGGGCCGAACACGGTCAACCAACAGTTGCGGGAGACTGCAAGCAAAAAGACCAGCTTTTTTTTACCTTCATACTGTCCTGGGATAAGCCAGATCTGTGCTCAGTTCACCTTATTCAAGTTTTACTTGGAGTACGCGCTTGATCCTGGCTTAATCTCTGGTTTTAGATAGACAGCTATAAAACTTGTCAGTTAACATAGTCTGAGCAGCCTCCTTTCAATCTATGTGGTGATAAGTCTACGCTCGCTAATGCTTAGTATATATATTTATACATACCGGTAAGAATTAACTGCATATGCATCTAACGTACAATTCCTCTGGCATTTATTCGGGTTCTTTGCACCTCCATGGAACTGGTACAGTTGCGACACACAAACAACCTTTGGCCTGACCGTCCATCACCACCGGCCGTCGATTCTTACAAACGATATGTGTTCGTCGGTACACTTGGATCAACAATTCTGCCGACTTTCTTGCCGCTAGCTCTGATTCAACGTACAATACTTGGTCTGTGGTTCTGTGCTGCCCGGTGTGCTTGCCTCGCAGGATGTCTTGAGTTCAGCAATCTCAACCATACGTCTGCAGCAGCCATGCTCGGAGGCCTTCTACCGCGACCGTCGATATTAAATTCCCCCCAGAGTCGGTCTTTTGCCTCACCTGCGACGGCAATCGGTACGACGTCGATAACGGCATGTGGCTTGCACGTGGTGACGTCGAGATAACGGTTTGCTTACATGTACACTTCATGTGCCATTAGTACATCAGCCTGGTTATATCCCCTGCAGTCAAGCCTAGAGAATCCTTCATAGACAATGTGCTTGCGGATGGACCCCTATCTTTGGAGGTTGAAACGACTAGCAATAGCAACCGTGCTGATGAAGAGCGCACTGGCCAAGGTGATGATGTTCTCTTCTTTCGACGGTAAGTACCCTTATCCTGAGACGGCCGCCGCTGTACTTGTGTTGTTTTGAACCGAGAAACTTACAGTGTCCGAAGTATACGAAGCTTGCTTCAACAAACAGATGGCCGGCTCGACCATCAACGATTCGCTCAAGCTCGCCAGGGGGTTCCACCTCTTCCTCGGAAGGAGCATCATCAACAGTAGCGTCCATCCTCCAGAGTCGCATGACCAAAGGCTTGCCCGGCTCCTGGGGGTTGTTGGCCCTCTGTTACACGGAAAAGGCCCAACAATCGTGAAGCCCAATAAGGGGGCTCGCCGATAAAGGACCTCTTGGTTACACAGATTGAACGCGTGCCCTGGCAGGAGGCCTAAGCATAAGCGTTCCCTTTATATACAAAGCAGTCACTATTATCTCTCATCCTCTTAATAGACTGAGGACCTTTAACACCCTTCAGGAAAATCTTTAAATTTACGCTCGTTGCTTCAAGCCTATCATTGAGCCCTTGTCACACCATTGACCAGGACCTGCTCCTCCGGCATCGCAAGAAGTCATTCGTAACTTGGAGCGGAGAACAGTGGGCAGGGACCTCCTCCGAATGAAAGGAATCACGGACTGCTCGATTTGCACAGATGAGATGCGGCTGCGTCAATCAGTCACATTCCTTCCTTGTAAGCATTGGCTTCACGAGAGGTGCATTGTACTATGGCTGCGAGAGCATAATACGTGTCCGATTTGTCGCTACCCCATCGAACGGAACTAAGTGAACACCAGCGGGGAGCGCTGGTTTTGCTATGGCCTTACGTCAGGATGAATCAGACAGTTTGCTCGTTGTGGCATGCATCAGCTGCAACTTGAACATGTCACGACTTGTCGAGATCCAGAAAAGTGGTTCATTCTGCAGCTGAGTCAGGGAAACCCTGGAACCCGCGGTTGCTGGCCATCTTAGATACATGATTTAGAGGCGGCTGGTGCTGCGTTAGTTTCTTCGATGATTTCTCGAGGAATCTGTTGCCGAACTAGAGGCTTAATCATGCTGCAAGATATGCTTGGGAAATTGTTAATTTGACGCCGGACTACCTTTTCCCGCTGGTCCCTGTTCCCCAACTAACCGGGGCAGATCAAATAAGGGCAATATGACAGTCACTAGGGAGCTCGTGATCGTGCCAAAATTATTACATGGTAAAAAGCTCGCCGGGAGGTGTGATGAACGATGGAGATGCCAACCTTGACACAACATACGGGTAGCCTACGCGCGAGTCTGCGACTCAACACAATCCCATTAGTAGCTGCATACCTATCGGAAGGCAGGAACCCCGGGCTTGGGGGTGCCTCGCCTGAAGTTTACATCTGCACCGTTGCCCAAGGGTGAAGTGGAATGGGAGTTGACGCCCAACGACTGCGGTTGATGCAACACTCCTCTGCGTTGAAAGTGGATAAGTTTTCCATACTGTGTAGGGCTGATTGGATATACTAGAGGCTGCATGAGACGGAAGAACTTATGATGCAGCGGGAGACGGCAGCGTTGCCAGTGAAGAGTTCGTAGGACTCGTACCTATGGACAGGATTTATTTCCTCGGTCATTTTCCTTGTTTTAGGTGCGTAAAAAGAACCAGGCCGGCAACAATACGCTTTGTGGCATCGGCAGCTTTCTTTGGGTCGAGAATCAGGATGAGACAACACCCTGCCCAATTCCGAAAGAGAGGGTTTTGAACAATCCAACTTCCAGAAGTTTCATCGCTAACTAGAACGAGAAGTCGCCGGGTATGGTCCTGAATATAAATTAAATTTTCATATGAACTAAAGGGGGAATTATTGCTATAGGCTAATACTTTTGTACATGGTTTGGGACCTGAGTTCCGTCGTCTTTGTTTCCAAAAAAGGTCATGCATTGTGATTGGCCAGCAATCCGTTCATGTAGAGGTGGACAGTCCAGCACCAACGTCGACGAGAATCTTAACCTGGTTTTCTTTATCATTGATGAGGGCGTGAAAGCCTTCCTCGACAACCTGGTCGAGCTTGATGGTTTTGGTGATCATGCTGGCAGGCTTTATCTTGCCTGATAGAGACAAACGTTAGCCTTCTGAGAAAAATACTGTCTGCGCATCATGGTGAAAGCGGATTACATACCAGTCGAAATTGCGTCCAAGACCGCCTCAAAGTCTCCGAGACTGTAGGTAGCACTGTATCCTACATTAGTAGCCGAATCGATGTGCCAGTGGATGAGTACTTACACTCCCATGTATCCTCTCTCGCGGAAAACAAGCCCATTCATGGCCAAGTTGGCTCGCTTTTCCCACACGGCAATGTTGACCAGGGTGCCTCGGGCCTTGAGTGCGTTAAACGCAGTGTCGAGAGCGGCTTGGGCACCGGCAGCATCAAAAGCAACGTCTGCACCCAGACCACCAGTAAGTTCCTCCACTCTTGCTACCACATCCTCATTGATGGGGTCAATGGTGTGGTGTGCTCCGAACTGGGTTGCAAAATCTCTTCGTTTGCTGCTGACTTCAGTAACGATGATGTTCTTGCAGCCGCGTCCTACCAAGACCTGTACGACGGCCAGGCCAATGGGACCAGCACCGAGGATCAAGACACTGTCAGTCTCTTTGAAGGGGGAAATGTCGACGGCATGCCAGCCCACAGCGAGAGGCTCAACGAGAGCGCCCTCTTCGAGTGAAACGTTGTCGGGAAGCTGTTTAACACAAGAGTCGGGAACAACCATGGTCTCACATAAGCCACCGCCCCATCCACTGAGGCCAACAAAACCGTTTTGATCACAGCAGTTGACGAGGCCTCTGACGCACGAGCGACAGTCTCCGTCGTAGATGATGGGCTGAACACATACACGGTCTCCGGGCTTGACAGACTCCACGCCCTCACCAACTTCCTCGACAATGCCAGAAAATTCATGGCCAAGGGTAAGGGGGAAAGTCTCGTTGGTGATGGGGTGTGGGTTTTCGGGTTTGGGGATCAGGTTGGCGCCGCCAAGATACTCGTGCAAGTCTGATCCGCAGATGCCGCAGAACTTGGGAGCAATCTTGACCTTTCCAGGGCCGACTTTGGGAGCAGCAATGGTGTCAAGACGAATGTCACGTTTGCCGTGGAAGCGGACAGCCTTCATGGTCTGCTGAGGAGGGGGTGCTGAGACAGCTGTGGCACGAATAGTGCCGACCAGAGTCACGTCGGCGGTGGCCGTCGTGGTTGCCATTGTGAATGCTTGATTCTGATGTATTCTGAGGAGCAGTCAGTCGAGCCTGGTTTGCAGAACAGCGTAGTATCGTATGGTAGGGAAAGGAAGTCCTCGGGTTGATGGACGCAGGGCAGAGCGTGGCTATTTGAAGGATGTCCATGTGTGGAGGGCGACGGTGCCTCCGCGGGACGAGGCTGCTCGGTGAGACCTAGTCCGAAGCCAGAGGGGTCATTCGACCAAGTCGAGATGGAACGAGATGGGGATTCAGGTCTGATGGTGGGGACACTGCCAATGTTTGATGCATGGGTTTGCATTTTGGGATAATCCGTCGATATTGGAGCTTGATCTTGAGCCAGTAATCAGCCACATCGGCAGCGGTGCGTGAACGGGCTTGATCAGACTGGACTATTGCCACTAATGGCTGTACGTGGCTGCGGACAGCTGCGGACAGCTGTGAGAAGGCGAAGTGGTCAACTGTCAGCGATGATCAGGCAGGAACAGGTGGGCAAACACTGCAGGTGTCAACCCGTCGATGCTGCCGTGCCTTGGGGCAGGTGCAGCACGGCAGAGACGTGCGGTTTGCTGCAGGACCCGGTGAGCTCCTGTGCTCCTGCCCAGTAGACAACATTGAAGCTCCGCCGGTGGACGCGGCACCTGGGGCGTGGCAAGGGAGTTGCGTTACCCCGCAGATTCCGGGGAAGGCTCGAGTTACCTGTTTGGGTAATACGGGCAGGAGCTGCCCACGACGCGTAGGAAGTCAGGAAGGTGAGCCGACTCGTCCGCCAACCCACGCCGTCAGCTGCCGCGCCTGGCCCGCGCCTCCCTCGACTCTGCCGCCCGCCCTCGCACCACATTGCATCGTGCGCCCTCAAAACTTGAGGCGACATCTGGCCCGCCTGGCCCATGGGGGCCGAGAACGTCCAAGTGGGAATGCCAGTGGCGCGACTCTTGTTATACCCGTCGTTCGCCCGTCGGTTTTCCTAGTTGGGGACAGTCTGTCGGACTCGTTTCGCCTGCAAACGAGGAGCTAACGCTGCATGTCGCATCAATTTCTCAACATCGGGAAATTCCATCGTGAGCTTAAGCTTGATCAATGCCTATTGCGCAAGCTTGTGCCCCTGGCGCCTCCCCTCCTTTGCCTCCGGTCGCAGCGCACAGCTGCTCCGCCGCGCTGCATGCGGGACCACGTTCCAACTCCAACACGGTATTCCCGGACATAACACCATCCATGCCAGGGCGTCAGCTGACCATCAGATTCTGAACAGATTCCCTTCTGCTGGGTCAATTGTTTCACCCGAGCAACGGCGAGCGTGTGCTGGGCCGGCGACTGGACTCCCTTGCCCCGTTGCCGACAACACCGAAGCTACAATCTGCAACACTCCAATTTTATATCGGTCACGAGGCTCATGCATCCTTTGCTAGCAGCTCCACGGTCCCTATTGACGAATTCATGCTCGGTCAGCCATGTGAGCAGTGTTATTCGTGTTTGTAGACCCACAGGGGTCCTGGTCTAGCCTTGCGCTCGTCAAGATTAGCTTGCATCCAATGTTGCAGCCTCTGAAGGTTTCGTGGGTTTCTAGAACATGGGCCATGCAGAATCCACTCTCCGATTTCAAACTCTTTCTGCGACGAGACGAGCTGGCACCATGTAGGGAGCACGGGGTCCATTCGGGGGTTTACCTGCAGGCGCTCGGTCCGAAGTCCCCGTACAGGATGCCAGGTCAATGACTGTTTGTTGCCTTTGCTCTGATGGCTGTCAAGGTGAAATGAAAAAAAATAAATTGAATTGGGCCGCCTAATTCTCCTAATATGGCCAGGTAAGTATATCTTGACGCCCCGTATCATAACTGCTCCGAGCTTGTGAGCTGTCCTGACCTGGTACTACCACCAAGCTCAAGACGAAATGCACACACGCCTCACACTCACTGGACCCCGTATTTTCCGGTATCCGAAACATGGACTTCAATGGTTCAGGCACACGCAGGTGCAACGCACCCTAACCGATCCAGTTGTGGCCCAGGAGCCGATCGCAAATCAAGCACAGAAGCTATGACCAGCCAACTGCAAATCATCGAAAAAGTCTGGTGTGGCGACACGAGCCAACTGGCCCAATCTTTTGCAGTCAGCAGACTGCTTGGTCATCTTTAGCAGTAGCATAAAATTGGGGTCTGGTGTTATAACATTCCGACCTGCCCAGCCCGCACTTTGCCTTCAGGACACAAGTCAGCGCTGGAGTATTGTGATGCTGCGCAACAACATAAACTTTAGACAAAAAAGACCGGCAATAGGCACCAGTTGTCGACTCAAAACATGGGTCACCTCTATGTCACAGATCAGCTCGGCAAAATCAGCATGGAATCAACTTCCACACTAAATTTCACTAGCGCCATCCTTCCAGACCCTTAGATTCTTCAACAGCATATCAAAACACAAGCTTTCTCTCACATTTTACCCTGATTGAATACAAACTCTTTTGCTCTTGACAGTCTTCTAAATGGCAATATAGAAAGGTTAGTCATCGCGAAGCCATTGGGAAAAGATGACGAGTTGTCACACGGTAACACAAGGGTTATGGTCACGGGGCCTAGGGCAAAGTCCCTTACTAACTTATTATATTTAAAGACCCCGTTAGTCGACGAGGCCTTAAGGAAAACCAAGGACCTTTGATACCAAAAACTGCTATTAGATGAATTGAGTCATGTTGCTCCAAGTCTTTAGCCCTTGTCACACGAGTAGACATGTATCGCTTTCCATAAGCATGCCTACGCCGGGCAATCTGATGAATAAAGGTGATTGCAGATGGTTTGCAAGAGTAATAGTATAAAGGCGAAAATCCTTCAAGATAGGTCGAAGAGTCAAATTTATTTAAAACGTCCTGCGAGCGCAAGAAGCGGTGGGCGAAGCTCAAGAAGGTGACAAGGGCAGAATAACTCAGCTTAGAATTTTAGTTCAAGTATTAATTTAATAATTACCTTTAAGTTATTAAAGGTTCTTGGTTTTTTAGTGGTCTTGACGAACTAGAGGTTCTTATAAATATATGAAGTTAAAAGGGGCCAATACCTGAGGCAGCCCTCGCTTAAAGCTTGTTTCTGGTCTCTCGTGATACCTTTCTTTGTTGTTGGGTAACCTTTATAGTCCGATACTTTGATACGGGCCTTAGCCGTGTGACATGAAAGCAGGACGGCAGTTAAGCAAGTGCCAAAAGAATTAATCACCTGGGCGTAATAAAAATATCTTGCTCTGTTTGAATGCAGGTATCAACTGAAATCCGAGAAGGCCTGCTTTTACTCGCTCTCATCTCCAGTTTTCAGTGGTGTTTAGAACCAGTGCTAGCACATGGGCCTGCCTAGGTATAAATAGAGACATTTCCCTGCTCGTACTGTGGCTGTTCCTAATGTTCTGGCAGGACAAATCAGATATCTCCGCGCTCTCAGAGTTGTGTATCTCTTTGAACTTGGAGGGGCTGGTGGGGGCCCCATGGCCCTATACATCGGGAGCTACAAAGCTAGTACTAAATAAAGAATATATATTATGTCAGATATAATATAGCTTTTTATACCTAATAAGGGTACTAATATAAGTTATATTACTTATGTTATATATAAATAAAAGTACTGTTTTCCTGCTATCTTCTGATTAGCTTGTTACCCCTGAAATGGGTACTCCACGAGCCCCTCCAAGTTCAAAGAGATATCAATTGATAGTTTAGTGGCTGGGTAGATGCTTCGAAGCCCCTGTTTTTACACGGGAAAAGTCCAACAACTTCGAATCCCAACAAAGCGGCATTGGCGATAACATTCCTCGAGGTTACACAGACTTAGCACATGTCCCAGTGCAAACCCTGGGCACAGCTGTTCCTTTCATGTATATAGCGGTCACTCGTCCCTACCCTCCTTTAAAGAACCAAGGACCTTTGACACCACTCGATATTATGTTTGAATTGGGTCATTATGCCCCAAGCCCCATAAAGCCCTTGCTACACCTCATACCAACGGGGTCCAAAGACAACTGCGGGCTCCGGGTGCGAGAAGGGCTTGATAAAAGGGCTTGGAGTGCTAATAACTCAATTCAAAGATAACGTCGAAGGGTGTCGAATGCCCTTGGTTTCTCAGGAATTAGAGGAGGGCAAGAGCGAGATTACATGAAAGGATTAGAAATGCCTGAGGCTTTCTTGCTGGTTTGTGATCGGTTTTTGTGCGACGTTGGACCCATTGCTGAGCCAAACTGTGTAACACCAGGTCGTCCGCGTCAGCAACACGCGTAGTCCGTATGTCTTTCCAAAATACGATGGGAACTGCTCATCTCTGGATTCGAAAATATTTCGGCGACTCTCAGTTTACCCCTGAAATTCATGAGTTCCGGGGTTGAGTCCGTGTTGAGCCCATGCACAGCTTCTTGTCCAGCAGGAATGTGACAACAGCTGAGCAGAGGGTTGGAATAAAGAGCTCAACTCATCTCATAACATTCTTTGTTATCAAAGGTCCTCGCCTTTCTCGAGGCCTTTCAAGACGATGAGGTCTTGTCTCATCAGCCGTAAGCTACAAGTCTAAGGGCTCAACTAGGTCTTGAGCCCTTGTGTAACTATTGTCAGGTTTAAGGGACGGTCCGTTCCGCAATGTTACGTTACTGCTGTATGACAGGGGGCAGTTAATCCGCACCGTGGAAGGAAATAATTATATACTCGATTTAAAACAACAGATGTAGTGTGGAACTCCGTATACGAATATTTTATGGCTATCAAAACTCGCTCAGCTGAAGCTTTTAACCGCCGAGCTCGTGAGTAAGTGTAACAGCGATAGCACATTCCGTCACTATTGGAGAGAACAGGTAACACGGCATCTGAGGTGCATATGTGTCCTGCAAGAGTTGGCATCGGCACGTAGTTTACAGCCAAAAGGTTGCATGTTCCGCCCAAATTACTGGGGTGGCACTTTTGTCTGACTTCTTATGCAATTATTAGTCAATTGTGCGACTTGAAGCCTTGCTGCCCAAGCACCGTAGGTAGTCTCCCCATCCCAACGTTCCCAGCCACAACCAAATCTGCCTTCTCCTAACCTCGGTTCTATTCTTTGGGAAGACGAAAACACGAACCTAATACTCCGTACTACGAGAGCTTGTACTGAAGTGCTGCTAGCCCGTCGCCATGCCTCCTAAAACCTCTAGCGGAGAGCAAGATGATTCTCCAACGCATGGGAAGGACCTGGTCTCGGGGGAGTCCTGTGAGCCCATCGACGGTTCGTCAGAGCCACTCCAAACCAAAGCAAACGATACGTCGGACCAGCTATCTGCATCATCTATTCAGCTAAAAGTCTGGAATGATGCCTACAAAGGCCTAAAAGACGACAACAAAAAAACGATGGAAAAGTTCGAAGCAATAATGAGGAAGAGCTCTGCCTCTACTTCTTCAACTTCTTCACAAAGCAAGGAGGTGGTACGCTCCGAGGACGTTTGGAATCTAATGAGAAGATTTGTTCGGTCCCAAGTGGAAAAAACAGAAAAGCTAGATAAACACCTCGGCACAATCGAGAACGTGGCTCGCATCGCCCAAAGTATCACCGAGTTGATCAAAGGACCTCTCGAGTCCGTCCCTCAAGCAGGCCCTGCAATCGCAGCGCTAGGTCTGGTCCTCGTGGTAAGTTGGTCATTGATTAAAAGCAACTACGAGAGATGCTAACAGTTCAAGCTCGTCGCGAATCCAGCATCGGAGCGAAGAGCGAACCGACAAGGCCTCGTGTATGTGCAAAAGAAACTAGCATGGTACTGGGAGCTATCCGACTTCTTGCTCCAGGATATCGATTCCATGAGAGGGCTGGGGCAAAACCTCAGGCTTTTTATTGTCGATCTTTACCAGCAATTTCTATTGTATGAAGTAGACTCGGTTCTTATGCTTCAAAGGAATCGGGCTCTCGGCTGGCTTCAAGACATGCTCAAATGGAAAGACTGGGCTGGCCAGCTGTCGGAAATCCAGCAGGCTGAACAGCAAGTCACCCAGTGCATCAGTGACTATACACAGATGAAGGAGAGCCAGGAAAAGCGCGATGCTCGGAACCGGGAATGCCGTGATGCTCTTGGTTCCGATGTTCCCGATCCCCAGATCCAACTCGAGAGAATGAAAATGGACAAGGGCGGCCTCAATATGGAATGTTCCAGGTGGCTATTTCACAGCGACGAGTTCCAAACGTTTCTTGATAAACCGGAGCAACAGATCTTTTGGATCACCGGCGATGCTGGAAAGGGCAAGACGATGCTTCTATGTGACGTTATTGAACGTCTCAAGTCCTCTCCTGACAAGACAAGAAGAGTATTCTACTACTTCTGCGAGGCTAGAAACTCGGAATCAGAATTGTCCAAGACGGCTGCGTTGAGGGGTCTTATTGGGGCAATTGCCTTTGAATCTGACAAACACCTTGATACACTCCGGAAAAGTCTGGACAAGAACCAAAATGCCTTCAAAGGCGTTGGCAGTGGCGTCGCCATTGCTGCTCGGGACACACTTAGATCCATTTTAAGTGATGAAGGTCTAAAGGGCGCCATCATATGCATTGATGGTCTTGATGAGTGCGGCCAAGATATCGTCCATGTTCTGGAATTGGTCACAGAATACCCCAACATCAAATGGGTGGTGTCGAGTCGTACTGGCACTTTATCCGTGGAAAGAAAACTTCGAAGCTATCCTAATTGCGTGAGGCTGTCACTAGAAGACGTCCAGACGTCAGTTTCCGGAGCCGTCGAGAGATTCGTTCGGTCAAAGATAAAGGAATTAGCCGAGCATTGGAACCTGAAACCAACCAAAAAAGAAATGAAAGGGCTGCAGAACGAACTCATTAAACGCGCCGACGGCACCTTTCTTTGGGTTGCCTTGGCTTTCGCAGAGTTGAAAAATCGTCGATGCTTCACGTCTGCGCCCCAGATATTGAGCCGTTTGCCCGCGGGTATGCATGCTCTCTATGGGAGGATGCTTGCAACGGTTTTTAACAGCCCAGAAGCGGACATATTCAAGTATGTTCTTAGCCTTTGCCTCGTCGCTCACCGCCCTCTTACCGTTAACGAATTTGCAATGTTTCTAAGTCCCGAATCTCCATTGGTACCGGCAGGAACCGGCCTTCTGGATTGGAAGACATGGATTGAAGGATGCGGAAACCTTTTACGAGTATCTTCTACATCAGATACAGTTAGTTTTATTCATTACTCTGCCAAGCAATTTCTCGAAGAGCATGCGAGGGACACGCTGCCTCAAAGTGGAATCGACCAAAGCATATTCACTCAAAGTATTTGCTTCATGAGGAATGTTCTTCACCGCGACATGTGGCGGTTGAGGCATCCGGGAGCAGCCAAAGGAGACCGGCCCAAGTTCGACCGCTTGGAATCTATTTCATATGCTTGCACCTTCTGGGGCATCCACCTTGATACCCATACCTGGACGGAAATAAGTTCTTCTGAGGCCGGAGAATTGCAGGGTCAGATATTAAGCTTCCTTTCTAAACATCTTCTTCATTGGATTGAGGCTCTAAGTCTTTTGGGCGTGTTATCAGAGGGTGCCATGATGCTCTATAAGATGAGAAACTTTGCTGTAGGCCTAACAGTCATTCTTATGCATATCGCTTCTTCACGAAGGCTAATAGCTTCTAGGTCAAGTATCAGATGGATGAATTGTCCGAATTTCTTTGGGACGCCTATAGGTTCTTTCTCCGCTTCAGAGAGCCCATAGCTACGGCCCCGTTGCAGGTTTACGCGTCTGGAATGATTTTCAGTCCTTCAACAAGTCAAATAAGAAAATATTTCAATCACCAATATCCTCAATGGGCAACCGTAACGTCTTCTAATCATGATATTTCTCAGTGGCCCTCATGCCTTCTTATGATAGAAAAGGTTTCAGCTGGCGATTTGCCACGGTTGGCATACAGTCAGAATGGAACTCGGCTCCTTGCCTCGGATAATGAGTCCATCGGGATTATGGACACAATTACAGGTGCTCGTATCCGCAATTTCGACGTCGAAGCGGACGTTCCACGGACCACCAGAGAATCAAGAGATATTACAAAGTTTGTTTCGGCTACTATAGGTGATAATTCGCGTGTAAGGAATAGATGTTTAAGGCTTTTTGACGTTTTAAATGAAACGTGGATTGAGCTGCCTTATGAACCCGCTAATTTGAACGGCTTGGACTTCTCTTATGACTCGAAGATGTTGGCCGGAGTATGGGAAAATTGCATCAGAATATGGGATACGGAGCAAGGCGAGCTCGTCTCACGAATTACGCTTGAATCAGAAACTGCTGATAGCCAAGATCCCAAATTTCTCGGAAATAGCACAATGATTGCGATTCCGTTCATCAATAAGAGTATCCAAATCCTGGAGACACAAACGGGAGAGAGGTGCTACGAGCTGCAGACAGGATTTGACATAGATGAGCTAGTGCCATTCCCTTATGATTCGTCGAAGCTAATTTTAATACTAAATAGAGGTGAATTATATCAGTGGAATATTGGAACTAGGGAAGCAGTTAAGATGATGGATGGACTAGTGTCCTTCAGTGATAGAAAGGTTGTGATTTCCCCAAGCGAGAGGATCGTCGCTGTTTTCGGGGTTGACATGAATTTACACATTTTGGATACCTCTGGACATGAACGCTTGGAGATTATCAAATCGCCTTTCAGTGGCTCTATGGCGTTTTCTGATGATGACAGGTTGCTTGCCGTATCAAGACCAAATGGTGAGATATGGGTTTGGAACACAGTTTTGCGTATGTGGACTTTTCGATTTGAGAGCCACTCGCGCGACGTTTCGTCATTGGTATTTTCCCCTGATACCAAGTATTTGGCATCATGTGGTATGCATACGCCTTCGGCTAGAATGGATATGAGTCTGCACACTCAAATCTGGCCGCTCGAAGTTCCACATAGGAGACGTGTTGAGGGCGAACAATATGAGAGGCGCAAAATATGCAAGGTGAACCTTTCTCAGGACAACAAATGGATCGCTACAGTATCCGATAAATCAAAAGTTAGTCTGTGGTCAAGCTCTGGACGTTTCGAGAGACGTCTCGGGGATGAACGAGTGATGGCACTCAAATTTTCATGGGACAGCACAAAATTTGCATTTTCCACAATAAAGGGAAAGGTGGGAATTTGGGATCTCAAAAGAGCGTGCTCTATGGAAATCAATGCATTCGAGTACAACAGTCTTCCAGATTATTGCCTGGAATTTTCTAGAAACGATGGACTTCTCGCTGCGTCGACCACAGAGCAACTGAAAGTATTTGACGTCAAAGAAAGCAATTCGCAAGCGCTAAAAAGGAAATCCCTAATCATTGCGGGTCATAATAGCACATTTCAACTAAAGACGACATGTGAGTGCGACAAATTCGTGATAGGCACTACCTGCATCGCCTTGTTTGGTACTTGGGTTGCCGCGGGTTCCTGGTATGCTAATGTTATTTACCTGTGGGATGTTGACACTGGGCAGCTGATCAACCAAATTCCACTACTGTCACCTCCATACACTCACCAGATGACAATGGATATGAGGAGTATCGGAGGCAGCACTCAAATTTTATCAAGTGACAGCAATGCTCGTCTAATGATCATGGAAGTCCCCTCCGGCCACATTGTCAAGACAATGGGGACACCTCCACTAGAAAGAATTGCCTGCAATCGGGATGACCATACACAGCTCTTTACAAACTTGGGTAAAATTGATCTCACGCAGTTTGATTCAGGTGATTCTGAGGATCCAAATGGGGTCAGGTTTCAAGGATACGGGTCGTCAACTGACTGGGTTTTCAAGGATGGGAAGAGGATTCTTTGGCTGCCTCCGGACTGCCGCAACCATTCAATCAGTAGGAACCAAATTGCTATAGCCTGTCCAGGAGGTTTTCTGTTATGTATCACCTTTCCCGAGGATATTTCTAGTTTTTTTTGAGTAGGTTCCAGTTATAATTTCAAGATGTCATCTCGTTTGAGTCTAAAAGGCCCAGCATCGTCCCCTGTTCGGCCTATCAACTCCTTCACCGAAGAGTCCACGAGTCGGCATAGAATAGGAACGCGGAGGTATCGTAAGTACTGGAATTCTCTCATCCTAGGGCAGGCTGTCCGTTTTTCAACGATGGAGCCCCAATCTTCAGAGCTCAACCTGTGCGTCCTAACAATACATAGTGTAATAAGGCATCTCGTCACGACGAGCAACACGAGTAATATATTACATACTTAACCATAAAAGTCAGTAGGATTCCACAACTTATAAATCGTTTCATCTATCTGAGAATTGAACCACCATGACGCAGCTACGCAAGAGCTATAATCACGGGATCTGGAGCAGAAGGCCCTGACTGACTTCTTGCGTTTATAGAACTCACACTCAAGACACTCAAGCAGGCGACAAAAATTAAAGAATGCAGTATTTCGCCTTTCATTCGCCACATCTTTGCCACAGAGCCAAGTACTCGACACCGGGCAAGGCATCCACTGGGCGAACTTCAAGCCGTCCAACAAGTCTGGTGCAATATACTATCCTAACATTATTCCTCATTTTGTATCCAAGTCTACTAACTTTTCATTTTCACTCTACTGAACAAACTTTTCTCTACACCAGGCACTTTTCCGACCAAACGAGTCCTTGCCCCAACTGTTCATCCAACGTTTGCACGCCATCTCCTCTATCGAGTCACACCCTACGGCCGACTGGCAAAATTATAAAGGCTGCAAACAAGTATCAACGACCAACCCCTATCATGATCCTTAAAAAGAAACGCCTACCTGACATCTTCCTGGTATTCCAGGTACGGCGGATCACTTCCAGCCGACACATTCACAGGCCGCTGCTAGCAATAACAAAGGCCTCGCGTGCCTCGTCTGGCCCGCCGGCGCTTTTCCTCTTTCTCGTTTCTTGCGACCGGCTCGAAATGCGCTCAAAGTACTCGCTGGGCACGGGCGTCCTGTACTTGCCGCAAAAGACGCCGACCTCTGCGTTTGGATTCGTCCAAAACCTTTGCCGCCATTCCTAGCCCCCTGCACTGATATACTCTGCCTCCCTGGCAAACAGCAATGCCAGCGGCATCCTATCCAAGATATTGCTCATGCCATCATCCATCCAAGGCGATTGGCGGTGTGCCCTTTGCCACGGCGGCCGAGACACGAACATGTTGGAGGTAAAACCACGGCTCGTGCAGATCGACGGCGGCTGTTGGCTCTCGAATCGCCCAGCTAGGGAGAAGAAAAAAGTCAGCATGTTTGTCCCCCAATTCAGACCCGCGTCGAGTTCCCAGCGCCTTTCTCCTTGAGCAGACGAAGCTGCATCGGCTGCTTGGCATGGGTCTCGACGGACGCGGGGGAGAGGCAGCACGAGGAGGCCGTACCAAAATCGCAGAGATGCCGCACATTGTATCGCGCTGGAGGCAGAGCTATATCGGGAAAATAAAAGAGCGACTGCGTAATCGAGTAAGGGCGTTAGTGTATTCCTTCAATGGGCTATGGCGCGGCCGCAACGCATCGTGCTGGGCAGTTCACAATCAGGGTCGCCGAAAAGGTCCGTCGCGACGTTACCAGACCTCTTTTTCTGCCCTCTACGTTACAACTCCGTTTGGTTTGATTGACGATGGCTGCACTATCCTGCTTGGGCAACAGCCATACTATGGAGATGTTGTTAATCTAGACATGACATCTTCCCAAGCTGGTCATGGGCCAGTGCGTCGCAAGCCCGAAGCGTGCAAGTAGATTTGGGTAACTCGGAGAATTCTGTCCAAGTAAGAGAAGCAAGATGCCAATATGCAAGCACAAACCCGCATGGCATAATTGAAAGCAGCCGTTTAGTCCTCCAGGGGCGTTTATGGACATTCCTTTTTGAGCTAGAGATGCGGGATGGTTTCGCATGGTTCTTTGGCTCACGGTCCATCTTTAGATTTAAGACCCTACGCTATCAACAGAGCGTCTTTGCTCTTGATAAACAGAGAGGCAGTCATACAATTCATCTTTTATCTCGCTTCTACCTTCTTAAAATAGGAGAGCGCGGGAACCCACCGGTAATATTTTACTTGATTCTCAAGTCCACATCTAAATCCCCAAACATATACGTCCGAATAGGTGTCTTTATGCCTAATAAATGGACTTCAATAAGTATAGACCGCAAGAAATGGGAACATTTAAGTATAGATACTATTTGTACTACTAAATAGCGGAAAATTAACAGCTTTTATTAAAGGCACCAACTTTGATAACTTGTAACAGAAATAAATCCGAGGATTCAAATTAAGACTAGGGAGTTGGCGATGTTGCAGCTAAGGATACATGGACCGGCCTATGTCATCTCTACATATACCTGGGTATTCACCCACTAATCGAGTCTGGTGGACTTGACTATATTGACATGACAAAAGTACAATAGCAACCTGTTTGTTATAGGCTTCAAGGTGGCAAAAAGTAAACATACAACACTGGGTATTCGCTGGTCGTCACCGACCCAACTACTAATCCAGCGCTCGCCAGGTTATCGTACGAGATCGGACGGGATCGTGAGTTCAACTGGCGGCTGTGGTCGTATGTGGTAAACGCTAGAGCTAAACTAGTACATATGCAGACAAGTAGGCCCATCTGGTAGTTACAATCCTTCTTCCGGGTTTCATAATCTCATTGCAGCAAAACAGTCGATCCCCGTCCCGTCTCTTCAGCTAGCTCTGCCGGCAACGATGACAATTCCTGTCTGGCCCGCTCGTCGTCAAAACCCTCTACATGCTCGAAATCAACCAGACGCGCGCCTGCCCCCTCGGAGGCGCGGTCAACCAGGAAGTTGTAGCGATTCACGTCGCCGTGAATCAAGCCTAGGCCGTGCAGCCGACGAACCAGGGCCTCACAGCCGGGCAAGTCGTCGGGGCAGGCGGGCTCGCCGTCAACCTTTTGCAGCAGGAGACCCATGATCCTGCCGTTCTCGGTCACATGGGCGATGAAGTCGGGTGCAATGGGAGGCTCCTCGGGATGCTGGCGGCGGTGACGCGCAATGACGGAGTACGCCCACGTCTCGCGCTCGATCCGAGGCACGTCCCATTCGAAGCAGGCAATTTTGACAATGGCAGGCGCGCCGTTGAACGCGACCTCGTGCACCCCCGAGCGGAAGCGCTTCCTCCTCCCCAGGCTCAAGACATCGACGCGTTGGTCGTGCCAGGCCGTCCGGATTTCGGGCAGCGGGTTCGTGGACACGGTGGACACGAGAGAGCCATTTGCGTCCCGCGAGATGGTCATGGTGGTCCATGGCGAGTCGGGAAGGGCTGGCAGCGCCGGGATGAGTAGATAGGGCCGGCACATGGTGTCGTCGTCGTATACGCCCGAGGGGATTGTGAGGTAGTGGACTCTGTGGCCGATGCGGAGACGATAGTGTCCGTCTTCATCGTCGATGAGCTGAGAGAGCACCTCCACGTCTGGCTTGGGCAGCGTTGGCATTGTGGCCTCTGGTAGTCGTTGATGTTATGTCGAGGTATTGTAGCAGGTGTAAGGGAGCCCGGGCGAGGTGGTTTGCGACAATTGGTGTCGTTCCGGCCCCTGGGCGCTGGACTCGAGTCTGTGGCTTGGCCTCGTCGTTGCTGCAGATGCAGGCGGCTAGGCTCTGGGCCTCGACCTCTAGACGCGGGCCAAAGTAGCACTTGAAGCCATACGGACATTGATACCAACCAGCACTATGGATTGCGGAAAACCGGGCGGCTCCTGGGGCACGCTAACGTGGGCTTAGAGCGGAGGCCCCTGAATTGATCCTCATGGCAGCGGCAGTCAGGTCTGGTGCTCTAGGCCTGGGACATATGTAGCGCCAACGACCAGACTTCACATGATCCTGCTCTTGCTTGGTCAAGTACACCACATGTGCAGTGACATGTCAAGTATACCTGTGTATCTAAAAGCGTCAATAGCCGCCGGCCAAAAGTTCTTGCTGGGGAACCACGCTGGTCCTTGGTACCCTGGCCAATTTATTTATTTTTGTTCGGACATGTAATATAATTAAACACACACTTCGCTTTTAATAATTGCGGTAGGCAGTCGCCGAGTTCTACCGTCCGCGATAGCACCAGAGTCCATCGACAAGCCTGACGACGCCTTCAAAAAAGGCACCAATTCTCAGACAGATGCAGCGACATTCAACCTTCACGCCTAAACATAGTTGCCCCTGCCCTTCTTCCCCATCATCACGGCCCCCTTGGTCACGTCTCCCTGGTCCAGCACACTCATGCCCAATCTCTTCTCATACGCCTCTTTGCTCTTTGGCACCGCCGTCCGCAGCGTAAACCACCTCAAGTACGGCAATGGATCCATAACCTCGTCTATGCAATCAATGATCCACCCGCCCAGCCCGAGGCCTTGATACTCGGGAAGCACGTATACATCTGTCAGGTATGCGAATGTGACGTAGTCGGTAGCAAGGCGCGCGAATCCAATTTGTTGAAGCGAATCGGGGTTTTCTTGGCGCATCTTGTACAGCCCAAAGCAAAACGATGCATCGACCATAGTCTGGAGTATTTCATCGGGCATGGCCGCTGCCCAGTACAGGAATTCTTGGGCAAACACTGCGTTGAGGGCCTTGACAGAGATGAGACTTTTGTCGGTTGATATCAAGAAGCCATCTTTGGTCCAATTCCGTGGCTCCGAGGGTAAAGACATGGTGAAATCCTTGTACAACGCTGGGCGGACTTGCTCTGGTGTGTAGATACGTAGTACTTGAACACCGGGTTGATAGAACAAGATGTCTGATACTCCGTAGCGCGGCGCTACTTGTAGTCATGACAATCTATATTTGGGCGATCTCGGCCGTGTGACTGATACAGACCCACGCCGCGTCTCCGGCAGGGCGTGGCGTTTCATCTGGTGTCCGGAATGGCTGAGTCAACTTCACATGTAGACATGATCAATACAATTAATGCTGCAGAACTGCGAGCGGAACAATACTAGTGTTATGCAGTTGCCCATATAGTTGCAATGCTCCACGGTGCCGGCAGCCAGCGTCTCGTAGACCCTCCGATCTCGCGCTTGCAGGTATCGTCAAAACACCAAAAATTGGCCTCTTCTTTTCAACAACGGTTGAAGTAATCTTATGGCCTTGATACTACCATCACTCACATTTCGCCGTAGATGGTACTTGCCACACACAAAAGCCGCATGCATCAGCTCCAAATTCCTCGCTCCGCCACGAGCATAAGACAGGGCAACAACCCTGATATTTCCACGCGCAATACCACCAGACATCACGACCATCCCTGCAAGAACCCCTAGCTTCAAATATTTCTTTATACAGCTCTGGCCACACCGTCCCAAGAGTTACTTCTCGGCCACGCTCTACGGCACCCATGCCAGCGAATAAAAACCCACGCAGCATCCCGGAAATACAACACCATCCTCAGTTCTATGGGTAGCACAAAACAGCAATTGGACCAACAGCCGGCCACTCCAATCCGCAAAGCACAACTCTATCCAACATCCGGCCAGCAGTGCGCCACAACATGTTGCCATCTTCTCATCCCAAGACCACCCTCACACGCCGCCGACTGAAATGTTATAAACTCGCCATGCCCTCACATCTCTCTTCTTCCTCTTCTTCCCCCTTCCGCCTGTAGTTCGTACCCCAAACGGCCGTCTTGTCCCCCTCCCACAATGACACGAGGCCCCCGAGGCATCCAGGCCGCCCGCAAGCTGCGCCTCAACCAAAAGGAGCAGAACTGGGCCGACAAGCACTACCGCCACCGCGCGCTCGGGTCGCGCTTCCGCTCCTCGCCCTTCGGCGGCGCCTCCCACGCCAAGGGCATCGTGCTGGAAAAGGTGGGCGTCGAGGCGAAGCAGCCCAACTCGGCCATCAGGAAGTGCGTCCGCGTGCAGCTCATCAAGAACGGGAAGAAGGTGACTGCCTTTGGTGCGTTGGGCCCCCCGGGTCTACTAGTGTGTGGTGAAGAAGGCTGGCTGACGGGTTGTATAGTGCCCAACGATGGGTGCCTCAACTATATCGACGAGAATGACGAGGTGCTGCTGGCGGGGTTTGGGCGCAAGGGCCGGGCTATAGGGGATATCCCGGGTGTGCGGTTCAAGGTGGTGAAGGTTTCGGGGGTGAGTTTGCTTTCGCTTTGGAGGGAGAAGAAGGAGAAGCCGCGTTCTTAGGCGGGTCGGATTATACGGCTTGGCTATTGCAAGTACAGCGCCGAGAGGTGCAGCTTGGGATTGTTGGCTCGGTGTACCTAGTGTGATGTGTGTCGCCGAGTTGATCAGGTGTACCATGTGATAAAGACAGATGGTCATGGTGCCGGACACGCATACAGGTGCCCGATGTGAATCTGCGGCTTTTGTGGATGATGCGCAGACAGTATCTATCAATGGTGTGAATGACAATGAGCAACTGTCAATGCCTTTACCATGAGCCTGTCAATGAGCAGACGTTCAAGGCGGGTTATGTAAAAGGATAATACACGTGCTCTGCCACGTAGATTACCTCCAACTATTGGTTCAGACCTCTGTCGTGCTGTCAATAGCTCCCTAATGCCCTATATGCAATATAAAGGGGCTTACTGCCAGTCATCGACGAGCCATGGAACAAAAGGGCCAGCAATAGAAGTTTCCCCGATCCAGCTTGTAATGTCTTTTTAGATCTTCTCTCACTACCGTCTGACAGGTAATTGCTTCGCAATTCGCACGTTCTTCTGTGACAATCTCCCACGTCTCCTCACGGGTAAGCAGATGGAGTGTCTTATGAAAAGCACAGATAAATTCCCGGAATACGCTTTGCGCCGCACAAGGATGATGTTCTGAGAGAAAAACTGCTTCAGCATATCTACTGCAGCTACACGCGAGCCCGTAGCCGCATCTCACACGCTTCATCTCACCGTCACTACTATAAATTCCACTCCATATCGCCAGCTCATCGACCATGTTCACTTGCAAACAAGGAATAAACACTTATTACCCACCTGCGATAATAAATCCAACTCAGGTCAGATATTCGCCAGGAAAATGCTTCCATTCCCACCACCAGCACTCTACATCCCAATGCCAAAAATCCCATTCCTCAGGCGAACGCAGTCAGTGCTCTCGGAGAACGGAAACGGTGTCGTAAAAATCGCCCATGAAAACCCAGTCCTCTTTTTCGGTACAACTTTCCCCAGAATTTTGAACAAAGTCACGGCAACCTACTCTCATCGTATTCACAGCCACGTTTTTACAAAGAGTCAAAGTAAAGTAGAACTCAGCCAAGCGAGTTTATTAAGTGTATTTGAACCAACTACACATTATCATCGTACAAGTGAACATAAGATGTCCATTATCCCAGAATCTTGTGCAGCCGACAATCCCCCCTCCCCATCAGCAAACCAAGCAGTCAATGTCAACCAAGCACCAACCGCTCAAGCAGCTCCGTCTTTAGGAGCTAGCGGGCCTCTGCGACGCAGGGACAAGGGCAGCGTGCGCCTGTCGGTGAATCTCGCGGGGAGGGCTGTTCTGCGCGGCGGGAATGGGCTCGAGCGCGCTGGGCGGGTTCGACGTGTACTTGATGTGGTCGCCGAGGATCTGGCCGCTGGACAGGATGCCCTCGATGCCGCTGCCGGGGGCCGGGAGGTGCTCCTGCACAGTGGCAAGGGGGTTGGCACCGGCACCGGCGCCGGTGTTGTTGGTGGAACCGGCAGGGCTAGCAGAGCCAGCGGCGCCGCCAGCTCCGCCGAGGAAGGTCCCGATGATGGGGATGTTGGACAGGAGGGACGTGAGGCCGTTGGCGTTTTGCGGCAGGGGCGCGGCGGCGGCGGAGAGGGCCAGCGTGGCGGCGACGAGAGCAGAGCCGGCGAATCTCATGTTGACTAGTTGTTTGAAAATATAAAACGATGGTGTGTTGCCGGAACAAGAGTTGTGAATTAAAGTATGGGGCCGAAGAGAATTATGCAGAGTGAACGTGGAGGCTTGCTCGGAGAGAACTAGGAGAGTAGGCAAAAGAGTGAAGTTGCTGTGAGGCCAAGAGACTAGAAGACTACGGACGGGGCGTGGAAACGCCTTTATACATGTCGAGATGGTTGTGCTGGGAGGAGGGCACTGGCGGCCGCGGCATGGCGACATGGTCGCAGGGCCCGGCGGACTTGCGCACAGCCATGCCGGTTTGCCATGTGCAACGGTGTTGAACGCGAGCAACCGGAACTTGGAACATTAGCGGCGGCTCTCTTCAGCGCAGGTGGGCGCGCAAAAGTTACGCTTTGAACACGACTTGGGCTGAAGCGGTGGCTGCTATACGGCGCACTGACGCGGGAGGTTGTCGAACCGCATCGGGCAAGGCACATGGCCTCGAATCGAACTACTTTCTGGGCATCGAAACTAGGTTATAATTTGTTTCAAGGGTTTCGTCCCCGATCCACATGGAAAACATGACCGTTGGCCGATCTCGTGCATGGCCAGGATAGGACGAAGGTGGGGTCCGAAACGCCCAATTGAGTCGTTCCTGGCCGCGGCAAATTGTGGGACTCCGGCACTCTGTGGAGTTGCGAGCGACAAAGCGTCTTTATAAGTTTATGTATACTGCGTACCTGGTACTAGTCTTGCACGGCATCGCCTACAAGGGCTCCTTATACCCTTTGCAGGCCCAGATATGGTCGTGTTTGGCCGTGCTTAGGTCCGGATTCATGAGACATCAAAACGTGCCGTCTGGTCCGTCCCCTGCAAGTTGGAATCCGTATGTGGCAGGATCGGCGAAATCTCCGCTGCTCTCGCCATCACCGCTCAGCTTGATCTTCTCCACATCAAAAGCTTGTATAATGACATACCAAGTTGGCCTCAGTCTGATCATTTACCCTGGCAAATTGGTTGAATAAACGTACCAACAGATCCGGGAAATGTTGACCCGGCGCGATTCCACCCTGAACCTACGGCGACTAAGGCAAAGTATAAGCTCGCGTTATCCCGTCTCAAGTACTACCCCAAGCGGTGCCTCGCAACTCGTCTGCCAGAGCCAACAGCAAACAGAAGCCTTTGCCGGTGATAGTTGGCCTTTGTATGACGTTGCACGCGACTGAAACACGGGCGCGCCGCTTTGATATTCGGGCATCTCCCAATACGTCGAGTACATGAATCTCCGAGTCGACGTAGAGGTGCAACTGATGGAAGATGAATGGTCGAATATTCAGGCAAACCAAAGCCAGCACCAAACAAAGAACAATAAAAAAAAGGCAGGTCTGTGTAACACAAACAAAGAGGCACGGGCAAGTGATTCTGTGGGGCACCGCTATACCGGCCAGTCTCAGTGCAAGCGACGCATTTCGCGTGCAGAAATCCATTCCTAGAGCCAGCGTTTCTGAGTCAGAATTTTTCAAATGACACGGCTCCGGGCGCTCTGTATGGCAGACGACGCTGCGGGGCCCCCGGCACAATGTCTCAGACGCGAGAAGGACGGGCAGCGACGTCGAAAAAAGCTTCCAGATGTCACGATGCGGCCGGGAAGTGGGTCATGCACCTCCGGCCCAGGCCCTGCCGGCCCCCGGGGAACACCGCACCGCTCCATGGACCTCGTCTGCCAGGACCCGTGACGAGTTGGACGCAGGCAAAATGCCTCGTGTCACCAGTCTGCTGCCTTCTCCCCGTGTCGCTCTCGTCCGGGCCGCTCTTTACAGTGTCACGGCCTCTCGCGCTCCGTCCGCGCCGCACTCGAATGTCTCAGCCCTCGGTCCCGTCAGACTGGCCCGGCACGCCGCCCACCGACACGCCTGCTCCGTCCACCGACGCCTCCCGAACAAGCGGCTTGGCATCCGGCCTATGTATCGCGCTTGCCATCATCATAGGACTCGCGTTTTACGTGCTGAGGGGGAGGATATTCCCCCTTGGCGCCTACACGGCCGCCACGCCGCCACGCCGCTCCGACACGCTGACCCCCGAGGCTCTGGCTCTGCTGCCAACGCATACCCATGACGCTGTCCTCGCGGAAACGTCGTCCGTGAGAGGCGCCGGGCCGGGCCCAAACGACAGGTGCTGCTCCGTCTGCACCGAGCCGTTCATGCACGGCGTCCAGCTGCGCAGGCTTCCCTGCGGGCACCAGTTTGACAGGGCGTGCATCGACCCGTGGCTGCTCGGGCGCTCGGCCACTTGTCCGCTCTGGTAACGTGGACCGCGTACGTACCTGTGTCTCGCTGTTTCTAACGCCAGCTAGCCGGCGGAAAGTCACGACGCGGCCGCTGAAGATTCACGAAAAACTGCCCATGTCGCCTCGCCCGACCTTCTTCCCGCCCAGCAGGTGGAGGAGGGACGGGGACAGCTCAAGAGCTGAGTGGACATTCTCCGTGGACGAGACGCCGCGTCTAACGGCGCTGCAGGGTCCTCCGGGAAGCTCTGTGGTAGAAAATGCACGCAGAGACTGGCATTATGGTCAAAGCACGCGGGGGCAAAGACGGGCTCCTGGTTTCCGCCCCTCTGGTACTCTGGCGACGGTGTCCGAATCATCGACAGCGGAGACGCGGGAGATGGTGGAAAATCGAGGATGAAGGCACGCTGCTCCAGGTGTAATTAGCTTCAATGTGTACACAATCCGCTGATGTAGTACCCATCAAGAAATATGCCTCATGTCCCTGCATCGTCGTCTCAGTCGTCTCAGAATAGGCGGCAAAACGTATTTGACCACATCAGTAACCTAACCATGACACTCCACACCGGAATACATTACAGTAAAGTAATAAGTATAAAGTATATAGTATATAGTATACTTCCCAGTGGGCATTATTCTGCCATGAACTCATAAACTATATCCCCACCATTTCGTCCTGGGTGCACGCACCCCCATGAAGAACACTGTACTTGAACCCGTCCCTGTCCCTAACAGGCAAAGACACGGCCACAGTGTCCGCAGCACCCGGATACCTCGTGAGGTGGCCATGCGCCGTCCGGTCCGCCGTGTCCGCCGCCACAATCAGCCCGTACTTGCCGCCCTGGATCCACGCCTCGTCCCTCCCCCTGTACAGACTGATGTGCACCAACCCGCTGATGAAGAGGACATATCTACGCGTTATCGGCACGGTTAGTCGGCGCGGCGGAAAGGGCGCGGCCGTCGAGCACATACTGGAAAGCAGGGGCGTGATGGAACCCGCCGTCGAAGCGGGCAGGAATCACGCTGTACGTCGCGTTCGCCAACTCGCCCAGGGACAGCTGCAGGGAGCCCGTGATGCCCGACTCGGTGGATTGCCGGAACGGGTTGGCGAGCTGCCAGCATTCGAGGGTCGATTCGCCGTCCGCGGCGGTGAGGGCCGTGAGGTTGAGGTAAGGCGTTGTGAGGGTGCTGAGCTGCGCGGCGGCAGGGAGCGCCAGGCTCGCTAGGATCAGGGGAGAGGGCAGCATGTTTATATGCCGCTGGGGGAGGTTGGTGAATATCGTCTGCTGGGGAAACGCGGGTGAAGACTATGAAGAGGTTGGTTTTTACGCAGCATTCAGCGGTGGCCGATGCTGCCGGAGACTCGGCATGGACAGACTAGGTTCCGCAAGGCCAGGTAGAAAGATGGAGTAATATGATGTCAATACATCCGCATTTCCGCAGCTACCGAGCTTGCCGGCGTTGGAGGGCTGGCTGATGGTTACATGTATGTCTGCACGTGGTGTTACACTTGCAGTTCTTGCTCGCGGTGACTTGTTCACAGTGCCGGGTTGGTGCAAGGCATTCGATAGTATCGACGATATCAAGGGTCAAGCAGCATCGAATTCATGGCAAGCCAGTGAGCGGCCCCGCCAAACATAAAAGAAGCCTCACCTAATGTTTCTAATTCTGGCGCAATTCCACTATTCAATCTGGTCCATGGCTGCCAGCGCGTTGTAAGTTGCCCCGGTTTTCCGACTTGCGCCGTCTACTCCGTACCGTCGGCCGAATCCCAACTTGGCCCTCAACAGTGCCACAAGGAAATACTTCCGCCATTTACAGAAAGCCAATTGCAATTACATGGCGTAAGCAGAATCTCCCAGGAACATAAAGAAAGAAATTCGCCACTTCAAGTCGACGACGGTTCTGCCAATACCAGACTAGCGCCACCACGCTCGGGAGCCTGAACCGGCTTCTCCACCGCCATCAGGCCAGGAGAAGAAATACACGGAGCAGTGTCGATCTGTAAAGACCAAATATCGTAGCTCGCTTTGCAAAGAGACTCATTAACCAGGCGCACAATGCTGAAAAAAGGTCGGCAAGTCGCAGCATTGGGTCCCCACCTCGCTGCAGCAAAACTTACGCGCCGCTAATTGATAGTCCATATATACTTTCATAACAACCGACTGACACCACAGGATTCTTAGCGTGAATAGTGTAGCGGTTAGCATGCATGCTTCCCAAGCATGCGACCCGGGTTCGAGTCCCGGTTCACGCAATTTACTTTTTGGGGTTTGATTGTACCACAACCGCCTGTATTTATTTATTTATTTTTTTTTTCTTCTTCTTCAATCTATCCCAATATCGTGCCAGCACTGCATCAAGTGCAGCTCAATCATACAAACACCGTGTGCCCAGTCGTACCTAAACCACAGAACTGCATGTCATCAGAGGAAACGCCGTACAAACACACATGGCAATTGTTTTTGCTGATGATTTTGCCACGGGGCTCTAAAAATATAATACTTGATTCCTTTTACTTAATAGCCTCCCGGCCAAGTCCGAATGCACCAGACACGGGACACGGCTCCAATGATCGTCACGACTCACGAGCCACATGGACACTGCATCCGAGGTCCCATTGTACGTTAGCCAAGCTTAAGGGTAGGTTTGGCGCCAGCTTGCTGAAGCCCGGCTGAATGGGGCATGGATGCCTCCATTTCTGTCTCCGGATGCGCATCTGTCAACTCCATCAGCTTGCCCACATGTATGGCCAAGAACCGTCGCATATTTTGTTCAACTCGCCCGCTTTTTTTATTAGCCGCAACCTTTGTGGCATGATGAACATGCTTGTCATCAAATCAGTCATTTCCGCAACGTGTCTGGCGGGATCGAGGCTCACGTTTCGGGTTTCGGTTTCACGACGGTCCGGCTCCTTCGTTTCCATCTTGTCCTCATTTACCTTCTGTATTCCATTTGGCGGTATCCCGCCTTCGATACCACCAGCTTCGCTTTCCAGTGCTGCGACGTACACATGTCAATCCGTCCATTGGGTGCTGCTGTCGGCAAGTACTCCCGAATGATGTAGGCACTTGTGCTGCGAGAGTAGGATCCTGTTAGCAATCTCTTTGAGATCGAGATCGAGGACTGTGCGGCTGAGTACACCACCGAACGAAATCGACAAGGTTTTGTTGAGTGTTTTAACTTGACCTGCGAAACACTTTTTTGAACAGCACGTGGTGGACATCTGTGACAAGGGTTTAATATGAAGGCTTGGAGCAAAAGGGGCTCAATTCAATAATAATCTCGTAGGATGTCAAAGGTCCTCCGTTGCTACAAGAGAGGAAGAGAAGGGTGACTGCCTTATATACATGAAAGGAACGCCCAGGCCTAAGGTCCTTACCCAGGCACGTGTTCTAGCTATATAACTAACAGGTCTTATATTGGTAAAGCCCCTTTATTGGGCTTCGCGATCTGTTGGGCCTTTCCCGTGTAACAATATCACACGTCTAATTATCTTGGTCATGATTCTTCTCGAAGCAGCGACGGGCACCTTTTACGATATCCAACGCCTCTTTAGGCGTAAGTCTACTACCATCAGTCCCTGACTTGGTAGAAACATCCATATTAAGGTTATTACTGTGTTTAAATGCCTCTAACTTAGACGGGTCCGACCCTGGTGGCAAGATGCTTATGTAGCTGTTAATTTGTCTGGTCTTTGGCAGTGCCTTTTTAATGGACGACGGAAGATTTTGAGTTTGAAGTCCGCTTGGTTGTCTAGGGATTATCCCTTCTTAGTAGATCTGTTGGGAGGTAAATTTGCGGCGGGATGACGATTGCGAACTAGATCGAATCCCTGTTGTTGTCGTTATATCGACTACCTTATATTGTTGTACGCAGATCTATACACATTCCCTACAGGTCAGGTAAGACTTCAGAGGTGTAACGATATAAGTTTAGTTAAATGTGTACTTATTTTTGACTAGGCAACTGCTGCTATAATCTAAAAATGAAAGTGATAAAGAGCTTCTCTATCTCGACGCAACCATCTCGGGCATAGGCGTCCCGTCCGAACCACAAATTAGAGTTGCGCTAGTCTAAAAAATCGAGAACTCGACCTTAATCTCTGCTAGCGACTGTCCATGACGCTAGGACTAGAGCTGTTCGCCGGCCGCAAGACACTGTTTGTATCCAGGAATTGCCTGCTGACTACATTGACGAGCAACCCGAAGATTTTCATCAGTAGCAACCTGTTTGCCCGAGGGGTCAAATCTGTAAGTGCTGCTATTGGAAGGCGGTTTTTCCTGAATGCATTTGGCAGCGCTTTCAGAGGCCTCTATTACGCAATCAAAATCCCGATCGAAATCCGGATCCCCATCCTGAAGCGAATTCGGTTCTTTTCTGATGAGACAATCTATCATCGCAGTTAAAACGAGTGCGGTGGAATCAGAATCAGCACAGGGAATCTCCTTGCACCCGTCCGAATTGGTCTGGAGGTATTCAAGCATTCTTTTCTCGCAGAGGTCTAAGTTGACGCTGTTTACCTCTGTTGCTGGTTTGTCTTGGCTAGAAGATGGACTGTTGCAGGGCATCGCCAAGGTCGACCCGGCTAGAAAGAGGCCAACAAGTACGACGTTCTTCATGATGGATATTTGTTAAAAGTAATGGGCAAATTTAAGAAGATAGTATAAAGTAGTAGTTAGCTTACCGCTAGAAAGTGTTAGGTATTGACTAAATAAGGCAACCTCGATAGACTAGGTAAGAGCTGTTGTGTTCTTTTATAGTTATCTTATAGGGGCATTAGTTGAGATGACTCGCGTGAGAAAAATTAGCGGTGCGTTGACGAGTCAGCGGCGCTAAAGCATTGCGCTTTAAACTACCTAGGTATCTAGCTATCCTTGTTTCAAGTAAAACAAAATTAAAGTAAAGAGTGGGCAGAGCAAAGGTCAGCTTTTGCATTAGATTCGGGATTGTGCATTGCAAAGTTGTACTCCGTACTAGGTTTAGTTCTGCCTAGAACAGAAGTTATTGGGTACCAGACTGCAAAGAGACAACTAGGATACGCCGCATTATACGCGTCTCTACGTATTATCCCAGTTGCATGGATTGTGCAGCCTTGTAGGGAGTACATAGAGGCTAGCTATATACGTGTCCTATTTGCATAACAATGTTTTATATACGTATTATATTATAAATTATAATATATAAGATTATACTATTAGCAAATAAGACTGCTATTTGGATATCCACGTGTCCTTTTATATAGAGCAATAATAGCCTAGTCCGACAAATAAATTTATAATGCGCATTAAGCATAAATAACATAATTTAATTGCCTCTTGTAATTAAACCTGTAAAATAAGTCTCTTAGGGGGCCACGTAAAATGCATAAAAAGATTTAATATAATTTGTTTTAGGTAGATTAAATGTGGATAGATGCCTACTAATAAAATTCTTACAAGCATAAAAATATAAGTAAGAGCATGACTTAAGGCTACTCTACAAGGTATAAAGAATCATGTTATCATTTATGCTTAATGCGCATGATGTCGTACGCCCACCCAAGGCCCCCATCTCCATGAAGCAAGACAACAAGCTAACACCCGCGGCCAGCCCGAGCAAAATCGTCTCGGTACGTCCTCCCCTCCCATCAACACCCTCAACAAATTGACCCAACTAAACCTCGCAGACCTCCAACACCAAATGTGCAAACTCGTCCTCAACGGCAGACTCGGCCTCGGCCCCGTCCACTCCCCCAAACACGTCCTCGACGTCGCCACAGACGCAGGCATATAGGCCCTCGAATACGGTTCTACTTCCCCAAACAAACCCCCCCCAAAACCTCACCAACACAAATCCCCTCCAAAAAGCCAAAGCCAACCCCCAAGCCCACGCCATCGGCACCGACCTCTTCATCATGCAGCCGGCACTACCGCCGCGCCCAACGTCTCCTTTGTCCGGCAAGACGTCGAGAAGGAAGAGTGGAAGTACCCCCTTCCCCTGGATTACATCCACCTCCGCTACATAGTAAGCTGCTTCGACGACGCGCAGTCCGTCCTGCGAAAGGCCCACGCCGCCCTCCGCCCAGGCGGACAAATCGAGATATTCGACATCGTCCTGCGCCGCCAGGGACGGCAGGGACATGCAAAAGGCCGAAAAGTACAAGCAGTGGCTGGAGGAGATTGGCTTCGTCGACGTGGTAGACGTCGAGCTCATGGTCCCCGGCAACGCGTGGCCCGAGGACGACAGGATGAGGGAGATTGGCAGGCACCTCGTGCAGGTGCAGCCGGGGCCGCTTCTGAGCCTCGGGTCGTATTTTGGAGCAACGGACCTGTCGGGCGTGTTGGATGGCCTTGCTCCCGACATGCTGAGGGACATGGAGGATGAGAGCATCCGCCTGTGCTGGCCCATGTGAGTGATTTCAAGTTTCCCCCGTGCCTTGCTGGCAAGTTACTCTGGGCTGCTTCTGTTACTAAATTGTTCGGCTTTTAGACACGTTGTGTATGGACGAAAGGCGCTCCAAGATGAATCCGCGTAAACGGCCGGTCTTGCACGTCGTTCGCTGAATGGGATGAAAACACAGGAGGATGAAAGGACACCGAAAGACATGGCCTAGCAACCAGGTTTTCTCAGCTATACATTATTTTTTTTATCATTAGCAGTAGCCGCCCGTTTACGCCATCCCTACCATATAATTAAAGTTGCTGACATGGCATGTGCCCAAATATGTGACTTGGTTTCTATCCGTGACATTATGGCTCCACCACTTCGTATCCATGCTGCGCTTCTTGTACAAAATTCATCACGGCCGCGCCCATCTAATGAAGCCATGCGCTGCTAGAGGACCGTCTCCCTCTCTCATACAGCCATTTGCTGTTGAGCCCTACACTTGTGCGCTTGCCTCCAGAGGGGCTGGGAGAGCCTGGATCCGAAAACAAGTTTGCCGACGTACTCTGAGCAAAGGGACTGCCTGATCCAAAGGATGATCGTCGACCATTTCCTAGCCCACTAATACTTTTTTGAAAGACCGGGCTACCCACTGGGGAGTATTGTGAACCAGAAGCCCCGAAGGAGCCCTGAATAAGCGGACTGCCTCGTCCGGACAGCGGTGAGCTAGCATAGCTGCCCCTGCTTCCGACAGATCCAGCAATCGAAGGCGTCCTCGAGTACCGTGGAGGCGTACTGAACTTGGCATCTGGAGTCGGCGGGGCGGAAGTTGGCGGAAGACCGAGCAGCTTTCGTTGGGCACCGGTCAAAGGGATGTCGGAGAGGTCGTCCTTGGCGCGGACAAGTGGTAGACAGGCGAGGCATATTTGAATGAATGGGATGATTTGAAACACGAACCACGCCCAACTCAAGTACGTTCGGAATGTGCTGGAGACACTGCGACGGTGGTTAGCTTGTGATGCTGCCAATGGTGGGCGCACGGCTTCTTACATTTGGGGGTTGATCTTCATTTTGGCAAGCAGTCGAAGAGACCACAGGACTAATAAGGCAACTATATTGTAGACTATTTGCCGAATATTTTTCTCGGAGAAATTCGTCGCACTCTGCCTTCGGGTGATTTCATTTAATCGCGGATGCCGCCATGTGCCAGGACTGTCAACAGCGGGAGCTGCCTTGGTGGGCGTCGACTGGACAGGAGTCGACATGCTGGCCGGGAGTGCTTTATTCTAGAATGGTATGGTCCAATTCCTAGTGTTGAGGGTTGGGGTACTCTTGGAAAGGAGAGCTCTAGGAAGTTGGTCTGGTCAGCGCGGCCTACGGTTGGCAGCAAAAGCTTTGCCCGACTTACCGTGTATCTAACGCGGCGTCGTAAGAAAAAAATGGGTGAGATAAATGTTCCGATCGCTCGTAAATAGTCGTTTGCTGCTGGTTAGTAGATGCACTGGGCGTGGGCACGATGGCCAGTGAGCTTCTGCTCCGAGTCGTCGAGGCTGTGATATTTGTTGATGTTCATCGAGGCAGGCGACGAAAAGCGGCAGACAACCAGTCAAGTCAGGCGGCCGAGTGGATGCAGGGGTCAAGTGGCGCACGGGCCAAGTCAAGCGTGCGACATGTCGTGGGCCGTGACTTCCAAGAATGGTGGTGACTTGGAGACTTTGTCCTGGGACTTGGCTGCGCAGCAAACGTGGATCGACTTTTCTCAAGCTCAATGCAAGCTGATTCTCGCCAGCCCTGACCACCACTTGCATAAACCCGACATAATCGACACCCATCTAATTCTCGCGTCGCCATCGAGAATTCATCAAACAAGCGCCTTTTACTCCCTCATTCCGTAGTCCAACCGTGCCATGGTGATGATGCGCCTTTGATTCGCATCGCAACCCGCGACACTTCCAGCTCAGTACCCGCGATCCTACTGCCCTTTTCTCGTCCACCCCCCGTGCAGCCTCCCACCATCAATATGGCCGCCTCACCCAGTTCGGACGCGGCCACGTCCGACATCGAAGCCCCAAGCTCTCCTGCTGCTCAGGAAGCCAAGTCATTCATCTCACGCGCTGCGAGCGACGATGAGGATACGCAGATGGCCGATGAACCCACCGAGATCCAGGAGAAGCCTGCCCGTGGCAGAGGCAGGGCTTCAACAAAGGGCGGCGATGCGCCCCATCAGATTGGCAAAATCCGACATCTGAAAAAGGAAGATGGTGAGCCGCTCTGGCGTGAAGATATTCAGTACGACTTCCTCAAGGCCGTTTTCGACAACGATCAAAAGGTTTTTACCAACTCGTACGATCGTGACATGGACAAGCAATGTTTTGCCGATCTCTACATTGATACCATGTCGCGAAGTAGCAAAACTAGCAAAGTCTTAAGAGACAAACTCCTCAGTGACCGAGATGCAGCCAAGGGCATGGCCATGGTCTGCCTTCTGGTCAACGTTGGCCGCATGAATACCACGCTCAATTGTACGTACAATATCCCCCATCCGCACATACCACCAATACATCATTTTTGAAACATCCAAACTAACCGAGCCAAACTTTTAGTCTTTCCCGAAATGAGAGCCCAGCTTCGAACATACCACGCGATCCCGTCGTTACAGGCGCACCAAGATGCACACGCGTACAAGCAACTGCAAGACGCCCCCCGTCTCAAGTCTATCTTGAAGGGCGGTGCTGAGGACAGGGAAGAACCCAATTCGTTGGAGAAGATCAAGAAGGTCCAAGTACCTCGAACCAACCCTGTTAATCTCATTTTTTCCATGTGCCATTCGGCTCAGAAGGTTGCCGAATTGCATTTCCCCAATCACCAAGAATTCCACGACCTTATTATGAAGACACAGTACAGCAGCAAGTCCCGCGCTTCGGCCTTCTTGTGGCTCATGTGGTTTTACCTTGAGTCTGATTTCACCGAGGAGGGCTGTGAGGAAAATCCGTTTGGTGCTGGTGTCGACTACGGCCTAGATGTGGCAAACCAGGGTGTTCCAGAGCTTGTTGAGATGTCGGACGATGAGCGAGCCAAGGAAAACGTAGATACCCCCGAGGAACTCGTTTTTGGGCGCGATAAGCAAAAGACGCGAGCCAAGATTCTCGAGATGGACCAAGCCTATCTGAATGAAAGGGAGACAAAACGCGGAAAACGGGCGACTTTGAATGAGGAAGGTCCTGCTATCCTTCCACGCATCCGTCCTTCTAAACATGATTCGGACCGAGACAGCACAAGATCTACGCCTCCACCCCGACACGTGGGAAGAGGTGGTCGACGAGGGTTGGGGCTCAAGTACCAGATCTTTGAAGGGTCATCCCCAGCTCGTCACGGATCGGAAGGTGTTGGGTCGAGGAAACCTCGGCCCCCAACAGCGCATCAGCTTGCTGTGGAAAGAAACCGCAATGAACGTGTTGAGTACATTCTAGACCGAGGGATTCGAAAACACCACCACAAGAGCCGCAAGGCTCGACGCCAGGATGGAGCCGTATATAGAGCATACAGGCGGACCCAGGCCCAAGAAGACCCGTTCCAGGACAGCGACGGTGAGGACGCAATACCACGCAACATTTCCAGCAAAGACAAGACTGCCGTGTTCCGCGAGAGAGGTCTAGGCGGGCTTGCTCTTGTGACTGCCGAGACAGATGACTATGGCGAAGAAGTCAGTGCCTATGCGGCCGCCCTGAGAAGAGCTTCGCGACGTCTCCGTCGGTGGGTAGGACACGAAACCGAGCTGGGCATTATCGCGCCCATCAAGAACCAGAAGGCAACAGTGAAGGCCAGCGGCAACAAGGGCGGGGATGACAATGAGTTGAATGATTCCCCCACGAAGAATGGCGACGCAAATGGAGATCTTACTATGGGTGACGCAGATATTGACGACCAGACTGCCTTGTTAGATGATGGGGATGACGATGTAGATGACCCAGACAAGACCGAAGTCATGGGCGATTCTGACGTGGAGTAACTGTTGGACTTATTTCAGCGCACGTCACGAGGCAGATCATGTATACCTAGGTTATTTTCTGACTTTTCTACGGATGCCATCAGATGGGAGTTGAAGGAAGTAACAGGGATAGTGTATTACAACGGATAGTTCGGGTATATGATTTTCTTAGTTGGAATGGGGACTTCCTCCACGGGGGAGTGGCAGCGACAATGATGATAATTCCAAAAGCTTCACCATGAAATAATTTGGGATTTGCAATTTGTGCATTCGATTCTTTTCATCATCTTCTTCTATTCCGACCCAGGTCCAGAGTATTCCGCTTCGGCACCCGCGGACGTTACGGACGCCGGTCCCCTCCCACTGCTCATCAGCCTCCGTCTCACACAAGTTGGTGATAATCGACCCAGCCGGAAGCTTACCTCTCCGAGACCACGAGCGGTGTGGGGCGGCAAAACTGCCCCCAAGTTCCTCGAGTTGCATCCAACACGCATCTCGCTCTCTCTACTTAGTATTTATATACAGCCCGCCCGGCCGTGTGTAGCCCAATTATTCAATCACGATTAGTCACTCATTTTTCGTTTCCCACTGTCCCTTTTGTTGCCTTGCAGAAAATGCCCAAATCAAAGCCCTCTCAGAGGGGCGCCAGTTCCCCCATCGGCCAATTACTCGGCATCCTGGGCGTGCTAACCGCCCTCCTAGCATCAATGGTGTACCTCGCGGAGCGGAACCTGGACAAGTTCTACATCTTTGACCTGGACGAGCTACACGACGTGTCCAAGAGGGGCCTTGCCGAGCATGGCAACGACACGCGCGCCGTGGTCAAGTACATCGTCGACGACCTGCACAAGACGCACGGCGCGCACATCAACCTCCAGGAGGACTGGGTGTTTAACAACGCCGGCGGTGCCATGGGCGCCATGTACATCATCCACGCTAGTGAGTACACCTGCGTGCGGACCGAGTGCGAAGATGGCCCAGGCTGACCAACGACAAGGCATTACGGAATATCTCATTATTTTTGGTACCGCGTTTTCCTCATCCAGGGGAGGGGGGGGCATGGTGCAGGCTAACAAGGTGGTTTTAGGAACGGCGATTGGCACCGAGGGCCACACGGGGCGGCACACCGCAGACGACTACTTCCACATCTTGACGGGCGAGGAGTGGGCGTACGTGCCGGGCGAGTATGAGCCCGAGGTGTATCCCCCCGGCAGCGTGCACCACTTGCGTCGCGGAGAGGTCAAGCAGTACCGGATGCCGGACAAGTGCTTTGCGCTCGAGTACGCGCGGGGATGGATCCCGCCCATGCTCTTTTTCGGCTTTGCGGACGGCTTGTTCAGCACCCTTGACTATCCGACTTTGTGGAAGACGACGCATTTGACGGCCAAGCAGATGGTTGGGAACTTGCTCAGGGGCAAATTCTAGGCACGGCGCGCGTGTGTGTGGATTTAGCTGGTCAATAATTGGGGGACTTGTCGATGGGATCTGCCTTGGTCACCTGGCATGATGTATCATATGGGAAAATGTCTGGAGTATGTGAATTGAGGGGAGTCGGGATAGGAAGCTAGCTGGCGCTTGTACTTTGGGTGCGAACCGCCGTTGCGATTGTGCGTCACTAGATGCAACGTAGTAATTTTATAATTAGACGGACAGTATGGGATCGGGTGTATAGTAAACGGGCCGAGGGGGATCATAGTTCCAGCAACACGCTGCCCAAGTTGAAAGAAGCTTTGCATTTTGTCATGTTTCGAGGGCATGAGTCGCATGACATGGCCGAGGCAACTCTCATCCAACTCGTCCAGGCGTCGAATCACGGCGCATGGGTCAAAAACCTTTCCATGTGCATTATGGGCAGGGTGCTAGAATATCCAGCATCGTTTGCTTTTGGAGTGAGCTGCCAAGCATTCAACTCGTCAAAACAGAATATATTTACCTGCCATCAAATATATGGTACTAATATATTATACTACTAATATAAAGTCTGAAATCCACGTACTTGATGGGGCGTGAGCGCACCCAGGAAAAAGAGTGAGCCCGCCGAGCAATTCACATCAAGATAGCTCCGAAACACGTAGCCTCGCAGATCTTGGTGCCAAGGAAACTATAAGTGAATATGAACGACAGCTCCACTCGGGTAGCCCGCCGTGTTGAGGATGTTTCCCTTTCGTTCCAAACGAAACTTCAATCAGGGTCTTGGCTGCAGGGTAGTATGAATTTACGGCGGTCTTGTCGAGGAAGACAAGCATGGAACCGGAACAGCCACAGGGTAGTAGAAATAGAACCAGAACATCTTGGCCCGCAGGTAGTGCGATTGATTAGGAGCAATGGGGCAGGTGGAAATGTATGCCATGGCGCATAGCGTTAATAGGCGTTTGTGGCTTTTCGACAACCGCTCAATCTTGTGGTTTGAAGGGGTTGCAGATACTCTACCTACAATGCTCTACATACTACAACTCAGGGGAGAAGGGGACATGGAGGCTACCAGACTTTCTTCTTAAGGCGTGGCCCTCCAAAGTGAGCAATGCTCCTTCCCTCCAGTCTGTCCACGAGGCATCGTATGTACATACATGCAGCACTACGAGATGCAAGCTGCCAAGGTGCCAAGCCGCACCAATCAGCAACACCAATTAAAAGCACTCACCCCGCTCCTCGTACCAAGTTTGTTTGGCCGTTGCGATTCATGGATGGCGGCATCTCCCATCGACAAATTCCGGCATCATGGCAAGAGTGCGGTGCGAGGGGGGCTGGTGGCGACGTCCTGATCCGTCCGTGCAAGCGGAACCCCATACACCTTCCAGGTGCCGAAGATGAGCAAAACAGCCGACCACCTGTCACCGGACACCATCAAGCAAGCTGACGACTTGTGCAATATCGAGCTTCCCTCTTGGGACAGTGGCTGCATACGATTGGGACCAGAAATAACTCTGCCCAGCAACTTTATCCCAACAGCGAGATTAACTACAGCACTAGGCCGCCAATCCTTGCCCATGGCCCCAGGTTTCGCCGGGATGGTCGCATGTCTGCCTCCCAGATGAACGCGCCAAGGTCTTGGTCCCAAGCATTTTCGTCAAGTCGAGTTTCGTCTTCGGAATTGCAACCACGGGGCTTGCCGGGGAACCATCGTTCTACAGGAGGTCTTATCGCGAGCCATCTTCTCTTGTTCAAATCATGGCCGACATTGCTGTAGGGCTCTCCCACGCCGCGTCTCCTGACCTCTTCCTTTGCCAAGACGAAGCATCCCCGCCGGTGCCCAGATAGAGATATCTCAGAGGGCCATGTGGGTGTGTAAAGCCAAGTGCTTCTCTCCTTCTCCAATCCCGTCGTCGCGTTTTCGAAAGAAGCCCTCGAGTCCTTCCCCAGGCACGCCCACCGGCCATTCCTGTGCAATATGCCCGCCAACATGGGCTCCTGGCCAAGCCTCCAGGAAGGCCATGCTGTATCTTCTGACTCCTTTCATTCCAAAATGCCATCTATAAGACGGGGGTCGGAGCCCTACTTCGCCAAGGGACGCAAAAACGTCCCATCTCGTCTTCCTCCTTCCCCGTACAGTTGCCGTCCGCCACGTTGAGCCACCCAGGCCGTTTTGTGTTGCTTGCTTCTTGGGGAAACAACTGGACTCACAGCACGCGTCATTATGCCCACTGGTGATAATCTGGCCGAGCCGGTGGTGGGAGCCCAGCTTCGCGCCGAAGCCACAGATGAGAAGCGGGCGTCCCCCCAGGCCGTTCAGAAACACGAAGCTGCTGTCCAGAATAGCGTCGTCGCCCTAGGCGATACACAGGAACTCGATGAGACGTCCGTCCTACCGACGACCGAGGAGCTGGCCCTTCTGCGTCGTGTACCCAATCACATTCCACTGAAGCTCTTTACAATCGCCTTTATTGAGCTCTGCGAGCGCTTCTCGTACTATGGATCCACGGTCGTGTGTAAGTATATACACCACGGGGGGAACCCGTTCTGTGCCGTCATTTGGTATCCCAGAAACAAAAATACTAAGAAATCGCCGTGACCAAAAGTTACCAACTTCATCCAGCAACCTCTTCCCCCCGGCTCGACAACAGGCGCCGACCCAACGCAGCCCGGCGCCCTGGGGATGGGTCAGCGCGCCTCGACAGGCATCACCATCTTCAACCAGTTCTGGCAATACTTCATGCCTCTGTTCGGCGCGTGGGTGGCCGACGCCAAATGGGGGCGGTACAAGACCATCAGCGCGGCCCTGGGAGTCAACCTCTTCGGCCACGTCATCCTCATTCTGTCGGCGATCCCGCCCATCATCGTCCGCCAGGGCGCCTCGCTGGGTTGCCTGATCACGGCCATCATCATCATCGGCTTTGGCACGGGTGGCTTCAAGCCCAACATCAGCTGCCTCATCGTGGAGCAGCTGGGCGAGCAGCGCATGTTTGTGCGGACCCTCAAGAGCGGCGAGCGCGTCATCGTCGACCCGGCCGTCACCACGGAGCGCATCTACAACTGGTTCTACTTCTTCATCAACGTCGGCGCCCTGGTCGGGCAGCTGACCATGGTGTACGCCGAGATGCACGTCGGCTTCTACCTGTCATACACGCTCCCAACCATCATGCTGGGCTTCTGCCCGCTCGTCATGTGGTGGGGGCGCCGGCGATATCTCCGTCGCGAGCCCGCCGGGTCGGTGCTCGTCCCGGCGCTGCGGACCTTCATGCTCGCCCAGCGCGGCCGCTGGTCCATCAACCCGTTCCAGACGCATCGCAACCTCCACGACGGCACCTTCTGGGACTCGGTCAAGCCCTCGCGCTTCTCGCCCGACACCCGCCCGGCCTGGATGACCTTTGACGACGCCTGGGTCGACGAGCTGCAACGCGGATTCGCCGCCTGCGCCGTCTTCTGCTGGTATCCCATCTTCTGGCTGTGCTACAACCAAAGCAGGTCCCCCCTCCCTCATCCCCCTCTAAACCCCTCTCTTTTCTTTTCTTTTCTTTTCTTTTCTCTGCTCCTCACTAACCATTGACGCACAGTCAACAACAACCTCATCTCGCAGGCTGCTGTCCTCCAGCGTAACGGCATCCCCAACGACGTACTTTCCAACCTCAACCCCTTCGCGCTCCTCATCTTCATCCCCCTCAACGACTTCTTCATCTACCCGGCCCTGCGCAAAGCCGGCATCCGCTTCACCCCTATTCGCAAAATCACCGCCGGCTTCTTCGTCGGCTCCGCAGCCATGGTCTGGGCCGCCGTCGTCCAACACTACATCTACCAGACATCCCAGTGCGGCAGCTACGCGTCGGGCACCACCCTCGACGGCGCCGGCCAGACGGTCAAGTGCCCCGCCGTCGAGATCAACGTGTGGGCCCAGACGGGCTCCTACGTGCTCATCGCCCTCGCCGAGGTCTTTGCCTCCATCACCTCCCTCGAGTACGCCTACTCCAAGGCCCCCAAGAACATGCGCTCCATGGTCCAGGCCGTCGCCCTGTTCATGACCTCGTTTGCCGCCGCCATCGGCCAGGCCTTTGTCAGCCTCGCGTCTGATCCGCTGCTCGTCTGGAACTACGCTATTGTGGCCATCCTGGCCTTTGTCGCCGGCACCTGTTTCTATTTCCAGTTTCGGAACTTGGATGTCCACGAGGACGAGCTGAATGAGTTGCCCGAGGGGCAGGTGGGCAAGGTTGACGCCGAGGCTCCTTTTGCGTTCAAGGATGAGAAGAGTTAGTCTTTTGTGTCAATGGGAAGGTGTCGTGTACATAGTTTACTGGGCATGCGTGAATGCTGTCGTCGTCGTCGGCGGCGGCGGCTCAACTTGACTTGACGCATTTTGGATGAATGGGGCAAACTCGACTACTATTGCGAATAAGACTCGTTCTCGCACCACCTATAATATAAGCCTGTGCCAAAACTGAATGGTTCCAACAAGCATTGCAGCATCGCGATGCGGTCAGTAAAAGCACCTGTAGGTTCAGTCACGTCAGTCATAAACTGCATAGTACAATGTTTATTCCTCGGATATGCAAGATGCGCCAAAGCTACTGTAGCACGATGCCCAACATACACAATGCTCGATACTCCAGTTCAATAAATCCCCACAATCCTCGGTACGTAGATTCCATGTCCGCTGTGACCAGTGCATATATTTTTTTGTTCTTCTTCAACCCTGGATGAAAATGGCGCTCTTTCGTAATCGTCTGCTTTCCCATGGCTTCATTCAAGGCATCCTGTACTTTTTTATCCTACTCTGGGGAATGTCCATATCACCGTTTTAACCCTCAAAATCAATACCCCCAACGCCCAGAAAGCCTCGTAGATTATGTGTCATGAAAATAGGGGGGCGTGTCGTAACATGCGAAACGTGTGGCTGGCTTCAAATCCGTACTCGATCCACTACATGGCGTTGTTGTTTGTGTAAATATAGCAGTTGACACTATGCCAGCCATTGTTCTTCGTCTCGCTTCAAGCCCCGCATAACAAGTCCGTCGTCTTCATCTGAATCGTCATCCTCATTCTCGTCGTGAAGCCTCAGTTGTTCCACAGACGTTGTTGTGGCATTGAGCTTATCGTCGGCGGCAGATCTCTGTTCGAGTTCGTCCTCGTCCAGCATCCACGTAAGCCCGTTGGCCTCCTCTTCGAGAGGGAACATTTCTCGGGCATATTCCTCCAGTCCCCGAGGGCCTTCCCAGAGCTCAAGGGCTTCGGTAGGGCAGCTCACCTCGAGCTTCATGTCCCCAAAGTAAGGTGGCTGTCTTTTGGGGTCCGTCTCGCTAAGCTTGAAAAGCTTCTCAAGTGCCTCCAGTTGTTCTCGGTAGCCAGTGGGGATTTGGACCTTGACCTCAATGGGGCCACGGACGTAGTGTACGGGACGGCCAACGCCTCTTGCAAACAGTCTGCAGGCTTCTTTGGGCGACAGATATTCATAAGCGAGAGCAATCCGCTCACCCCTCCATTTCGAAACGCCGTCTTTGAATAACTGTACGATTGCCGGCCCGACGTCGTGTTCCGCGTCCAGCCAAGGAAGCTTGGCATCCTCGTGGAACGGTGCTTGCCATATGAAAGACCCATCTTCTTGCAGCTCCATGCAAAACAATGGATATGGGCACGACGTGAAGTTGTTGTTATAGATGCCCGTGTAAACAAAGGTCGCGGGGAGGTCGAGCTTTCGAACATACTCTTCCACCTCGTGCTTTGCTGCCCAAAGTGGTAAAGAGGGCCAGTCCTTGTTGTAGGCCTTGTGATCAGGCATCGACGAATAGATGTAGTGTTGGACCCCCGCCTTCTTGGCGGCATCAGCTAGAGCCATGCCAATTTGAACTTCATCGCCGTAAAATGTCGTGTTTATGAAGGCCAGCTGTGCGCCACGGAACAGATTTGATATCAGGTCATGGTTGACGCCGACGCCGGCAATCGGACCATTTTGCGTAACGTCTTTGTTTTCATTTGTAGGATTGTGCCTGGTATACAGCTCACCCACAAATACTGTTACGTTTGGATTAGTCGAGACCTCGGTGGCAACAACACCTTCAAGATTTCTCAATTGTGCTCGCACGCGATATCCCACGGCTGTGGCGACACGAATCAGGGACGCAGCCTGGCGCCCGCTTGCGTTGGTAATAGCGATGGTCTTGTCTGGAGTTGACATGTGTCGCTTGGGCGGGCGGAAAGTCAGAGAGTTGTTTCTAGAGTTGGCCAGCGGAGACGACTCTGAGTAGGACGATCGCGAGTGCTTGTGTTGTTTGCGGTAGTTGTTACTCTGGTCGTTGGCAATATGAATCGGGATGCTGGCTGCCATAGGGCCGGTAATTTGGGCTGGCATGGTTCGATCCCTGTCGCTCTCGACGTGCTGGCTAGGGTGGGAAAGCGCAACGAGCGATGGTGACAAGGAGATGCGCGCAAGGCAGAAGGCTTCCTTTCCGTGCAGCATGCAACAGGCGAGGCCACCGTGGTTTCGCACACGACGGCCCGCCTGAGGGAGCAGGTAGATGTCCTGGATACTTGGGCGGGATTCGCAGGGACACTCCAAAAGGCAGAAGGCTCTGGGCGACGTTGGTTTGGTGGACGGTGAGGAATGAAAGTCTGTACGTAAAATACAAGTGCTCAGTGGGCCGACGATGGTGCTAGGACAGGAACTGCTGGCCAATGCAGGCGACTCACGACGGGCGCACGACAGGCTATGTCTGAGCGGGGTGGTCAATTATTGGTAACCGGAATTTGGAATTGGAGCGAGATCGTGAGGTCAGCTGGATGGTGTGCGGTTCGCCGAGGGCTTCGCGGAGAAGTTCCTCGAGGCGGTTCTGGCGAGCCAAAGGCTAGAGTCGGGATAGGCTGCTGGACGGTGCCTGAGACAGGCGAGGGGAAGGGTCTCGCAGTAGTACTGCTATGGTATGGTGTATGGATGGATGGATGCGTCGCGCGCAAACGCCTTTTGACGTGGTCCGGTTCGTGCTTGGGTTGATTGAGGTGGGCACTTTTGGCCGAGAGCGATGGGGAATGGAGGGGCACAGCACGCAGCCGCGCAGGACCGGAGTGTCGCCACGGCCTGTCAACCGTGGACGCGCTGTGCGAAGGCGGGCGAGGATGTGCTGAAGCACGAACGGATGCGGCCTCGCAACTTGGGCAAAGGGGTGCAGACGGTCTGTTTGACGATGCTCGCACCGGAGGTTGGCAAGTTCTGAGCCAGCCTCCCTCTTATCGACGCAAAAGATAGGGCCTCAGACGACGAGATCGGATGGTGGGGTTCCGGGCAGGCGCAGGCGCAGCGGAAGTCGGCTGGCAGGAGCAATCCAGTTGATAAGAGCTCGAGCTGCTTCCCAAACGACGACTCGAATGCCAAGGCCGTGTCTCAAATATCGATGCCGCTCGTAATATGCAGGAGATACGAGGAGAAGGGAAGGAGCAAGAAAACGAAGGCCGAGGCGAGCACGAGCACGAGCACGAGCACGAGAATCAAGCAGAGGGCGCCTCGATGCAGGTGTGTTATGGTATATGTTGGATTGGCACAACAAGAATCCGGGGCCGAGGGCGGAGGCCACGGGAGACGTGAGGGAACACACGATGGCAAAGAGGCACTGGGACGACCTGGATGGAGCTGCTCCTGCCTCCACAGGTTTGGGACAAGGACCTACCGAAGTGGCACCTGCCCCGAGACGCAGTCGTAGTACGGAGTAGTCGATCGACCTCTCTGCCTGGGGATGGCTGCGGATGCGGTCTGCTGCGCTTGATGCTCGATTCCTCCATTCTCGATGCTTGGGAAGGCCGAAATTCATCTCCTGCCTAGCGAGTCCACCAGCAATCAGACTGGAAAGGAACCACGCAGGTACCCTGACCGCTGTGGCCGCACGGCGCACTCGAACGCGTAGCGCCGGGGTACTCCATGTCGCTCAAACCTGCGTCGCAAAACCTGCACTGAGCATTCATCGACACACGCCCGTCAACCAAGAGATAACAGCCAACGGGCTTATCAGTGACAGGTAAACGGGCGACGGGGGCATGGAGAAGTTACGGAATGGCTGAAAAGTCTGATGGTGGGTGGATGCGCCGGCGTTGATGGACATTGGCGTCAGTGTTCCATGGATGCGCCGCCACAGACCTTCAACACATTGCTGGTATCTCGTCCCGACTTGCCCGCCCCTATACCAAGTAGGCAGACAGACTCTGAGCACTAACTGCCAGTTCAGGAGAATACCAGCAGCTCATGCGCGCCAACAGCTTATTATCCTCCCATCCTACGCAGTCTGGGCGCCCGGACTCTGCCGACACTAGCATTGCGCCGTCAAAAAAATAAGCAGACCTCACATCATCAACAGCCCTGAACAAGAATAGTGGCCCTTGACCAAATGACCCTGGGGCCCAACTAATAACCTCCAGGCATTGTTACGATCCGTAGGAGGTTTCCGAGGGGGGCCCTTCAGTCCTTGCTGCTCCTCTACAATATAGATTCTGGGGCCGGCCAATCGCACTACATGTGGTTCTAATGATCAACGACCTTCCTCAGTCGCAGGCCATGAAAAGTCATGACGATTGTGCAATGGCTATGCTGGATTGCATGATGCCCATTTCCAGCGCAATTCCGCTAGCAAACCCTTCACCTTGGAAAACGTTGACACGAGCCCAAGACAATTGAAATGACAAGTTACTGTCGGAAATGAGACGCGGCTAGAGGGAATCCGACCTTTGGTTTTTCAAGTGTCACACATGCGCTCTGTGCACCGCAGCATCCCGCGGCTAACCATGGCATCGTCACCGCGACAGGCAATCGCCCATAGGCATCGTCAGGAACTCAGAGCCCAATATGCCGCCTCCTCTTCTTGTTGCGGACAGTCTTCGTTCACTGGCTCCCAGCACTGCAAAGTGAGCTCACACTTATGCTTGTTTTAGCCTCAAGATGCGGGGAGGCTGGAACAGCCGGGCTTGCACAGCAGGCAGATTGGATGGGGATTGTCATTCAAAGGAAGCCTCACTTCGACCTCGTGGACTTTGTAGTATGGCCATTTGCCAAGTTTCTCCCGCAATGCACTCTGGCCCAACTTTGGGTTTGGCAAACACATAACATGGTTGTCGGGGCCAATGGCTTCCAAGCCAATTACTCGTTTTGCTGCCATCATGTTACTGTCACCTGCAACGTTATAAGACAAGCTATGTGGGTGCTGCATTAGAATTAGGTAAAGTTTTCTGCCCTCTCTCCAGTTAAAATTTTTCGTGTTGAATCAGTTTCTCATACCGTTTACAAAAGGTTGTCCCAAAACGGGGCCGTCTGATGGTCCAGCCCAAGGCCCGCTCGAACACCCCACGACAACCCGACTCATGGGCATCAAATGGTCACAAGACTGGCTGGGTGGCTCGATCTCAGTGTCCATTGTCCATGCTTCCTTCGTGGCTAGTCGATAGCGGCGGACATGGTAGTGGCCCGCAACTCTAGGTCGAGTTGTCAAGGCTGTAAAGTGGCTCTTGGGAGAGTTCACCACCACCACTGATAACACCACGGGTCATATTTGCTATGTCCCTACGTGCTGGGCAAGCAACGGTTCAGAAGTTGGGGCAAAAAAATGGGGTTTCTAGTTTGTGTTTTCCTATTCTAATTACTATTCCTCGATCTCACAATGCTAACTAGCATCACAATTGTGAAGCAAAGCGCCAGCCTGAACATGATCTCCAATTCACCTCCACAAGTACCTGGCACAAATAATAACTAAATGACCCCGGCTTTAGTGCGCCCGATTTCGATTCCAAGCCATTGGCCCAAAGCGTCTCCAACAACAAGGCCATGCCCCATCAGACACACCGACATATCTCCTGAAGACGACGCGGCGTGAGTTTACCAACGACGGATTGTTGTTCGCCTTCTTGCTCACCTACTACTATTATGCTGTGCACTTGTCGGCCCCGCGCCCCATTGAAGAAGTGTGCCCGCGGGCAGTTAAGTGATGTCAGAGATTGATTGAGCGGTCTGGGCGCAAAAGACTGTCTCTGAGCATGGATAGTAGTAGTATAACGAACAGGCCGGAAAAGGGTTGTCTGAGCTGCATGAACTTGACACATGGGAGGCTGGCCAGAAGTAGTTACCCCAGATTTCTGTATTGGGAGTTGAGACATGCCAGCAAGCAACCTCGGCCCTGGGCCCTGGCCAAGTACCCTGACACGGGACATTAAATTACGTCTTTGATGCACCGCCAATGAGCAAAAGCAATAGTATTGTGCGACATGAGATGGTATCGGCATTGCGGCGGGTGTGCTGATCCGTCCTGCCGTTCTGGTGGGAGGAGCTTTCCCGTGAAAACCATGACATGCAGCTCTCTGTCGCATGCAGGAGAATACTACAAGGGGAGCTTGCATCGCCTAGTTCTCACCAATTTTGGATATGCGGGGAATGCAGACGACCAAGCAGACTGCCCAGGCGCCTTGGTTGTGTACGACACATCTCAGCTTATACAGCACGGACGAAGACATGTACGACACCAACGAGGTCAACAGTCGTGCTAGTAGTATTCCGATCTTTGTCACCGAGAAACAATAATGTGTTGGCACTTGGGAATCACGTCTAGTCCCAGCCTTCCGGGTTCTTTTCCCGGTCCAAGCCATGGCCAAGTCGTAGGATGCTGCTTATCTCTGGCCAGTCACGAATCACACTTTCGGATCACGTTATTGACCAGTGGGCTTATGTTACGGTAGTACTTCTCGCAGCACGGCCTAGCAAGTAGTAGACGTATTGGTCCGGGGCAGCTCGAGCACCGGCAATTAGAAAAGCATTGTGTGTTTTTTTTTCTCTTCTCTGCGGCCATCGGACGCCTTTCCTTCCTCAACAAGCTTTGGTGGTTGACCATCAATTGTGTTTTGCGGGCCGATCCTGAGGGGGCGTTGGTTAGACCTGAGGCGACCGCCGCCAACAGGAGCTAGGCTAGGCAAGTTCATACAGCAGATGACGAATTACGTGTGATACATTGTATCACGTATCACGGTTCCCAGCACATGTCATATTTCACAATTGAAGAGTGGAATGGAATATACGGGGCATGGACAGATCAAATATTATGCCATAGATGGCCGTTGAGTGCTATCGCGTTCGCAACCCAGCACTGCTATCTAGACGGGAAGTGTCTGTGTGCTTCCCCAGATGGCCGGCCCCATAGCCCGGGATCCAGCACGTCCAGTTCATCCAGGGGCAGTTTCTCGACCCATGACGCTCCAGACGCGGAATTAGTGCCGGCGGTATGGCTGTGTGCCAGGGAGACGTCAAGAAAACGCTGGTGACCAAGATTAGCCCAGTGTTCCAACCTGATATGATCTCTTTCTTTGTGGCGTAGGGGGGGGATTTTTTTGTAAAGGTCCAGATTCGGGGACAACTTACCCAGTCCATATTATCTGCTGGCCCCATCCACGACGGATCAAAGCCTAGGTTACTCCCAAGAATGGCCTCCGACGCGGCGGGCAGGGGAAAGTCCATTGCTGGAGTAGCATTGGTCGTAGGTTGGGCCATGGGGAATGGTGTTAGCCCTGAAGATGAGTTCGCTCCTGTTATCAAAAAAAGTCAGCACACCGCCCCTGTGTCTTTCTCCCGGCCGTGGAAAATAGACAGGTGCCTTCGTACCTTCAATCCAGATACTAGAGAGCAAATCCGGCTCGCCAGTAGAAGTACTCTTCTCCGCTGATGATGACCACCCAACCGACCCCGAGGACGGGTATTCCGAACCTCGTGTTGGTATCCTCACTTCCTTGTCCACCGGATCCCCTAGTTTACTCAACATGGCGGCCAGCGCGTCCGCCGTCTTCCTCAACTCAGCCACGTTCTCGGATACCTCTGTCCAAATCATATAGGACCGCTTCAGCATGCCTTTGAGCTCCTCCTTGCTGGGCTTCTTGCCGTCAAAGTCGAACCCTTCTCCATCGGGATAATTCTCGTTCTTTATCAGCAGATACACAATCATGGCCGCTAGCAAGTAGTCGTGTACGGCCAGGGACGACAGGAACCACGACGTGGAGCTGAGCACGTTGCCCGGCTTCGAGTGCCTCCATATGAGGTACTGATTTTGGAGCAGCGACAGCGCCGCGTCGATGCCCTGCTGGCGAGAATAGTTGTGGTCCTTGTCGGGAACGGGTTCGGCGAGATACCGCCTGTGTAGGACGCAGCGGCACTTGTTGTAGAGTGCGGCCAGGCCAAAGCGCTGGGTCAAGAGGACGGGCGCGTCGCCCACGCACTCGTCTAGGGGACGGACGCGCATGAAGCCCGGGAGAGCGCCCCATGTGTCCTGCAGAACGGCGTCGAGCCGCAGGACGTCGGTGTACTCGGGGGGTGAGAGCGAGTGCGCCTGGTTGGCGATTTGGCCAAAGACTCTGATGATTTTGGTCTTGTTGATGGTGTACGTCACGTGTGTGTACTCGGTGGCTGGTCTCGCCGGGGGTAGGGATGTGGAATCTTCGTCAAAGTCCTCGTCTTGGAGGTTGGACGGGGGGCGCGTGTCCGCCTCGATGCCCTGCAGCATGCTCGGCAGGCCCATATGGAAGGAGACAATGAGCTCGATCTGCACCGCCATGTTCCATAACCTCCGCCGCATCTCGCCTTCGTAGGGGGATATGTTGGCCAGCTTGGACGGGTCGCGGTGGAGGCCCATCTTGAGCAGGAGCCGGATGCATACGCCCGAGAGGACGTAGCAGTTCATCTGGGCCGCGCGGTTGAACATGAAGTGGGATTCGACGTAGAGCAGGAACGCGGGCAGCGTCGTGGACGTGGGCTGCGTGTACTTGCCCCAGATGAGGGCCCAGCCGGCGCAGGAGCGGTAGTGCTTGATGCGGTCCAAGATGGGGACGGGCGAGTCGGCTGAGAGTTCGTGGGGGGCGGCGAAGCTGTTGAAGAAGATGCCCAGCGCGAGCATCATGAAGAGCTGGGCGAGCCAATGGAGGGTTACGTCGTTGGAGTCTTGCCAGAACCGGGCATACTGGGGGGGGATGTTAGTATGAGATGGCAGATGGCCGTTTATGAGAAAGGAGGGTGAGTAGTTTTACCATTTTTGTAAATGTAGGTCGATGAATAATATCTGCTCTTGCGTGAGAAAGTGTTCACGGGGTTTGGCACGAGGTGGCTCACGTTGAGAAGGACTCATGGATGCAAAGTATCTCTTAATCAACCGATCTGCAATATGCCTATCCGGCAGCTGTGCGATGAGTTCGTCTCTGTTCGTCGGCGGAATCGTTGGGCACAACAGCATTTCAGGCGCATCCAGATCATCCGTCGACAAGATCCCTTCCTCGTGGGCCCCCGTATCATCAAAGTACATTTTCAAGTCCTCAATCTACAGAACGCCGATTAGCATCTCGTCTATATATACCGCGGCACGAGCCCTGTGTGATTGCAAACTTACGTCCTCGAGCATAGCCATGCAGTGCGTGGCCCCGACGTAGGTCGTCCCATGCTCCCCCTTGACCACATGGCCCTGCAACGAGGGCACGGCGCTCCCCTCGCTGCTTCTCCCCGGCAGCTTCGCATCTCCTTCGTTCTCCATCATCTCCCGCACCAGGCTCTCGAGGCGCTTGAGGCGCGAGGTCATGTTCTTGGCCGGGGGCTTCTTCTTGACGGGCCTGGGGGCGTAGACGCACTGGTCGATGCGGCCCTTCTTCTCGCACTGCGAGCATGGTTGCTGGCGGTCACATTTGAGCTTGGAGTTGCGGCAGGGCGCGCAGGAGAGGAGGATCCGCGTGCGCTTCTGGACTTGTTTGTCGCCGGGGGAGGGCTCGCTGGGGCTGCAGTCTCGGAGCATGAGGCTGCTATCTCATGCGCGGGTGTGTGAAGGGGGGAAATACAGTCTGCCGCCGAAAAGTGTGTACACCGATATACTAGTATAGAGCGCGACAGCCGGGTACCTGATCTGGTCAAATACTCTCTGCCTCCCGCTGTAGTGTTTGGCCGAGAGTTGTGGGTTTCGGGATGTATGTACGATGAAATGAGAATGAGATGTGATGCAGCCTTGCTGCGAGGACTGCCGCAGTGTCTGCCACGGTTGCATCGCCTGTACCCTTTCGGCACTTCAGTCCACTTGCCTCGATCGGGTTTAACAGCTAAACTCCAGCCCACCGCCGCTGCACCCTCCCCGACTCGCCGTGGGAAAGAAACAAGGGCACGCAGAACACCGCCAGAAACGCTACAAGACGCCCTTGATCATCACGAAATTGTCATTATGCTACAAGAAATTACTCAGGCGCCCCCGGCAGCCTCTCAATCACATACTTGCCCCTCGCCACGCTCATCAACGGCACCCCTGCAATTCGACGGATGCGCCGTTTCAAAAGCTTGTCGTTGGTGCCCACGATGTATATCCTATCCTTGGTCACCCTGTCCACCAGACAGTCGTCTGCATATGTGCCCTTGTGGTCGCACTCCAGTCGCTGCCACCGCTCATCCCTCGCAACCCGCAGCGCCAGGCGGTACTTTGGGCCCAGCTTCTCCAATTCCGCCATGACACACGACGTTATGATCGGGTTGCACTTGGCGTACAGGCAGTCCATCATGGACTCTAATAATGACAGCTTTCGCTGCACCGTGTGGCTGAGAAAGTTGGTGTCGACGAGGACGTTGTAGGGAGGCACGAGCGCTGTGTTGTGCTGGAAGAACATGTTGCTGGGCATCTGGGGTGCTTCTCGGATCAATTCGCCATTGATGGTCTTCTTCTCTTTGGCTTTGGCTTCTTCGTCTTTTTTCTGGTTTGTTTTGAGGCGTGCGTCGCGCAGGCCTATTACTCGCTTGACCTGGACATTTGGCGAAACGTTAGGAGGCTCGGTTCTGGATGGTATTTTGGTTATCGATAAGGACTGACCTGGCCGAATTTTCTGGTTTTCTTCGCGACACCCATGGTGGCGGCTGTGAAATGCGCTCTTCTCGTCCTGATGCGTATCCTCCGGTGTTTCTGGCACGTTTAAACCCAAATTCGGGTCTTTGCGACGAGTTGCGCTGTCTGATTCGGCCTTTTTTTGGTTGTTGTATGGCAGAATATGGTCTGCTGGGAAAAAGTTCAACATTGCTTTGGCTGATGGTTGGATTTGCCGCCTCAGTCCAAAGGCGGTGGAGCGGGCAAACCACGCACGGACCACTTGCACCTCGTCAAGCCCCACGAGCCAGAAGCCCGATACACCACCAAAGACGCGTCTCCAGGTCGCGTAAATTGATCGTTCCAAGTTCCAACCTTCACATCCATCATCGCCGTCGCCATGCCCGCCACCAAAACCGAGGAAAGGGGCGAATCCTCGACCGCTGCGTCAAAGGCAGCCCTGGCCTCGTCTTCGAATGCATCTCCGAATTACGAATTGCCATGGTACTCTTGTCCTCCTCCCCCTCAAAACTGGCGCCGCTAACTAACATGCTGTTTGAAGGGTGGAAAAGTACCGTCCCGTCTTCCTGGACGATGTGGTGGGCAACACAGAGACGATCGAGCGGCTGAAAATTATAGCTAGGGAGGGAAATATGCCCCATGTCATTATTTCAGGAATGCCGGGTATCGGAAAGACAACAAGTGTGCTGTGTCTGGCTAGACAGCTACTGGGAGAGTCATATAAGGAGGCTGTCCTGGAGCTGAATGCAAGTGACGAGAGAGGTATGTGGACAAATATCTGAGAGAGATGGAGAGAATTTTTTTTCAATGCTCACCGCTGTGTCAAGGCATTGATGTCGTACGCAATCGAATCAAGGGCTTTGCGCAAAAGAAGGTTACATTACCCCCCGGCAGACATAAGCTCGTCATTCTCGATGAAGCAGACAGCATGACATCGGGCGCGCAACAAGCTCTTCGCCGAACCATGGAGATCTACTCCAACACGACCCGATTCGCCTTTGCATGCAACCAGTCCAACAAGATTATTGAGCCGCTGCAGTCGCGATGTGCCATCCTCCGATATGCAAAGCTGTCCGACGCCCAGGTTGTCAAAAGATTAATGCAAATTATTGAAGCCGAAAAGGTTGAATATAGCGACGACGGTCTTGCTGCCCTTGTGTTCAGCGCAGAAGGGGATATGCGACAGGCAATCAATAACTTGCAATCAACCTTTGCTGGTTTTGGCTTCGTCTCTGGAGACAATGTGTTCAAGGTCGTCGACTCGCCTCATCCCATCAAGGTACAGGCTATGCTGAAGGCGTGCTACGAGGGTAACGTAGATTCTGCGCTGGATACTTTGAGGGAGCTGTGGAATCTGGGATACTCCAGTCACGATATCATCAGCACCATGTTCAAGGTGACCAAGACGATTCCAACGCTAAGCGAGCATTCAAAGCTGGAGTTTATCAAGGAGATTGGCTTCACCCACATGAAAATTCTGGAAGGCGTCCAAACGTTGCTGCAACTGAGTGGCTGCGTTGCGCGGCTGTCCAAGATTAATATGGATCCAAAGAAGTTTCAAGTAGCTGCAAAATGAACGAGTGAATTTTCGGAGGGTGCATGAGTAGGCGTTGGAGTTGGATCGGTTTCTATTAGTTGAGGTACATGACGGGTGGCCTCGGAAAACATCTATTCGATAGGGTATTTGGCCAAGATGCCTCTCTGACATTTGCTGTTGATGAAATAAAGTACAATGCAACATGCTGCAGCATAATTTTCGCGTGGTAAATCCAAATCCAAACCTCAATCATTTCTCGCCCTCATTCTTTCCAAATTCCTCCTCGTACCGCTCCCACTTGGCCTTTTCCCTCATCCATCTCCTTTGCATGCGCATCTGGTATTCGTATTGTCTTAGGCGCCAATCGGCTTCAATCATGCCTCCTAGCACCATGCCTGACATTTGGAGGTACCTGCAGGCTAGTGTGAGTTCTGAACCAAAGGGTCGTAATGGGTAGGTGTCAATGCCCTCACACTTTGAACTGGACCGTTGTTCCGCGGTAAATAGGTGACCATACGTAGCCAATGGCCCCGAGAACAGCTGCTCCTGCTCCCCATTTCGCTGCGCCCATGAGAGCGCCTTTTCCCGCCTCCCATGCGGCGTCGTTGGCCTCTTCTGTTTTCAACGGATCGTGGGTTTTCATGGTTGTAGTTGAGAGCCAACTACGTCAGCGGCTCGGGCTCAATTGCAGTTTGCTAATCTGCTTCTCCAGACTAGGTCGCAAGCACGCATGAAATATTACAATCAAAGTATTTTACATTGGCCAATGAAGAAGAATCGTATGATGTTTTTAAATAAGAGCAGTTGTGGGGTGCGTACGGATGAATGAGCTCATTCGGAAACGACGGCTGCGTTCTGTCGGCCAGCCTAGGGTAGCCGGCTATCGGTATGCAGAGATGGTGACTGCGATGGTCAATGATCGTGTGCTCAATCAAACTTGGTGCCGTGCGGCCGTGCTGAGGCCAAAGTCCCCACTACGCCCCGCTAGATGCACCGAAACACCGTCTACTGGCATAGTGGAGGCTGCTTGGCTCCATCTGCGCCCGCCGAATATCTTTGCAAGCTGGCAACAAATTTCGACTTCTGTCTCTCGTCATTCTTCCATCTTCTGGAAGATGATGACACGATACCAACTCGTAATGACCACGCTGGTGCTTGCTGCCTAGCCCCCTTTGCATGAAGCGTTCATCTGCACCAAAGTCTGATTTTTGATTTTGTCGCTGCGTTTCTTGCATCTGTGATTTCCTCCTATCTTGCTACACCTTTTCTGCGACGGAAGCGCACACTGCTACCAGGCTTGCCGTTACTGATCCCATACTCTGTGCCCACCATGGATATTGCACTGGAGAATTACTGGCGGCTACCGCCAATGTCCAGGTAAGAACCAAAAAGCCGAAAAAAATGCCTTGACCGTGCTGACGTGGCCGCGCCGCAGAAACATTGCAACCTGTGCATTCGTCATGTCCCTCGGCATCGTGCTGGGCATGCTGCCGTCCAAGTACTTCATCTACCACCCGTTTTTCATACTTAGATTCCCGCCCCAGATATGGCGTTTCGCGACGTCCTTTTTAATCACGGGCTCGGGCTTAGGCCTTGTCTTTGACACCTACTTCTTGTATTCGTACCTCAGCCAAATGGAGGTTGGCAATCCTCGGTTCCCACGAAAGGAAGACCTGATTTGGTACCTTGTATTCGTCTGTGGGACGATTTTGGTAAGCTCTCATGCCCAAGTTTTGCCACTTGATTTCCGCCCTTGGTGCACCTGTTTTGAAGAGTCGAGCCTGCAAACGCAAAACCCCTCTTATATCTGCCCGGATAGTGTCGTGCCTCTACTACTATCACGGTTCCTGGAAATGAGGAAGAGAACCCCTGCCCTTCGGTTCAGTCCATTATTCGCAGGACTGTTCTGCGGTGTAGGCATGGTGGGATGTCTTATGGATGGCTCGTGTGATCCCCAAATTCACTCGGGTGGTTTTATTGCTCCCTACATTTTATTACCTTGTCCCATAGTCTTTTTACACCTTGATCTGTTTCTGTCTTCGTACCTGCCGTAGAAGAGAAAGAATTGAAGCTGACTCCCAGCTTCAGGTAGCAAATCACTTTGTCGGCTTCGGGTTCATGATGTTCCTGCCGGCTCTTATTCTGGCTCTAAGCTACACTGTGACGCAGGACCAGCGCGGAGCCAAGGTCAGCTACATGTTTGTTACCATGCCCGCCCAGATGATGCCGTATGCCATGCTTGCCATCAACCTCCTGTTCCCTGGCGGCGTTCAGAACATGATACTCCAGTTTCATGGCCTGTTTGCCGGTCATCTCTTTGACTTTCTGTCAAGGACGTGGCCGCAGTACGGCGGTGGGAGAAACCTCATTCCCACACCTGCCATCCTCTCCAGGATTGTGCAGTCGACCGAGTCGTTATTTCAGACGGGCGTTGGAGGTACTGCCCGACCTGCTGGCAGGACTCTTGGCGGAGGCACTGGCGCCAATACTTCAAGTGGACCGTTGCCCGACTCTTGGCGAACGCGTGGTCCAGGGCAGCGACTGGGGTAGATGGTTGGTACTGTAATAGGTTTAAGTAATGTATAAAGAGAAGAATTGATTCATGATATGAAATAATCGCTATATTGTCCCGGCGTTATGGCACCACAACTCCAAGTCCCTACCCAAGGCCAATTAAATGATAGTGAGGAAGCATATCCCGAAAAAAAACCTTGAACACCAGGATAACCGGAATAATCTTTCAGAAAACCACCCTATATGCATCTCTACGCAAAAAGTGGCGCAATGGCTCTTGCTGCGCTGAGAGTATAATAGCACACCATTACTACAACTACTGACGCGATTCAGTAGCCGTACAGAGTGCTTTTCCCACTTCTCAAAGGAACTTCGATATAGCCATCCTGCCTGGCAACACTGGCCAACGGGGGCGGCGGTCGATCTCTCGACATGGCCACCGGTCCAGACATGGGTATATCGTGAAACCTGGGGTCGTGCGTCATCAATGGCGGCGAGATTTGCATTTGACGCACATCCCTGGGTCCCTCTCTGTTGATAAATATCTTGGGTATTCGAAGCTTGGGCATATACGGCAGATAAGGGGTAGAAATGGCTGGAGTTCTCTTGCTTTGCGGCTCTGGGGCGTAGCTGGTGGGATGGATGGATTTTCGAGCGGCCAGCCGGGCGGAATCCTCGGCGGCGTTTAGATAGGCCTGGACGGCAAACGAGTCTGGCGTGTTTGAGCGGCGGTGGGTGTGAGTTTCCGCCGGCGGCGAGGGTGTTCGCGCTCGACTGACGTGGCCGAAGGAGCGGGACCGGCACACGCTGCTCGCGGGTAGGGTCTCGTCCTGGTTATGGATGGTCGGGCTGGATGAGACGTGGCTATGCGGTGCCGAGTTGGCTTGCTTGTTTTGCCTTGCGGCGGCGGCTAGTTCTGCCTCGACACGGTCGTAGTATTCGCCGCTGGAGTTGGGCTGTGCTGGGTGCGCCTTTTCGCTGAAGGCGTTGCCGGTGTAGTAGCGACGGTAAGCTTGCGACATGGGCTGTTCTGTGTACGCGGCTGGCGGGGGGAAGTTGGAGTAGTAGCAGGACTGTTCCCATTCGTTCCAGGACCGTTCGCGGCGGAAGTGGACTACGAGGAGGGCAGCGGCCAGGAGGAATATGAGGAACACGCCTATGGCGATGCCGGCGATGGCGCTGGGCGAGAGGCTGCCGCTGGACTGATTCGCTTGGTCGTTGGCAGAGGGGTCCGTCGTGTTGATGGGGGAGGTGGTGAAGACGCTTCCGCTGAGAGAGAGGACCGCGCCGTCTTCTGGAGCTTGTTTGCAACCGGCCTCGAGCGCAGCCAGGACTGTAGGGGCGTTAGAGTTTTGATATTTATGAGGGGAGATGGGCTTGACGGGGATTATTTTTCTTGTCTTACAGTTGGAGAGATAGGCTTCCCCCTCGGTTGCTTGGAGACAACTTATACATGGCGAGAGGTTCGGCCCCATGAAGGCACCGTTGTTGGCGGTGCAGTAATCCCAGGTGGTGTTTGGGTTGGCGTTGAAACCTGGCTCTATCAACGGCTCCTTCATGGCCATGCAGGCCTTGTCTACATTGCATTGAGCTGCCACGGTGCCGTTTTTCACGGCCTTGGGCGCGGCGTACATGCATGTGGTGAGGGTATATCGTAGATTATCTGCCACTTGTCTGTCAGTCTTTGACGACATACATACGCCAGGCGCACGGGGTCCCAGAGTCTTGAGCCGTACATATGTACCATTTCAGGTCCGACTCGGTCTTGTCAACCTTCTTGCTATGTTGCAAGCAGTCCAGGCACTTTCTGAACTTGATGCCGGCATCGGTGGTCGAGTAGTCCAGGTCTTTGCAGCTGATGTCGTCCACCGTCGTGGTCGAGTCCGAGGCACTGAAGTCGTTTCCACCAGGCGAGTCGAGGCATTCTACTGCACACCGTGATCCCGGGGTGACTTCCAGAGCGGTGGTGAGGCCGGCTATGGCTAGGAGGAGAAGAGTGACGGCTGGAAGCTCCATGGTGTTGCGGCGTCCAGGCCCCGGAAGGGCGAGACGGGAGGGCTGCTTGATGGGTGACTGGGTAAACTGATGCTCGTTACATGGCCTGAGGGTTGCCAAGCTGGCACTCTGTTCTCGGTTGCACACAGAGGGGCAGGAAAGCCCTCAGACGGTATATAAACTGGCGAGGAGCAAGATGCGGCGGCCGGGAGGGAGGATCGAAATCTCGAGCCAAGATGCAAGCTAGCTAGCCGAACAGCCCCAAGCACAGAATATTATATGAAAGAACACCTTTGGCCCTGTGTAACTGTGATTCAGTCTCCGGGGGCGGTGGGGACCAGAGACGGGCGAAATGCATTCGATTGCGCATGGTTGATGGTGGTGGCTTGCTGGCTCTGCCGGGGGCAACAGAGCAGCTCGGTTGTCGAGACTCGAGAGAGTCTGCACATCTTCTGTTGGACGTTCCAGACGTCCCTTGCCATCTCCGAGCCGTGCGCAGGTGCTGTACTACCACGTTTGGGCCAGTCAAGGCATGCGGAATATCGCCCTGAACCAACAGCATTCAATGCTTTGGCTGTTGGTGACATGGCGGGATGGCTGCATGAGTTGCATGGGCGGTGGTTGAAATGTCAAGTCAACATTGAAGTGCCAAAGAGATCAATTGATCAAGTGTGGAGGACGAGCAGCCAGTGAGATGGCGCTGCACAGGCCGCTAGACGCCTCCGCAACCCAGACCCCTGCGGGCCGAACCAATCACAGCGCTGATGACCACCCGTCTTCCCGACCTGCCACTCACGGCTTCTGCCTTGACGGACGACCGCATTGGCTTGCTGGCTCGTCTGCGAGGCGGTGGGGGAGGCGGGAGCCTTTGGACAGTTGACATTTGGACACTCGAGGTGCGTTTGAGACGGCGTGCGCGGCGAGAGGGTGCGTTTAGTCTGGGGGGACTCCATGTGTGAGTGACCCTTTGCTCTTTGTCCGTATCTCTGGACCAGTTCGTGACAAGCGAGACGTGTGGTTTTGCTTCAAGCATCTGATACAGGCGTACGGGGAGCCCCGAGACCAGGAAAACTGGTACGACGACTGTCTTCGGCGTCTACGGCGTAGTACGGAGTACTGTCACCATCTTGCGGCTCCGCCGTGCGATGAGTTCGCAAACCGATGCGAGCTCTCATGTTTTACGTTACGGAGGACGAGCCGGGTGGGCATGCACACACACCAGACACACCCTCTTGAGCCCTGACATTGCGTCAAACAACCGTTGAGCTCTGCAGGCCACTTCCCGGTGAGGGCCTAATGACGACTCGAGCTTTGCCTGTCATCATATGCTATCATACATGCTCTATCCCTCTCTTGACCCTTGGCACCACTACACAAGCCAAAACGCTCGCCCTGGTGCTGTACTAAATTTGATACATTTTTCACTCCAGGAGGGGAACACAAAGGAGGAACCATAGTACGGAGTACGGAGTAGATCTCTCGAAAAGTCAAGATGCAGGGATGTAGCATCTCGAGATGGCGCGGGCGGCTTGGCAATCGCCTCGTCCGATCCCAGCCCCGGCGGCGCTACTGATGTGGCATCGACGATAACCGCCAACGCGGTTATTCAAATACTACATACTAGTAATATGGATCCATTTCTTGTTCCTCTCGGGTGCATATCTTGAGTCGTGCCCGGGGCGGTTCACCACCACGCCGCGTATAACCCGGGAGGTGGAGGTGACCGGGTAGGAACATCGCAGATGCGTTCACAGAGGTATTTGTCCACTTCAACCTCGACGTAGGCGGGGGATTTTGGCAACCCGTACGGAGTACTCCGTAGGCTGGGATGATGGACTGCAGTTGTCACTACCGGACCCTTGCAGGCTGAGACATGGGTTTCGATCTGGAGAGACATGTGCCGTCACTTGACCGAGTGTACGGAGAACAGGCCCTTGTATTACTACTTCGTAGATCATGGTCTGTGGATGAACAACCAAAAAACCGGAACGGTGGCACTCGAGAGCAGAGATTCTGTGGCTGGGTTTCCGCTCTAATCGTGCAGAGAGCCTTTTCTTGTGATTGACAAACACAGCACGGCTTGTACGGGTGCTTCCAGGGAGACGGTATCAGACACCAGTTGGGAGATGAGCTGAGACTAACCACGATGCCATTGTGCCATGATTGAACTTGCTCGTGTCACTGGAAGCAATTTCAAGTTTACATGTTAAAAGAGTCTCAAGATTTGGACTGCCTCGAAGCTGAGATTATAAGAAGCTAGCAGACCAGTATCTTTTTACGTAAAAATTGAGTCCGCCTGTCAGCAAAACTCTCTGGCCATGACGATGCTCACTATCAAGTACACTTCGCTGTTGTGTATCTGGACCGTCGCGCAGAGTATTCACGCTGCATCCGGCGAATCACACGACAAGCGCGGCAATGACAAGGCCCTCTATGAAGCCCCAAGCTGGGAGTTAACAAACGTCACCAGACGCAAGTTCTATACACAACCCCCCTCTCCTCCTCCGTAGCCTCCGGCCGGTTCGTCTCTAACGGTTCGGCCACCATTAGGTATCCCAAGCGACGGGGAGATCTGGATGAGATTCGACATCAGCAGCCCCAACCTCGACCCCATGTACTGCTACATGCTGGTTCACGTCAACGGGGACGCGAGACATGCCTCTTTCTCCGACCAGAGGTGCGTGGGCAGCAGCTTCACCATGTCCTGGGGTTACGCGAGGGATGACGACGCAGGCATCATGACCATTGTCAAGTAAGCCACCACAAATCGCCCACAGAGAAGCAACATCCCACGGATCACATACTGACCTGTTGGCAACGAAAAACTCCTTAGCCCCGGAAGAACCCGTCGGTGCTGGTTCGGATGGCGAGGAGTCAATGCAAAGGAGCACCTCGAAGACGCGGGCCCAAACAACACCGCGGAGATGCCGCCGATGTGAGTTCTGCACCGGGATGGACATGGCTTTGCTTGTCTGGAGCATCTCGGTCAAGTCTCTGCATTGTTCTTGCCTGGGCTGCCGCCAACCGGGGCATTTTCGACGCAAGTCCGAGAATTCTGGTGTTGGACGAGGCGCAATATTTTGCGCTTGCTTTATTGTATTTCGGTTATACGGCACGAGGGGAAAAATAATGGACTGCGCCCTGTGCGACATCATGGTCACGATGGGAGCAAAATAGCCGCGAGGTGACTAGGAGTGGCCTTGCCAATGTTGCACGGGAGCTAGAAGTAAGAGATGGTTTCCTTTCTCTCATCATCTTAGGCGGCGTGTATCCGGAAGACTGTAGGCTCATGGCTTGCCAATGAATCTGATGATGCGTGACATGAGGGTTTCTTGTAGGACAGGAGGGGAACACGCCTACTGGTTGGAGTATTGTGTGTCGACGCAGTCACTGCATATTAGAACAGGTTTGAAAGTAATCCGCCGTCAGTTTGTGCGGACACAGCAGCCTGAGTAACCCATTTCTTGGATGCCAATAAAAGCCCAGGCATTGTGTATTACCAGAGTTTGCGGGAAATCGCATCCCAGGCAATTTTGGGCACCAAAGCGCTTGGAGCGAATGCGTACAATCAAGGGGTCGTTTGGTGTAGATATCAGCCCATGTTGGCCGCACAACAGCCAGACGATGAACGTTTTCTCGTTGGAATCATATGTCGTAGTGTACGGAGTACGGAGTACTACGGAGCACAGCATTCAAATATTTCATGGCCAGACCGGCAAAAAGCCAAGCCACCAATGGCCAGAGGCACCCCTGCTTAAACTTTGACTTTGGCGCTTAATCAAGAATCGTGATTGGCTCACACCGCGGCGGGGGACGCCTGGCCGCCAATCATGGCGCAGTTCACAATCTGGGGTCGCACGCCGCGAGGGGCAAACCCAGCATTTGTCCTACAGCCAACTCCATCACGCGTCACGGCGTCGTGCCACCTACGGTCTTGGTGTCGGCAGTCTGCTTAGCAGCAAGCCTCGAGCCGCCCAATCAATCTCACAGCCAGACCTCATGACTGCCTGTCCTGCTCGCTGGAGCTGCGGTGCCCCAGTCACTCGGGCGGTGCAGCGTGCGGCCACGCTTTGGGGGCGACTGGAATGATGAAATCTGTCTAGGAACCGACGGCTTGTGTCACCACACCTCGACGCACAAACCACCATTATATCCTCCCGTTGGTCCAGCATTCCGCTTTTGGTGATAGATTCTTTTGGGTGTTGGTTGCGCTTGCCTTTTCTTTTTCGGGCGTCCTATTTGGTTGCTGCCCTCCGTTCTGGTCCGCCGATACGGCTGGCGATCGAGGCTGAGGCGGGAGTAGCAGGTGCGCAGCGCGAAAGCCATACTGGCCTGGGCTGTCGAAGGGCCAAGATGAGGATCGCCTGTCTTCAGTTTGCGCCGCAGGTCGGGGATGTGGACAATAATCTCAACCGGGCGGATGCGATTTTAAGTCGTGTAGATCCCGAGGCTCTTGATCTGCTGGTCTTGCCGGAGCTGGCATTTTCGGGTACGTCCGTCCTGCGTGAAGACTCGGTGATGCACGGACTTGGACTCTGCGTCTGGTTGGGGCCTGCTCGGCCGCTGACTGAGAGACAAGAAGACCCGGGGAGCGAAACAGTGTCGAATTTTCTAACTCCAGTGTAGGATACAACTTCAAGTCTTTGGGCGATATATCGCAGTTCCTCGAACCCTCAGTTTCTGGCATCAGCTCCTTGTGGGCCCGAACTACCGCCTTGAAATACGACTGTACCGTCATCGCTGGCTATCCTGAAAAGGTCGACCCGACTTTTAAGTGGCCGACAAACCCGGAGTATTACAATGCAGCCATTATTGTCAACGGTGAGGGAGAGACGGTGGCCAACTACCGAAAGACTCACCTGTACTACACGGACGAAACATGGGCTCTGGAAGGGCCGGCCGGATTCTTTGGCGAGAGACTGGATGGTCTGGGACCTACTGCTATCGGAATTTGCATGGACCTCAAGTACGTGTAATCGCGGCCAGATTGAGATTGTTGCCAAATTTCAGACTCGCATGTTCTAATGTGTATCGCAGCCCGTACAAATTTGAGGCACCGTGGGATAAGTTCGAGTTTGCCCAGCATGTTTTAGACTGCGGAGCTCGTCTGGTTGTGATATCCATGGCTTGGATAACCAATGACGATCCCCGCCAGTTTAGTCGTATGCCTCAAGAACCAGACATGAACACTCTGCTCTATTGGGTTTCCCGCCTTGAACCAATAATAAGAGCAGAGTCCACCGAGGAGGTTATAGTAGTGTTTGCGAATCGTACTGGCATGGAGGGGGAAGTCACATATGCTGGCACCAGTGCTGTCATCGGCATCGAATCTGGCGAAGTTCGAGTATACGGAATCCTCGGCCGCGGCGACAAAGAGCTGCTTGTTGTCGATACTGATGAAGCTCCATATGCCAAATTAGTATATCGCCCTGGAGAGAACGACCCTGAAGTCGAGGCTGGGGAGCCAGAGGAAAACGACCACCGTGCGGACTACGAGAACTATCGCTCTCAGCATCCTCAAGGCCGAAAAGAGTCTGAAGATCCACCCTCGAGCGGCCGTCAGAGGTTCCAAGGCGAATCCGACGCCACCCAAGGGAAGAATCTGTCTGCCGAGTACAGCAGAAACACTTCGTTCAGTCAACCTCGCTCAGATCCGGCCGCGAGACATGGTCTAGAGGGTTCGGATATTCATACACCAACAGCTCCGAGTCCAACGCCTCATTCGCTCCGGCCCAGGCTCATGGTTTCAACAAATCACCCCAACAGCCAGAGACATCTGAATGGACCTTCTCCTGCATCATATTCGGCAAACGCTAGCAGTGGGCCTTTCAAAATTCTGGGGGGAGAGGCCAGTTTCCATGGGTCAAATGTCAATGCTGAACTATCTCCATGGGCGGCGTCCGAGTCGCCTTTCGAGTCGTCCCGAGTTTGCTGGCCATCTGCGCTGATTTCCCCAGCTGAAGTGCCTGATTCAAGATGGGCATTTCCAGATGAAGAGGATGATCTTATCGCCTCGGAAGGTTCGGCACTCGCGAACCAGGAAAATCGCTATAGCATCAGGTCTGATGTTTCTGTGTGGAACAACCAGCCGGGTCGTCCACCGAGCATTGCCAACCACATGATCAACCGGTCCACATCACCTCATGAGACATCGCTGGTCCGAATTCGTCCCGATGCCCCTGAACGAATATCGCCAATGAATAACCTCGCTGATGCCTCGAGACAAGAGTCTCTCCCAATGCACCCTTACTCCTTAGAGTCTCGGCACAGAAATCGATCTCGTGGTCATGAGAGATCAAGGTCAGACGTCGTAGGCAAGAACGAGCTTGGAGTTGTCTGCCAAAGACGGCAAGACATGGCCATGTTCGCCGACGTACCTCAGCAACAACACTTCTCCTTCAATGGCAACCGAGACCGTTCAAAGTCTAACTCTGGACATCAAGTCTCGAGAAGTCGGAGCAAGAGCCGGAGCAAGAGCCGGAGCCGGAGACCAATCCCAATGCTACAAGACCATGGCTATGACCGCCGCAAAATGACTGCTTCGATACCAATAGCCCTCAGCCCGGATCCCGCCAATTCTGCGGACTCGAGAGACTCGAGTAATACGAGTAGACAGCGGCGGTCCAACCCTGCGCCCCAAGATCCGCCAATTCTACGGCCCGTTTCAAGCGGTCGTATCAGACAAAGGAGTAGCTCCAAAGGGAGAATTGGTGACCAGCCTCCATCTAGAAACGCCTTCATGCAGCGCGAAATAAGGTCCAACACACCTGCCAAACTTGTCGACAGAGGAACAAGCCGTGGTCGTCGGCGCGAGGATAGACCCGCCACGGACCAACAAGCTGCCACGCCTGGAAGCCGCGAACGGCGCAACAGCGCAAACAACAGCCGAAACCGTCACCCCGAGACCGTAGACCTATCTCAGTTCGCACTTATCGAAGAGTACACCGCGCCCAATTGTCCCGTTCACGGCTCCCGATCCCGCTCCAGAACCGGGCAGCAGAGCCACCAACCCGGGAACAATAGGCCAGCAACTACTACGCCGGCTCGCCCTCCCGCCCAGCCAGAGAGAGTAGGAAGGCGGTCGACACAAAATACACCACGACCAGCGAGCAGGAAGGACGCACCGGAGGTTGCCACGCGGTCGCCCAAGCCTCAGGTGTCGCCGAAGCTGGATGGGAAGAATTCCAAAACTCTAAAGACATCGAGCTCTGCAGCTACCAGGTCAAGGATTCGTGACACTGCCCACAAGTCATCTGATGTAGTGAAGACGATGGTTCCCGAATCACTTAACCTCAAAGCACCGCAGGGTCCAAAGACACCCAAGGCCATGGTCCTTGTGAGCGACGGCAAGATAGACCCACTGGAGCTCATGGCGTCGTTGAGATGTGTGGAACGGTCGCTTGCCAAGTCTATAAATCGGCCGCGGAGCGCAATTTGGTAGAGGGTACACGACATTTGTACCACGGATGGGATATAGGGAGTGTTGGTTTGCGTGGTCGTCCTTGTTGGTTGGGTGGTCTTTCGTGTCCATATTTTTGTTGAAACCTGGCAACATCTACATATTCTTATTTTGTTTTGGGATGAATAAACGGCCGTGACGAGTTTGTAGAATTTGAGATTTGCAGGCTGTCGTGGGGATAGTAAGCGTATGCGATGTGTTCTTTGGCGTCTTTGTGGTGTTGACTGGTGATGCTACGGCAGAAGAGGACCCGAGGACCGTGATTTTACCATATTTTGCTTACTCCGTACGTTGTAATGGAATAATCGCCATGCAGTCTTGTCGCTGAGGAGTTCGGGAATAATTGACTTGCTCAGTACGGAGTAGGGCATGTGTGTTTCGTACGCTGCGAAGGCAAATGTGAACGCCTGCTCAAGGATTACCCTGATGGACGCGTGGGACATGGGACCCACTCGGGACCGGCCCGTCAAGCCATCGAATTACGTGGTTCGGGACGTACAGGGTGCTTGCTGGATAATTCGGCACGAAATGAAGCCAAGTCACGTCAAAAGGTCTTTGAGTACGGAGTACGGAGTACAAACACCCAAGCTCACAAAGGCCCATGATGGGGACGGGCCGGTGTCAAGATGCATGAGCTGTTGGGGAATTGGTGGGGGAATGGACCAGTGACTGCTCTCAACCTCTCCATCACAAAGAGACATGGCGAGGATTGGCTGCGAATTGACGAATCATGTGTCATATGTAAAGGTCGTACAAGGGTGCTGCAGGACGATTTGAGACTGAGCATCATGATTGGACCTCGAAGCGCCAGCCTTGAGTCTGCCGTAGGTGGATCCCGCCGGATGTGACAGGCTTGGCACCCTGCAGGCAGAGAGAGGGCTGGGGGGAAGTCGAAGACTGCATGGCGGTCCGGGTGGACGTGATGCTCACCAGTTGGAGCCCAAGGTCGATGCTTGTCGGCCTGCAGGTTGACCTAGACTCATGTTGTGCGCCGTTGCCGTGTGCCGTGTGCCGTGCGAGCTTGGGGGGAATGTCCTCGGGCAGGTCGTTGTCACCCGCATCGGACGCGCGCAGTGCGACTGCCAGTCTCTCGTCCTGTGCCGTGGCAGAATTCGGAACCAACAAGCTGATGGTCGGACAGGCTGGGGGGATATATCAACGTCGCCGGATGACCTGAATTCTCGTTTCGAGCCGGAAGGGCAGAGAAGAAGAGAGGAAGAAGACAAGACACAGGTTCTTGTCCATGTGAGGCACTACCAGCTGTCAAAGGGCTTGGCTGCAGACACCCACCGCCATCCTTGGATCTCCCTGGCGCCTAGTCGCTCCGGAAGGGAACATTGAGCCCACGAAGCCCACGAAACCCACAGCGGCCGTATCCGTGCCAGCAATATCATGCTACGACCTCCCCCGTTGCCAATCCTCCTAGCCGCCTTGCTGCCAGCGGCGCAGTCGATTCTCGTACCCTCTGGCTCGCCATGCGCTGCCAACTGTGGTAATATCCTGGACAAGACCGCTCCGGAGGACCTAGTTTGCAGCCAGGGCAGCTTTTCGTCCGATCCTACGGGGCAGCAGTTTGCTTCATGTGTCGATTGCGAGAGATCCAGCACCTACCACAGTGGGAACGACAGCGACATCCAGTCTATGCTTTGTAGGTACCACGTCTCTCGGGCCAGCCGGCGAGTCTGCTGACAGGCGAATTGTCAAGATAATGTCCGCTATGCGTTGTCCTATTGCGTTTGGGGCGATGCGCCGGCAAAGAACCCCAAGGTTGCCAACACGCCCTGTATTACTACGTGAGATTCCTTTTGCTCTTCTCCTGCGGCTCTGGTCAACTCCAATACTAACATCCGAGCAGCAAGGCATGCGGGCCGTTCAAGAATGCGGTGCAGTTCAAAAACTTGTCTTCGACCTACGACGCCTACCAGTACTGTGATCTCTGGCAGACGGATGATGCTCCAGACTTCCAGGGCTGCACTGATTGCCTGCAGGCTGAAGGCAGGCAGTACATGGCCAACTGTGAGCGTTCCTCTCGTACCGACTCACCCCGTCCAGCCTGCTGACTCTTCCCATGATGTAGTTGTCATTGCCCTCCAGGCTGGCTGCCAGCAGAAGCCGCCGGCGGGCCTCTACATTGGGCTCGACGGCGAGCTCTTTTCCACCACGGCTGTGCAAATCTCAACGCCGAGTCCCACGGCGACGGTCAATCCGGCTTGGTTTGACCACGGCCCCTTGAACCTTGGTGCCAAGGTTGGCATTGCCGTTGGCGCGCTTGTAGCACTCCTCGTTATAGTCGGATGCTGCATCATCTGGAATGGGAAGCGCCGCAGAAAGGCATATCTGCGAGATCGGGACGCCAAGATTGCGCAAAGGGGCTGGCCATCGCCTACCCAGCAGCGAGAGATGGGCCAGGCTCCTGCACCACAGTCGTTTCGCGGCTACGACGACACCCCCGTCAGCCAACGTCCTCTCCGGGGCAACGGATGGGATGACACTCCCGTGAGCCGGCAGGGCTCTCGGGGCTGGGATGACTCCCCCGTGAATGCAAACGGCGAGAAGCCGCTTCCCAGATACTTTTCGCCGTATTCCAGCCAGTACAACAGCCCCGTCAGTGCGCGTGATGGGCAGGCCATGCCATGGCCGCAAGGAGCGTTGCCCCTGAATCAGCATGCCGGCGTTGCGGCTGGTGGCGAGGCCTCCGGTGAGCCCCGGAGCGCAGTTTCGGACGACAAGGGCAAGGCGAGAGTGGAAGCTTATGAGATGCACCTGGTAGATACCAGCGAGAGCAACAGCTCAAGAAGCCACCCGCCCAGAGACCGGAGCGAGGCGCCTGTGTTGAACCATCCGGGATATGGGAGGGATGGGAATGTACCCGCGCCTCAGCTCGCGCTGACAGACTACGATGCCAGATGTGGAAATGTCGTGTAGAGGGTCATTCGAGGATAACAGATTGCGCCGAGTGAAGGGCATTGGGATGGGCTATTATTTTTGCATGGTGTTGGGTGTTGAATGAGTTCGGGTTCTCCTTACTCTGTATTTAATGTCTTGTGGAAAGGTCGGGCAATAATCAGCCACGTATTATGACTGCATACGCAGCGAAATATATCCCATTAGCATCCAACATAACAATTGAAAACTCAAGCAAGACGCGACAAAACGTTTCTTGCCTGCGCCTCGCGAGATTTTATAAATGTGGCTAGTATTGTGGCTTGCACGAGCCCCTACCCCAAAAGGGACTAGCTTGTATTCTCAGCCACACCGCCAGCTTAAAGTCCCCACAAGCAAAAGAGAAAAGAGAAAAAAAAAATTAGAAGCTTTTCAAACCGCCACTGGCACTCAGTGCAAAAACATCACCACGAACCTGCAAGCACGCCCTCGTCGAGCCACCCCCATACGAGTGTGCATTATACACCGGCTGCAGGATCCCGGTTACATTATCAGCTCAAGATGACGATGGAAGTTGTCAAAAGCCTGAAGGAGGAGGAGGAGCACACCATCAAGCCCCAGGCCGTTACACCTGCCGTGGACACGAGCTCGTGGCCTTTGCTCCTCAAGAACTACGACAAGCGTGAGTGCCAAAACGTCCTGAAAGTGGTCAATTGGTTTCTTACTCTGGGTGGAATCAATTGAGCACGTGAGAGATGGACAGATTGACTGACAACTTGTGCCTGCAGTGCTTGTCCGAACTGGCCACTTCACACCGATCCCCAATGGCTGCTCTCCGTTGAAGCGAGACATCAAGTCTTATATCAGCTCTGGTGTCATTAACCTCGACAAGCCTTCCAACCCTTCCAGTCACGAAGTCGTCTCTTGGGTCAAGCGTATTCTTCGGTTCGTGGGCCCTTTTTTCAAATCTTGAAATGGCGGAAGGCATTGTTGCTAACTGATGCAATAGCGTTGAGAAGACTGGCCACAGCGGTACCCTCGATCCCAAGGTCACTGGCTGCTTGATTGTGTGCATTGACCGCGCCACTCGGCTGGTCAAGTCCCAGCAGGGTGCCGGAAAGGAATACGTCTGCGTCATTCGCCTCCACGACAAGCTGCCTGGCGGTCAGGCCCAGCTCGCCCGCGCCCTCGAGACGCTCACCGGTGCCTTGTTCCAGCGTCCTCCCCTGATCTCTGCTGTTAAGCGTCAGCTCCGTGTCCGAACCATTTACGAGAGCAAGCTTATTGAGTTTGACAATGACCGCCACCTGGGTGTCTTCTGGGTCAGCTGCGAGGCCGGTACCTATATTCGAACTCTTTGCGTGCACCTCGGCTTGCTTCTCGGTGTTGGCGCGCACATGCAGGAGCTGCGTCGTGTTCGCAGCGGTGCTATGGATGAGAACAAGCACATGGTTACTCTCCATGACGTGCTCGATGCCCAGTGGATCATGGACAACACGCGTGACGAGTCCTACTTGCGCCGCGTTATCGCTCCTCTTGAGACCCTCTTGACTGGCTACAAGCGACTTGTTGTCAAGGATAGTGCTGTCAATGCTGTGTGCTACGGTGCGAAGCTCATGCTTCCCGGTCTTCTGAGATATGGTATGTACAGTTTCGAGTATTTAATGGTTCGGAACAACGGACTAATCAATGGGTACAGAGTCCGGCATTGAGCACCATGAAGAGGTTGTCCTCATGACCACCAAGGGCGAGGCTATTGCGATTGGTATTACTCAAATGTCTACTGTTGAGATGTCCACTTGCGACCACGGTGTGGTGGCCAAGGTCAAGCGTTGCATCATGGAGCGCGACTTGTACCCTCGACGCTGGGGCCTCGGCCCTGTCGCCCAGGAGAAGAAGAAGCTCAAGGCTGATGGAAAGCTGGACAAGTTTGGTCGTCCCAATGACAGCACGCCTGCCAAGTGGACCTCGGAGTACAAGGACTACGGCGCGGCTGATGCCTCCACTGCCGCCGCCGCCGCCGCCGCCGCTCCGGCCCCGACGCCTGTGAAGGTTGAGAAGATCAAGATGGAGATTTCTACGCCTCCTGCCGATGACGGCGAGAAGAAGAAGCGAAAGAAGCACGAGGGCGAGACTGCGGATGAGAAGGCGGAGCGAAAGCGAAGAAAGGCGGAGAAGAAGGCGGCCAAGGCTGCCAAGAAGGCGGTTAAGGGCGAGGCCGGATCGGACGATGACAGCGACTGAGCGGCACGGCGGCAGTTTGGACAGTCGGTGAGGCAGGGGAAAGGGAGTTTTGTTCTTTTTACTCTTGTTGATATGTGGACGGTCTCGCTGTACCATATTCTTGTGACGTTGGGCACACGGCGTTTGGCATAAAATGTTTTGGGAGGCGTAGCTGAGAAACTCAATACGACTACATCAATGAAGCGCCAGTGTACTCCGTATATTGCTCGTTGCCACCGTGCCGCCGTGTTTTTTCTTGCGATACATGTCCAGATTGGCTGGGCTTCACCGAGGGACGTGTACGGCATACAATTTGGAGACATGGATATGGACTATTGCTGGCGAATGCCGTGCCCCGGTCGTGTGATGCCTGGTTTCTAACCCACCAGACGCCTGATGACGAGCCCACGCAAAAAGCCCAAGTGTGATATTCGGAAACGGCGCCCGGATTGGCGACCACTCGGCCGCATGGCATGTTCCTCGGAGGTTTTTTTTTTCTCTCCTTCTCATTTCCTTGCTGAAATGAATTCGCCTCGCATGCTGCAAAGACCCCTGGCGAGGCGAACAACCGAATGCGACGTCACGCATACTAATTTTTTAAGCGCCCGGCTGGGACGCACAGCACGCGCCCCTGGCATCCTGCGCCTCTGATTCGGCGACGCAACAAAGGGCTGCCTTTTCGCCTTTAACCGCCCGTGCCACCACCAGCACTGGTGATTGGGGTGATGAGTGCCGTCGTGCCTCTTGCGTGTGATGTGCGTGCGTGCGTGCGGGGAGGAAGCCTGCGACGCTGCGTTGTGACGGGGTAGATATTGCGTGCGTGCTGCTGTTTGTGCAACCCGCTGGTTTCTGCGTCTTCCGCCTCTGTTGTACAGAAACTTGCACGGAGTACGGAGCACGGAGTATCAAGCGTCGAGAGAGGTTGTTGACCGGCAATCTCCCCCCCTCTGGCCAACTTGATGAGCGCACCCGGATTCCCAGTCAAGAACAAGGAGCGCCCGGCTGGGTAGACAAAACATCCCATCTTGACCGCTGCTCAACCATCACCCAGGAAGAAAAAAAAACCATCCGCCATCATGGCCTCGAGAAGCCGCCGCCTCCTGCTGCCGCTGCTGCTCGCCGTGTCCGCGGCCGCCCTCCAGGTGACGCCCAACTCGCCCTGTTCGTCGGCGTGCATCGACTCGGCCGGGCTGGACGCCTCGGACCCCAACTCGTCCAACACGCGCGCGGGCGACATTGTCTGCGCCGACGGGCAGTTCGACGCCGACGCCGACGCCGCGGGGCGCAAGCTGAGGACCTGCCTGGCGTGCCTGCAGGGCAGCACGTACACGCAGGGCGGCGAGGGCGACCAGGCCTGGTTTCTGTGTACGGCCTCCCCCGGGCCCCCGGTGCCGTTTGTGAAAAGTGCGGCGTTGCGCTGACGCCAAGAGCCAGATAATCTCCGGTACGCCCTCGACCGCTGCGTCCTCGGGTATCCCAACGCCACCGCGGGCGCGACCTCGAGCCCCTGCGTGACGCCCGAGTCGTGCGGCGCGCTGGCCGCCGCGCTGAAGAGCGACATCGCGCGGCCGGCCGCCGTCTCGGCCTTTGCATACTGCGACGTCGACGCCGGCGCCGCCACGGGCATGTACTTTGAGAGCTGCCTGCAGTGCGTCCAGGCCGACGGGCAGCACGCCTACCTGTCCAACTGTAAGGAGCACGTCTGTAAGGCGAAAGAAAGGAAAATGACGCTAACCCGGCCAGTCCTGGTCGTCCTCGAGGCAGCCTGCCTCCAGCGACCGCCGGCCTCGCTGCTCGTGGGCGTCAACGAAACCGTCTTCTCGCGGCACACCATTGCCGTGACGCAGCCCTCGCCGCCGGCGTCGTCGTCGCCGCCCGCCTCCCACGCGGCCCTGTCGACCCCGGCCATCGTGGGCGTCGCCATGGCG